GCGTCGTCGTGCGTTCGCAAACCAAGTTGATACTTGTGTTAATGTCATTTTGGTCATAATAGCAAGATAAACTTTTTCGGATTTAGTTGGATAAGGATTCTTTCGATGTTCATATAACCAGGCTTTTAATGTCGCAGTTGTCTCTCGTGTCGCATTCTTTCGTCGACCAGCAAGATCCATATGGGGCGAGTAGCTACAAGAAGACGCCAAGTTTATTTTTCCTACCGAAGAATATCAAGTTTTCGAGAGTCTTACGATGGTCCATATGGTGAGTAGCCAATCAGTGCGACGGCCGCGGCTGGATCATAAACATACGGATTATGATGACGCCATGGATTTGCATTGATCAAGGAATTGATATTTACATTTGATTCCTTGGAAAAAAGAAAATAGAACGATTTCAAATAAAAATGAAAGTTGTTGTTGTTTGTTTTCTCTGTACCTTAATTGTATCGGATGGATTGAGACCGGCTAACCTGAAAGCCATCGAAGAAAAAGATCGCACATATAAATGTCAAATACTTGTATGATGATCCCAGAAACTTACATAATTAAAAGAAGAAGCAAGTGTTTTTGGTTGTTTGTTGCCTTTCTCTTTTTTTCTGTACTTGGTAGTTGGCAATGTTAATATGTTGTTAAACGAATAAGCATAAGAACAAGAGAGAAAGGGAGAAAAAAAGAAAAACTAAGATTGTTTCTTGTTGTAGACACGATCGATACTCTCTTTTCTCTCATCCACCCTATTTGTCGATAAACTATTCAAGAAAAAAATCTCATTGGTTGACATTCGAACGAGACACCATGTTTTACATTCTTGTTCGAGTAGCTTGTTAACATCGCCAACGGGTGAAGCAGCAGAAGAAGAAGAAGAAGGAAAAAAAGAAACTTTTTCTTTTCTTATTGGATGGATGGAAGGAAAAGAATGGGAGAAAAGAAAAAGGCAACACTAATAATGAAGAATAGTGCCCTAAGTAAATCATCGAGTCATTATAGAAGAGAAAGAAGAGAGTGGCCTCACCCTCTTAAGTCAACATCAACATGACGACAACGACGCCATTCCGTCTTCGCCAGCTCTTCTCTTCTCTTCTCTTCTCTTCTTCTCTTTTCAATAAGCAAACACTGCATTTATCGACTCAAATGGAGACAATTATTCTCCAGTTACTCTTACTTATCAACATAGAAAAATAAAGAACATAAACATTCAATATTATGTTTGTCTTTCACCATCTGCATCTCACATCACTAGAGAAAGAATTGACTTCGAACGACTCTCGTACATTTTCTTTCTTATTTTGTTTTGTCTCTTACACAGCTTCTAATTGTTTCAACAATTATTTCGAACGTGTCGAAACCTTTTAACTTTGAAGATAACAACACATAGTTAATGTCAACTGACACATATTGATTTAAAGAAAATGATGTAATCTCATCTCAAGATAGATGTCTGATGATCAGGACGATAATGATCAAGGCACAAGCATCGAATAAACAACAATATGCAGACATTGTTTTTTTCCTACTCTAATTAGAAAAGATCTGCTTGTTTAATTGGACTCAGGAAAGAAGTCAAGATGATTGATGAGACAAGCAATGTGCCTTCATTTCTTTTCTCAGTCTCCGCCGTAATGTAATTCGTACGCTTGTTTTACATAATGATGTATCGACATCTGACGACAGATAAGCACCTTTCCACACATTGACAAATCTTTCTTTTTCTTATCTCTAGCAGATAATATCTCTTTTCTTTCGATTAGAAAATGAAAATCGCCAAGAAAAACGAAAGATCAAATGATAATTGACACTTTAGAACAGAGGAGAAAAAAATTCGATTGACCATATTGATTTAATCAAAAAGAGAAGCTTAAGTACTTGTGAAATTGTTTTATCAACATTGACAATTGAGACAGAGATGAGAAGAATAACTTAGTTTTCTCTCTCTCTCTCTCGCTCTCTTTTTTTTGCAGTGACACTCATTTCTATTCATTCGCTTTTAATAGACAGAAGATTAAAAGATACTCTACTCCTATGTCAATATATACAGATTCTTTTTCGAGAGATGTGTGCCGTTTTTTAATCATTCTTTTTAATAGAGTATGAGAGAGAGAGAATGAGAAGTTCGGTTCCGGCAGAATTCCAATCGAGAAGCATGCCGGACTACAAGTGGACATATGAACAAATAACAAACGATGGTGAGAGCGTATGATCGCTTTCTTCCGTTCATCTCTTCCTTTATTAGATTGCTGATGACCGACAAACACTAATGGACCAATGAGAATCATCATTGGTTGAATATTCTTTTCTTCTTCTTCTTCTTTTTTATTTCTGTGTGCAGCAAGTTTTCTTATTGTAAAAACTTTTCGAAATCATTGTTATTTTGTTTGAAAATGTTGACATAAAAACTTAATTCTGACAAAGAAAACACGTCGATTTGTTTTGCTTTTCGTTGAAGTCAAACAAGGAAATGGAATCGTGTCGTTGATTTACGAAGATTGAAATCAATGTCATTTGCGGTAGTTTGATTGATCAGCATGGCGTGTGTCTATAAACAAAGATATGAGTTGAAGTGTATCGTGGCAATTAGCGTGATAAGAAATGAAATGCACGCGATTCGTTTCTCGGCTGTCGTTAATAAGTCAAGTGTAGATTAAGTTTCTTTATCATCATTCATCTGCACTTTCAAAGATTTGTTTCTTAAAATGCGAAGAAGAGAGGGGGAGAAAAGGTGATGTTGCTTTTAGTCAGATCACCTTCAAGCGAAAATCGATTATAACGTAACGATAAATCGAGTGATAAAGCGCGACATTTAATTGAATCGGAATAAGGCGGAGAAATTTGTTAATAATGATAAATGGGGGAAAATTATCTTCATTTGTCTTTCGTCTCCTTCATTAAAAAGTCGTTTTTCTTCTCTTACATAAAACATATGTGTAAAAGATGTACAATATGCATCAGTTTTGTTTGTTCCGATTCGAATATTTGTCGACTGTGACAAGATCTAAACACGAGTTGATTTCTTCTCATCATCGACGCAATTGACCGCATGAATGTTCTTTTGAGTCGTTCGATAATCGACTCGAAAAATGTTATTCAAACAAATACAAATTGAAATCAACTAGAATGAAAAGATGAAAAGCTACATTTGCATATCAGTCGAGTTCGATTCAAAGCTAATCGACACGATAAATTGACTTCAATCTTTCATATGATGATTTTCGAAACATGATTTAATCAGTTGAAAAGACGATTCGAGTGAATTTTATTTACCAATCGAAAGCAATCAGTGCAAAGAAGTTTAGTTTCCGTACGTCGTTTGGTTATTGGCTAANGAAATCAACTAGAATGAAAAGATGAAAAGCTACATTTGCATATCAGTCGAGTTCGATTCAAAGCTAATCGACACGATAAATTGACTTCAATCTTTCATATGATGATTTTCGAAACATGATTTAATCAGTTGAAAAGACGATTCGAGTGAATTTTATTTACCAATCGAAAGCAATCAGTGCAAAGAAGTTTAGTTTCCGTACGTCGTTTGGTTATTGGCTAAGTTTCTGTAGAACATCTGCTGGAACCAATTCATAATCTGCGGCATTTGAGCTTGCAGTTTCTTTTGCACTAATTGATTGAAACGAACGGCGGCTTCGGTTTCTTTTTCCAGAAATTTCTTTCCCAATGACGAGGAATAGAATTTTATCAAGCCGGTAATGTCCGAACTTGTATACAGATCACGATAGATTTCAACAATTTGCGGACGTAAGGATTTGAACGAGAAAAATGTATTGATGAACTTCATGATTTCACTTTTGAATGCGGATAAAGTGGGATCGTTGACAACCAATGATTGTAAGAGACTGTCGAATTTCTTTTCCATATCCGTAATGTTCAATAGACGATTTATTTCCCGATTGATGTTGACTTTAGTTGCCGCCGGTTTACCTTCGACTTCTACAGATAAAAGTACGAAGAGTAGAAGAAAGTACCAGTGTTTTGCCATAGCACTCATTGTTAAGAAATGAAAAAGAGTGATGGGATTTTGTTTAGAATGATAAGAAATCAATTTGATATTTGATCCTCAGAGCATTTTATCGTTGTTTAAATTTTACAATCGTGCTTGGAATAGATAAAATATTCTACTGTCTTTCAACGGATCGTATTCGTACGAGAGAAAAGTGTTGGAATAGCAAATGCGTTTTTTTAAAATCAACATCGTTTCGAAAAACATGTCTGAAAAATGAAATTAAATCGGAGAAGATGTTATGTTTTGCTGTTCTGCTTCAAACACTCCAAATATTGAAGTTGTGTAAACTATTAGAAAATTTTGTCAAACATAAAAATAAGAATAGAAAGAGAAATGGAACATGCAAAACAACGCATAGTCGACTTTCTGGGCGTTATACAGATGCTGGCAATGAACCTGTTAAAACTCTCGTACCTATCGAATGCTACGAAAATAAACTTTTGTTTTCTTTGAAGGAAGCTTTTGCGTCCATAGATACGACAATTCATAATTTGAAGATCATGGTATGAACACTCAAATGTAAGAGCCAGAAGGTCATACTAGTTTCTACTCATTATTGAATAAGAAACTTCGTTCTGAAACGTGAAATGAACTTAAACCATGACTCTCATATTTGAAGCTATTTTTCATGGCATTGTATAACACATCGTCGACTGATGTGATTCCACTGCATAAACTAACTTCATCTAGTAGGTGTCCGATAATGTGTAAATCATAAATTAGTCAGTAATGTATTTCAGAAAAAAGTATGACTACATTATCTATTTCATACTGGTGGAACAATTAAGACAATTGTAGAACTTGAAAATGAGCTAATGAATCTAGCAGAGAAGAATGTAGATAAGGATATTCTCGATCATGTTCATGGCTCATTATTAGGGTTGACCATAGGTGACGCTGTTAGAACTTCTAGTCAATGGCGACGGCGAACATCTCCCTTACAAAATCCAGTTATGGATCTGCATGGCGGTGGTACTTGGAATCTTGCTGCAGGACAGGTATCTATTTTTAACGGGAGTAATTGCCGTTTCTCCAGCCAACTACTTAAAATGTCAAAATTTAGAGAATGGCTCACATTCGAAGGAAAGAACACAGTATTAAGTTTCCTTTCAAGCTTTAGTTCACCGACGACACCTCCATGGCACTGTGTATAGCGAATTCGTTAGTAATTTGTCGTGGTTTCAATCCTTATGATCAACTAGTACGTTATAAGTGTTAGTTTCGAAATGATTATATGTCTTCTGCAGAGACATGCTTTGATATTGGTGAGTTAACAAAGCGATTTTTGCTTGAGTTTAAACGTCGGCAGCTAAACTTTACGAAAGACAATTATATCCCAACTGGTGATATCGATTATCTTCGTGATCCTAAATTGTTGAATCTGTTTGATATGTTGTACTGCATTGATGCAACTGTGTTCCGTACCTCTTTTCTTTTATCATGACCCTGCATATGTCGTGGAAGAGTTGCTCATGGCGATAGTATCGCAGTCGATGCTCGCCGCTATTATGATACTCTCATAATTGTTGCCCTACATGACGAAAACAAAGAGCAACTTCTCAACGAAAGTTTCTATAATTTACATAGAAGTTGGATCGATTGTATTGAATTTCATGAACAAGTTTTGGCGATCAATCATGGATCTTATAGAAGAGCAAACGGATACGACAGTGGTATTCAAGGTGGTGGATACATTTCTTAGCGCTTTAGAGGCCGCCCTATGGACATTTGGTCTGATCGGGACGATTTTGAGAGAAGTGTTCTAAGCGCAGTCAATGTTGGTGATATTACCAAAAACGGCGACAGCAGTATAGTATATGGTCAGCTTGCCGGCGCGCACTACGGTCGTCGGAAATTACGGTGGCGTTCAAACAAAATAACAGACATTGACTGCAAATCTGTTATAGTCTACTGTTCATCGATTCCATTTTCAATAAATCGAGTGATATTGATAATAATGAACTAGCTACGATTATTCTCTATCTCACGCAGTGACATATTCAGATAAATTACTGATTTTTATATGTTGGTAACAAAGATTGTCTTGCTGCTAAACAAACTGTTTCCATTAAACTATACGATACTCACTGTAAAACAGTCGGGTAAGAGCGACATCTTTTCTTCGTATCATTTCCAAAAACTGACGAGTTTCGAAGACGAGGAAATTTCCATGAAGTTACTACTGATCTGTTATCAGTCAAACAATGACGCTCACATAAAATGTTTGGTTCTAGGCATGAACCATTATGATTGAAGCTATTCTCTTGATAGATGAATCATTCTCGTTGAGTCGTGACCAGTCAGTCAGCCAACGAAGGAAGAAACGTAACAAATATGGTTATTCATTCGCTCATCATTATCGAATTCCACACATTTGTTTGTTACGTCATCAGCTAGTCATTAAAATCGAAACGATAACTTTTCTCGATTGTACTCGATCACTGTTATCAATCTACCACGAATATTTCAGATTTATTCGCAAAGAAATGACTTCAACATCAATTAGTGCAGCGACAACTCCTACACCCGAGTCTGTTGAGACAATTTTTTGTAAGTTTTCTCACACGAGTAGCACATTCTCATCATACATGCTCGTAAATTTCTTCTTCTTTAGTTAAAATAACAAGTCCAATACACAAAAGCGCAGATCCAAATTTAATAAATACATTTTGTTCGAAAGTTAACTCAGAACCTGAGGGACATCATCAAGCTATTCGTTTGATTGCTCACAAAATTCAATCACCCCAGGAACACGAAGCACTACGTACTTTAGAATTACTCGAAGTGTGCGTTCAGAGTTGCGGAAGACGATTTCATCAAGAAATTGGCAAATTTCGCTTTCTTAATGAAATGATTAAACTAGTTTCACCCAAAGTAAAGCAAAACAGGTTCGTCTCTCGATTGAAACCAATCTGTTTGTTTAGTATTTGGCGAATCATACGTCAGAAAAAGTCAAGAGAAAGGTCGTTGAACTTCTGTACTCTTGGACACAGAGTATACCGAGTGAAGTGAAGATAGTTGAAGCGTATCAAATGTTGAAACGACAGTCAATAATCACAGAAGATCCGGTGTATTTGAATAAAACTGCAACAGCGCCAGCACCGCAGAAAACAAAATCAATATTTGATGCAGATGAAGAGAAAAGCAAAGTAAAGCAGAAGAGAAAGCATCTGTCGGACTAAGAACTGCTGTTCTAGATGCTTCAACGATTGCTGAAAAGTCGACGACCAGAAGATTTGGAACAAGCAAATGCATTAATAAAAAGTTTTGTCAAAAAGGTTTGTTGGTACTTTCTACAGATGTTTCGATCCAGTTGAGTGCATTTAGGATGAGGAAAAGATCGAGAAATTATCAACACGTGCGTGTGAATTAGAAAAAGTGAACAACAATGTTCGTGTTTTATCCGAAATGTTAATTCATTATAATCAAACCACGGTCACTGATGCTGAAAAGGAAACAATGATTGTACGTATACCGATTTCATCTTGCACATATCTATTCGAATATGCATGTTCGTGTTGTAGTATTTGCATGATGAATTGGAAAAGTTACGGCCGATTTTATTTCGATTAGCGACTGAAAGTGAAGATGGTGATGAAGGACTCGGTTTGTTTTGCACGATTATGGCGCACGAAGATAGATCGGTTTGATTTGTTTAGGAGAAATTCTATTAGCGAGTGATTCGTTGTCACGTGTCTTAGCGCAATATGATCGATTAGTTCGTCAAAATGCAAATGCAAAAGATGGTTTGTTATGCAAAACATCAGAATGCTAATCAACATCTCTTGTTTTCCTTAGATAATGTTCTGCCTCTGTTCGATGATGTTCCACCAGCTCCTACAGTGTCTATTCCACGAACATTGATCGATCTAGCTGGAAGTTCAACGACATCAAGGGAAACTAAATCGGCTGCTAATGAACTTGATGAATTATTCGGTTCGTTAACTGTCATGCCTGACAGTAAACCACCTTCAGTATCATCAGCGCAGAATGAACCTGATGATTGTTTACCATTGTTTTCGACCGCGAGTACAAAAGCAACTAATCCAAGTGAATTTCTCTTCGATGAACTATCAGCTCATCGTGAAAGATTTATTTTATAGCAGCATCAAATACACATGAAGTAGCAACGCCAAGTACGACAAAAAAAGGTGGACTATTTGACGATTTACAAGATCTTTTGGTCGATCAGTCTACAGGCCAGAAAATTTCGTCGACTAGAAAGTATGCTATTGCTCAAGTTTTTATTGCTTCTAGCTTTTTTTTCTTTCAGTACATTTCAATTTACCAGTTCTACAAGTAATAAAACTCCATTGAATGAAATCAAGCCTACCCCTCCAACCAAAGCTTCGGAAATTGAATTACCATTCCCAACCATTAGTCTTGAATCCATTCGTCCTTCATCAGAAAATCCACCCATAACTCTCAAACTAACTCGCAGTACTGGTCTTCAATGTGTTCTTCATATTGCGCGTGATTCTCCTCGTCGTGATCTTATTGTTAGTGTCTTAACTGTTACTAATACAAATACATCCAATTCAGTTACTAACTTTCATTTCGAAGTCACCGCACCGAAAGTAAAACACCGGAATTTTGTTTTTCTTCAAAGCTGAAAATACGGCGTTTCGTAGAGTATGCGTGTCAAATTACAAAGCCCATCCGGCAGTGATTTACCTGCCTACAATCCAATTTTACCTCCACAAGCCATCACACAAATTTTAGTTGTTTCCAATCCGAATAAGGTGAATTATCGTTTCGTTGTTTCGTCGGCTGTTTCTTTTTCTCGATTAGATAAAAAAAGAAAATCTAACATCTCTTTTGTTTTTCTTCTAGGAATCTGTTCGACTTAGTTACAAACTAAGCTATTATTCATCAGAAGAACAAATAAATGAATCGGGTGACATAGACAATGGATTTCCCAGTTCGGTTGATCTTATTTAAAGTTTTATTTTAATTTATATATGAAAAAAAAAACATGGAGGCCAGACACCTCCACACACATTTCCCTTACGATCTTTTCTGTTCTGTTGATTTTATATCCCTACCTGAGAGTCAACACATAAAACACGGAGAAAACAAGCAAGCCATTGTCTGATATGAAGAGAAAAATAGGCTAAAGTCATTTTGCAAACATTTAGTTCTTATATTTATGTTTCTTCTTTCTCCACCTTGTGACATTTTATTTTCGTATGAATAATATAAAGGCAAGCAATGTTTAAGAGGAATACATTTTTTGATTCATTCGTTGCCTACGACCAAGACGCGATATCAGAACAACATTCGAGACGAGCCATGGCATCAACAAACCCATTGATGAGAATGAGTGCGGTATGCAACACCCTATAGCTGCTCTTGCTTGTCCTTTTCTTGTTAGCAATTAAGATATTTATTTTGACATTCTTTTTTTTATAGATGAATAAACTCAAGCCATTTTTCAATGGAGCAAAGTAAATTTCGATTATTGCGTTTGTTTGACTTCGCCATGTGTTTCTTTTCATAGAAATGAAGACGCGCCGGAATGTTACGAGCGTGTTCGTTACATTCGAGATTCGTGTAAAGCTCTTTCTGATATTTGGAAATCGGATAAGGATATTGTGAGTGGATTTATTTGCGAGAGAAACAACATTATGTTTTTCTCTTCGATAGCTGAATAAAAGCATTGAAGGTGAGGTTGCGAAAACGTTGAAAGAATTTCGTGTCAGTGAGAATGCACGAGCTTATTATTCGCCACATGGTGCCACAGGTTCACCGTCGATATTAAATGCAACAGTTGAAGACTTAATTATGATACATGAAACGATCGATGAAGATAGAAGAAGATGGCTTGAGAAATTTCGAAAAATTGCTGAACAAGCGAAAGAAAAACAGGTAAAAGAATTTAGCATTTTGTTAATAGGAACGTGCAAAATCGATTGTTTAGTCGTCGATTCGCCAAACAATGGCAGATTTACGTGATAATTACGATCGTGCTCTGAAAAAATTTGAGACTGCGGAAGCGAACTTGAAAAAGTATGACGAGTTCGAAATTTGTAACTGTAAAACATTTTTGATTACGATTCTAAGGTTTCGAAATCGATCAGATCGTTCTACTGTGCAGAATTATGACGACCGTTGCCGTGAATTAGAAGATATTCGTAGTGAATGTGATCAAGCTCGAATTTTAGCTCGTGATGCCTATGCAACAGAAACTTATCGCATAGCTAGTGAAGAACATTCCATTTCACGTGATCTATTTGCTCAAATTCTTTCGGAAGAACAGACGTTCTATCGTGATATTGAACAGTATTTATCCAAAGAAATTCCGCGCATTCGAGGGCGGTTAGATGCTGATCAATTAACTCCATGCTTTCACTGTGATCTCGCTGAACATTGTACTAAACACATTGGCCGTCCAATAGCATATCCGATTGAAACTTGTATTCATCTACTGAGAGGAAGCGAAACAGAAGAAGGTCTCTTTCGAATTGCACCAGCACATGGCAAACAGAAGAAACTAGTTGCAGAATTAGATTTACAATTACTGAATAAGCACTCGAGATTAAACGTACTTGGTTATGATGCACACGTTGCGGCAGGAACATTGAAACAATATCTAAGAGAATTACCAGACTGCTTACTTACAGATAAACTTTTATCACAATGGATAGAAGTTCCAACATTAAGGTAGTGATTTGTATTTACGAGGAGATATTTTCGAATGAAATCTGCTTTTTAGTACTGACGAAGCCCGTATTCAACGAATCGGTGAATTGATTAGTCAATTGCCTAAAGTCAACTACGATAATCTCTGGTAAGATTCATTTTTGTACGAAAAACAAAACGAACATTTCGGCGTTTAGTTATTTGATCCGTTTCCTCAGTGATGTAGCGGCAAAAAGTGCGGAAAATAAAATGACTGCTGGTAATTTGGGTATTTGTATTGGTTGCAGTATTCTCTACGCTAAAGATCAGCCATCAATTCCTATGATGTCGAACTCTTATACACAGAGTTCCACTATAGTTGAACTAATGATTGTTCATCATAAGAAGTTGTTTCCGTCCAACGAAAAAATGGAATTACGAACTCAGATAGAGCCAGATATTATTCCAAAGGGCCGTCCAACGGTAAGAAATCCTGTTAAACAAGATTTTTCAAATAATCGCATACTGTTTCCTTCTCTTTTAGGAAAATTCTTCTGTTCCGGAGGGAGATCTACTCAATATTGAAACTTCTGAACCGTAAGTGCGAACTGCATCAATTTCAATAAGGTCAATTTTCTACTCTTGCAGCTCACCACCACAATCGCGTAAGTCGCAAGCACCCCGTGCGCCAAGTGTTCGACAAGCATTCATTCAAGCTGAATCAACACAAAATCCTCGAACAGAAGGCGATCACCTCTCAGCAAAACAACAGTCTGCTGAATCAATAACAGGTTATTTTGAATAGTGACGATGACGATGATCAGAAGAACTTCTGCGAAAAAGGTTTTCTTTAGCTCGCTTTTCACTGACCGCCGAATAACTTCTCTCATTTCCACAATTCATCGCTAAAACTATTTGTCTCGTTTCTAGCACCAAGTTCTCCGGGTCTGAATAGACATACCCGAAATCCGAGTTGTGATTCGGAATTAGATCGTTCATTTGTTCCACCGCCTGTTCCGCCGCCACTTCGACCACGACCTTCGATTTCAAGAAAAGAACTCGAAAGATCCGATTCAACATCCAGTGATGCATCATTCTTGTCACCAACATCCAATGATGGTGTTCAAACGAGTAAATCCACTTCGGATATGCATAATCGAGCGAACAATTCAGGTCCGCCAACGAACCTTCGGCTTTCATCGCATCGAAAACCAACTTCACCCGAGGAAATCACCCAATTCTAGTCTTAATATCAGTGACATTTTTTCAACGAACTGCATCTACACGCTTTTCTTTGTTTCTTTTTTCTGCAAATCTATTTATCATCTAATTCTTTCGTTCTTTATAAATACTCCGATTTTTTTTTATTGTTAATAATCAAAAGTAATTGTTACATTCCAGATCACCGGATGGATTTCGCTTTTCTAAAACACCTACGGAGAATAACTGATGAAGACGAACGATTGGTGACTATAACACTTCTCATTGATATCACTTCAAATTTGATCAATGATAAAGCCAATCATCGACATCATACGTTACCTGCTAGTTACGTACAAGAAATGTTTGAGAAATATTCAGGCGCGATGCAATGTCTTTCCGTAATCGGGTTCAAAAAGGTGATCGATCGACAATTTTCCTCACCGAAAATGTCAACTTTATTTAGATAAATGATGATTACGTATTCAATCAAACAATTTCCGATAATCATCTTCAAGAACTCATGACGGCCCTTGAAAATGAGTTGGAATCAAAACCTGCCGATCGATGTGATCAAGTAGAGATTTCTCAATCGTTTCCTATTCGAAACTAAAGTGTTTCATTTAGATGAAATGCACTAGTCAAGATCTTGGTATTGTCGACGATGACAAACGAGCACCTTCGTTAATCTCATTGCATAATCTAGCTATTCCTGCTCAGTTTAGTCGCATTGTCTCTTTCGTATCAACATTAGAACGTGTCCAGTCTTACGAAGATGTCAACCTTCGTCGGTATATTCGTTCGTCAATTGTTCCCCTGGAAGATTTCAATCGACGTATAAGCAAAAAGAAAGATGTAACAGATCTCCAGAAACGCGACTTGTTATTAGTGGAGTTGTTGCGGTGGTTCAAGGAAGAGTTTTTCACTTGGTTTGATCGACCTAATTGCGAACGATGTCGAACTGTTATGGAGTTTGCTGATCACACACAACCGACAAGAGAGGAACGAGAACAAGGTGATGCACATCGAGTTGAACTCTATCGGTATGTTAAGAAAAACGCCTCATTTTATCTTCTCTAAGTTTTGTTTTTGGAAGATGTGCAACTTGTCTATCGGAATTTCGTTTTCCTCGTTTCAATGCTCCTTCGAAATTACTCGAAACTCGGACTGGTCGTTGTGGTGAAGCTGCAAATCTCTTCTCCTGTTTATGTCGTGCATTAGCTTTTCCAACTCGCTATATTTATGATACAACGGATCATGTTTGGACAGAAGTCTATTCGGAAAGTGAACGACGTTGGCTACATTGTGATGCTTGTGAAAACCTATGTGATTCTCCACTTGTCTATGAAAAAGGATGGAAGAAAGAACTTTCGTTTTGTATTGCATTCGCTAAAGATCATGTGATGGATGTGACATGGAGATATGTGACGAATTTCAAATTAACAATCAGAAGAAGAAATATAGATGAAAAACATTTTTGTAAAACTATATTTGATATAAATCGAAAAGTTCAATCGCAACTCGATCAACAAGAAAGAAAACAACTTATTTCCACCCAGATTCGAGATCTTGTTAGTATGTTAAAGGAACAAAATGTATCGAAAGAAAGTGAATTACATGGACGACAAAGTGGTTCGTTGGGTTGGAAATTATCACGAGGAGAAACTGATCAGCAAGTAAAGTATTCATCGCGTTCAATACATTGATTTTCAGAATCTCTTCTAGGATGATATAATCAATCGATATATTTTTTCAGTCGAAAATTCCGAATGTGAAAAGGGTTTGATCTCGATTGAATATGATTCAGTCTTGGATAAATATTTTCGTAACAAAATCGAAGAAAACAAAGTGGATGGTTGGACTGACCGAGTTTATTCATGTTCGAATATTCAGAGAAAAGTAGAAAGAGATTGGAAAATGGTTTACTTATCCAGGAAGCAATTAAACTCGAATGGATTCATTTCATGGTGTATTCAACTTAAACCTGAACAAGAAGAATTTTATCAGTTTCATCAAATATCTATTCAATGTCCAACAGTTACTTTCGATCAACAAGCGAAAATTGTTTGTCAAGTACAACTCCAAGATGATCAACTTATCGACATACCACAAAGTAGTGTGTTTGATTGAAGCTTTTTCTGTTTATCTTCGTTTTTTAGATTCCAATTCCTCGTTTGAATATATTATAACCGAGAAAAACGTCTACCGAATTATTTTTAAAATTACTTTATCAAGTTCGAATGATCACAATGATAATAATGCATGGCAAAAAGCACAATTATTTCGACAGTCAACTGTGCAGCAAGCTACTGGTGACCAATCACATTTTCTTAAAGTTATTTCAACTATTGTTAAAAAGATATAGAAACAAAAGAACTATCTTCATGTATTTTATTTCTTGTAGTAAACAAGGAGCAAAAAATAACTCAAAGAATTTGAGGAAAATACTTTAGGTTATGTGAAAGTTGTTGATAATGTCGGAGTTCGATTGTTTTTTTCCGATAATGAACCACTACAATTATTGTGATTCAATGAAAACTTATGTATAATCGTGTCACTAGTTGAAGATGCACGATGAAACTCCCGATCAAGTAACTAAAGCATCCGCTAAGAAGAAAGAAAAACAAACGTATATTTCAAAATAGCTATCCGAAATCGCTCAACTAAATCAGAATAATGAACAAAAAATGTGTGTGAACTTTTCCGTGAGATGCATTAGTAATTTCTCAATTCTCAACTAGATTTTTGTACGTTTTGCAAAGAGTCTAGTAGTCTATCTTACAGATCTACTGTATACGTTCGCACGTTGTTAATCCTTCTTGCAAGCGAATATTAGAACACGTAATTGTCCTACACCTGTTGCCATCTGAATAATCGGTTTCTGATCAGTCTTCGGACATAAATTGCCGAAAATGTCGGTATTAATAAGCCGAAACCAATATATATCGGCCATCTGGCTGCAGCTTTATACTTATAATCAAGGTTCGCGCTAAGCACTTGAAGATTTCCATCATGAAAGATGGTAATCATCAAAATATTAAGCAGTTGAAAGATCATCAAATGCTGGCACATGATATGATAAGTTTCCTGTCCTATCTTCACCCAAAGTCCATTGTTTGCAAGTTGTTTGGAAGCGCATTTTGCGATGTATATGAACATATAGATGCTAAGTGTCGTCGTGGTAACATGCAACCAAAACGGTGCTGGGCTAAACTCGGCGTTGAATTGATGAGTTGTAAGATTTGCGCTGTATTGATAAACTAATTGCGAAAAAGCAATGTATACCAAGCAAAAATTGATTTCGGTGAAAATGACATGCTGATACTTTTCGATGTGTGTGCGATAAACTATCCCAGAAAAGAAGAAAAACAAACCGAAAGATGTTCGAACGATAATAAGTTTCGGCATTGGATGATCGAGTAGAGGTAGCGGAATATTCAGTGCTGATCGTGTTGCCTGTCTCGGAGAGGTATATGACCATTGAATATTCACCAAGGCGAGAAATAAAAAACATACAAGATAGACTAAATCGATTTTCAAAGAACTCTCTTTGTTTCGGTAGACGAATTGCACAAGTATCAAGATCAGCCACAAATCTGATATGAACCAGCTGATACCAAGAACGTTTGACATACCACCAAACACAGGCTTCAGAAGGCAAACTACTGGATATTGTAACAAATCATGTCGGTAATATGTTGTTAGCAGTTGTATTGCCAAATACCGTTGAAGAATGTAACAGATTATAGTGAAGAGTATCTGATATAAGAAATATGGTAAGATCAGATCTCTAGTTTTGTTAGCACAATATATCAGCTTCGCACGAAAACCATCGAATGATTTGAAAAAGCAACCGGATATAAAAAAGAACATCGAGAGTACGGATGACCGATATGGATTAGCGAATATTGGAGGTAGATAATAATGGATACCTAGGACGTACAAAATACCAAAAGCTTTTAGTATATCCATTTCTTTGTGTCTCATGATTATCTTCTCTTGAATCTGCAAGCAAACAAAAGAGCAAGTGGGAAAAGATTCTATTATTGGGTTTATCTATGAACAAGTTTCAAATCGAGTATTCTGCGATTCTTGTCACTCTCAAACAGACGGACGGTCCTGTCCATTCGCTCATCTCCTCACACCCTGATCATTAATAAAAGCAAAAGTGCATCGAAAGAATATTCGACACACAGGCATGATCCCATACAAAAACAAACGACAGCTATCATTTAGAAGATATTTTTCTCCACACGTACCGCCTATTCTTGACAAAGGCAGCGAATGCCCCAGACCGGTAAGCCTTGTTTTATGCCGTTTCTACGCCCCCAAAACTACATATTCTCATTCGCAATAGCGCGTTATCACGAATACAAATGTATGCTTTCTCACGTGTGAAAACGCTTTTTTTTTTCACTGATTTTTTTCTGTCTGGATAACGCGAACATGAAGAAAAATAATCTTACCTTCATGGTTATAAAGTAGTAGACGTTAAAAAGTGCACGATCGTTATTCGAACGCATCAGATATTCACGTGTCTTTTGTAAGTTACACGTACTGTCTCAGAGAAACCAAGAGCCATTCGGCACAAAGATACACTAAAAACAGGAGCAATGAGAATGTATAGGATACTCACACATGTAACGATTGAATATGAAAACCAAGGAGTGGTAATCTGAACGATTGCACATCTTTTGTTAATGCCAATGATATTTGTCTTTGGCATATACACTTTGCTCTCCTTTTTTTCTCTTTCTCCCTGTTTGTATCTGCCAGAGGTGTCAATAGGACACTTTTTTGCTCTGTCATGCGTGTTACAGGGCAGAGCAAATGAAGTATATATCTATGTTTATATAGTTCGTGTTTTAGGCAATATAATCGATACGATTTAATGGATATAAAGTCAACAAACAGAATAGTATTCGGTGAATATACATGAGAATAACTTTAGCGAAAGAATATTACCGATCTTATTAAGTTTTTCTCACAAAAGATCAAATTAAAATGGATTCGTATTATTCATTTTCAGCTGGTCCTCATTTATGTTATGGTTTGATCCGAGAGGGTCCTATATATATATAACTTTATGTGTCAAAATAAATTATCTAGCATTAGAATTAAAATCAGCATAATACTTCCAGTTCGATTATGCAATAATCAAATTTCGGAAGCACAGTTGTTCATTCAACTATTCAAGGAGGAAAAAGAACTCAAAGTCTGATTAAAAAGATGTAGGAACTAGTCAGGTTTTTCCTGTGATAACGAGTTATTATTTATGTGGTTGTTTACTCTTTGATCTCAGGAGATTTTTTCTCAAGATTGCTATTGTTTCATCTCAAATTTATCTGATCATAAACGATCAGTCAGATCAGCTATTACTATAGTGTGATAGGTTACAAAAAATGTCTGACACTGTCGAAGCACACATTAAATTCTGGTTTGATAGGGATGGAAAGACGCTTAGTAACGATATAAAATAGTGTTAGACGTTATTCGTTAAGAAAAACACATTCATTGAATAACTTCGCATATTTTTCAAACAAAAACAACGATTTTAAGGAGTTTTATGATAAGCATGAATAACTAGCAAGGCAACTCTGCCATGTCCTGTCATGTAGACACCTCTGGTGTTGACAAAAGGTCTACCGACCAACAACATAATTACCCAATGATTTGTTATATTTGTGAATAATTCTTATTTGCCGGGAAGTTTTCGCAAGCAAGATCTATCAGCATCACTTTTCAAAAAGAGTAGTCAACACGTACATAGTGAAGATCGAAACATTTTAGAGAAGAAAATCTGCCAAATGATGTGTATGATTCTTGATTTGTAGCTCACTACACATATAGACAAAACTTGGAGGAAAGCTAAACCATGAGAAGTTCGTGCAAGAACTTGACCGAAGGCTCCACGTTCATAGATGTTATCGACATCGAGCGGAAGTGAATAGATCATGCATCAGTGTTTTACTTACTCATCGACATGTATCTACTCCTACATAAAAAAATCTGACCGGCATTTACGATTTGCTTAATTTTGAAGTCACATAACTTTTTGAAGGACGAAAAATAGCTGTCGGATTCGATCTGTAACGAAATAAAAATTAATTTTTACGCAGGAATACAATGAATTGAAAAATCTTCGCAGCAGTTACTGTACAAATTTCTTCTGCTGGCTTCATGTGAATGTCAATGGATGTTATTTATTTCATTAGAAAATTACGAAGAATGTAAGCACCTATATAATTACTATCGATCCGTCCATGTTCTCATCTGATGTACTATTTAATACAAAACTTATATTTGCAACATTTTTTGTTACCGGCAATTTACATAAGCTGAAGTATATACCTTTCGAAATGTTCCTATCCATAATGAATTTATTTCATTTGTACGAACCCGCACCCTTTCGCGGATACATTCGTTCGTCAATTGTTTCCCTGGAAGATTTCAATTGACATTGAATCGAGAGGGAAAAATGAAACTTGTTTCTTTTGTGTTTGAATATTTAGTGAAAAGTTGAATTCGACTAGAAAATGGTTTATCTAGTAAGAAAGCAAACGCATAAGAATGTAATCATTTCTCGGGCGATACCCAATCGAGTCCGAAAGATGAGCAAATCTACCGATTTAGTCGAATTTGAATCTAATGTTCTATGAAGAATTTCGATGAATACACCCACAAGACAATTAGTTCAACAATCAACGCAACAGACTTCACATTATTATCAATCGCATACTGTCGACATCGTTGGAATGATTTTGAAAAAGAATTCGAACTCACGACGCTTTTCTAAGTATTTATCTTAATGAATTGTAGTGAGATGTTCAGTATGCAATAGAAAAAAAGTAACAAGTCTCGATTGTATTGTCGATAGTTTACTGTTGATTGACTTTATTTATTTATTATTCATATTTATATAAGATTCGAGAGAGAATTGTATGACTGTTGATTATTGCTGTGAAAACTCATTTCGCTGAAAATTAATTGAGAACATCGAAGACGTCAATACGATTAGGACGAATTTCACCCACGAATAATGATTGACCATTGACATTCAAAGTTAAATCATGTGGTTCACCAAAGCTCTAAACGAGAAGCAGAGTTTCAATTGATGAATTCGATTTTCTTCTCATCTACGAACATCTTTTGGTTCCCAAGTTGCGATCAAATCACCAAATGATTCCGGATGGGCATTGAATGTAAATCCGACTGCGCGACGTTTTCCATCCTTTCCACTAACCGCATATAGTCGATCTATCAAATGGAACAGAATCAGTTCTCTACAACGATCATTTTCTCTCAAACAAATCTACGTTTATGGGCGTCGTATGTAATGGCATAAACAGTTTTCATCAATGGATGATCAATAATTGCTTTAACTTGACCTTCTCCATCTTCTTCGTCCATCTGTCCATCATTGAAACAAACAATTCTATTCAAAAAAGATCATCAATTTATCATGGTCAAACCAGATTTCATCTCTTCTTACCGTCCATTTTCACGATCAGCAACACAAACAAGTCCGAGCGATTCAATCAAAATGATGCTGTGTGGAATGACTAATTGTTTTTCTTCTTCAGGCATGGTGTATTCCTTGACGAATTTGCCCTTTGCATCAAGTTTAACAATACGAGAATTGCAATATCCATCGGCAACATAGATATTTGAACCATCATTTGAAACTGCAACATCTGTTGGCTTACAGAAATGTGTTGAATCACTACCAGGTACGAATTCTTCGCCTAAGGTTAAGACGCGTTCACCTTGCGAATATTTAAATACCTAAAACAACGATGTCAAGATGAACGTTGCTTCCGAGAGATTTTACTTGGTGCATGGCAACATCTGTTAACCAAAGATTTCCTTCAGTATCAACTGAAAGACCATGAGGCATGTAGAACCTAGCATGCAAGATATTTCAAAATAGATGCTTTGTTTTCTGATAAAACGATCATTCACTTACGTTTTGTTTCCCCATTGCTTAACAATTTGACCAGTACGTGTATTGATAGTCAAAATAGTATTTTCTGGAATAACACCAAATTTCTTTTTATCGAAGTTACGACCATCCGGGAAAGATCTACAAGAGAAAAATATCTCACAGAACAGAAAAAGGAAACCGCCCGATGTTTGTTATCTAATTATCTCTGTACCAATTATGGAAACGAACCGTTATCGCTAATTACTTTCAAGTTCCTGAATTCAATTAGAGGTATATATAAACACTCGTTCTCATCCAACATCTTCACTCATTCATCTCAACAAACCATGTCTTATCCACTCGACTTATCGTACGGCTACTCATCCAATGATGATTCTTTTTCTTATATTTCAGATCCACACTACTGTCCTCTTCACAATCCACCACCACCACCGTCGACTTATTGCACATATCATCAACCATATCCGTATTATTATCATCCTGTCGCTGCTCCTCAAGTACAAGTAAGTACACCGATTTATTCACCTTCTGCTTCTGTTTTGCAGGTTCGTCCCGAAAGATCGCGTCGATTCACCACGGAACAAATTCAAATTCTCGAAGAACATTTCTACAAAGTCGACAAATACGTCTCGAAAACAACGATTGACGATCTCTCAACGCGCACTCAACTAACTCCAGCTCAAATTCGTGTTTGGTTCAACAACAAACGTACACGAGAACGTCGATAAATTCTTTCTTTTTTCGCTTTTTTTTGTTGTTGCATTGCTTATTTTAAATTAATAAATAATTCTTACTCATGAGTCCATTCTTGTGATGCACGATGGAAAACAATTAATCGATTGGGATTCTTCACACAAGCAGCAAGACCACTGACTTGCCCGAGTTTATATTCATGTTGAGAATCGTCGTCAGATGAAATGATGCTTAAAGGTTTATTGGCAACGACTTGATACGTAAATAATTCCTAGAACATGTCGAACATATTAACATGCAAATAGATGGTTAGGTATTACTTCATCTGATTCACTGTTACTGGATAAATCGACATCAAATGCTCGTGCATTGATATTCAAAACAAAAGAGACCAAAACAAGGAGGAGGGTGAGACGTTTCATGACAAAATAATTCTCCTTGCGTCGATGACAATCTAGAAAAAAGAATGAGAAAGAAAAAAACAGCGTTGTACGGCATAGTTTTTTTCTTCTCCCATCGCTCGTTCAAATTGGCGTCGATGTAGCCGGAGAAGAGAAAAAGGGTCGAGAGAAAATAGCTCAAATTCTTTTCAGCGAGTGTTTCTGTAGGCGTTGATCGCTCGATGAGTCACAGAACGAACTGAGAACAGAACCATCTGTTTTCTGCTATCGAACATGATTATGTGCGTAAGAAGAAGAAAAAAAGCCGTGGTCGTTTATTTGAAAGTGTGAAAATTTCTGTCTGTCATGAAACTGTTTCTATGCGAATAATTGACGCCTGATCGCTTGCATGAGCGGTGACACAACTTCCTACGTAGAAATGTACATCTTGATACTCATTCGACATCAGTTCTTTATGGTTGGAATCGATCACGATAAAGAGATTGAGTTGTATGTCATTGGTCAATTGCGACGGAAATAATTTGCGTACGAATGTTTTCAGTTTTGCAATGGTCATCGATGGCGGAATCTTCTTCTCGATTTTACGTTCATTTTCGTCGCCAAGTTCGAAAATAACTTGAAGCAAATTTGGACGAATACATAGGCCCTTTTTTGATGTCTAAAATCAAGAAATAGTCGAGTGGTCTTGAGTAAAGAGTGGTTTTCCTACTTCGTTTGTATTTCGTTTCAATGGTTCACCATGCTTGTCGATTAGTTTTCGATACTGTCGATGATCGTGAATGAAATCTAATTTCTGGTCAAAATATTCTTGTGCATAACGTTGCAGATAATCAATCTCTGCGCCTCGTCGCTCATCGCGCGTGATTAAAACTCGGTTAAAATGTGTTAGACACGGTAGACGGGCGATAATCATCTGTTTCGCTGTTTCACATTCGATCGGGTTCGACGGGTAGATCGGATTTCGCAGAATACTGAATGATATCAATGCAGGTAAGCGTGACAATTCATTAATAGAAGAAAATGATGAAATATGATTATCAGACATGTAGAGATACTTCAACGAAGGAAATAATTCCTCATTTGGAAATTGTATTTCATCAATTGCACAATTGTTTAGAATCAGTTCTTCGAGATGCTTCAATTTTCCTAAACGATTGATAAACGGATCCCAGGACTTCAGTGTTGGGTTATCGGATAACGACACAGTTGTCAAATTCGGTAATTGTGAAACGAAAGTTTCCGAAATGAAGCTCAGCCGATTCAGGTCCAGATGAATAGTCGTTAAATTTGGAAAATATTTACAAATATTTTCAAATATGTCACAATCACTATCGATATCGATTAGTACCAATTGATTTATATGAAGATATTCTTTCGTTGGTGATTGGTCGAATATCATGCGGCAGTTGCTAACGTTCAAGATTTCTAAATGCGGAAAGTGATTTTGTAATCGCGACCAGAGTTCCGACCAGTTTGTCAAAAGATTTTGACGAATGTTCAGTTCTTTGATTTGACGAAGATTGGCATAGATATCGTCATTATCATCGAATGCATTCACCCATTGTGAGGATAAGTCAATACGAAGCATCGAGGCAAGATCGATAACATAATCCGAATACTGTTTTCCTGAAATTTTCAATCGGAAAAACAGAAATATATTGGTAATTCTGAAGTCTTTCTACTCACCAAACAGTGAATAGTTAATATCTGTTCGAATATCTTCATTCGAATAGGATTTCACGTATTGTCGACAGATCGCTTGTGTAAACGAATGTCCGAACTGAATTCTCTCTTGTCGGATGAAAGAGCCCGTCATCGGATGCGTGGTTTGAAAGTAGAATTTTCCATTGAATGTCCCATCGTGTTTACCCTCTTGATTCCACCATTCAATTCCAATCCATTGACCTGGATGACCATCGACAGGTCCGATGTAACGAACAGTTGCCGGAGACTTTCCATCAACTAAAATCTGATCACCTATTTTCATCTAGAAAATAAAATGAAATGGAATACATAGAATTTTACTCAAAGATCTTCATCAATATTAGACAAATCAAGCTGTTCTTCATCGAATTCTTTCTCCAGTTTATTCGTCTTCGCTTTTTGTTTCTGCCGTTTGAAGGGTTGATTAAACGCTTGATACAACCGTTGTGCTTTCAATGCACCTAAACCGGGACACACACATAGCTGTTCATTCGAAGCGTTTATCATTGCATCAACCGATCCGAATGCATGTAATAAAGTTTGAGCGTCGGTTTTGTTGACTGATTTCACTTGTGTGGTTACGTCGATGAATTTCGTTAGATAGTCTGAGGATTGATGTTGTTGAATATCCATGAGACTTTCAGCTGACTTGCCTTCCATGATTCGATAAGTTTCCAGATATCGTGCTGATTCTTCATCGGTCCAACTGACTAGAAGAGTTAGTTCGTACAGATTACAAAGTCGAGCTAGTTCTTTGAGCGCTTGGGATGGTTCAGTAACATCGCATTGCACAAGAAGAATTTTCAACTGATATGGTAGTTTATTGGCTTTAAGACGATCGTAAATGTAATTTGGATTTAATGTATGATAACGAAGTGATAAGAATAATGCACACGAGCTACGACTCATCGAATAATCTGCACCACCTAAGATCATATCTGAATATTCCCATTTCACTTGACGAAGATGCTTCAATATAGGATTGCCGCGTTGACGCGAATGAACAAGAAGTGATGATGATGATGGACCAGTTGGCGGTGGTGGCGGATAAGACGCCGGTGCTTTAGAATGAGATGATTTATACGATAGTAAAGAAAACAGTCGTCATTACTTGGAAGTTCTGTTTGATTACTGACATTTGTTGAGGGTGTAGTATTTTCGTTTGATGTCATGGAGGAATCATCGGCCGTTTTCTGTCGTTTAGAGAACAGATTGAGTGATTCACTTTCATTATTGTCATTATCATCGAGATCTGGGATGGCATATGACTTAGCTGCCATGTTGATAGTTGAAAATCAGAATCAAGTTGTCAAGAGAAAGAGAAGCAAAGATATCCTTATCCACAATGGCTGACATTTTTACCATCGATTTCATCGCCTGCTTTATAGATGTCGTTAGATAACTTTATCATCACACAGTCCTCCGAGCTAATCTAAAGTTAATTATTTGCAGCGCGGATGATCTTTATTTTTTATTAATCCATCTCTTTCAGAAATTTCCGACACTACATCAATGAAAGTATGTCTTTTTGTTAGTTCTCATTGTGTATCATAGTGGATGGATGGACTTGTTTCTCATTGCAGCAGCAGTTCATTCGATGTCTAACAGCAGACCGAAATCGGCTGGACGTAATCAGGAACATGTAAAAGTTGCCCTAGAAGAGAAAAATTAGACGCACATTTTGCCTACTGATCACGATGAAAACATACAACAAAATAAAGATATGATGTTAATGTGATGATAGTCGTAGCAAGTAATTCGTTGTCTAATCGCTGTGCATCCTTTGTGATATTATCTGTAATCGACATGTAAGCAGAAAAGACACCTGTTAGCGTTACGCTAACTATGATAAGCAAAACTTGTAACAAAGTCATTTTGGTTATTTGCCGATCAGCACGTTGTTCAACGAGAACAGTCGATTGACGAATATTTCGAAAAGTTAAATATCCGAATATCGAGACAATAAGGACAGGAATAGCAGACGCGAGTACCAATGTGTAAACGACAGTATAATGACGAAAAGCGGAACTAGTAATACGGCATTCTTGACTTATTGATGGAATGTCGTAATAGAGAACAAACGGAATTCCATGTAAACACCAGAGAATGATCATTGCACATGCAATTAGTCGCATTTGTTTTATATTGCTATATTGACGAAGACGAACGTTCTTGGACGTAATTAGAAACTGATCAACGGTTGCCATACTTGAAAATGTTAAAGAACTTAATACTAAAACTGAGATAAGGAAAGGACGTGTTTTACACCAGACTATCGAAGATGAAGTCCATTCAAGATCAAAACCAAAGCTGATTATACGCGCCGTAAGAATAATCAACAGGTACAGACAGCTGCATATAGAATTGAGAAGAAAACACATCGTTGACGGATTTTTACGATATGTGTCTGAACTTGAGAATATCACGATGTTCATAATATTACCAATCATACCTGCGACGAAAAGAAATATACCAATATAAATGGTCAATTGTTGACTCAGGTATGCTAATGACATTGCAACGAACTCTTGTTTTAGTAGACGATACGAAAATTAACAAAGCCTACAGTATTATACGTATATCCCCGAAGTACGTCAAACATAAGTCTTTGAATCAAGTGAAAAGAAAGTATATATTTTTTTTCTTTTTCATGGAAGTAGGTAGTGTAATTAAATAGAGTTGTAGTTCTCGTAAGCGATATATCAGAGAAGCAGAACCTGACTTTCAAAGAGTGACATCTCAAGCGTGTTTTATGGATGCAAAGTTGAATGTGAAAATAATCACGTGTATTGTTTCTTTCCGTATAGAAAAGTTCGAGTATAAGCATAGCAAGTTTAATTTTATTCAATCATCAATGCTAATTGACAAATGATGCACCATTTCGATCGAGATACTCGATTAGACAGGACATGTCGAATAGTTTTTGTTAGTTTCGAACTTTCTGAACGTAAGGTATCATCAAAAACATGTTTTGTATGTCACGAACCGCATCGCCTATACGAATGGCAAACACTACATAATGTAGAATAGAAGACGCCTTAATTGTGCAAAATCAATTATTTATATGATAATGATAGCATTTTTAATTATATGTATCGATATTTTCGATTTTTCGCAAAATACTCTTTTATTATATTTATCTTTGCCATAATGTTCTTTTAATCAAATCAAATGTGAGATGCGCACGAACGGCACAACACCAGAAGCTTATTTGCCAAAAGAATACTTTCTTCATACTTTTTAATTCATTCCTACAAAATCAATCATATCAGCTCCTCTTTGTCCCTCGTCATCGTATGCTTGATAAGTATACGTGAAACAAAAATGTACATCATGAAGTTGCTCATCAAACATCCTTTTTCATTATGGTTGCGTCTATTCGTCGTCTTATCAGTTCTAGCATGTGCATCTACAGATTGGCCTATGGTCAATTCGTCTGCAGTACAATTATTGGGTCTTTTTTACGATCTATCGGACAACACATCATCATCTGCATGGTCTACTCAAGCTCGTGCCATGTTTCAATCTGCTGTCATTCTTTCACAACGTTACAATATTACTATACAAGGGCAACCGATCACTTGGCAATCTGTGCAGACCGAAGGAGACTCCCTGACTGCTCTCGCAACAACATGTCAACGAATCACGAACTCCACTATTGTGGGCATCGTTGGGCCACCGTATTCGAGAGAATCGGCTGTTTTAGCACCTTTTTCCGAACGAATTGGCATTCCACTTGTTTCATATGCTGCAACCGATCCAACACTATCTGATTCCAGCACATATCCGACATTCTATCGCACTGTTCCAGCTGACACAACAGCAGCGTTGGCTATCGCTCAACTTTTCCTTCAGTTTAACTGGAGATCGGTCATTGTCATCTATCAAAATGATGCATATGGCATCGGTGGAGCAACGGCGATCGCCGACGTCTTCAATCATCTGAATCTGACCGTCGCCCAGAGCATCATTTTTGACATAGCGTCATTGTCGATTCGAGGTGATCTCAGAAGCCTTCTCATGAATAGTCTTACACGGATAGTTGTACTGTGGATGGAAAGTTCCCATGCTCGTCTGGTTCTAGAAGATGCGATTCGATTCGATGTTCTTGCTCCTCACTTTACATGGATCTTCAGTGCAAATGTACCATTGGATAATTTCAATACTACCGATGCACGACGGAAATTGGCTGGCATGCTCACTGTCGAACCTGCCGTTGGCAGTGCTGTTGGTGGATTAATCAACAGTACGTTGTTGAACGAAGCATATGACATTTGGAATCGATATGAAGCCGACTCATTTCCCGGCGTGGATAACGTAAATTCGTACGCCTTATTTGCATTTGACGCGACTTGGACATTGATCCAAGGTCTGACGCAACTGTGCTCATTGAACATATCGAATACATCATGTTCATCATTCAGTGGAGACTCATTCTGTTTTGATCGACGTTTAGTTTCTTCTGATCTATTTATTAACATTCTCAATCGTAATGCCTTTCGCGGTGTGACAGGACCTATTCAATTTCATAAGAATACGACCAATCGAATCGATGGAAACTATTACATTGCAAGAAATATTCATGGATATTCAACGGGCTTAGAGTATGTTCCAGGATTAATATGGTCGAATTCAGGCGGATGGACACGAAATGCGCACACAAATGTGATCATATGGCCAGGAACATCTTTGGTAGTACCTTCTGGATATATTGAAATATCTCGATTGACATTACAGGTCGCAGTAATCGAAGCACCTCCATTTATAATTAGGCGAGAGTTTAGAAACGAATCCGGTGGTAGCTATACCAAATTAACTGGTTATGTATCTGAATTCATAGAACAATTGCAAGATAACTTGGGTTTTACCGTGAGTATAAGCTATTTTCCGTCAGATCAATCGTACAACGAGCTCATCGATGCCGTAGCGAATGGTACTTTTGATCTGCTGATCGGTGATGTGACTGTAACATCGAGTAGAAGAGAAAAAGTCGACTTTTCAAGTTCGATATTCGATAATTCATTGCGTGTTATTATACGTGAAACGCCCGACTCTGAATTAGATCTTTGGTCGTTTCTCAAACCATTTTCTATTACGCTCTGGATTGTGTCCTTTGCTGCCATCGTCTACGTCGGCTTACTATTCGCTATCATAGAGCGAGAATTCAATGAAATGCTGCAAAATCGATCAGTCCTATCTTTGATTGTGATGAGTTTGTGGTTTTCATTTGGCACAATCACTGGCTATGGTGTCGACTTCTATGCAACGACAGCTGCTGGCCGTGTACTAACAGTTGGTTTGTACGTTCTAAGTCTAGTATTAGTTGCAACTTATACTGCACATCTAACGTCGGATTTAACAGTAAAGAAAGCAGCAGAGTCTATTTCTGGAATTGATGATATCAAAAACCGTAAAGTTGAATCGAATCGCATTGGAATTCTCGTCAATACGTCTATCGAAGACTATTACTTGAGAGAAATCTCGGCAGGAAATCGAAATTTTTATCCTCTGAAATCACTGAATGAAATGTTCGATGCTCTAGTTAACAATCTGATCGATGTATCCATCATGGATGCAGGCATACTTGAATACGCGACAAGTAGTACTTACTGTAATTTAACATTAGTTGGCAAGGATTTCGATCGAAGTGCATTTGGTATTGTATTTCAGAAGAACTGGTTATTCAATCAAAATCTTGATGTCGCTGTTCTAACAATGAAAGAGTCTGGTGTATTGGATAATTTAAAAATCAAATGGTTTCAATCGAGTGCATGTTCGTATACAGAAGAAACTTCCGTCGCCATGTCTATTGAGTCAATGGCAGGTTTGTTTATGACATTTGCAATGATTACTACCATCGGTATATTGTGGTTCATCTGTAAGAAACGATCGGCTATCAAGCAACATCTGTTGACATGGTTCCGAGGAGAAAAGCCGCAACCTGAACGAAACCACACTGCAGAAGCAACACCGAACGAAACTTTAGCCGATGCGCGTATTACCTCGTATTTATAGAGAATTTGATGTTTCACAAGAGCAAACTCTAATGTGTGAAAGTCAAGACTTATTAATTTATTAAGTTAAGCGTAAAAATAACAAGCAGAAAACGAAGTGTAACAATTCACACAGTTCGGATTCGAAAAGGATGAGCTTCCGTGTTGAAGACATAGGAATCCAAAGAAATGAATGAATCATCCGAGAAAATCAATAATAAGTATTTCAGAGTTTCAGCAATGAAAAAACTCTGTTGAACGTCATCATGAGCAACAGGTACAGAATATACATCTCGAATACCTGAATATCCGCCATCAACTCGACAATGTTTTTCCAAACTCTAAACGAAAGTAAGAACATCGATCAAAGTTTTCTTTTTCGAAACAAACATACAATGAGCGCATCCCATGCCCAATCACGATAGATCTGATCGTGTGTACTTCTCCAGAGATAAAACCAGCCTTCGATTGCTTCAGGTCTTAATATGTAGTACTTTTCATCACCTCGCACAGATTTCGCTTCATTATCAGCACGTTCGAAATGAAAAGCTTCTGGGCCAAGACCAGTTGCTATAAAACATGAACAAGAACGTAATCTTTTCAAAGAAAACAACGCAGGACACTCACCTGATCTGATATAAGATTCGTGGCATGTTTTCCCGATTCCTTGGGCGATTTCCATTTCATGCTTCGCTGATGTATTCGAAGACGAAGCACCGGATAAAGTTGATAAAACGTAAAGACCACCGACAAAACATGCTAGATGTCCCATTTGAGCATCTAATCGACCCGAACGTTGTTCACCGAAATACATCAAATTTGTTGTTGGAGTTTTTCTCAACATTGAATCTTCCGCAGCCTGCAATCAGATCAATCTTATCTTTACTCATTCGGCTCAAAGCGTTTCAACTCACTTTCATGGCATCTTCATACATTGAACGTGCTTGTTCGTCTTTCTTTCCTGACAGAATCCAACTTTTTAATAAGTATTCATAGAAACTATCACCCAAGCCACCAAGCGATGCTTGTTCTACATTTAAATGATGATCATTTTCGTCCAAAATATCCTCTCACGTCTTACTTTGACACCATTTGCCTGTCTGTTGATTGATATAATTGTAATACAAGTGACTTTCGGACGCATCTTTGACGACTTTACGTATTTTCTCTGCTTTTTGTAAATAAGTATCTTTGCCAGTCAATTGAGATAGATATTGAAATTCAAGATGCATTGTTCCCAGTTCCGATAGAATTGAACAACCACCAGCAGCCCAATTCCAATTTCTCGAGGATCCACTGAAAGCAATCGAATCGTCTTTCTTTCTTCGTATTTGGGAAAATAGAGCAAAGCTCACCTGGATAATGTAATTAAAGCATAAGGAATACCAGTTGGCGTATCAAAGGCTGGCAGAAGACGATCAGCTACTAATTGAGCTTTATCAAGATATAACTACAAAGATAAATATCAGCACAATCAGCTTCATCCTGATCAATAAATAGACAAACTCACTTTATCGTTCGTTAAACCATACATGGCGAGGAAGCCTCCGACGAGACGAATGTTGATTTCGAATACAGATACCTCACTGCCCTATAACAGACAAATAACAGGCAGTTTCACGGCTTTCTTCCTCTCAGCTCTACGAACCACGTTGATGTTGAATTGTTTTTCAACCCAATCTCTCGAATTGTCGTAGAGTTCTTCTAGACCAGCTAGATATAATGTATCAAGACTATCGATAATCGAAATGCCTAATTTATCTGATCCGAAGACATTGGCTGAATGGGACGTCTTTGATATTGGTCGATGTTCATTGGCTCCCCATGCGTATTTTGCATAGTTTGAGAAGGCATGGTACACCATCTAGCCGAAGAAATGAAAGTTGACAGATATACTTCTAATCATTATTATTTTATTTCATTTTCGTATATGACACAAGTGAGCAACAATTCTCTTCTTAATTTATTATCTTTTTTCAAAGGAGAATCGATTGTTGACGGTGATTTATAGTGTTCAATAGAAGATCCCAAGCAGAAGAAGAAGAAGAAGAAGAAGANCATAGTTTGAGAAGGCATGGTACACCATCTAGCCGAAGAAATGAAAGTTGACAGATATACTTCTAATCATTATTATTTTATTTCATTTTCGTATATGACACAAGTGAGCAACAATTCTCTTCTTAATTTATTATCTTTTTTCAAAGGAGAATCGATTGTTGACGGTGATTTATAGTGTTCAATAGAAGATCCCAAGCAGAAGAAGAAGAAGAAGAAGAAGAAGAAGAAAAACAAACAAAACATGGAATAGAATAAAACGAGGATTAAAACGAAGGTTGTTAGACAACAAATGAAAGACTACAGGAAACGAGAAGATAAAAGGAAAAAACGAATGTAAAACATACGAAAGAAAAACATTGAGATTACCGAATTTCCAGACTTGTGACATGGATAATGTGGTTTAGAAGACGTCTTTGATGTCCGGACAACACTCACCTTTATTCGATTATCTCAACTCATATCTTCGTATATATAAGTGACTGATCGAAAAAAAGGTTCGGGGGGAAGAGAAAAAAGAAATAAAGAAAAGAAAATGAACAGTTCGCACTATCTTGTCTAATCTTCTCTAATAAGCAGCAGGCATGTAACCATATGGGCCAGCGTACATAGCGGCGGCTGCTGGATCGTAAAAGTTTGGTTGTTGATAAGGAGCAAAAGCACCTTGTTGTTGAAACGCTGCACTATTAGGATCGAAATAAGGTGCAGGTACTTGTTGACCGCCATAGCCGTAGTAGGGTTGAACTTGAGGTGGAACTAGGCCAGCTTGTTGAGCGGCAGCTAATGGCATTTGAATAGGTGGAAGAATGCCGCCGAATTGCGCGCCAGCACCTTGTCCTTGCATATATTGTTGCATTTGCATCATTGCTGCTGCTTGAGCTTGGATGGCTGCTGGTGATTGTGGTGGTAGCAACATAGCTTGTTGCATGGGATCAGCAGCATAGAGACTTTTACTTGGTGTACCATATTTGCCGAATTTGGCCATTTTGCCTTGTTGAGCAACTTGACCAAAACCATCATAGTATGGAGCAGCAGGTGAAAGGTAAGGTGATGGTGGGGTGCCTGGTAATGCTGGTGGACCATATCCGCCAGATCGTCCGCCTTTGGAAGCTGAATGGTATTCGTATTTATCTACCTTTTCACATTTTTCGCGTTTGTTTCCGAAGAGACCCATGTCGAATATTGGTTAAGGGTGAGTGTTGAAAAAAAATATGAAGAAAGAGAAAGACAAGTGTATGTGATGTGAATATCCCACGAAATGAATGAATGAATATAAAGAATATTTATCTATACATATAGGTTGACCCATTGAACGGGCACAGTCACGCTTCAATAAACACATATTGTACGAGAAAAAAAGAAAATGAAAGAACAACTCTCATCTATTGGTTAAAAGGCGAGAAGAAAGATCTTTGTACTGATGACACAACGCATTTTTCTTTTCTCTTATTTGAATTGAACTTGCGCCATTGAATCTCGCACACTTATTCATCGGTCATCCATAATGATGGATATATGTGATGACAGCCGTAACGATACCCATCTCTATACATTCATTAAACATCGTGTTTAATGGATGTTGATACGATCAAACCATTTTAATGACCACCTTTCGTTTGTCACACTTCAACGCACATACAACTCTTTTCTCAATTAAACTTTTCTGACGAATCGATTCAACGACACAATGAAATGAAAAANCACACTTATTCATCGGTCATCCATAATGATGGATATATGTGATGACAGCCGTAACGATACCCATCTCTATACATTCATTAAACATCGTGTTTAATGGATGTTGATACGATCAAACCATTTTAATGACCACCTTTCGTTTGTCACACTTCAACGCACATACAACTCTTTTCTCAATTAAACTTTTCTGACGAATCGATTCAACGACACAATGAAATGAAAAAACGAAAACGAAACTAACCTCTCGAACTTTTTCTCGACGCATTTGTGCCGATTGAACTTTTTGTAATTCATCAATCGACATATGACTGAACGTCGCAGTTAATTTTTCAACAGGTAAAGCTTGTTGCGATGACGAAGCATTTTGAACAGGGACTTTGCCGACATTCCTAGGTTCATCTAAGTTAAGAAAGCTGTCCTTCTCATGTTGAATCTTGCTCTTTAATCGTGATTGATCGCCGACTAAATGTTGAGCATGATCATGATCTTGATTCGGCCAATTCACAGGTGGACGAGGTATCGGCGGAACGAAGATATCTTTGAAATCACGATTTGTAAGCACAGCAACAGGATCGATAACAACATTGGGTAAATATCTCACAGCAATGAATGTTAAGCCGAGAAAAAGTAAAACAATCAGGCCAAGAATTTGCCATGTTCGTCCGCGTCGTCTACTTATATTGTTATTCAAATAAGGGAGCACCGGCTGAAAACGACCCATCAGACAGCATTAACAAACACAAAGGGTAAAAATCTAGAACAAGTGTTCTTCTATTTGTTGCTCTTTTTCGGGCAGATGATGACAAGAAGAATTTATTTAAGACAAATGTTTACTTTATTCGTTCTTTTTTTTTTACTTGAAGATTAAATAAGGTTGTGAGGGCAAGAGGCATGAACAACAACAAGACAAAAAAAGGTACATTGATGTGTATTAGAGAAATATGTTTAAATATATCGAGAATTTCCAAAATAAAAGAGAGATAAATCAGTTGACAAGACGAACAATATTCAGAGGGAGTGTATGTATTGCAATATCTAGGTGTCGACAGGAGCTTCGTCTAAGAGAAGACGGAAGGAGAATGGAACGAATGGATAACCTTCGCCTTTATAAAACTTCGATTGAAATTCGACCCTAAGAAAAACAAATCAAGAATTATGATCATTTTCAAAGACAAATCACATACCAATGAAGACGTAACGCATGGAGAAAGGCGGAAAGTCCTTCCATTAGAAGTAATATAAATACTGTTAATGATGACCATGGCATAAAGACTAAAAACGAAGCAATCGAACCACCGTATCCATCCATTGACAATCCAATCTTGAAAATCATGTTCCATAACACTTCGGATAATTCTATAGAAGAGAAAATTGAGTCATTCATGAAGAAACTTAGTCAATCTACGAACGGGCATGAGCTAATGATAGAGCCCAAAGACGTAAATACGACGCTGTATGAGATATACAGCCGAGAAAGTATTCGATTGTGTGTATACCTTGTTCAACCCATACTTCACTCATTTCAACCTAGAATTGATGATTTCAATAGAGAAAAGGCAAAAATATCGAATTAGTAAGCGATTTGAAGCATAAATTCATATGAAGCACCTCAGTTTGGTGATGTTGTTGATGTAAGTGTTCATCATCAATCATTTCGTCCGTATCTGTATCGCGTACATCGACATCAAGTGCAACACCTCTCTATAAAAATAAGCAGCTTGGAATTAGTTAAAGCAAAAGTATTAAAATGATTATTTTGAGCTAAATATGCTTTGAAAAAAAAATGCCTCAAGGACTCAGCATTCACATTCCACCTTTTCTGTATGATCCTCTGTCACTGGTTGCTGTTGATCAGGATGTTCCTGTCCATCATTCTCGTCACTTGGCTGTGGATTTGTTACTGATGAATACTTGATTTTCATCATTTTAGAGAAATTGATTTCGAGTCAAAAGGAAAACTTTAGCGAATACTTACATGGGCACGTCGTTTGTTCATCATAATTCGATAAATAGGTTTGCCTAAGAGTAACCATGGAATACAAATCACTGCTATGAGTATCAAAAATGTCTGGAATGGTTTTTGACCGCTATAGAATTGTCTTGAACTCGCAGGTTCATCGGGATAGGTGACTAAAATCATGTTGATCAAATCTATACAAAACAGAGAACGACAATAGTTTGTTTTTGTAAGAAATAATCAACTTTCTTACGAATCAATAATGATGGTGCATTCGTTGCCGTATCTCCAGCAAAGTGTGTCCATTTATAGAAGATCAAGACAATTAAATAGAAGAAAATACTGGTCAAAAAGATAATCTGTGGAAGAAATTCGAGATAGATTGCATGGCGATGGTTGAAATGTCTAAAAAAAAGAAGAAAGCGCCAATGATGATATTTGAGTCATATGGTAAAGATATTCTTCGTCTTACAAATGATTCCATAAACTCAAAAAAACACCGAAACTCATTTGAATAATTCCGATAATGATTGCAAATTTCATTTTAATTGAATTGGTAAACGTGATTTTGTTTTCCGACAGTTGCCAAATTGGATCCATGCCAATTGGATATGGCGTACCTGAATACATCTGTTGATAAGTACGTGTGTCATTGTACGGATACGGCGTTGGTTCCAGAGTTACAGCTTCGCCTTTACCCAATGTCTTATCACTAAAACGATCAATGCGATTACGTTAGAAGTAAGTCGAAGAAACTAAATGCATACTCGAATCGAACTCTCCACGATGATCCGAAGATATTTAATGATTTCGAAAACACGTCATTATAGATCAGACCGGCATAAATCGAGAACAAACCCATCAGCAAGATAATATACCTGCCGCCGAAAAATATCGTCCAGACTTCTTGATTTCTCCACTTGTCTTTCAATGAACGTTCTTTCAAAACCATCCAGAGTGCAAACGCGGTAACAAGGATACCATGTCCAGCATCACCAAACATCACCGCGAATAGGAATGGAAAGGTGATGAGAACAAATGGCATTGGATTTATTTCGCGATACGTGGCAACACCATAAGCGTCGACAATGTTTTGAAAACCTTGAGTGAACTTGTTCAATTTATGATGAGTTGGCGGTTGCTCGCGAGTAATCATACGATTCAATACTGACGAAACCGTTCCGCCACCGCTGGCTTCCTATTCAAATGAATGCAAAATCGAATCAACATGAACCTTTAGATCACGTACAGATCCTTTGCGAAGTGCCAATTGAATTCGATCCAATTCGCTAACAGGCGCCCAACATTCGGCAATCAGACATTTTCTTGCCACATCATTGTTAAACATGTTCATCGTATGATAGATAGCTTTAATTTTCTTCACCTTGATTTGCCATGTGCGCAAATTTCGCGATGTCGCAGCCAGAACTCGCTGTCGATGATCTTGAGTTTGACTAAGAACAACTGTCAGATCTTCGAGACGAGTCATTACACCCATCGCCAATTCTCGACGTTCATGAGGATTTTCCGGACACGGATAAATATTTGCACGGAACCTAAACATACGAACAGATTGTCTCACTAGATCGAATAGATAAATAAAAAGATAATTTACCCTTCGCAGATCTTTTGGACACGGTTTTTCAGTTGTTCACCTTGAAAGAACACGACAAAGACTGTTTTATGAACTTTTTCACCCTAAGAGGAACCAATTGTAAAGTCACATTCGAACAATGAAAATATTTACTGTCAATGGATCTTCAATCAATTCAGGTATTTCTGCTTGACGAAGAAAAACATTTCCTCGACAAACTCGCCATAGCATACGTTCAAATGCCACCATACGTTCACGTGGAACAACACCGGTGATAAAGCTATTTCAATCAAAGAAGGAAAAAGAAAACGTTTAGGAACGAAAACAGTATAAACAGGGGGACACATGACGCTATGCACAAGCTAAACAATTCATGCAGCTGGTTAGTTTACCCAAGTTTCATTCCACTTGCGGTTGTTGTCATTTGTCCACCTAATTCAATATCTCGATCTTCGCCCATATCTTCCATCACACCGCCCGGTCGCGAGATGGCCTTTAGAAAAGAAACAAAAAAGAAAACTAACATGCAGGCTAAAGGAGAAGGACTAGAAAATGATAATCAAGCATATGTGCTTTTGTAATCAAATGTAAGCGAGCCGAGCAGCAAGTCATTGTGTCCCCTCTGTTTTCAAACGTGAATTGTATCTCTACCCTAGTTTATTATGACTGATCATGGAATATTCATAAAGCAGTTGTACTTGATCATCGTCCGAATCCCCCTGGTTACGATTGCGTGCTGATGTGAACACCGTCTCTGCCTAGTTGTCTCCCGTGATTGGAAAAGCAAAGCTTGTGATTATGTATAAAACACTTACATCGTCGAAAAAACTTTGTGTCATTGTTAGATTATGTTTCAATTCAGTTAGTTCATTAAAATTTCGAAGAAGCGCATCGGCATTGGTGTTGATTTCTTTCAATTCGTGGTCCAATTTTTCGAATGTTGCCTAAGGGTTATGTGAACTTTGCTGAAGAACGTACTGAGAGAATAGAACTTACCTCTAAATCAATCATTTCTCGAGGTTTCGGCGCGTCTGGATTATCTTCGGGATCGTATATGGGTAATTCATCTTTCTTGATTTCAGTTTCGAGGAATCCTAGAACAAACATTCGATCGAACCTTTCCTTATACGCTTGTTGTTAAACGTACGAAGTTTTCGTTCCATTTCTTCACATCGACGAACTTCATTGACATATTTACGTTGAAAAGCATTTACATTTGGATTCAGCTAATGAGGAAAAAAAAGACAAATGAGAATCGAACACGTCACAACAAAGTCTCGTCTTACGTCACGGAATTGTACAATTCCCAGTTCTCCCAATTCAGATATACAAGAGTAAGCAGCATCCGGCTGCAAGAAGAGCTGACATAAAGTCATTTCTTCACTGCGAAAGATCGTACTCATCACTCGGCTTTTCAAATCAAAAAATAATATAAATGTATCTGAAAATATGAAAGTTTATATATATGGCAATAACAATAAAGATCATATCTTTTCGCACACATCTATCAAACTATGAAAAGAATTCCTTCATTTCAATCGTGGCTTGTGTTGTGACAATATGGGTACTTCTTTTTCCGAAGAATCCATCTTCAAAGAATGTGATGGTCCTCCTCATAATCACTCATCATCAATGACGACAACAATCATCACGATTATGTACACCAATGAGAATTAGATCATTTATAGATGTCGCTAGTTTTCATTATTATTCTCTACCCTGAGAACTGATTAGGAGAGAAATGAGCATTATCTATCGCAAATATCAGAACATTAACATCAATAGAGACCTTCAGTCTGTCTAGTGTAATGCAGTCACCCATTGCCTAGCAGCAATGAAAGAAATCGATTTCTGCTTGATCGTATCGATCGACAAATGGTCGAATATGTGACTGCGAGATGTTTGTGCATTAGTTGCACGCAACGACTCGTTTAAACGCTATCATTATTTAAGCATCGGAGAATTTTTCTTCCACATTGTTTTCGCACTGAAATACTCACTCTTGATCAGATGGAGCAAGTTCATAGTAATATCAAAACGGATGCAGAGACTATCCTCGTTATATTCAAAATTTGAAAAAACTTGGAATAGTCTGGTACGAATATTTTATTCACAATGGCGTCAATGATTACTATGGAGCAAATGATTATCAAATTGACTCATCTTTATCCGTGTCATCTGGCTCATTAAAAGAAATCTTAACTAAACATGAACGAGCTCAAACAGATTTTCCAGCATTCTGCCGTCAAGCTGCTGAAGCTACGGTACGGATAGATGCGCTGTTAATATAGAAAATATGCTAAAACGATCTATCCAGCGACTGATGTTATTCAATAGAAAAAAAAGAGAACCTTATCTTTGTATTAAGTACTCTTAAGCTGTTGAAAAATAACCAACAATCCGTTCGCAAACAATCATCATTAACATTTGTTTTTCTTTATGGACATTAAACAGGATTCGATGGGTTAATAAAATCTTACGTATTTAGAAATTCAGCAAGATGCGCAGCTGACTGTGCTAGACATCTCTATTTATCAGTTTTTGTTTGTCTATCCGACTCATATCTAGCTGGAAAGACCGAATAATCCGTTTTATGTTACGATTTGTTAACCAACGGAAGATTACCATCACTGGAATTGAAATAACAAACTAGTAAATAGTGAGATATATGGTAATGTAAAAGCCGTAAGAATCATTAGTTATTCCACAAATATTAAGAGATTGTAAAATAGCCCCCCAGATGAGCTCTGGAATTCGGTGCATGGCCCGAAAAATGGCGACGACGAAGACTGATCGATGTGTTCGTTTAACATTACTGAGCCGACGTAAATGCGCACGTTTTTACGTAATAAAAAAGTAATCAATCGTAGTCAAACATGAATAAGTATATGCAGCTATGCCTATAAAAACTAATCTAGAATTTCTTATTTTACATCATGCTTTCGACGTACGAGTAGCATTTACAATACGTGATATTAATAAATATACCTGTGACAAGATAGAAACAATTAGCGTAAAGTACTAATTGTTGACCGACGTGTGCGAGTGACATGATATTATTCGACCGAAGTTTGTCGGAAAAGTCTTGATGTATTCGTTCATAAAACATCTGACAGACTACTTGGAGAATAACGAAAAAACCTGGTAATATTTTATCCGTAAGCAAAATAAGAAGCTTGTTTTTCAATTAAAACATGAATTGTCGAACTTGTTCTTTGAATCTATTTTGTGTGAAAGTGAATACATCATGTTCTATGTCAATCAACTATGAAAGAGCTCTCTTGGAGGAAAGAACATTAGAAATAGTCATCGACGATATTATCGAGCAAAGTAGTGCTACCTTTGAAGAAACAAAGTTTTCAATATAAAGGATTCAGACTTCATTCTAATCCGAAAGAGTTGACTTTTTTAATTTAATGAATTGCGGTATGATGTTTCAGAAAAAAAGACTCATAGTCTTCGAGTAACTCTGTTCTGTTTAGATCATCAGTGATCAAAATTTAAACTTTAAATAAAGTGTTTACATACGAAATTTTATTGTCAACCGACATTTTGATATCAACGAAAGAAAAACTCAACGACTCATTCACCAGTTATATAACACACTCGCCTCTATTTATACGACAGCGTTCGCTACTACCTGTATCATAAAAGTTATAGACATGCGTGTTATCTATTTAGTCAGTTTACTCTTACTTGAAGAAGTATATATGTGGCCAGATGCACCATGCCGAACACCACCACCGGCAGCTAATTACACTCTAGAACAGGTACTGTTCTGTATTATAAAAGAACTTCATGCTTACATATCTTGTTTACCTATAGTACACTGGTCGATGGTTTGAAATCGGTAAGATTCAAACAACCGGCGGCGCTTTCTTTGAAAAAGACTGTGTCTGTACTCATATTGATGTTGGTCAGAGTCGAAAAGATCCATCCGAAACCATTGTTTCAAATATTTGCAACAAGAAAACATTCGACGGCAAACGGATTATCGCCAATGGAACGTTAACAAGCAATCGACAACCATCCGATGGTCGTTATAACGAAACTATCTTTCCTGCTCCTTTACCCGTTGCCTACAACATCATTGTACTACAAACAAATGACTTCAGCGTAGAGTATGACTGTGTTGTAGAATTTGGCATTGCGAATTATTGTGTACACATTCTATCACGGCGACCGACACTTAATGAAACCATTGTGGAAAATCTATTGAAGCTTGCTGAACAATACGATTTGAATCCGAAAAAACTGAAGTTTACACGGACAAATCAAACGAATTGTACTTATACGTAGATTTATAGTACTGATTTCAACAAAATGACTAACTTGTACACGTTTAAATATACTACAGTTGAGAAAATACACATAAGATCGAATAAATTTCTCAAATAAAATAAAGAAACAGCAGATGTTTTATGATGGAATCGTAGCCAGTTGTTCTAATTTCACTAACTCAACAGATTAATTTCTTTGAATTCGATTCTATGTTGTATCATGTGTAACTGGATCAATATATCGATTATGTCTACATAAGTTAGACGATTGTTTCACTTAATAAATCCTTAGATAGCTATGCGTTCCGTCGATTTATTCGGAGTGCATAGCGCTACGACATTGTATAAAAGTAAACACCTATCAAATTTGTTATTAAAATAGTATGCACAAGTAAAACTTCTTGATCCTGTTTTTGTTGCGAATACCGTATTTGATTTTCTTCTGTTGGTGGTTGGCCTATACTTCACCCACGGCGCCGTTGTTTCAGCACAAGTTTTCGATGAATAAGCAAAGCGCTTATAACCATAATGGAAGTAGGGAACAGCTATCACACAAGCTTAGTTTTTTCTATAAATATTTATAGTCTTTCATATAGGATTCTATAGAATTGAGACAAATCTTCGAGCTCATTCAGTATGTCTTTTGCTAATGCTTTACATTGTTTAACAACTGAAAAATTTCAAAATTTAACTTTCAAATTCAATCTCTATAACCAAATAGCTCAGATACTGCCTAGAATAATTATATATTCATTTTCTTGACCTATGCTCGCATGTGATGAAAGTATGAACGAGAATTGATAGCTGTTGAGTATAGTGCGTTGTTGACCGTAGTTCAGTTAACAATTTTATCTGAAAATACGCAAAACAGATAGACCGTTCATAAAACTGTGACTCAGTTGTTCAATGCAACACTGAATTCACCGGTACTCATCACACTGTACCTCTTGATAGACTTCATGAAAGTCGTGATGTTGCTTTTTCAACTCGACTCGATCTAGTTTGTTTCGAGCACCGCTCAAATATGCTTTTATTTTGACTGGAGAAAAACCTTCGACATAATACTCGAATTTATATTATGAATGTTGTTGTTTGATGTTGACTCTGTTTTTCTCTTAACAAGTCCGTGTAAGGTAGTTCTGCGATGACTAAATCATGACATGTTTTGCTCATTGTGTGATTTTGTCTGTAGTTCACTATCATTGTATTGGAATCTTCATCTTTAAAACATTTGTGAAACATTTTCTTCGTGGCCGATTTCAAGTGAGAGATTTCCTTTTGCATTGTTCCGTTACCAAATTTTTTTGTCAAACGAGTCAATTTATCGGAAAAATGTTTATACAAAAGTTCATCGGCAATGTTGAACAAACGTATTCGTTGTTTTAAATCATCCGTGAAATGTTCAATGTTATTATCACTTCTTGCATTGTGCCGAAAAGCAATCATATCGTTGACGGTCCAGCAAAGAAGATGCCTAAGGTGAACTAATGATTCATACATTCGATCAGCAATCATAACGAAATGGAAACGTGAGTCGATCGATTGAATGAATTCTTGAATTGCTTCCAGATTATCGAAGTTTTCCACAGCAAAACCCAAATCAAACGACATTTGATTACGACCGAACTTGCGTAGATGCCGTCGATATGATAGCGCATGATAAGCGGACACATTCGGAGATATCGAAAAGAAGGTTTCCAAGAAATGCATCGAGGAATCTTCACCAAATAAACGTTTCAAATTGTAATAAGAAAAGAGCGATTCAGTTAGACTAACAGGATCGCGAAGAATGGTTATAAATAGTGTATCATTCGGCATAAAAGATTTCATTTCTTCGTAATTAAATCGTGTGTGATGGGCGAATATATTGTTCTGACTAGTTAACGAATTCTGATTGTATCGAGGTAGCAGCATACTACGATTGAACGGTTGAGGGTGACCGAAATAATTGTACTTTTCAGGTAGAACAATCGTCAAGTTATTTCGATCGCCATAACGGAGAAAGATGTTTTGAATAGTTGAAGAACCGGTTTTATGCGTTTTTAAAAATAGGATATTTCGTTTAGGTCGACAAGTCTTCTTCTTCGTCTTTCCTTTTCTTGTGTTTACCGTACGTTTCGCAGATCGCCCTATTCCAGCAGTTATTGGAAAAAACGATACACCTCGTTTGGTACCAGCTCTCAGATGACTAATAGTAGCAATTATCGTACTAAAACATAGATGACTGACGCATTGGTTGATTTGAAATCCGGTATACGTACTCTGTAGTTGTAGTAGTAGTAGCAGTAGTGTTGATCACGAAGATTGTCAAACAAAATGATGAAAGTACAAATAATATAAGGAAATACAAGGCTTTCTTCTTGAGAAATATATGTGCCATTCGATATTTGGTACGCGTTACGAACTTAATTGCACTCGTTTACATAACATACTGGGCCGAACTTCTGGAGGACATTCTGTTTGCACGAGCAAATAAATGAAAATTAGTCATCACCTTTACCTAAAATGCAAAATGTCTCAATACAATTAGTTCGTTGATATACCTGTACGAATATCAAGTACCTGAAAAAAACCCCGATACACCACGTTATTCGTTCTTCTCTTCTCTCTTGCTCGTAACTGTATGAGTACCCATTTCACATGGACACGAAGGTCGTTACGAGTATATTTTTACTTGTCGTATTTGTGTTTTTTTCATATCTGGTACTCAAGTCGTTGTACAGATGGTACTCGGATACCAATTAGAAGTCTGTATGTACAGTTACTCTTTGCAATTTACACACATGAGAAAAGAAATGTGATTAAAAAATTTCATTAATGCATTCCGGTATACTATGACAGTATGTACACGGACAGAAGAAACGAATCAGAAACTGTCACTAACTGAATATGTAATAACATAAGTTATGTTTCCGAATCATTTATCTGACTGAGGACGTTGTCGAAGCGTAACGACACGTTTGAATCACGTATATTCTTTCTCCTAGATGTTTTCATCGAAAAAATCGAATCAATGAAACCTGATCTGATATGGGAAAATCAAGATTCATACTTGCCCTTAACGTATATATTGTAATCATAACAAAAAAACGAATGCACTTTTTTCAAAAAAGGCGGCATACATTTATAGTAATCGACAATTTTAACCCGCGAAGCAAACTGTTCGTTTTTAGCTGTTTGAAACGAATAAAGTTTTGTTCTCTTTATGCTTTTGTTGAGCCAATTACAAAGAGAAAATTTCGGCTGTTTTATTTGTAACAAAACGACGCGGACAAGTAAAAGAACGTTAAAAAGAGAGGAAGGATTGAAGCCTCGTGACTGTGATGGACTTTTTAAAATAACAAATGAGGAGAAGACGACGAGAGTTTCTCGATTAAATGGTCTAGTTGAATCCAAAGATTGTCTATGACAATGAAAACCATCGCATCATTGATGTAAAACTTTGCGATTATCCTTTCATCCTCTACCAAGACAATTCCAGATGAGATCAAACGAAGTATTGTGAAATCAGAACAGTGATATAATTCAGTCTAGAAAAAACGAAAACGTTTTTCGATCGAACACGGTTCAACAGCAAAGTTTATTTTTCGTGTGTTGCTTTGATGTGATTGAAGACAAAATGTCTGTTAAAAAACAGAATGTGTCTCACACATCCTGCTTCTATAGTAATAAACACGATCAGCAAGAGAAAATCAAATTTTACACCCTTATCGGAAACGAAAATATATGGTGAATTTTCAGTTGATTTCAGCGATGCGAAGTCCGATACTTGTCTGACATGCGTTTATTTTCAAACTTTTTCTTGTTCACAGATAACACAAAAGGGTACAAATAATGCAAGATGCACTCTGTTACTTGATAGTCATCAGCACCTTTGTTGAAATATTAGATATGACAATTTCAGTGCGATCCACTCAGATGGAAATATCCTATAATAGAACAAGCATACGGACGACGTAGTCGGAAACGGTGTATTTTTTGCCTGATGATATTTCATATCCGTGCAGTCGATTACAAAAGGTATACCGGCGACACACGAGTGTTACGAGCGCATACCAAAAAGGAGATTGGTTCATTATTAGAAGTATACATACGAATATTTTTTATTAATTTCATTGAATTTATCGGACTTACCCGTGCAATCATCTTATCACGGCGTTTGGTCAATTTGAGGCGTACGATTCCAACTACTTTTCGTAAACCATCACATTACAATATGATCAAATCATCGCAGATTACAAACGCGTATACTGCGACAATAACAATCAGTCCGTCTACGGTTTTGACACATTTACACGATTACCAAAGGACTGAAGATCAGGATTCGGTCGTGGATCGTTTGCTTTACCAAACGAAACAAATATACCAGTGCAGACAAATACGGCTGTAGTTAAACGTCTTTTTATTGATACGCTTGCAGATCAACTTCTTCAGCTCGATCAAGACTCTCGATGACACATTCCATTCTCCTTTGCACACATTGAGGGCGACACGTACGATCGAACAAAAGATGATCTGTTTCTTCTGGAAAGTCGATTTTTAGCAGGAACGGTTTTAGTATTCGATGAGCTACTGAATTACCCAAATTATGAAAAAAAACATGAACTCAATACTCTGTCGATTCAAGTATCGACATCCGGGAAAATATTTGCTTATTCAAGCATTCGCATTTGCTGTTTAACTCGAACAGTCTGATACATAAATCCAAATATGCTTTTCGATTTTATTCTAAGAAATTTTTATTCAAGCAGAACGAATAAATCTAGCTAAGAAACCGTTGGATATGAACTGCTTTCTCATCCTTATCTCTATTCAGAAGACGCGTAACGATAACATGACCAACACCCCATGTATCAAAGTCTGATGAGACTAAATCGCACGATGATTTACCGCCGTCCTGATTACCAGCATAAATCCTCACCGTTTTTCGTTTCTCCAATTTACAGTTAGCCGGCATGGTAAACGATATTTCCGGGGCATTATCAATACTACGAACAAGGCACCAACCGCTTAGATCGGCATCTTTCAGTGCGGAAGTATTTGCCAGTTGAATATATTTACCATCGAATGAGCATTCATCAATACATACAGGCCCTAGAACAATAACATGTACAGAGTAAATGCAATCAGAAAAGCGAACCTTTAGCTGAACGTTGAACTGTTGGTTTCGCTTGAATTTCATCTAGTTTCGAGGTAAACATAATGAGATACAAATACATTTATTACGCATGACTAACTTGATTGTTCAGATGCGTTTGCATCGATATTCGTGTTCATTTCCATCGGTTACCAATTTGGCTAGAGACACTTCGTAATAGGTAGTGTTGTAATACTAAGAAAAATTTGAAGTAAACCACAAAAAAATCACTGCCAAAACACTTCAGTCGTTCTACGATTCGGTTGCACGAATGAATAAATGTATTCATTGAAGGGTTTCATGTAAACACACGTGGAAATCTTGTAAAAACATTCACAACATTACTTTCGAAATCGTACTCGACAATATACAGAACATTTTTGAATTTCCATTCATTCTGAATAACAGATTATCACTATCATGACAAAAAGTTCAGAAATCAAAAATGTCATTGTATACATTGTTACAACACGTGCGTTTCATATCAGATGATATTAGTTTAACCGTAAAATGTGATTACGTTTGACGTGCATCATAGCTTGTAATTTATCATGTTTCAACTGAATACTCTTCTCCAAACTTTACCTTGATGACGTACGCAAGGCACGATCAAAGTGTACGATTGCGCATTCACAGCCATTCTTCATGTAGGTTTACTCCATCGCAATAGATAAATCAATTCCAGACGAAGTGCATCGTTAATTATTACATCAGAATACACGCAATTAAGTGCAATATTCCATCAGAATATAGATTATCTATCGGCTATGAGACATCATGTCTCAGCAAGGTATTGCATCATTTTTATTCTAATCACTTCAATATCAAGTGAGGTTGAGAACGAACAAAAAAGAAAAATAACTTTCTAGCCGTTTCTTTCTCTTTTCGTTTTAACATACGATTCTATTCTCATCATTATAGATATATAGAGGAAATTCGATCGGCTATACCGTCACCTCAAGACATATAGATATATATATATATGTAAGTGGTAGATAGAACGAAAAAACAATCGTCAATGACAGCTGAGACATCCCGGCCAAGCCCGTTTCTGCGTGCAGGAAATTGGTCACGATTCTTTCACAGGTAAAAATAAACATTGATGATTACTATTCAACTGTAATTGCATAACGTAGTTGGGTATCTGAATTATTAACATTGAGCCGTAAAAAAGGAACAATTGAACTTGATGATCTGTATGATGTGCCTTCGAATCTTGAATCCACGAAACTTACTGATAGACTCGAAGCGAATTGGTTCGATGAAATCAAACGATGTCCAGAAAATCCAAGTCTAATTCGAGCAACGATACGGACAATGGGATGGAAACCATGGCTCGTTGGTCTTCTTCTGATCCCTAATGTAATTCTTTTCTATTTCATCTCCGTATTTTATCTGCGTATTATGTCAAAATGTATAGTCGTTATTAGGTATTGCACAACCGTTAGTACTTATTATGCTGATGAACTTCTTCGAACCGTGCTCTACTATGAATGTGTGGATTGCCTGGGGTTTGGCAATAACTACTGTATTAATTGCACTCACTTCAAGTCTTGTTATTCACCAAGTAAGACTAGTTTTAGCTCGAATGAATGCTTTGATTGGTTCCTTTTCGAGAATATTCATCGAACGGTCTGTCATGCAACGAAAATGCGTATTGCTTACAGTGGTTTGATCTATCGAAAAGTATGAATAGGATTCTTGGATTTGATTTTCACGCCCATCTTTATTTGTAGGTGTTGCGATTATCAAGTAACGCAATGACTAAAATTAGTTCAGGGAAAATCGTTAATCTACTATCGAATGACAGTAGTCAGATTGAATATGCTCTGTATTTTATCAATTATATTTGGGTAAGAGTTGGGGGGGGGGGTTGTGGCAATGTTCGATTTGTTGGTTTTTTTAGAAAGCTCCATTGGAAATTGTATTTGCCATCATATTTTTCTGGAGATTTCTTAAGTATTTTATATTTTTTGGTATTGGCTATGCGATATTCGCGTTAATCATTCAAACAATTTGCAATCGGTTGATTTTGCGTTTCCGGTCTGAGTGGAATATTCTTTGGCATACATGTCATTTCAATTTTTTTTTCTTGACTTTCAGAACGAAGATCTTGCAAATTACCGATGAACGAGTCAAGATCATGTCGGAAATTATCCGATCAATGCGTATTGTTAAAATGTACTGCTGGGAATCGGCATTCAGCAAGATAGTTAGCTCAATACGAAAGTAAATTTTCTCAGTACTATCGTGAACATTTTCGATTTCTTACTTTGTCAGACGTGAAATTGTTCAATGTGCTTTTCGTCTACTGGTGGATTGTGTCCAAACATTATTAGCACATACTTATCCGAATATAACATTCCTACTGATGTTTACAACCATGTGGTCGTTAGATATGCGATTTGATATGAAGTTCTTCGCCATTTCTATGTGTATGTTAGCTCATTTACGTGTCAATCTTGTCCATCAGTTCACCCTTGGTGTGAAAAATCTCGTTCATTACATTGCAGCGCAAAAGCGTATTCAGGTTTTGTTCATTTATACAAATTATGACCGATATTGAGCATGATCTATTTGCAGGCATTTCTTTTACTTAGCGAATCTGAGCGCGACGATCGATTGTTATCAATATCTCGTTTGAATCTGGTGTCCAAGCAGAACGGTATTAGTCAAAGGAAAGAGAGCGCACCAGGAATTATATGCAAAATCAATCAAGCTTTATGGGAAAAGGTTGGGATTGATTTTGTTGATGAATTAGAATGCAGTTGTGTGGATTGTTTAGGATGCAACGTTCTCACTGAAAAATATCATCTTTGATGCACATCCAGGCGATCTAATTTGTATTATTGGACCGGTTGGTTCTGGAAAAGTACGTCACTTGACTTCGGATGGTCGCATTGGTTATAATTCGTTACTTTGATTGGTAGAGTTCTTTACTACAAGCTCTTTCAGGAGAGATAACTCACTTCGAAGGCAAAGTTCGCCTATATGGAACATTCTGTTATGTACCACAGGAATCTTGTGAGTAAGCATTATTAAATCAATCAGATCCAATACGTTTTTCTCTTAGGGATATTTTCATCATCGATTAAGAATAATATTCTGTTTGGTAAAGAATATGACCATAAATTATTTCAACGTGTTATTCACGCATCGGCATTAGATACTGTAAGTCTGACTGGTAATCTTTGATTGAGGTATAAACTTGTGTATAGGATTTGACGCAATGGTCACATGGTATAGACACACTTGTCGGTGATCAAGGTCTGATGTTATCTGGAGTAATTTGATCTTTTCCTTCGAATCGAGTCAGAGGTTGTCAGTTTGGAAAATTTAGGGTCAAAAAGCTCGAGTGAATATGGCACGGGCATTGTATCGTGATGCGGATATTTATCTACTAGATGATCCACTTTCGGCTGTTGATGTTAAAGTATCTAAACATCTATTCGAAAAGTGCGATTTTCATTCGAAGTGACAATCTATTTCCTTGTTTATCTAATTCAGAACCATCAAAAAATATCTGCGAGACAAAGTTTGTGTTCTTGCAACGCATCAGATTCAATTCTTACAAGATGCAACTAAGATTGTTGTTCTGAATAACGTAAGTAGCACTGCACTTCAGTTATCGATATTTATTTAACTAAATTAGGGTGAAATGACAGATATAGGAACATATGACGAGTTGAGTAGTTCGTCTCTATCATTTGCTAGTCTGTTACACGATATTCATCAACATGAACTCAAAGAACAACAATCAGTTGAATTTCAACACCAACGATCGATTTTCGATTCCAGTGTCTCTGAAAGCGAAACTCCAGTCGTAGAAAATTCCTCGCTACCAACAAATATCGAAAAAAAAGAGGAGGGTATCGTTAATTGGCATGTTTATACGTCCTATTTACGAGCTGGTATTGGTCTTTTCGTTGGTCTTATCTTGATGACAGGCATCTTCTCCGTTCGTGAGTTTATCGCCATTTTTAGCGATCGTTGGTTAGCGACTTGGACTAGCGATGAAACACATCGATATCGTAATTCAACGTATTGTACGAATACTTCTCAGAGTGCAATAATGGCTATGAATGAGACTGACTGGAATTATCATCGAAATCATCGGTATTATATCTATTGCGGTATGTGAACCAATGAAAGATTATATCTATTCGACAGGAAATATAAAATATCTTTAGGTTCGGTGGTGTCACTGTTTGTTGTTACGTTAATACGTGTCGTCATAACTGAATTTATCTTTTTAAATGCTGGACGTGTTCTTCATAATAAGTTAGTGTGCGATATTTGTTGCTTTCGTTTTCATCACACCAAAGTTTAGAATGTTTCGCCGGTTTGTACGCGCTCCAATGTTATTCTTTGACATAAATCCTATTGGTATGAACATCGAAATAACTCAATAGAGTTATCCTATTGTATGTTTTAGGTCGGATGACAAATCGTTTTACGAAGGATGTTGCAGTTATGGACGATAGTTTACCCATCAGTCTATTCGAACTATTTCAAGTAGGATAGAAATAAATTCAGTCAGACATAATTGGACTGTTGGTGGTTTCTAGTGTTTGTTCAGAATACTCGGTACCATTGTACTTGTTAGTTGGATCAATCCATGGTCATTTATTCCAGCAATTGTTGCTGTTTGTGGCATGATCTACATTCGTTATCGCTTTGCGCAATGCCTGCGCGATTTAAAACGTATCGAAGGTGTTTCACGCAGTCCAGTGTATTCATATTTATCATCAACCATTCAAGGTATACAAGTTATTCGTTCGTATCATGCGGAACAGATGTGTTCTCGAGAATTTCTATCACATTTAAATAATAATTCACGCGTTCATGGTCTGATCTCCATTGTAAATCGTTGGGCGGCTATACGTTTCGATTGGATAACAACAATGTACATTGCTCTAGTGACATTTTCTGCAATGGTCGTACACATCGTTCAAAACCAACTGTCTGCAGCTGATATTGCTCTCACTCTCTCGTACAGTCTCAATATCATGGGTATTCTACAATGGAGTATAAGGTAAAGCCTGTTGAACTAAAAATATCTGAATAATTTTCTTCAATATAGATTGTCGGTTGATGTTGAAACACAAATGACGGCTGTCGAACGAGTACTTGAATACTGCGAACTCGATCAAGAACCGCCTGCTCAAGTTCCTGTGGATCGTCGTCCGCCATCGAATTGGCCTTCGGAAGGTCGAATCGTTTTCGACAATGTTTCGATGTGTTACTCTAACGATGAAAACTCGCCTCTTGCACTTCGTCATATCTCTATGACGATTCAAAGTGGAGAGAAAATTGGTATCGTTGGTAGAACAGGTGCTGGGAAAAGTTCTCTCATTCAAACACTTTTTCGTATGGGAACGCTGACTGAAGGGCAGATCAAAATTGACAATATTGATATCTCATCTGTGGGATTAGATGATGTTCGAAGTCGAATTTCCGTCATTCCGCAAGAGCCTGTTCTTTTCACGGGCACGCTGAGAAATAATCTCGATCCATTCGATGAATACTCCGATTCGGCTATCTGGCACGCACTCGAACAGGTCTTTGTCCAGTTTGCGTTTGTTTCAGACATAAAAATGGTGCCTTCTGCTTGTTTTAAGGTTCAACTGAAAAGCCTGGTCACAGAGGAAATGACAGATGGACTAAATTCGCTAGTGGCTGAAAGCGGTTCAAATTTGAGTGTTGGCCAAAAACAACTCGTTTGTCTCGCACGAGCTATCTTAAAAAAGAGTAAAATTCTTGTCATCGACGAAGCAACTGCTAATGTTGATAATGCGTAAGTAGTAGTACCGTTTAGAAGTACAATATCTCATCATAATCTTTATTTCGTAGAACGGACGGACTGATTCAACAAGCAATTCGTGAGCAATTTCGCGATTGTACTGTTCTGACAGTCGCACATCGTCTACGAACAGTGATCGATAGCGACCGTATTCTAGTAATAATCATTGTTCAGTTATATTCGTCTGTTTATATTGCTTCGTTCTCGTATAGGTTCTTAGAAACGGAGAAGTGCTTGAATTCGATGTGCCGAGTGTTTTACTTGCGAGACCAACTTCAGAATTCTCTCTCCTAGTACAACAAACAGGCTCTATCGAAGCTGAGCATCTTCGTTCATTGGCCAAAGCGGCTTTTGACTCTCCCAAATCAAAGTCAAATGGCATCGATCTCAGCGAAGAGCCACCAGAATCCAACAATGAAAACGATCCCCTTCTTTCATCTCATAGTAAAATATCATAAAAGAACATTTGCTGTTAAAATATACCGAATTCGACTCATTTCAATAAAAATTCGAGCGATCATGACAAATGTATGAACACACAGATTCACTTTTATCCTTTTACACTAGACTATCCAACCATCATGAAAGGTAAAGCAATTTATACTATTTGCGATAAAAAATTTGTAAACAGAAAGTTTAATATAATTATTTTGATATGTAAAAGCTTGAGTTTTGTTATATGCGTTTAATTTTATTGCTTAAGATAACCAATGTAACAGTTACAAAAAAAAACTTTAGACATTTCCTTCGTGTTTAACAGTTGAACCCCATCTCCTACATGACATTACATTGATTTTGTTTCACATTATGAAAATGTTCGGGACAATGAGGATATCGACCACCGTTCATACCGGGTAGTTCCATCACATGTGCCAAGCATAACAACCGGCCACAAGGATTACCACGACTTATTCCATAACTGCATTTGGTAGCTGCGATGCTACCGCAGATACAGCAGATATTTCCATCTGGTGGTCTCTGCACGGCCTGAGGTGGAATAGAGTGATGAGCTGGTGGCATGGAAATTTGTTGATTTGTTGGAATTAGTGTATATTGAATTGGCTGTCCATTTTGATCTAATAATGTTATTTGTCTGGGATGCGCAGCTGGATTGTAGGGAACTGTCAGAAATGAAGACTGCGGGGTCGATGATGGTGCAGGATTTTTCTCATCATATGCTGAAGGCGAAGAATCAGCCATGAGTTGATACGGAAGGATGAATGTTGAGAATGACAACTTTTTCTAAGTCACAATTATTTATACTTGAAATTTTATTATCTCTTTTACGATTAAGCTGTTCTTATCTGAAGAAGTGTGTCAACAAAACACGTGGAAAAGCTCTCGTTTTTTGAGTTAAATATTCTGTGTACCGCAGAACAGTTAATAATTTCAGAGAATAAAATGACACGACATTACATCAGTTATTACACCTTTGTGTGAAAAAGTTGAGTAATATCACAGAACAGTGTCATTTGCAGAGTCCAGCCTCTATCAAAGCACAATCAAAATGTACCATCGAGATAATATGTCACAGTCTAATGACCGAAATTGAGAAATTGAACGACATCATTAACATTTAGCACATTGAATATTCGCCTTCCTCTTCCTTTCGTAGTTTGATGCGTGTCGACACAAAGAAAGATCACAGCGACGAGCTCCTACCGACAACAATGAACACAATACACAAGGAAGAGCAATCATTGCCTATATATTATGTACGGCTCATCGATCAATATCATTCTTCTTCGATGATGTCACCAATGTATGCGTAGAAAAATACATATTTCTATCTACGTTCAAAATGAAATAAATGAAGACCAATTACTTCAACAACGCACCTTCCAGATTTCAAACCTCGGCTCTATTGCACAGTTCAATATGACATTCGAAGAACAGATACGAACAAATAGTAAGCGATTCCAGTTGCTGATGAAACAATTATCCGATACGGAGTGGAGTGAAACTGCACTAGCCGATGCTAAATCTCGTTTAAGCGCTTGCGTACGTGAAATTCACGCGAGTCAAATGAAGATTAAATCGTGTCAAATCGCAGCTGATAAACAACATCAACGGTTTGTTGGCATCAAGAAGATCGGAGTTCGATATATTTGGTATAAAGTTCGACGTCGATACGGTCAACTCGTCGATGAACAAGCAAAAGCATGGTTACGAGAGTTTCGCAAATGTCAGGATGAACAACAACGACTGACTGCATTGAAAGAAGAAATAGTTGTTGCTCAAAAAAATCTTCACCACTGTCAACAGAATTATGAACAATATACACAGACGAGACAAGAACTGAACGAACTGTTGGATCAGTTGTTTTCGTTGACTGAACCTCCGCATCCTTATGAAGACGCTCTTAAACAAGATATAAAGAAGAAACAAGAATACTTACTCATTTTACAAGGCAACAGCCGCATATTTAGGCATGTCTTTCATATTTTAACAAAAGCGCAGCGAGCTATTCTCATCGCACAGCAAGCAATTGCTGGTGCATTAAATATGAACACATTGAATAAATTTTCGCGTTATATATTTGGCCGTACAATTATCAATTCATATTTGTTTAAAGCTAAAGATGCATCGACTCAACTACAAGAACTGCTGAATGAAGTTAAAGGTATTCGTTCAGAACTTTCACTTCTCAGCCATGTTTACATTCAAAATGATGATGTGATTCTGAATACTTTGTTCAACAATCTATGTAAGAACAAACTCGACGAGTCATCGAATGATGTTGCTTCTTTACACACTATGTTATTCACTGCCCTCAGTCAAATTAAAGAACAAATGGAAAGATGCGAAGTTGAACGAAATCAAACGATAAAAGATGTGAACCGGCTGACAAAAATACATTTTGTTTTACGATGTGCTATTGTCATTAGTACTATTGAATCATCCTCCGCGGATCTATGGTCGTGATGGTATTCTATAATGCAAGCTGCTCTTCTCTCGTAGATGTTTTCTAGTATTTGATTTGAGGCCACAGTTTTATCGATTCTGTGCGTCATAGGACGAATCGTTTTTATTCAAAGGTCGAATATGAATAAATGAAGAAAAAATTGATATGAACTGTGCATCAGATCATGTATAAAAATTGAGGATGAGTCGAATCTTTGGCAAAATCATTTCTAATATAATATGAGTCAATTAAATTCAGCAAGCTGGATAAAAACACGGTCTAGTTCCGCTGATATCACCATTAATTACACAAGTGTCACACTCCTCGCCGGATCGACTGCGACATAAACGTCGTCTGGTAAAACGTCCAGTTCCACAAGTAACACTGCATGTACCACTTACCCATGAAGACCAACTACATGCTAAACAGATAATCAAACTTTTGTAACCATATTAAATGAAAACAATCACAAAGTAGATTATTGTTTTCAAAATATACGAATTCGAATAAAGACAAGTAAATCAATGAGGAGGTGAGCCGCTTTTATATAGAATGCACAATAGGGCTGCTCATACCGTTCGTTACCTTTACAAATGAGAACTGTAATGACTTACGTGGAATGGTAGTGGTTGCAGTTGTCGAAGCAGTAGTAGCAGTCATGCTTGTTCTAACTTCTGTCGTTGTTGCTGTCGAGACTATTGTTACATTAGTTGGTGATGTCGTCGTTGCTGTAGTAGTAGTTGCTGGTGTCGCGGTTGCTGTAGTATTAGTTGCTGGTGTCGTTGTTGCTGTAGTATTAGTTGCTGGTGTCGTTGTTGCTGTAGTAGTAGTTGCTGGTGTCGTTGTTGCTGTAGTAGTAGTTGCTGGTGTCGCGGTTGCTGTAGTATTAGTTGCTGGTGTCGTTGTTGCTGTAGTAGTAGTTGCTGGTGTCGCGGTTGCTGTAGTATTAGTTGCTGGTGTCGTTGTTGCTGTAGTAGTAGTTGCTGGTGTCGCGGTTGCTGTAGTATTAGTTGCTGGTGTCGCCGTTGCTGTCGAGACTATTGTTACATTAGTTGCTGGTGTCGTTGTTGCTGTAGTATTAGTTGCTGTTGTTGTAGAGATTGTTGTTGCATTAGCTGTTGTGGTTACCGTAGTATTAGTTGCGGACATTGTAACGATTGTAGTGGACGATGGGGATGTCGTAGTTGGTACTAAAAGCATTCAAAACATATATGGTCAGCAATAGTATTGATAAATGCATACACTGATTGAAAGTACAAGTAGAATTCAGTACAATAGGCATGCAGACTGGTCTTTTGCAAAAACTGTCAGTGACACAAACACTGAGAAACGATGAACAAGGGATTTGTTCATCAGCGTAGCAACTGTGGAAATATGAACAATCAGTATTCGGTGCGCAGATCATATCACCAGTGCTGGTTCGAAACTGATGACACTCAAAAGTAGCAGAACAATTGTCACTCGCCGACGTTTGATTTGACCATCCACATAAAGGAAGCGAATATCCCGATGCGTTCCGTCCTGTTAGTTCTATAACTCACACAGTTCTAGAAATCGAACAACATCATCACTCAAACTTACCTCCTTGTAGTCCACTCATGCATATCGAACTAATGACCAATAGCAGGAGATACAATGCCATGTTGATACAGTCTGAAAGAATAGGTTAATAATTCCACAAGAGAGAGTGCTCGCTTCTTTCTTTTAAGTTTCTATCGAATCGTGTGACGGTAACTAATCTCACTGAGTAAAAATATGATTTAAATCGCCAGATAAACACAACTCTCTTTCATTACTTTACGTCGTATGTCCAGAGTGACAGTCTTCAAAAACCTTCTTCCTATATATACTGTCGACGTAAAAAGAAATCACTTCATAGCTATTCTTCACATTGCAGTGTTTGAATAGTTCCTTTTTAATTTTCAAAACATATAATGTGGAAGCAGTCTTTTCGATTTTCATTTAAAGCGAGAAAGCATAGTGAGCACATGCAATCGATGAAAAAAGCTACTATTTACTTAAAATCTTAGCCAAAAATGCATTTTTGATAAATATTCCCAAATGTATTAACACTTGAAATAACGGAACTGAAAAATCATATTTGTTGACTGAAGCGCCATTTACGTTACTCGCGTCTCAGCGCACATTCTGTATCTTTACCTGTAATATAAACATTACGCAAAGTCTTGTTTTTTAGGCAAAAAAATTTCTTTCCACTTTCTATTTCTGACGTAAAAAATGACACCAAGATGTGTTGCAAATGTCAGATACGGACTATGCCGGAAGGTTCGTGAAAAAGTCGATTTTCCAAAAGTCATGGATATAAAAAATGTACGTAATTACCAATCTGAAAAGATTGTTAAAGCCATATTTTTCTTCAACTCAAGTCTTCGATGCTGATCAAGCGATAAATACAACTTTCTCGAAGTGCTTTTAATTTCGATTGTTATCGGCGATGATCAAGTTCAATTGAATCGAAGGTATTGTTATTATATTTGAACTAATTTATGGCATGTGCCTTTTTGTCGATATTTCTTACCAATGAAGTTCTTCAGACTTCGCAAAAAATTCAGGGCTTTGACTTAAAAAGAAAATTTTGAAGAAGACGTACTTTTCGACTGAATGTTACCGTTTATAGAGAATACTTTAGTGTAATTAATTCAAATACATGGATTTATCTGGTGGATAACTTTAACATATTGTAGGTTGGTTTTCCATCTAGTGATCTGCGAAAGTCCATGAATACGATGTAGAGAAGGTTGTTGTCTTAGACACCTTTTGCTATATTACTAGAGATTGACCTATATTGAAAGTTCATTAAAGATTTGCTTGTTCACTTTGTCAGAAACATTGTAAAGAACGAAGTGGCTTTAGCTCACTTTCAAATAAAACACAGAGCAAATGAATCCCTGATAGACTACATCGACAAAGTACAGATACACATTTATAGAATGCCGGTAAGAACTTCTAATTAGTTCCTACAGAAAATGACCATACACTTAATGAAAGTTAATAATGGATTTGAGTGGTTGCTAATATTCTCCTAGAATGTCAAGACAGATTTCCGGTGGAATTCGCTATCAAATTATACTGATTGATATGTTCTGTCTCGATCGCTAATCCTTGATGATCGTTGTTCAGAGACTTCACACATCAATGAAAGCCTACATACATTCCTAAAGTCCGAACTGCTATTTATAAGAAGGCTAACAACGTTCTTGCTTACTCTATACGAGTAGCGACCGCCTCTTCACATTTCTTATCTATTGAATATTTTTCTAGTTATTTTCGAGATATCATTCAAGTAAGATCTGTTCTGTATGACGATGAAAGTGTGCTTCGGGAATGCACCAGTGGTTTTCCTGCGTTTAAAACATCAGACAAGATATAGATACCTATCATGAAAAAAATGAATCTGCACAGAATATTAGTAAGCTACTTCCAATAAAGTAATTTCAATACTTGTCGATGATCTTCTGCAATGAGTAATATGAATGAATTTAACATACATCTGTGCTCATTTTTGTTTTATGAGATAAAACATATAACAGTTAGAAAAACATTTTCTTGACCTTTTACACGCACATCAAAGGAGTTTTATTGATTAAATTTAGACAAAAAGAATTGAACTGTATGTCAATTCATAAGCAAGTTTTGAGAATGAATATAAAACAGACGGAAAAAAAGTATCGTTGAATTTTTGGTAAAATCATTTCCAAGTAATAGTTATCAGTCAATTAAATTCAGCAAGTTGGATAAAAGCATGGTCTAGTTCCGTTAATTGCTCCGGTAGCTACACAGTTATCGCAATGGGCTCCAGTTTGAGTAATGCATAGACGTTGTCTCACATATGATCCAGTTCCACAAGTAACACTGCATGCACCACTTACCCATGAAGACCAACTACATGCTAAATAGAAAACGAGGCATCTCTGTAGTAAAAGCGAATGAAAACAATCTCGAATTAAATCGGTGTTGTTGCTTTAGATAGCGTTATGCACACAGTGCTATACAGATACACGATCAAACGTTCAGTCATACTGTTGACTTCGTGCAAAAATGAGGATTGAAATAACTTACATGAGCTAGCAAGCGTTGTAGTAGAGGCACTTGTTGTAGCCGAGGTGGATGTGGTAGCGGAGGTGGATGTTGTAGCAGAGGTCGATGTTGTAGCAGAGGTGGATGTCGTAGCGGAGGTGGACGTTGTAACAGAGGCACTTGTTGTAGCAGAGGTGGATGTCGTAGCGGAGGTGGACGTTGTAACAGAGGTACTTGTTGTAGCAGAGGTGGATGTCGTAGCGGAGGTGGACGTTGTAGCAGAGGTCGATGTTGTAGCAGAGGTGGATGTCGTAGCGGAGGTGGACGTTGTAACAGAGGCACTTGTTGTAGCCGAGGTGGACGTGGTAGCGGAGGTGGACGTTGTAACAGAGGTACTTGTTGTAACAGAGGTACTTGTTGTAACAGAGGTACTTGTCGTAGCGGAGGTGGACGTTGTAGCAGAGGTACTTGTCGTAGCGGAGGTGGACGTTGTAGCAGAGGTACTTGTTGTAGCCGAGGTGGACGTGGTAGCGGAGGTGGATGTTGTGGCAGAGGTACTTGTGGTAGCGGAGGTCGACGTTGTAACAGAGGTACTTGTCGTAGCGGAGGTGGACGTTGTAGCAGAGGTACTTGTTGTAGCCGAGGTGGACGTGGTAGCGGAGGTGGATGTTGTGGCAGAGGTGCTTGTAGTAGCGGAGGTGGACGTGGTAGCGGAGGTGGATGTTGTAGCAGAGGTACTTGTCGTAGCGGAGGTGGACGTTGTTGTTGCTGTTGTAGTCGTTGTAACCGAAGTAGTCGTTGTGCTTGTTGTGGATGTTGTAGTCGTGGTCGTAGTTACTAAAATGCCCAAAACACGAACATTATCGGTAATAGTGTTAATGAATACATACACTGATTGTAAACACAAATAGAGTTTAGCACGATAGGCATACAAATTGCTGTCTTACAAAAGCTGTTAGTGACACAAATACTAATATTCATTGAACAAGAAATATCCTCGTTTGGGTAGCAGGTTTCATAATATGAACAATCAGTGTTTGGTGCGCAGATCATTCCATCCGTGTTTGTTTGGAACAGGTGACACTCGAAAGTAGCAGAACAATTGCCACTCGCCGATGTTTGATTTGACCATCCACATAAAGGAAGCGAATATCCCGATGCGTTCCGTCCTGTTAGTTCTATAACTCACACAGTTCTAGAAATCGAACAACATCATCACTCAAACTTACCTCCTTGTAGTCCACTCATGCATATCGAACTAATGACCAATAGCAGGAGATACAATGCCATGTTGATACAGTCTGAAAGAATAGGTTAATAATTCCACAAGAGAGGGAGAGAGTGCTCGCTTCTTTCTTTTAAGTTTCTATCGAATCGTGTGACGGTAACTAATCTCACTGAGTAAAAATACGATTTAAATCGCCAGAAAAACATAACTCTCTTTCATTATTTTATATAGTATGTTTAGAATGAAAGTGTAATAAAAATATGTCTCTTGTGTATACTGTCGACAGAGAGAAAAACATTTTTGTAGCCACTGCTTGCAATCAAGACATCTGAATGTTTTATTTTTCTGTTGCCAAAGCATGTACTTTTCAAATAGCTCTCTTTCTTTTTCATTCAAAATGAAAGCACTCTGAGCGCATAATGATCGATGAGAAGAGGAAAAAAACTATTACTGCTTTTGAAATCTGATAAACAGATTGTGTTTATAATAAACACTCGGCTATTTACTATTGATTTAGATAGCTAAACTGAGAAATCTTATTCATTGATGCAAGCAACGTTCACATTGTAGCCATGTCAACATGCGTCATTAACTACACCGACAGGATACGGACAAATGTGTAGGGAATGTAGGTATGATTTGTTAGTGAATTATCAAAAGAAAAATGAAACTTCTTTCGTTCTGGCGAACGAATAATAAGAGAAGTAAGTAATTTTGCGTATTTCGGATCATTCACCCTCCAGAAAATTTACTATTAACAATAGATCGCATGCCAATCTCTACTTAAGAAATGTAACGTCAACAAGAAATGCCCTTTTGACCACGCAAAAGGCCTGACTCATCTCTCTGCAATTCAAGGTTTTCGATATCAATTTCATATCGTGTAGAAAATGATAGACTCAACCAAACATTTTCTTCCCATGCGGTTCATGAACACTCGGTTATGCAATTGATTTATTCACGCATACACAACGGCAGAACAACGATTCATAAGAAAGAGTTATCGTGTTCTTTGATGTAACATCAGTGTAAAGATCTTTAAACGAGGCGTTCTTTTCAATTATATGATCTGTATTTTAGATATATTTATTATTATAAAAAAAACACAACATAGATCTTTTGTTGTATTTCTCATGTCATATTTTGATCAAACCACTTTTCTTCATTCGCTGTTGCTCTGCATCTCTTGCACTTGCTGTTTAAGTTTCTCTGGTTCCTCTAGTTCTTGTTGTTGTTTTTTCTTCTTCTTCTCCTCCTCCTTCTCCTTCATCTTTTCTTCTTTTCGTCGTTGTTTTTCTTCTCTCCCTTTCGCTTTTCGTTTTCTCTTCTTCTCCTTGTCTTCCTCCTCTTCACTTTCTTCTGAAGAACCTTCACTTTCGTCGTCGAATTCCTTTAAGTTGCGTTTCACTTGTATTCTATCTATTGTTCGATAGTTCACTCGTTCAATTGATACTCCTGGAACCTTCATCAAGGGTCCCATATCCCCAAAACCCATATCTTCCGATGGTCCTTTAGGGAGATCATCCATGTCGCGAAGACTGGCGGACTGTGGGCGACCATGTCGATGACCTCGTTTAGGTGGTTTGTGAAACGGCTTCTCTTCCACTAGAAATGAACAGAAAACATTTTTGAAATAGATGATAATAATGCCTAATTACCTGGTTTGCTTTCTTCATGGGCGTTCATTTGTTCATCTAAGTTGTTGAATCCATCCGCTGATGCATCTAACAAGCGTTGACCATAGGTCGCTAAGACGAACAAGCACACATTGTATCTCTGACCGCACAAAGAGCATCGAAAATCGATTTCACTTACCCAAAGTGCAACATGTGATAAAGAACACTATGTATTGAGTTTGCATGATTCGATTTGTCTTTTGACACAGGTAAAGTAAAGTATCGTGTCTTTTGTTCAAACCACGAACTATATATATGTTTTCAGAGATCAACCATATTTGCATTAATCCATGTCAAGTTATATTTCGATCTTAAAAATCCACCCTTACATTACTCACTGTTTTCATTTTATTTAGATTAAGTTATAAGGTCATAGGCACGAGATTAATGCTGATACAGCTATCTGAATAAAATTATTCGTATTACATTAGGCCTTCGACGTACTTTTATGCATCTAAAAGCACATTGCACTATGATCGGTCCTTTTGTCGATGACATTTCGTCAGTCGAAAAATAAATCAACACAAAAACAATCTCAATCTTTTACATATAATAGATATGTTATTTAAGAATATCATTTCAATGAATAATTTTCCTCGAAACTTTAAAACAGAACTTAACTATTACAGTCCTCAAGTTCATTTGGTTACAACCTTTTCTCCCATGTAATTCTGTGGCTTTCCGCCATCGGTAATGACAAAGTTTCAATACGAATAAATTGTCTAAATGATTTAGTCACTGAGTATGTGTTCTGATTATCTACGATCAGTTTAGTCGGTATTTCATTCCAGCCGTAGATAACTAATGAACCTAATATCAATGTAGACATAGACGTGTAGTTATTGGCAATGATATCCATCGAAAACAAACGATTTGCTGATGACCATTTGAATATTGCATAGTAATATTTTCGAGAGTCGATCGTACTTAAAGATTCGCCATCATCGTAGAAAAGATCACCTTCTGCTTCTCCGTTCGCGTTCAGTACGATGATTAATTCGAATGGTTTAGTCCTGGAAAGACAGGAGCAAAGTTTCGTTATGTTCAAAATAAACACTGAACTGTCTACCTTGATATTTTCGTATTCGAAGCATATCCTTGTGTCGGCACGATGGTTCCACCTCGCAACAAAATTGGAATGGTTTCTAATGGTGCGTCTAGAGTTATAAACTGTTGTTTCGCTTGAATCAGTGCACCGGTATAATAATCGTACCAATGCGATGACGGAATATACGCGCGAACTTGTCGTGCTCCTTTGTCAGTCACTGGAACTATCATAATATGTGATCCAATGAGAAACTGGAGATAAATATCCAGTGCTGTTTTATCAGTAGGATATTCATGAAATAACGGGCGAATAATTGTCGAACCTTGTGTATGTGCTTTATAGAATAATGTATAATAGTATGGTAGAAGGTTATAACGAATGCGAAGAACAGAAATCATAATAGAAACAGCAGGTTGAGACCAAGAAGCAGGATCTTGTTCGAATTGTTTGTTGCTACTATGCTATAAAGAAGAACAAGAGAGGAAACTGAGACATATGGAGATATGATTGTTCATACGATTCGTGAAAACGGATAGAAAGCACCGAGTTGTATCCATCTANTAGAATAATGTATAATAGTATGGTAGAAGGTTATAACGAATGCGAAGAACAGAAATCATAATAGAAACAGCAGGTTGAGACCAAGAAGCAGGATCTTGTTCGAATTGTTTGTTGCTACTATGCTATAAAGAAGAACAAGAGAGGAAACTGAGACATATGGAGATATGATTGTTCATACGATTCGTGAAAACGGATAGAAAGCACCGAGTTGTATCCATCTAGAAGAAAAAATGTATGGAACTTATTGAGCAATTCGACAATGCAATACCTAATGCACATTTCTTCGGTAGGAATTTCATTGAATCCGCAAATGTCTGCACCATTCAATGGAATACCGAACCAATTGAATTCCACCATTGATATCAAGGATCGTTTCATTTCGTGCCATGTCGCAGAGTTGTCACCAAACCAATGACTACTCCACTGACCAGATCCCACAAACGTTGAACGCGAAAGAATCAGACTACGTTTTTCTATCGTCGACCGCAATGCATTCCATGTTGCTCTAGTTTCACTCCAGCCATAGAGACTACGTAGCATAGAAACTTTATATTAATCTCGGTAGAAGCCACTAGACTTACTTGTGAACATCGTAGTGACGATATTTATTAAGTTCACCTTGTCGAACAGACATGCATAACGTATGATCAGACAAACGCGCGGATCGATTCGCATTTTGATCAAATCGAAAAACCGCTTTCGTGCGGTAAGGTGGATCATCGAATGAATTCTGAGTACATTTCAATGTATGATTGCTACCAGTTTCTAATGAATTCCATGGAATCAACTCATTTGTATCGAATAGTGCTAGACATGCAAGGAATTCGTGACCAAGAACATAGAAGAAACTACATACCAGGTTCATTCATATCGATCCACAGCCCATCGAACGTTAAATTCTTTTGACGAAAATTCTGTATCCACCGAGTCCACCACATTTGTGTCCGATTCGTAAAAAAGTCTACATCAACTTCATTATTAATCCTTTTTGTTTTGAACATATCAATACTGACCTGGAATGAAGACATTACCTGGCCAACAGGCACCTTTCATCAACGTGTTCGTTTGATCGGATCGGATAAATACGTCTTCCTGAATACCTTCTACAGTTGGTGCATACGTTTTCGTATCGTCGATCATCGTCGGATCGAGAATAATCATTGTTCTTATTCCATCTCGATTTAACTTCAAGAAATATTCATTTAATCCTCGAAAATTAACTGGATCAATTGTGAAATCTTTGCGCGCATCCATATAATCAATATCAGCATATTGCACATCGAATGGAACATTAGCATTGCGATTTCGTTCGAGAACTGTTTGCATATGCGTGAGATTAGAATAACCCCAACGAGAGAGTTGAAACCCGAGTGACCAGTATGGTGGCAGAAGGGGTCGTCCAATGAGCCATGTATACTGTTGAATAACTTGTTCAGGTGAAGGACCGAGAAAAACGAAAAAATCAAGTATACCGCCGATTGTACGTACTGTTAACGATGGTATTGAATCGAATGAATAATCCATAGCATTGGAATTGAGTAGCAGAACGCCATGCATATTACCCGATGGTCGTTCGTCAGACTTCGAGGTTTGTTCCATAACAACGTAGAATGGATGCGCACTGTAATGGTTTGTGTTCGATCCCCAATTGGTGCCTACAAGAAGATGGCGAAATTCGTTAAGATTTGGGTGAAAAAATATTAACCTTGATCTCGCGCAAAAATCCCCCATGTTTTCCGTTCGTATACGTTATGTTTGAGTATATCATGATTATTTTCACCGAATCCGTAGATATGAGAAGAATGGAGTCGTGTGACGATTTGAAGGAATTGGTTATTGAGTACGAGACCACCGAGAGACGTATCGAATAGGATTGTTTGAGTTGAACGGCGTTTGATCATAAATGAAAATAAATTGTCAGGTAGAGTATTCGACGAATAACGAAATTCATACTGAGGTGATGATACGTGGTCGAGTGGAACACTCAAAGGTATTGGCACCTCATATCTTGGTTTATTTTGATCATAGAGTTTGAAGCGAAGTATGTCATTCGTGTAGTATTCAACATCGAGAATAACATTATCAATCGGTTCAGAAAATAAACTTTCAATAGCTGAATTTCGTGTCAACTTTAATCGTAAACCAGCTCCGGTCTGTTTTTTACTCAAAAGTCTGTATCCGCAATTCGGCTTTAGATAACACTGGATAGTATTCATCGTTGCTTTTTCATCGAAAAGACAATTACGTTTAAGACATGCTTCTTTCGAATAGTTCGAAAACGTGGAAACAGCGTCAGGATAACAATCGATGCGATGAGAAGGAGATTGCGATACTCGAACTACCAGCAGAATACTGATCACAATCAACGAGAAAATGACTATAATCGTTACAGGAATGATCCATGGAAATATCACAAACCATACCTATGGACATCAGTAGAGCGAATTAGTTCATCTCCAGAAAAAAAAATACAAGTAGACATAATCGAGCATATTCAAAATTCTCACCGTCGAACATTTGGATTTTCCATTGTGGAAAGTGTCTCTTCCACTCAATGACACCAGTGCAGTATTTTCCTGTGCCATATATTAATGCTGAGAGTACTACTGTAAGAAAACAATCTATACACCGCGCACGTTGGTTTAATGAAAAGAAAAAAAAACACCCTTTTTATTCGAGTCGAGAGGGAGTGAATCATATTTTCTCCCACAAAGATGAGACGCTAGTGACGGTTGAATGAGCCCTATGCCTGTTTCTTTGGTAAGCTATTTTAACGATATTATGATGAATAAGTATCAATTTAGATACGAAACAAATAGAAGGAAGCAAACTTATAAAGACACAATCGTCGATGAAACGGTTTCGGATAAATTTACCCTGATGTTGAAATTTCACGATTACTTTCATTTCGCTTTCTGTTCATCGATCAAAGAATTGGCAAACATAGATTCAGATCGATATCATCATGCATTGTTCTCTCACTACGAGTAATACACTTATGATGTTCATCCAATACACCTCCTAGCATCAAGTTCAATTCGATCTTGGTAAGTTATTTTCAGATTCTTATTGATGTCTTATGGTAGAAATAGATCAGTTTATTTTCAAATGGGAGAATCAATCAGATGGCAAGGACCGGAAAAAATTCATAAAAGGAAATTTTTGTCTTGGTATTTAGAATAGCATTGATATCGCAAGAACAAATAGAACGATTCCAAAGTGGAATGATGACAATGTCGACGTCGCTTCATTGCATAGATCATTCTTGCAACACCATGTTCCGATACCTTTAACGTTGGTTTCCACGCAGGTTAAACTAATATCACGGGCTGTACCAAAATTTCGAGTAGTGGTTTTCTGTTGTAATATTCAATTCAAAAAAACATATCTGACATAAACTCGAACTTACTGTACAAGAAGCTCGTGTATCGTTGGTCTCTACTTCCATACTTGCATTGGATTTGAACGGATTGTTGCAGTTTGTACATTTATAGCACCTAAGACCATGTGTACAGTCACTTATTGCTGAAAAAGTAAGTGCCATTTATGTATCTTTTAGTACGTGATGTTATATATAAATCATACCTAAGAATATGAAACATACAAACGCAATAAATCGCAACGATGACATCGTTTAGACTTGATATATATTCGAATGAAACCTTCTATCAGAAGATAAAGAATGACTGTCGACAGATTATCGTATTGATATCTATATATAAAAGAAGAAAAAAAAAACTAAAACCTGATAAGATCTGTTTGTGAATTGGATAATGCACATAACTAGCAATCTGCTCATATAAAGCAAGAAACTACGTATAGTGATTTTTCATTGTTGTCACAAGTCGATTATTTATCCTCTGATAACAATTTGAAAGTAAATATATATGATTCTACATTGCGAGAGTTATTGTTGGGGCTTGGCAACGCAGAATGTCAGTCGCTATGCATCACCGTTAACATATTTGCTATGATCTTGTTTGTCAAATATTTTGCTACGGGCAAAATCTATATTGGCTTTGGATTTGAATGTTTATGAACATGTATGTGTTTATTATTATATCTAAGCAACAATGTAGGCTGCTACGATAATCTCATTTTTCGAGAAGATTTCTCTCTCTTCCGTGACACAAAACCATCGCCAAGCAACGTCTGCTCGCGTGCTGCTTCTCGGACATTTTCTAAAGAAGTCTGTTTCTCCATCATCGATTTTAGGAGGAACATTGTGTCGATGTTGTTAGACAGTGTTTGATAAAGTGCCATGCGGCTTGGAAAACAGCAGTTTTTTGTCATTATTTTTACTAAACTCTTTATCGGCAAAGAAACTTGTTATAATGAGAAAGATTTCTTTTGATACTGAGTCACTTTTCATGAAGTAAATGATACATCCAAATGTTGTTCACTAAGTTAGTTTCAACCGAAATTAACTTTCTGTAATGTCTTGTTTTTCGACAAAAGACTAATGTGTCCATCAAATGATGATATCCGTTCGATGATAGATGAGTACTGTACTGACCATAGTCGTGCTCGGATTCCTTCCTCAATTCGTTAAACGGATCTAATATATGATCATCATGTCGATAGATATTCAAGTAGTGTTGCATTTCAACACTATCGAAAGGTTCGATAACCAAGATAAAATGCTTTGAAAGCCAGTATCACTCCGTTGACCATAAGCGATAATTAAACTTCGTAAAGACATGATTCGTGTGCGGAAGTTCAAGCATTAGAATGATCATGTTTTTCGCTGACATCAAAAACTAAGGTAATAATTGAAACCAATCAGATTAGTAATCGGAAAATGAATCCCCAGCTTTTAAATGATGGTGGAAGCTGCTGATGACTCTAAGCTCCAACAAAAATATTCCAAATGCTTGAATTGAAACTGATCAGTCATTACAGTATCAACATATTTCAATTAATCTCCATTAAAGTCGGTCGAGACTGTCAAACACACTTGTCGCTCACACCGATTTTTGACGAATTCAGTAGATAGAAACGACTAATCATCATCATTCTGATTATTCGGAGAGAGATTTATTTTTGCTATTAAACTGACTAATAACGCGAACTGTTGACATTGAAGTCAAGTTCCATCAGATGAAACTTACTCAGAACTGAAAATTAACCACATGAATATAACAGCGATGAAATTCAAATGCAAAACAACTAATGATTTTGTAGGAATAAAAAGCGGGATTGTTCATCAATCCTTACTTCTAATTTCATACAACTGTCGAGATAATCTCGTTTGACTTTCTCGAACCGAAGTAACTACATAGAAAATATCGAGTACGAGAAGGAAATACAACTGTGACATCCTAAAGAAGAAAATCCACATTAAAAAGAGAATCGAACAAGATCAGTTTTTACTGAAATTGAATTTCTCTTCATAGAAAATAGAAGAGAAAGTGACAGATTAGCTGAATATATATTCACTTTCTTCAGGCAAATGTCAATGTCCTATTTCCGTACAACAAATTCATGCTGGTTCGAATGATCTTGATGTACTCTCTTTATTTCTTTACAACAATAAATACTGTACAAATAGTTTATACACTACGAAAGAATTCATTCTCTTTGCAGATATACCTTTGCTATTTGGTTGGAATCTTCGAATGGAAATTGTTGATCAGGTTCTAGCACTAATGATAAAAAACGAAGTTTTAACGTCTGCACATCTCGTAAGACAGCTAGAAGATTTAACAATACATCAATACCGATTTGATCGTGTCCAATATCCAAATGCTAAATTTTAAACATTCATCAGAACCGGTCCATCGACTGTAGCAGAATGATTCGCGACTAGAATTATGAATTGAGTCGATTCGGAATCGTCGGCATGCTATCTATCTATTTCTAATAAGGAGAATAAGATGATTACACAGTAAAGAATGATTCTTTTTGTTACTCGCATGATCGAACAAAATAGTCGACGGAATCGTCATCAACTTCCATTTTGAATGTTTTTTTTGCCGTTGAGTCCAAAATGATGAATCAAACTGAGCTACTATTCGTCATAATTCGCTGCGTCATATTCAAAATAGAACTATTCTAAATCTACTAACCGCGATTTGAGCATCATTTGTTTCCCATCGATATGAGTTGAGGAAATTCAGCTCTCTGGATGTCACCGCTAGTCATAAATTCTTCGATCTCGCATTCATCTTATCAATTAAGATCAACAACTGATCAAAGAAACTACGCGGGTTCATTGACATATGTGTTAAGTGCGACAATATGAGTGATGAAAAGGCTTCTGTTATTGTATTTGTTGGCACTTGAATATTGTGAAAATTGAGACGATTGACCTGCAGAGTGTACGCCTGAGATTTAGACGGACTATCAATCGCACTCGATTGATTAGTCGTCGAGATTGGTATTGAAACAGTGCCTTTTTTTCGAACATATCGAAGGTAAAAAGTTTTAGTGTTGGCAGATTGAATATTGATTGATTGATATTTGTATCAGTTTCGGATTAGCTGATAATCAAATTGAACAAAAGCGTAAAGAAAGTAGGCATCGAAGTCACGAAAGGATATATTGTTATTTAATCTTTACACGCACAGCTTCTAAACGATGGAACGATGGATTTGCATTCAATATATCCCTTGTGTTTGTTATTCCAAATGAATTGTCCGTAGTCTGGTTGTTTCCTTTCATGATCCGTGTCTTTGACTTTGAATAATAGGTACAGATAATGGCACAGTTTATCAAATCGGCAATTGAGATTAAGAAATATCTGGTACATTTGACAACAATCGAGACGTGTGTTCGATTGGTTAGAAGTTGAAAGCGTTGAACCGCGTAACTTTTTCGACACGCTTTCAAACGTTTGTTTGCGTTTCCGTTATTCTATAAGATATATGTGGAACGGAAGTAAAAAGATTGTGTTATTTCCTTCGAAGTCATGTCAAAGGGAACGAGAACGAGAGGTGATCAGCGGATTAAATTCAGTTTGTTGATCAATTGTGAATGACTGCATAGAAAGAGAAATCACTGTAGCAACGGTCTTGAGTAAAAGCACAAAGTTGGACACAGCAAAAGTCATTCGCTGTTGGAAGCGTGTTCGAAAGAACTGCACTCATTGCTTTAAGTGCAAGAATAAAATTATCCTACTTCACATTGACACTGCTAAGCTCGTCTTATGAATAAAAGTTACTGAGTGCACATTTATAATCGTCGTTGGATGATTTCTGATTACGCTAAAACGGCTTTTAACACATCATTAAGCAATTTATAAGAAGATTAAAATAATCAATACGTAAATGCATAAATTTTTCATTCCTAATATAAAAACCGCTGCTACAACTATACACATATATCCTTGGACATATTTAGATTGATACTACGATATAATGCTCATACTGTTTCTTACTATCTCATTGGTCTATGTGCATTATGCACAAAGTATCATGACCGCGGTGGCTAAGATTCATCTGGATTCTAAAGATGGACTAACCGGCTTTTTTATATTTGCGCAAATGAACGAAAATTCACCAGTAATAATCAAAGGGAACATCTGGAATATGCCTCCGAATACTGTTCATGTAAGTTTGAACTCTCCTACTCTTCTTACGGCAACGCTATCGACAAATATAGGGTCTTCATGTGCATGAACATCCACTATCGAATGACGTATTGAATTGTACAGCAGCTGGATCACATTTTAATCCGTACGGTAAGCTCAGTTCTGATTATATTTATTGATCTTATGAATTTCTGAAATCCTCTTCAAGGCACTTCACATGGTTCGATTACAGAAGACATCAATCATCGACACGTAGGCGACCTTGGAAATGTTACTTCGAACAGCAATGGACATATCCACATTGACATCAAAGATTCGATTATTCAGTTGTGTAATGCTACTCAATCGATTACTAATCGAACGATTGTATTGCATGCCATGCGTGATGATGGCGGCAAAGGCGGATTTTCAGATAGTAATACTACTGGGTACGCTTGATACTGCTTGTTTTTAGCCTTTCGATGTATGTTATTTGTTTTCATAGAAACGCCGGCGCACGACTTGCCTGCGGTACTATCGTATTACAGAAAGCATGGTTTAAGCAGTAGACAACATTGAAAACGAAATGTTCAGTTTCTCCTCTCCAGTTTTACTGTCTATAATCTCGCTTTCTTTTTCTTATTCCTACATGAACTTGAAATATTCAAGTCCCATAATAAAGTTACCTTTGATGTCTATTCGACTATGTATAAAATTGCCGGTACATAATTTTTTTATTTTCGTGGAACACATTGATAGAATTACAGTGAAGAAAAATAGATTTATTCAAGAACTCGAATAGTGACGAAGTGCCGTGTTCTCAAGTCATATGAACTTTTGAGACCAATTTGGCAGAGAATGACAAAGTAACGCGAAAATAGAGAATATTTCAACCTAAAAACTTCGTAAACGGAGATCGATACATCATTGATGGAGATCCATGCTTAAAAACAAGCCACTAATGCCGTTCGAATCAGTACGATCTTTCTTGGTAGCACCATATCCTACCACCCAATCTGCTTGTATTGGTCTGCATCGATCGGTTCATGCTGAGCTCATCAAATCTAACCATACGGTCATGGAATCAACCTCGACTAGCCTATCGATTGATTGCTGGCGTGTTCGTATTTTAGTTAATTTTTTCCATTCATGCTATCTTCAGTTCAACAATTACTTCCAGTCGCCTTTATTGATGATGATATTTGATCTACTTACAATTATCAACGTTCGTCAAACACAACAGCGAGTTCATTCGATGTTGCGCTACAGACACGCACAACACAAAGATCGATATCTCTCGCGAGTGTTACTTTCTCAAGAACTGGTCAATATTGTTTTTACCATACCATCAGCTACTTTTCAGGTAACTGAAAATTTCGAATCAGCTCATATATCTTAAACATTTCTTACATTTGCTTAGATTTATCAACTAACAACCAACAATCTGTTTAGAGACGATCTGCAGAATACAAAGATCTTGCCTTTTTTCACACTAGCATTCAATTTGTTCTATATTCCATACTGTGTTAGTTTCTATATACGAATACTAACAGCAAGTATACTCCAACAAGAATTAAAACAAATTGTCATCCAGCGTTACCGTCGATTCTCTAAAAGAAATAATCTGTGAACATCGATTACAATTAGAAATTCAAATTGAACGACACGTAAAGTATCTTTCGTTACGTACGACCTATCTTTTTTAGCTGTAGATGGTATTTTATATTATTGACATCATCTGTGTGAGTATTACCAGATGTTTTACGTTTTAATTGATCATTCCTCTTATTTTTCAAATAAAAAAACGTGAATAAATATCTCATTCATTCGTTGCTTACCTTCGTCTGGTATAACTTCGTCAAATACTTTCGTACTAATGGAAAAGTATATTGCGTATGCTGGAATTGTCTCGTTTTCCGCGATTTATTATTACCTGTACAGAGCCAATTTACAATCGCAAGAACATGTTGTTCGTGTAAATTATCCTAGCTTTGCGACGATCATTGTTATGAGTATAGCTCCATTGTTCTTCTTTCTGTTTCGTACTGCAAAAGTCAATGCTGAGATGGCAAAATCAACGCCACGACGACAGGACGACAAGTATCTTAAAAGTATATCGCGAATGATTGAGCGTTGGAGTGGAAAGCAACAACAAATTACTCGAAAGGAACCAGGGAATGAAACGATTTACACTCGACATTCACTTCCATCCGATTATTCATCATTTTATATCGAATCATCGAAGTCAGTTCCGATTTTCGCTGAATGTGAAGTTCTAGTCGTCGGTGGTGGACCATCAGGTATATCTGCTGCTCTAGCAGCCAGACGAGCTGGAGCTGATACAATTCTCATGGAAAAATTCGGTTGTTTTGGAGGCGTCATTACCACAGTAGGAATGGAAACTATTGGCTGGTATCGTTATGAAGGTACGGTGGAATCTCAAGGAGGAATTGGTATCGAAATGGAACGCATAGCAACGCAAATGGGTGGAACAATAAAATGGCCTTATAATGATAGTCAATGTTTAGATGCTGATTATTTCAAAATCGTTGCCGATCATCTTCTCACGGAAGCCGGTGTCCGACCTATTTTACATTGTGTGGCAGTCGAAGTCATCTTAGATAATAATCAAATCGCTGGAGTGATTACTGAAAGTAAATCAGGTCGTTTAGCAATACGAGCTAAACGAGTGATTGATTGTACGGGAGATGCTGACGTGGCATATCTAGCTGGATGTAGTTATCGACAAACTCCTAAAGATGAAATGTTAGGAGTTAGTACAATATTTTCGTGTTCGAATGTTAACAAAGAAAAATTTCTACAGTATACCGAAGAAAATCCAGCGACTTATTCCGATTGGAGCGGTCAGTGGGATCAGGAAACCTCAGGAAAGGAAGACAATCTACGCACGCCTTATTTAGAAAAAGAATTTCAAAAAGCCATCGATTTAGGTGTCATTCCAAAGACGACACACTTAGGTGGATCTTGGTCGTCTCTGACCGATGCAGGTGAAGCAACAAATTTGAATATCGTTTATATGAAAGATTACGATTGTACGAATGTACATGATTTAACGAAAGCTGAAATGGAAGGACGGAAAGAAACACTGAATGCTATTATGGCTTTGAAGCATGTGGTTCCGGGTTTTGAAAAAGCGAAATTGAGAAATTTCGGAATGACACTTGGTACGCGAGATTCACGAAAAATTATCGGGCGATATAATCTGACCGGAGATGATGTGAAAAACCAAGCACGATTCGATGATAGTATTGGAATATTTCCTGAATTTATCGATGGATATAACATCATTATTCTTCCAACAACAGGTCGTTATTTTGAAGTTCCGTATGGTTGCTTATTACCCTTAGAAGTTGACAACCTTTTAGTTGCGGGACGATGCGTTGCTGGAGACAAGACATCTCATGCAGCGATGAGAAATATGGCTGCTTGTACGATTACAGGACAGGGTGCAGGTGTGGCTGCAGCAATATCAATACAGCATGATGTAACTACAAGTGAAGTCGACATTCAACTCGTACAAGAAGAGTTAATTCGTCAAGGTGTTCGACTACATTGACTGATGATCAGGTTTTTTTACGACAGAATAAAAGAAAAGAAATAAATATCGATATGATTCTCTAGGAAATGATGTAAATCGTTGTTGTATGTGAAAGAACAAAAAGAAAATTTCTTATTGAGAGTTTTAACTATCATACGCTAAGTGTCACAAAGAGTAGCCAGTCAAAGACATAATGGTGTTGTTGGTCGAATAATCAAGTTTGTATCCATTAAAAATGATAGAACATCGTTTACGTGAAATGTGTCCGTTTGTTGAGCATGCTGGTATACGAGCGATTGACTATTGCTGCCGTCGAAGGCACGTACACTGAGAAAAGAACTCGCTATTTTCTATTTTCGGTTCTCAAGTCCAAGATCGCACCATAATACTTGAGACCGTACAAGATCGGAGCATTTGAATGATTGAGTAAACGAGCTGGTGGTTTTATATCCAGTTCATCCATTTTCAGACGAATATCATCATATCCAAACAGAACTGCCTGGAGAAACCCACCGACACCTGTAATGAAATTGACGTCATCCCACAGGATTGTGCTTCGGTTCATACCTAAATAGAGAATCACCTCTGAAAATGATAAAGGTAGAAAGAGCTCACGTTGAACGGTGGTCAAACATGTTTTATAGAAACGTCGGATGAGCTTTTCTGTTTCGTTGAAATCTTTCAATTCAATAAATCCAATGGTATGCATTGACTCCATTGAAGGAAAACCACGAAGAACAGCGTCCGCTTGCTTTATAGTCGAATTTTCTAGATAATTTAACGGCATGGATTAAAAATAATCATATATTCAAGTTACGTACATACTCGAATTGAAATTTTCATATTCCAATTGTATTTGAGCAATGTCGTCAAACGGAAAATGAAGATTTTTAATAATGTTAAGCCAAGCTTGCGGCACAGATTTTTGAATGGTACAACTGACCAAATTGACTAATTCAAGAGAGATTGAAGTTACAGCATCGGTAAATACTGAATTGTTTTTCGAAAGGTTGTGCATCTTTACCGGGTGGTAAAATAATTACAATACGAAAACAGTCAGAATTATTGTTAAAACCAATAAAGACGTTGTTCTTAATCAGTTTTGATCACCTGTGGCCGCAACATATTGTCTCGCTGCAAAAGCAATATCACCTGTGATGTGCATTTGGTATAAGCGAACTTCTGGGCAGCACTCTGAAGTGACATCAAATCTTGTGCGTGCACTTTCCCATGGAAATCTATGAATTTATATCCATAGCAACTATTGAAAACCAATTCAATCAGTTTACCTCCAGCCAACGTATCCAATGTCCACAGCTGAATGGTGTAAAGCTATTTAGTGTGATAGTATTGCTTTTGCCAATCTAGAAAGAAAAGGAGACTATTCTTTCGAAGAAACTACTTTAATTCGAACTTGCATTGGCTAAAAGAAAAGTACTGATGAAGATGGATACATCCATTCGAACGGGATGCATGAGTGAACCATAATGCGTCAGATTGACTTTCATCGGCTGTTATGCTTCGGAAGAAGATATTTATAAAGTACTAATCTTTCACTGACCATAATCGAAACTTCATTCAGCTATAGCGTAATTTATATCGAGTAAAGTTACAAAAAGATACTTGCGAGACATTTCTTCTGCAGCTACTACTAGTTCAGAAGTAATTCAGTATATTTCTGTGAAGTAAAAATAAGATGTTCGATTCGAATCTGATCATTTTCAAGTTTCTATGTAAACGTGCTCGACTCAACATCAAGTAAATACAATACTATTGTTAATTCTACGTTGAATTGCCACTTGAGTGTAGTAGGAATGCTTGCTCGATGACTGGCGTCGAAGTTTGAGAAAACTTCATTATCGCAGCATGCCTATGTAAGAAGAATCAACCGTTTTCTCCGTTGTGCAATCCATTCATATAGATAAAATCGCTGGAAATGACGGTTGTCAATATACTATGCTTTCAGCAATCATTGTTTATAACAACCTATTCATTTTGTAACTCTTGATTTCTAAATATTATCTTCTCTTTGTTGTTTAAAGACAATAAAGAAGTAAAAGTATACTCTACACAATTCATTGTAACGATATCGCGTTGTTTTAAATCGCTTGCTTTATTGATATGTTAACATATAAGATTAGACAGTAGCAAAAGAATTCGAAATAGTTTCTTTCTTTTTATTCAGTTTGATTGATAAATAACTTTCGACCAGGATGAACTCGAATTGAGATTGATTGTTGCACCACATCGAAATCCGCCATAGCCTTGCGTATGCCAGCATAATCGAGAATCATCGTTGGTGGACTCGAGATCACACGGTGCGCGTGTCACTGCATCATTTCCATTTGCAAAACCCCAAGAATAGGAATTCGAATAATACCAACTAACACCATTAGCTTGACGAGTACAATTCATCGAAGTACCACAATTGAATAAAACATCTGATCGATTCCCCATCGCTGCTACTGTTAGAGTTAAGCTTCCTATCGGTAGACATCCAAGCAATAATTTATTTTGATAGCATAGAGTCAGTACCGAGCTTATGGCAGCTGCACTCAACGGTGTTGAGTATGTTGCCGTATAACATAAAGTCCACGGCTGCTGTACTGACAGTAAACTGACGTTGCGTAGGACTCCGCTGAAATAGAATGGCGTTTCTAAACAAAAGAGGTCAAGTCAGTACATTCGAAATAACAAAGCTCACATATTCAAACCTGAAGTCATAGGTAATGATGTTGGCGTAGAGCTTGTATCAATAATGGGTGAGGTCGACGTTGTTGTCGTGACTAAAATGTTTGTGATTGATCATACGCCACCTATGGTGATCTTTTCTAAAAAATTTTTATACTTGCAAGTTTCTCTTCTATAAAATCGTACACTGTTGCCTGCATAGCAGTAACAAGATTTGCTCGAATTAATGGTTCACTGTATAACAAACAACGTGGAGTAGAACCATCGATGAAAACAGCAGTATTGCATGTAAGAAAATGATATGCACATTGTGCAGCACATATAAATTTCTTTGTAACAAATAGTTCAGCCAGCGGAGAATCACTTGTACTATAAGTCATATGTAAATAAACATGTCCTGTGATTCCAAGCGCTAAGCCCGACCAGCATACACTCAGGCCAAGCAAGCCAATTGAGAACAATAATTGATATACCATTGTATTCGTGATGAAAAAGAATGGAGAGAATGAAATATTTATAAGTGCATTCTCTCGACAGTATTGTTATTTTAAATGATAGGAACATTTTACTGAGTTACTTACCTCTCCAGCTGTTCGAAGCCGTTTTTGAGTGAGTCGATTTCATCAGCAGGACAGTTTCCTTGTCATAAAGTATTTGTATCAAATTCATTCATGAAAAACAATCTATATTCAGGTTCTGACGCGGTGCTGAGCTGAAAGATTTGATTTCTTCTTGTATTACAGATATAATAATTCACTTCGACAGCATACCCGGCATTTTAATTATGAATATAGTTTCTAATTTGATGTTATTCTTTAAATGACCAGTTTCTATCATCTAGTTTCCTGTCAGTTCAGCACAATCATTTCCGCAGAAAAAAGTATGATGTCGAAAGAAACCTATTGAACTATTGATAGGAAAATCAGTCTAATATGTATTTGTATGTGTACATTCCAGGATTCGACGTCAATCGTTCTCTTCCTGTGGTATGTAAGTTGTGCAATGTCATGCATAGTACTAAAATCGAAATGATAGTAAATCGTGTATGTTCTGTGTTGTTTTCACCTTTGATCGAGGAATTATTGCTTGCTATATTCTCCAGTACGTCAGAAAATGATTTGTTTTTATCAATACAGACATCTAAATCTCTAAGCAATCTTTCCCATTGAAAATACGTCAACACTGTCCGTAAAAATGTTCGTTCATCACGACAACATGATAGGTAGAGAAGATTCTGTGGCGAAAATCTTTTCATTAGTTGGTTCGGTTTTAGGAGGATTGATTTTATTTTATTTACTCTTTGAACTGTTTCTTGTCTGTTAAAAATAAGTTTAACACGCCGATGTAATCGGTTTTTACAGGCTACTTTGTTCTGAAAATGATCTTTCATCATTTATTGGTTAGTTTACTGATCTTTTTCAAATTTTTCTCGATCCTAGTATAATCAGGATTACTCTTTGTGCAATTATTACTTTCATATCGACTCTTAGCCTTCATCAAATGTTGTTGGGCTTCGATGAATTTTCTCTCTCGCATGTAAACATCTGCAATAGCATTGTGTATCTCAATCACATAAAGATTTGTCGATGGTAGTTTTTGTTCTTGAATATCAATGGCAGATTTGTAATACGTGATTGCGTTTGCATATTCTCCTATAGTAGCATGAAGTACACCAGCATTGTAATTAGTGCGAGCAGTAGCTAAATGGTCGATTGTGTAGCATTTCGCACACATCTTCAATGCTTGGTTGAGATAATCTTTCGCTTTGTCATATTGTTGTGCTTGTGTATAGAGTACGCCGAAATTGTTCAATGTCAGCAGAAGTTCTGGGTGATCATTTGCATAGGCCTTCTTTTGAATTTCATATGCTCGTTGTATATTTCGTTCTGCTTGCTCAAAGTCATTCTTACGCATGTAAGTATTGGCTAATGAAATGAATACTTTCGCTCCAATGGGATGGTCAACGTCGAGATCCTGGGAAAAGATATCTAATGCCATTTTGTAATAGAAGATTGCTTTTTTAAACATTTTTTTACGTTCGTGAACAATGCCAATGAAATGATAACACTCACCAACGGATGGATGCTTTTCGGAGAAATTTCTTGTTAAAATCTTGCGAGCTAATTCGAAGTATTCGAGTGCTTGCTCAAAATTTGAATTCTCAAGACTAACACTACCGAGTGATTTATACGAATTACCAACGAAAGGATGATTTTCGCCGAACGTCTCTGCGTATATGGAGTGTGCATCTTCATACAATTTCGAAGCGTCATCATACCGGCCATTTTCTAGTTGTAAATTGCCAAGCGACTGGTAGCTACTAGCTATAGAAGGATGACGATCAGGTAAGACTTGTAAACGCATGGTCAAAGCGGCCGTGTACTTTTTTTCAGCTACAGAATCCAAACCTTGAGCATGATGCAAAGCACCGATAGCATTCAAACTATCAGCTAATAGTGGATGCTTGTCCGGCAAGTGAGCCTGACGAATTTTATAAGCGTTTGTATGGTGTTCATAGGATTCTCTGTAACTACCCTTCAGATAGAGTACCCAGCCAATGTTACTTTCAGCAGTAGCGATTTGCAACTGACTGTTGGAACTTTTCTCACTCGAATCCAAGTGTTTGAAAACGTTGAGCGCGTCGTGAAAGTTCTGTTGAGCTTTTTGATAGTGACCTAATTCACCTTCGATTACCCCGATACTGTTGAGCACTTGCACGCGCTCACGGGTTTTCATCGAAGAGTTTTTACGATGAATCTTTTCAGCACGCTCCATTAATCCTAGTGCTTCTATCAATAAACCCATGGCCGCCAAAGCACGCCCTTTATTATGATAGAATGGTGCGAATTCAAGCGAGTCAGTTGTCCCTCTTCGTTTGCTAGTATAATCAATTAAATCTGTGAAGTAATCTCTCGACTCGCGATACTGACCCATATCTAATAGAAGTCGTCCGAGAATGACTTTTTTATCTTCGCTCTCATATTCCGCTCTGGATGCGTTTATATAACGATTAACACTCTTATAACCGTCATCAGTTGCAACCATTGTTACGACTGTTAGCGAATGATCTCCGGATCCTTCATGTACATTAGTAATCTCGAAAGCAGCACCGAGACTAAATAAAACTTCGGCTTCACCTTGATATACGCTGTGTGCTGCGATATCAGCAAAGCGAACATGTTCCAAGCGATTTGACACCTGAATTTGAAAGAGTACAGGAATTAAATCGTTCGATAACGTGTTTTGAAAAGCAAATCCCCTAGCGACATCAATCGATTTGGTTGCTGAGATGAAACCATTCGTTGAAACAAGTTTATTCTGGCTTGTTAGCAATTGAGCATGTTCTCTGTTCGTCATGCGTTGACCACGAAACAAGCGCATAATCTGCGCGTTTCCCGTTCCACACTGTTTTCCATGTAGATCATCAATTTGAGCACATAGATCGACAATAAAAGTTCGAAACGAGAATAATGAACGAACATCTTCGGTACGTAGAGCTTTATTCAGCAACTTGTAGAGAAAAGAGTCACGTGTATACCAGTGGATCGCTTGTTCTTTCCTATACGTAGTTCGGTATTCTTCAATTTGTGCGAGTTCGCTTTGATCATCTTGCATTCGATAGTAATTCGAGCACATTTCCAACATTTCACTCTTCGCTTGATCATCATGCTGTAATTCTTTTAAAACTTGAAGCAGTATTTGAAACCAGAGAAAACCGGCCATGTTCTTGGTTAAATCTCGGGTCGTATTCTGTTTTCCTTGATCGAACATACTGATTCCGATCATTGTTTTTACTGCTGTTCGAATGTGATGTCGTACTGTGTCCATCAAAGCTCGATCGAATGATGAAAAACGCATTGCTTTCAGACGCTCTTCAGAAACGTTCTCACTCGATTGAATAGAATTTTCACTACTGTCAATGATAAATATCGAACTAACATGACTTATTTGACTTAATTCTTTGATGAACTTATTCGTTGTCTCGTTGATATCGACATTCAGAATGACAAATATCCGTTCTTTTGTAATCGACTTCACGAATGCTATCGATGTGTTCAGATCGGAAAGAAGTTTGACTGAACTTGTTATTGATTTCAGCTTTGTTTGCAGTGCTAACTCAGTTTCACCCACAGGAACCGAACCAATCCAAATTAAGATGATGCCTTCGTTGTTGTTTTTGTCTTTGTCCAGCTGTGCCGATGTAGGTTCAACTCTAGCGCTAACGTTTGAACCCATATCTAACTCTGTTGTAATTATATGATCTGAAATAAGAAACTCAAACATGAACAAGAATTAGATCAGTTAATTGACTTTAATATCAAAGAAAAAAGCTAAGACATGTTTACATTGGCATTCCTCAAAATGGTGGTGCAATTGAGATCTGAAAAGTGACTGGATTGCTAGTTGACCAAATTGGTATGTACTTTCCGGTTATTAAATTCACCGACTCTGTTTTCTTCTCTGATGGTGGACGAATTGGCGTTTGGACTGCCAGGGAACTGATAGTATTATTAGATCGAGACGCTCTCCCTATGTCATCTACTTGTATACTTGTCTTCATACAGCAGCATTCCTTTATCAAGTAAATTATACAAGCACATAAGCAAAATGCAGCACACCCCAGTTGAATGAAGAAAATTAATCGTTTTAATTCTTGCTGATTATATTCAACGAAGAGTGAAATATCAAAAATAAACTCCGGTGATAGAAATACAGCTTGTTCAGTGCAATTCGATGTTAACAAACATGTGTTTGGTCTCACAACGAATAGTATATCGAAACCAATGAGTCCTGCCAGACTCAATATTAACAAGATGGTACTAAAGATCGCATACTTTTTCAAACGTCGAATAGATCCGCAGTCTAAACATGAAAAAGTTAACTATCAAAGGAGAAGGATTTATCTTTTCAATTCATACTATTAATAAAAATCGTCATAGTATAATGGAATAAGATCACAGATGTCCAACATCCAGCAAAAACGTTGGTATATCAGAAGTGAAGGAACATATTTCCAACTTCAGTTACGGCAAAGACGACACTCATGCAAAGAAAAACGAGTCCCATCAGAATTGAAAGACATTTGGTTGTACAGAAGCACATTGTCGACTTTTACCTTGGTTTAATACTTTAATTTGAAGTTAAATATTCTCGTTTTGTATCATGATAAGTGTTTTTACGATTATACCTTTTCCTTATCGAACGAGTCATAAAATACAAGTTTGACTATTATATGCTCGAGAGGATTTATTCACAGAAGTCTGGTAACTTTTTCTACACTTGCAAATATTGACAACGAATAGCATAGATCATCTATTCGGATTCAACTAGCAAGATTTTGATACACGAGTCAAATTAATTCTCATTTAACAAATATGATTCAACGATATGGAATTCGATGAATTACAAATCAGCTTCTGAATTCCTAAAGTTGCATAAACCTAAGTTTTGACTATATCCTTTCATTACGAAATTCGGCCTTTTCGTCTTCGACTTGTCACAACGAAAATTAGTCGAGAAAAAACAACACTGATTACGATGTAAGTGGATTTTCATATACGAAGTAGAAATCTTAGATCGAGAGTCGGTTAACTGCGTTCGCAATTTATCTGATAAAAAATAAACGAGATCAGCATACCACTTTCATCCAGAACAAAAAAAAACGAGAAGAATCTATTCGGATTTTGCTAACGGGCTGCTCTGTTACATCACAAACTGTTATATTCATACACATATTTTATTACCAAACAAAGTATGCGATCAAAATCTCATTAAAAATGATCTGATCACCAAACCTTCAATTCGTCTCTAAGATCTGTGTATCTGCGTCATAAGCTAAAATTAAACACGATCTTTTTATTGGTTGGATTTATATATAACTTACATATCTTTTGATCGTGAATCGGCTTCCATCACCATTTCGAAGCACAAAGAAAACAAAATCTCCACCGGTGCATCACAAATCGGCCTATTCATATCTACCATATACACTTTTATCACGCAACTCTGGAGAACCTGTTAACATCTCACTTTTCTAATTATAGCCTTGAAAAGCAGGCAGTGTATTGATTTAGCTTATAATTCATTCATTGTACGAGTACGGGTTGCTAGAAAAGTTGCTCTGTACTCTTTATCGTCACTGGTGTCATTGTCTGTGATCTGGGACAACGACTTCAGTTCCTGCATTATGCAATTTTCAACACTAGAAGATCGCACTAGAGTACTTTTGAGCTGATCCGTTCTTTTTGTCATCCGAGGCGCACGAGTAATGCAGGTCTGTTTTTGAATGAGAAGCAATAATTAGTTTTTTTGGTTTTTTTTTCTTGGAAAATACGATTAAATTTTCTTAATCTTATTTGTGAAAATACATTCATTACCGTATGACGAAAGTCGATATGGGATGTGTCTTGTACTAAGCATAATCTTGAAGCGATTTGATAATCGCAAGTAGCTTTTATCATCCGAGGACTATACTTCTAATTTTTATTTGAGAGAATGGCATCCGACAGATAAATAGTGTTTCTTCTCGTCATAAATAAAGTTTGAGAAGATTGACTCTAACGGTTCAAATTTCCTGTTCAGATAGACATTTTCATTTGACCAACAATGGCTACCAACGACAGCAATTTCACTGTAACAACAACAACAGATGCAAGTAGTTGGTATACAGTATCATTCATTGCTAACCGAATTAAATTTTGGATTCTCTTTGCTCTACAACTCTGTGCGGTTCCATGTTATCTCTATATATTCTATAAGTTTGCTTACAAAAAACGGCTTTTTCACAATATTCAACATCATGTCACCCTTCTTCTTCTTATTGTTTCATTTCTATTCGTTACGATCAATCTTCCACTATCGCTTTCCTATATGTACACCTCGTACGTTTACCCATCTAGTTACTTGTACTGTACATTGTGGAATTGGCTCCATTATTCCTTAAACATTATCAATCTTTTCCTCATGGGCTTTGCCAGTCTTGAACGCAATTGGCTAATCTTCTATCCGAAATTGACCGCACAGAGATGTCGTCGATTTCTCTTTCACTATTGTCCATTGATATTCTGCGTAATCTATCCACCATTCTTCTATTTCGCGGCGATGTTTATTCATAAATGCCAAGCATATTATGATTACACTCAATTATTATGCACTTGGCCGTGCTATTTTTATAATTTACAATGGACAAATTTTGATCTATTCTTCAATAACTATACGCCACTATGTTCAATTCCAGTATTTTGCTGTGTGTTGTACATTCGGGTTTTGATACAGAAAAACAAGTTAAAACAACAAAGATTCAAATGGAAACGTGACAAAAAACTCATTCTTCAACTTTGGTCACAATCGAGTTTATATTTAGCCATGTGGATGCCATTGCAGTTGGCAGGATTAATTAATCTTTACTGGGATCCATTATTTCTGCTTCAAGATCAAATAAATTATATGTATTTGTTTCCTTATTTAATCCATCTATTGTATCCCGCTACCATTTTGATTAGTTTTCATCACGAAATTCCGTCTATTCGAAAAGTCACAGGCACTGTGGTGCCAATGCAAACCTTTCGAATAGCTAATATCAAATAAACTCACGTTTCTTCTTTTCAATAAATACACAATTCTATAATTGAAAAGTAATACTCTATATCAACAAGAAAGAAATTCGAAACAAACGAAGTTGAAAAAAAGACGGATATCGATATGAATCGTGATGGGAGTGTTGGGGAAGAAGGTAGACGGTGTCTGTTAATAAAACTTTGATGAAATTCTTTCCTTATGTCGATTAAGTATAGAAAGCAAAGCTGAAAAAACAACACATGTTGATCTGAATAATGGCGGAATCATCGGTGGACCGCTGGACACGATACCTGGCGGTGGCAGTGGCTATTGAAATGCAAGAAATCACTCGGTTCTTTTTTCAATCGCGAAAATGTACTCTTTTGTAGTTTTTAAGTAAACTTATTCAACAGACAGATGCAATCACTTGTTTTTCAAGTACAGACTGTTAATTATAATCTCCCTCTGACAGTTACAGTTCCTTTCCAGAAGAGCATTCAGTTGAGTTGTGCACGGAAATTGAATCGATCTGGTGGAGCTGCATCGCCATTTAAGGTGAAATCACTCCACGTTCCATCTTGTTGAATATTATCGGCCCATTTGAAATCGATAGTAACAGAAGACGATGGAATATTTAACATTTTTCGAGGTACCATCAACTCAAGTTCTTTACCCCTCATCGCGTACGGAATCGTAGTTAATTCAGTCCAAACATAGGAATTATTTTCTGTATTGCGTTCGAGAAATGTTTCTCCCAATGATTGAACATGTCGATTAATGACGTAATCATAGCCAAGCCAGCCAGTTGTGTAATTTGCATCAGTATTCAGAAAGAGTAGCATCCAATTCGGATCTGTGTAGTTTGTTGTCATATTATAAGTACGTACATAGAAATAGATGTAATCGCCGTTATAGCTGACTTTACTTTCGATAATGTCATTTCGACCGGTGTAGTTTATGTAGGGTCCTGCTTTTCCACTTCCAGAATAATTTCGACAAACAGGTGTACCTGGATCGGTCTGAAAACTAGGCTGAACCGGTATCCAATCTTGAAAATGACCATCGATGATGATAGGACTTGCTTGAACTGGTATTACTGATCGAACACCTTTGTAACGTCGAACAGAATCGACTAATTGATAGTAATAATTGTCACCGTGACCACCCATCATTGGTTCAATATCACGGCTGAATTCTTGAATAAATTCGTCAACGAATATCACTGGCGGAGCAGTCCATCGACTCCACGACGCATATCGTCCTGCTGTCCATTCATTCCATCCTGTAACAAAGATAAACAGAGGATCGATTTCTAATGCACGTTGCCACTGTTCAGCAAAATTTAAACCCCAATTGACTGCATCTGTTCGATTGTCCATAGAGTTATTATGATGACTGCGGCCGAACGCGCCTTTCCAGCTCATCGGTGCAGTCGAATTGTATTGTATTGTATTGTAATTTTGTGCGACACCAACAGCTGCTTCCTCAGTTTCACCTTCACTATTAGGAAATGCGTGCTGAGGATAGATCTCAAGCCATGCCCATTGATTAGGTCCTGTCGGACCTTGATTGTACGGAGCTATATTGCGACGTAATGTGAAGAATTGACGAATATCATCATCGACGTAATCGGGATCAGCTAACATTAGTGGTTTACCCTTCCAACGAAACCAGAGATCAGAATAAGATCCATTCGCATACAAATCTTCATAGATTGCACGTGTTGTCTTTCGTCCCATATCATCGGGATTGCCAAACGGACACAGAAAAGCAATTTGTGGAGTTCGTCCACCTTTTACTCGAATATCAGTGTAAACACGGCACAATTTTTGATAATTATCTCGAAAAGTCACACCATTCGAAACATCAAATATGATCACATCGACACCGGCATTAACAATCATAGATGCATGTTTACGTAGAATAAAATCATCGTCAATCATATAATAACCAAAAAGACTTTCTCCCCAAATATGCGAATAATCCAATGGTCCCCAATGAGAATCACTAATGTTATAAAGTGCTTCGGGATGTGCTTGTAGTATTTTGGAAACATCATACGGTCCATTAATTGAACCATCATGACCCAGATGTAGAAAATAGAACATTCCCACAGTACGATGAGCACGTGGCGGACCAACCTGACTGGCATTGGAGAGTGTTCGGCCCAGTGCATCGACAGCTACCCATGTATCGCTTTGAATATCTTGTTGAGCGATACATACGTGAAATGTGAGAATAAGAAAACAAAGAATCAACAACAGTAGTTTACTCATGTTAAAATTTAGGCAAAGTGTAATGATATTATTCAAGATAAATATTTTCATTTTTATCTACTGAAAAAAGTACATTCTGTTTGAAAAGTGTTGTTTTTTGTTCTATTTGCATACACACGTATCAAGGTTAACATTGTTTTCCGCTGTTATAATATTGCATCGATTGTTTTAGCAGTGTACGCATAATTACATACACGGAAAGACAATTAAACAGAACAGACAAAATGACATATCGTAAGAAAGTCATCAGTATCGTGGAGAAGCATTAATTCGATAACTATTCCAATCAGTTCTCTGATTTTTGCTTTCTCTGATAAATATTATTCGATCGCTGATCGAACCAACAGAGAGTGGAAGTGTATTCTGACATGGAAGAACACATAGAAATTATAGAATTAATTATATACACGCCGTTGTCAATGAATGAAATAACACAGACAGGAGACGCAAAAAGAGATGTCGATACAAATTAATATTGTTTTGTTACATGAGTATTAACATGTCGAAACTATTATAAGATAGAAAAAGCAATCAACATATTTTCATAGTATAACATACAACGTCAATAGAATTCCGAATGGAAATATAACTCAAAGTTCTTGGGATTAGCGTTCTGCATCTCTGCGCAAAAAAACTTGACACATAAGTAATTTTGTTTCATTTGGAGCCGACATAGCAAAATGAATGAAAGTGCATCACCAAGTTGCTTTGTTGCTACTTATTCTTATCTAATTCGTAAGATTCGAGAATTTAATTTGTTTTCTTCGAACCCATTTTGGACACCATCATTGAATCTTTCTGAACAAATTCTCAGTACACGACTATTTCTACTTTTTCTCTTCATCTCTCTTCTATCGGTTATTACTTACACGAGTCTTATCATTCGAACACATAGTATAACTCTCGACAAGTTTACCCGTGATGACTTCGAACAACTTCAATCACAATATCCCACAACGATCAATGTTCCTTGCACACAAGCTGCTAATCCATATTACAAATTTACTCAATTATCAGCAAGATTCCATCCCGTGTGCTCAAGTCCGTTTGTTGAAACTCAGTGGATCTCTTCTCTTTTCCTTCCGAATCAAACTTTTGACAACGCACTCGACTTTCGAACGTTCAGCTTCGCACAATTTCAATCACTTGCATTACTTTGCCAGATAGCTATTCAAGCTGTCAATGACGGTCTTCGAACGTTCAATTCGACTCATTTAGTAACCGGGCAAGTTTTTTCTCGTGCGGAATTCAACGAAATAGTTGATGTCGTTACAAGTAATTTCCAAGCGAATTTAATTGAGAATGAAAATCGAACAGCAAATGCTATTCATTCTTCTATAACTCAAAGTGGTTTCATGTCAGCATTACGAACGAACTATTTCTTTCAATCGAAAAATTCTCGCGATAGTTTTCTTATCTACAGTGAATTGTATCTACGAAAAGATTCCAAAGCATCGTGCAACTGTCGACTAGAGGAAAATCAATGTACTCACCCGGCATATCTCTTTCCCAATGCGACATTGGCAAAATTCGACAAGTTATCCATGTCTGATGCAACTGCTGGAATTAAAGTGAATTTCTGAACGAGAAGAAAATGATTTCAGTATTGATTTCTTTCATTTCAGATGCCAGGTCTGATGGCTGGGTGTCTACCAATGGAATCACTTCGACGATCAACCTTGGAATGCCTTTATGACCAAGCTTGTATTGACTTATTAGCCGTTCAGCCGAACATATCTCGACCGGGACCTTTAACGAAATCCGAGAAGTTTCCAGTGAATTTAACAGTCGGTACAATGTTTGATGAATCGTTGTTTATTGAATCATGGGAAAATCGAACGAGCTTTGAAGATTACTTTACACTTTGTGCACCACGATCATTGACCTACACTTACGAAGGTCGATTCCGGCTGGCCGCCCTCGTGGCAATGTCAATCAGTGCTTTTGGTGGTCTAGTCGTCCTATGGGATTTAGTGACACCGGTGTTTGTGAAAATTTGGTATCTACTTAAACCAAAAGACAAACCATCGACGCATTCATCTGAGAAAACGCCATCGATATCCAAAAAAAGAGGTTCGTTCTCCAATTTACATACAAACAACGATCTTCGTCTAATTTTGATTGTAGCTTTCACATCATATGTTCGACGACGAATCCAAACTTTCAACTTATTTCCACCCGATGATGAGAATGACATTGAAGAGGAAAGAGTCGGAATTATTAGTACTCGTCTCTACATTTTCTTCCTTCTTTTCGGCTTAATCATTCTTGGTTTTTACACTTCATTTGTTCAACGTACACAAACTTATACTACAACTTCACCGACCATATTTGAGTACAAACAATTACGCGCTCGTCACTCCTCAACATTAGTATGCACATGTTCACGTTTCTCGATGTCCTATGGACGTTTTATGTCTATCTCACCTCAATATCATCCCATTTGTTCGAGCAAATTCATCACAAAAACTTGGTTATCTTATTTCGAACTGTTTGAAGTTAATCTAAATTCCACGTTCTTCATCGGTCGAGACTTTCGTATCAGTGGTCAATCATTTTTCACCATCATGCGTGCTCTTTGTCAAACAGCAAAAGAAACCGTTGAGCACGCAATTCGTTCGTTTTATTCACGTCGGTTCGTCACCGTCAATATCTTATCCAACAAAAGATTTCAAGATCAAACAAAACAACGTCTAAAGCAATTCGAACAAGAAACTAAAGCGTACTATGTCAATCTTCCAGAATTACTCCGTTCGTCATTTCATATCAATCATTTAATTACAAGTTCGCTAACAAGTGCTGCATTCTCATCGATCTTTGATAATCAAACGTCGCAATGGATGCCAACCTTTTACTCGCAAGATATTTACAATAGTTCATGCTCATGTGCAATCTCATCTCAATGCGTTCGATCGCAAGGTTTTTACCTTCAAAACGATAACGATAATCTCCATCCAAAAGTTATCATTCCAGGATTGTATCACGGTTGTTATACGATCGATTCGATATATTTATCCAACTTGGAATGCTTGTTCGATAAGATGTGTCTTCAATTGTTAATTGATATGTATCACTACGATGTAGGTGATCTACTTCAACCGTTAGATGCGCAAATTCGCGCGATTGAATCATTGAAATCGGAAGAAAGTGGATTTGCGCCTAATACAACTATCGGAACTCTAGTCTCACAATTATTCATTGAAGACTGGGGAACATCAGGAAATTACACGGCTTATTTCGAAAGATGCTTACCGAAAGAGTGTACTTATAGTTTAGTTGGACGGTTCGATTGGACGTATATGATCGCGACAATGCTGGGTTTCTATGGTGGATTAGGTGCTATTTTAGATATTATTTTACCGCATATTGTTAGATTTCTCAGACGACGATGGAAAAATCGACGAACGGTAACACCAGGTAAGTNAGACTGGGGAACATCAGGAAATTACACGGCTTATTTCGAAAGATGCTTACCGAAAGAGTGTACTTATAGTTTAGTTGGACGGTTCGATTGGACGTATATGATCGCGACAATGCTGGGTTTCTATGGTGGATTAGGTGCTATTTTAGATATTATTTTACCGCATATTGTTAGATTTCTCAGACGACGATGGAAAAATCGACGAACGGTAACACCAGGTAAGTATCTTCTCTTGAAGATTTTTATCAATTCAATTGTATGTTTTAGATCAACAAGTTACTTCGTCTTCGTTTTGTCAATCAATACGATCAATGAATCTCTTCTCTAGTAAAGAAAGTTCGACAAATGTACAAATGAAACGCGAAGAAATCATTGTAACTCGAATGTACATGGTTGTCTTTATTCTCAGTCTTATCGCTGTTCTTCTCTATGCTGGTCCATTTACAGAAGAAACTCAAACAACAGTGATCAATTCACCAACATCGGACATTGTCAATCATCTTCATTCGCGGAATATTTCAACATTGTCATGTCCATGTTCGACTGCAGCTGTTCGATATTCGAAATTCTTGTCGATTACACCTGAGTACAATTCAATATGTTCGAGTGATTATGTGAAACCATCCTATTTGATTAGTCTCGTTGAAAAGAAGGATCCGATTTCTATCCAAATCGCAACTCATTATAGTATTCTATCATCTCTTTGTCACCAAGCTCAACGTATTGTCAAACGCACGCTCGATACGTTTTCGTCTCGTGAATTGGTCAGCGCAGAAGCCATGGCCAACCAAGCATTTCTCACTCAAGTAGAATCACTTCAATCGACGATTATTTCTCAGATGCCTGCTGATTATCGCCGAACGATAACATTAATTACTCGTTCGTTTGGCGTCAATCATCTATTGAATGTTTTTACGAAGAATTGGAGACTTCAGTATACCGATGAAAGTGAAAACTATGTTATGAAAACTTATCCTTATCGTTTTCCCTCATCAAACTGCACATGTGCTCTGTCATATGACTGCACCGAAGAAGTTCTCGAGAATATCGTTAGTGGATGTTTTCCGTTCGATGGATTTCGCTTATCAAAATTAGATGATAATAACATGACATATGGTGATTTAAGTGAACAACTTTTTGTTGAAACATGGAAAAATCGTAGTAATTACACAGCGTATTTTCAGGCATGTCGTCCGTTGGAATGCCGTTACACATTACCTGATAGAAACAATCCAACACGGATGTTAATGACAACTCTGGGAATCTATGGAGGTAAAAATCGACTAGATTTAGTGCAGGATATAATCGATTTTGTTTCAGGTTTATCATTAGCTATGCGTTTGATATTCGGTCAATCTTTAGAATCATACCGGTGGTGGTCAGGAAGACACAGTAAACCACAAGCTGAGTTATGGTTTCCTAACCCGATGACAGCGTGAAGCAGTTGGTTTATCTTTATTTTTGTATGTTAACATATTGATTTTTCTCATACTAAGATAATAAAAATGACGCGCAATACATTAAAAACTTTAAAAAAAAGTTCAGTCAAGTGCTATGGTCTCACATAGACTTTGTCTATTGCCTATATTCACGACAGAATTGATATCGAACCAATCCATAGATCAGTTTGACCACCAATATTTGAAAGAACATCTACGACGTCCATCGCTGAACTTTGTGCATTCGTTTCAATAATCATTGTTTCACGTACAATACTAACAGAAAGATAACTAATAGGAATATATTCACGTCAATTCATTGGTCAGTCTGTTGACGGTGGAACACTTTTATTATTGATAAATGCTTTGATTCCGTTCACCTGCCATGGAGCTGGTGTTAATACAGATGAGATTTAAAAAATAAAGTTTGTAGCTGAACAGAATCTTGCGCAATCGGAACAATAGACATACATCAGCTTTTTCGAACCTAATAAAATATTTGCTGCATTCCTGTAACAACTACTAGTTACGTCACAAAGCAGCGCGACAGTAGTAGTATCTTGATTTAATTGATTGCATATACCATAACGAAGGATTGACACAGCACATTGATCGTGCCTACATTGAGAAAATTACATATAGGGTTGAGTACAAAGATGTATGCAAATCGTTTGAGAATAAGCATAATCGGCACCTTGATAAGATGCAAATAGAATTTCTGTTGAATGAAAAACTTTAATTGTACAATCTGTATGAGGAGTAGATAAAAGTTTATTGTATTTCTTCGTATAATCTAATTTATGTCTACTTCCAGAGCTCAAACATATGCCATCTGATTCGATCGGTGGAAATTGTGTATTATCATGCACTAACACAACAGCACCAATGCCTTAATCGATCACTATTCGAAATGAGCAAGAAGTATTGACCTACCATCACAAAGAAAAGGAATGTCTTGATGGCTGTGAATGTACAATTCTAGAGTCAGTTCGCCATTTTCACCCTCACCCACACCCTCACCATTAAACGTACATGTATAGACTAAAGATGAAAGGTCGAAAGACATGCTTTCCGTTGAAATATTTTTCATAATCCAATCAATGGCAAAACTCCGAACATATGTTGATTCAGATAATGTTCATGTTGTTGTATCGTTAGAAACAGTTAGGATTGGTGATTGAGTGAAGATTAGAAGCTATTCCATAAATAAATCTTGACGGAAGGGTATGCAATTGCAGGAAGCTAACTGCTGGGAAGTATTGCGACCATTCGTTTTCGGTACTCAAATCGATTTGAGATAGACAACTGAAATAGTTAATTATAGTTGCAACGACAAAATAGACCAACATACACGATTATGACAGCTTCCGCTTCGAACAATACCGGGAAGAGCATGAGCCGATGTATTCAAGCAGAAATCACGGACGATTCTACAACGACTGAGAGTTTCTTGTTCATGTATATTCGCATTCAAGAGAATATATGAGTATCTTTTCTAAATACTTACTTGAATAATACATACGCTCGCCTTCGCTTTTTTATACGCAATATTCTTCTGATAAAATATACTTGACTAGTTATTCAGGTAGGTTTCATATATGAAATCCTCTGTGATGTGATATGTCATATGTTGACAACGATAGAAGCTAGAGTTCGTTTTTGGAGCAAGTTAACCTTCCAAAGTCGAAATGCTTCTAAGCTCATATTCACGAATATGCACCAAGAATAATAGACTATGTCAACAGAAATGGCGGACATGTTTCATGAGACACGATGAGATCTGAGTTATCGATCTGCTATTTGTATCAAAACATATAAAGACTTTATTTAAACGCTACAGTAACTCGTACTACAATGTTCTAGTATAACTCACACATACATGGTGCATTCGGCGTGTTTTCATATCTTCGGTATATCGATACTTCTCTCTCGTTTCCTTCGTTCAACATTCACACGAAAACCTTTAACACCTATTCGACTCAAATGCAGTTCACGTTGCCGTTGTACAGTTGTTGCTATCGGATGACAATCTTTCGGACGATCCTTGATTGTCTTCATCGATGTAGCAGTAACCAGACTTTCGACCGGTATATCGAATGTTCCAAGAAAATACTTGGTTAATCCGTCAAGTATATCGAGATAATGCATACGATCACCCTCACAGATCGGCAAGTTCATAGCTGCGATGGATAACTTATTTGGTATAGGAATACGTAATGGTGGTTCGAGGCCATCAACGAAATCTGATAATTGATCGTATTGAATGAACTGCGTACCATCCGGATCGATCTGCTGCCATTTTTCGTAATACATATCATAATCGTCGTCAGTTAAACCCTAAATTTCAATGAATGAAACACAAACTAAAACAGATGTCATTTCAGAAAACAAGTCACCTGCTGCACTTCTTCTTGAACTTGAAAGAAATTCTCCAATATCACTGCAATGTACATATTAACTACAACCAAAGAAGTAATAATAACGTAACTAACAAGAAATGCTGTGGCAACAATTGTGTCACCACAATCGCCCTTATGCGATGGTAAATTTAGAGTTGGATCACAATCCGGTGGTTGATCATTGGTCAACGCTTGATAAACCCCTGACCAGCCAGCAGTTGTGCACATTTGGAACAGAACAATCATTGAATTAGGAAATGTTTCGAAATTAAACAAATCAGTAATGCCAGCAGACTTTCTTACGTATGCAAAAAACGACATTCCAAATATTGAATAGATGAACATGACAAGAAAAAGAAGAAGACCGATATTGAATAGAGCCGGTAAGGAAACAGCGAGTGCAAAAAGTAGTGTTCGGATACCTTTTGTACCTTCGATAAGACGTAGAATTCTTCCGATGCGTACGATACGAATGACACGTAACAACGTTGGATTAACAACAAATTTAGCAATAATTTCTCCTAAGGCTTGTCCTGAAGGCACACAATTCATATTGATATTCAATGAGAACTTCAACTTACCAAGAATCGATGCGATGACGATGACAAAATCGAAGATATTCCACGGGATGGTAAAATATTTTATATTCAATGCGATTAGTTTCATTAGACATTCAATAGTAAATCTAAATTCGAATATTATCTTTCAGATTTCATTCCAAATCTTGTCTTACATTCCGACGAAAATGTGATTGATCAATCCAAGAAGAAAATCATACGTCGAACTTTGATTGTAATGTTCGAGACACATACAAAGCATGTTCAGTAAGATGCACAGCATAATGAATATATCGAATTTTTGATTACGAGTTAAATCAAATAGAAATCCAGCGATAATAAACTAAAGATAGAAAATTGGCTCGGCTTTCACTCATGTGATTATAACGATTTTACTTTTGGTCTTGGTAAAGCTTTTTTTGGCTTCTTTTTACCGATTTTTTTCATCGCATTGTAATATTTCTTTTGATCTTCGGTCATAAACATTAGCAACGTGCCGCCGACTCCTAACTACAAATGAAAATCATTGGAACTATTGCTTCAGTGTTAACACATCAACTAACTAATCGTTTCTGTTGGTTAAAATTATCGATAACTACACCGATAAACAGATTCAGAGTAAAAAACGAGCCAAATATAATGAAAATTACGAAATAAATGAGCATATACACATTCGTTTCGTAACTCGGTTGTATTCCGATCTGAAATATAGTTAAAAGCAAACAAATCAAGAAATTCACTCTCTACCTCTTTGGCATCCGATGCATCAGCCATGATTTCCATCCAACCTTTGAATGTTGCCTATGTATAACACGAACTAAGAGCAATTTTCTTTCTCATTGGTTGACTTACAACTTGAAATAAAGCCAAATATCCATTCGGGACATTGTCGAAGTTAATACGTGAGTTTTCCCATGTGAAGTTTTTCTTCAAACAATCGATTTTATTCGTGACATTCTCCGATATTTTCACCTGGTCGTGCGTGTTAGTATAAACACATTTATAAAATTTTCCACCGAACAGCTGCACACCCATGATAGAAAATATCAACCAAAATACTAAACAAACAAGTAAGACATTGAATATCGCCGGTATGGCACCAAATAATGCACTAACGACAACCTATACAAAAGACAAAGATGGAAAAGGAAATTGATCGTTAAGAATTCCAGATTTACTCGAATTCCTTCGAATCGTGAAAGGGCTTTCAATGGACGTAAGGCTCGTAAAGTTCGCATTGATTTCAATACAGGAATATCAGCCACCTTGAACGCATCGAGAAGCGTTCCGAAAACACTAACAATAACAATGACAAAGTCTAAACCATTCCATCCGTTTTTAAAATATGTGCGAATTCCATACGCGAACCATTTAAGAAGTAATTCAATCGTGAAAATAATCGTAAATATGATATCAAACATTGCTAGAACTTTCGAAAATATTGCACGTTGTCGAGTATAAACATCTTCTAACGCCTAGACAATCAAAAAAAAAGATTTTCTCTGTATGATTGAGTGTTTCAGACGTCTTACTAGAGTTATACTACTGGCTACGATACTTGCGATGATGAACCATTCGAAAAACCGGTGTTGAACTAGTCGATGGATCGAACTTCGAAGAGATTTCCATTGGGTTTGCAGAAATTGAGGAATACATTCAGCACAGCAAGCGAAATACTTGGAAATGAGCGTCGGACAACAGTCGGGTGGCGTGTCGAGAATGTTTTCCGGTAGAGAAACAGCGCTGTCCATTGCTTGCATTTCGATAGTTTCTACAATAATCGCTTTCGATGCTTTAACTTTATATTTTATTGATTTAGTCTCATTTCGTCGGAGAATTTCAATTAGGAAACGAACAAATCGTTGAATTCGATTGATAGCTTCAGCAATTTTATTTTCATTCTCATCCTCTTCTTTTTCAACGAACACATTCGAATTAAACGATGCCAGCAGAAGAGCCAAAAACAAATTCAATATCTATGCCAATTCAAACTGAATTTTAGACTCGACAAATCTTCGGTTTCTACATACCACAAGATTCCCAATGACGAATACGAGGAGAAAAAATGGAATACACGGCCAACCAGCACATTCCAAACACACCCACATTGATTCAATCCATTCGCCACAGAGAACACGAAACACAATCCTTTGAAGAAGATATTCGATCATCATCCTCATCATCACGCTACTTTATTTCACTTCACTTACATGAATGCATGGAAAAAGTCGCAGAAATTCCATCGAGGAATATTCTTTCCGAATTTATCTTTGTACTTTTGACCGAAAAGCTAGAAATTAGCTTGAAATTTGCTTCACGAACTACTTGTGCGTATAGTTTACCTGCATTCCCATCACAGCGAATATAAATATGGTAATAACAAGAATCAATGTTAAATTTCCCAGCGCTCCGATCGATCTGCCGATTATTGAAATAAGACGATTCAGCGTGTGCCAAGATTTCGCCAATTTAAATACACGCAGCTTAATCAAATCATCGAATTCAATAAGAACTGTACGACTAACTAACTTACTAGCCGAAATGAGCGTAAGACACTCAAACCTTTGACATTCGCAAGACCTAATTCAATCAAACTCACGGTAACAATTAGAAAATCAAATACATTCCAGCCATTTCTATAGAATTTGCCAGGTGTTAATGCAATTATCTTCAGAATCGATTCAACTGTGAATATACTTGTAAAAATGTAGTTTCCTATCGTCAAAACTCGTGTCATCTTCTCGCTTTGACCGGGCTGGTCTAGTGCCATGAATAATGTATTCAATACGATGCATATCGTTATGAATAATTCAACAAATGCATCCAAGATGAAAACAGCGACTAGAGCCTAAGCGGAAGAATATGTACTTGCTGAATAAGTCAAGTTGCATACTTGAAATTTGTGAAAGATTTCCCATTGACAAGCCCACTCACAGCAGTAGACTCGTAGATATCGAAGATAGACACGAGCGGTGTCGGTATCTGAAGTTAATGTTAACTTCGTTTGATTTGAACTCTGTCCCGAGGTTAATCTGTTCGTTGTTGTGTTATCTTGATTTAACTAGAAGAGAATTATCGAATGAAAGGAGAATCTAACAAATATCGATTTCCTTACGGTATTTATTGAACTATCAATATATGGAATATCTGTTGTATCCTGGCATCGAAGCATCGAAATCGACTGTTCTTTATTCAATTGTTTCTTCTGAAGAAAAGATCAAAGTTTTTTCAGCTTCATATGAAACTTTGTGTTACTTTTTTATTTTGAATTTCTTTATTTTCTGCTTCTGTTTTAGTCTGTTGATGAAGATAAGACATGGAAACGATAGCTAAGATTAAATTCACCAAATAAAATGAACCGAAGAAGATCACAACAACGAAATATAAAAAGTGATAACGACCAGCTGCGGATAACACCTACAGATCGTAAGAATCATATCTAGCACTCATTCGTATGTTTTCCTTACCAATTGATAAAGATTCTCCCAATAATCTTGAGTCATCAATCGAAAACATGCGAGCAGTGCCCAACCGTAATTATCGAAACTAATTCAACGGAAAACGTTTTTTTTCCTAGAAAGCCGATTTTGTCATATCTACCTTGTATATCCAAAATTAGGACTAAAACATTTTTTCCCATAGATAATTATGAAATAAAACCAAATAAATTACTCACTTTATCCCTCGATCTTTCCAACAAACATAACCTATAGGACATCTAGTACTTCCACTCGCGTTACCACAAAGAAGATAATTCTCGTTGTCTTGGTACCAATAAGCTTAGAGTAAGACGGATGATGAGATGTCGTTGACATATTACAACCTACCTTCGTCATCTATCTTCTTTAAATAGGATCTATATGACATATTGAACTGACTAGTGTTCAAAAACGAATCATATTGAGGAACGCATTTTTGCCGAAGAACGCCCATATATAATTGCATGCCGACCTAGAATTCAAAAGTTAAGTTTTTGAAAGCATAGAAAAAGTGACGAACTAAAGCGAAGATTGAAAGAATAAACACGGATAGAACAGTCACATCACGTAGAGAAATAAACGATTGAAATAAAGCATTGACAATCGTCTTCAAACCTAGAAAGAAGATGATTTATTTACGAAAAGTTCGATATATCACCGTTTACCAGGTACAACAGCAACAGTTTTCAATACTCTCAATACACGAACGACTCGTAAGACGGTAAATTTGCCCATGTTAATGAAAAACGTAATATAACTAAAAATATTCGACTTATTCGAACATTATCTCGGTCAATATACATACGCAAAGATAATGACAATAAAATCTAACCAATTCCATGGATCGCGTAGGAACGTAAATTTCTCGAAAATAAATCCTCTTGCTAAACATTTGATTAACACTTCTATTGTATAAATCATTGTAAAAATCGTCCTAAAATCAAAGCTAAACATCGCTAACTCTCTGAATACCACCTACTCGAGCGTATCTGGAACATTATCAAGTGTCATACAAATACAATTCGTTAGAATTGTCAGCATAATTAGTGTACTAAAGAGTGAATGTGTTAAGATTCGTATAGCCAAACGTCGAAAGCAATTCAGTGGTGAAAGTAGAAAACAAGCGGGTCTTGAACTAAATCGATAGATTGTTTTCCTTTGATTGATAACAACAAACACCTATAAGGTTTTCCAAAAGCAAATGAGATCGATTCGATAGACACAAAAATCATACGTACATATTCTACACGGTAATAACAATCGATATCTTCGATTGGTTTACCGATGAGTTCATCGGGAAATAGATTTTGTAAGGGTTTTGGTAGTATTTGTCCTTCGGCTAATTCTTTGTTCGGAGAAAGAGGTTCCCGTGTTTGTCGACGATAATGTTCAATGCGTTGCAATGATTCATAAGTGAACTCGCGAAAGATAATTGAGTTGGAATTCATGTTAATATTTACACATGTTATAGATTGAATAAGTAGAGATAGCAAACTATTTCGCAGATAAATCCCGAAAATAATAATGAGAATCGATGTGGAGAAAGATTAAGAATAAAAAGTCATAATAGAAGCAATAGAAAACACATAAATCAACGAGAATTGGAAATGATTGCATCTTTTGCTCTAACTGAAACGACAAGCCAGATGGAAATCATAGCGATTAAATATTGATGTGAACAAAATTTCTTCTTACGAGTAATCCCGTCGTGAGATACCTGCCTTTTTTCCTCCTATTCGAATAGGAAAATCTTCAACAGCGATGAATTGTCTTGGTTAATGTAAACTCATGAGAAGAATGTCTTCCTTCAGTTTATCCGTTTTCTCGCGTAACGTGTATAGAGATGTCAAAATCATGTAGTATTTTTTTTCAATTATCACTATTAACAAATGTTATCCGTCAACATGAGATCGTACGTCTTCAATCATACAAAAATGGTATATACATATAAAGAAAGGAGAAATAATGTCGATGATAATATCAATGTTCTTTTTTTTTCTTTTGTTCTTTCATTCTCATTGAGTTCTTGTCTACATGAAAAAAGCGTTATTCTCTTAGAATCGAAATGAAGCGGCAATCAACAGATGATCGGATGGATTTGTTTCATCGGGATATGCTCTTCCGCTAGGACGATCGGGTAGATTCAAGACATCATCTACTGTCATTTGACCAGCAAAGAAGATATAATCTAACGTTTCGCAATAAACGGGTTGATCGAATGTACATGAATAGTTTGTATAAGCCGGTTCTGACCCATTTTTTTCTCGATAAGCACTTTTCAATATTTGTTCGGTATTCGGCCAGTAGGAAACTTCATAGACCTTCGATTTCGGAAAAGAGCCTGCAGGAAAGCCTGTTTTTGTTAATTCGCTATAACAAGCAGTGGTCGGCTCAAAGTTAAAGTCACCCGCCAATATCACATTACATCCGGAAGCATATTTAAATACTAAATCTTTAACGATCGATGCATGTATAGCCATTATATCCGGATATTTATACATGCAAGGCATATGATATGTACCGATACATAATGGTCTTTTGTTGATCGTTACTTTCATGCAAATAAGCGTATTAGACCTATCCATGGCTGCTTCCCAAGGATCCGGTACTTCTTCTGTGTTTTCACATGAAACGTCCTGATTCTGGTCCATTCGATTTTCCCATTTTTTACAAACTGAACGGATGTAATCACCGATTTTCACGAAGGATATGTCATCGAGTTGCATCGAGAGAGGAATAGCTATTCCAACTCCCATATAATCGTTCCATTCCCCACCATATAGATTATGAAACAAACTGTAGTTCATTCGACGAAAGAAAATTTCCAATTTCGGTAGCAAAGAAAGACATAGTTCTTGTATGCAAACAACGGTATTTTCATATTTAGTAATCTCCCGTTCGAACTGATTTTGTATGAGATTCCAGCGGTAATCAGTTTTCAAATACTTCGGATCACATTTATCATAATAATCGACTTGTTCAGCATAGATAGGCACTAGTATATTGTACGAGACAATACGAACAGCCATGGTAGTATTTCAATATATATTAAAATAGAAAGGATCTAAAAAGCAAATATAATTTAAAGTTTTCGCAATAGCAGCATGATAAACATCGCTACAAAAAGCATCGATACACAAAGTGTAAACACTGTTGATAATGAGAAATGCTAGAAAAAAAAACAAAAGAAAACATAAAAATCAGATTCTCTTTTCGATTGAAATATAATCCTTACTCCGAGTAAAACAATAAGCATTAGCAAAAGTTGAGGCACACGTAAATAATTCATCAACGTCGAACGTACTAAAAAGGAATGTCAGAAAAAAAGCCTTTTCTAACATAAAATATGTTACATACATTCATTTGGAATATATTCACTTCGCAACAATGCAATGGCCGGCCAGAATGTTCCAATACAGATTTGAAAGACAACAAAACCGAATAGCACAATGATTTGTTCCTTAGGAGAAGAAGAAAAGATATGAATAGATTCAATTCGAACATCTCATTATATCACTCACATCTGGCATGATAATCGGTATACTCAAGGCTAGGGCAGCGATCAGATAAAGTATTCTAAAATAAACACATGTCCACAAATGAACAGAAGAAGCTAAGTCACATACGATAGAAGCATTTGTGGCCGAAACCGTTTTAACAGTGGACCAGACATACACGCTCCAAACAATCGTGACGACTAAATTTTGTGAGAAAAAGATCGTAACATTTACAATTGATTGTCTATATTCACCAAATAGCCGGAATATATGTATCCCAATGGTAATGGTTTCGATATGGTCAGGTTAGTTGCTGCTTCTAACGTCGGCGCCCATTCGATTAACCAAATGTATGACGAGGCGGAAAACAGTGCATTACATAGTCCACAAAGTAAAATGCGAGTGTCTAAAATACAATCATTTCTCTCTAATACGACTAACATCCGATCGCACCTGCTCGTAAAATCTTCATTGCAGAGATGAACGACGCATGCATATGACTTTTTTCTCGTCCGTAATTCTCTGACCAATGGCAAACGATAAAAATGAATGTAATCATGAAAAATCCAACGCCAACAGTAAATGGAGCACTGAAAATAAAACGGGATGAAGAGAAGAAGAAACGACTTTTTGAGAACATCTTACATGTAACCATACGACTTTGCAAGCAGTTGTGCAAGAAAACCTGTTCCAATAGTGGCGATATTAAGATAAATATCTGGAAAAAAAACGATTGGATTTTTCGAAGAGGTAAGTGATCATTACTTACTTGCATTATTCAATGTGTATTCAAGATGTTGATCATTTAAATTCCGCTGTAATAATACTCAACAATGAATTCTCACTAAATCAAACAATATTACACAAACTTGTTTATGTTCTTGCATCAGCCACGCTTCGAATGCTGTAGCATACAGTGCATCGCCTATTCCGCGAAAAATATGTCCAATAATTAAACTTTGTTTCGAAGGAAAATGCTAAATATATACATAAAAGTAATAATGTCAAAGTAATAGTACATACGTACACATGCGACATGATACAACCCGTAGAAGAAACTGCATGACAGACACGCAAGTCGTCGTCCACTAAAAGATTCGCTTTATGTCTGATCATAGAACTTTCGTTTACTTACAAACGATCCGCTAGAGAAGCAACAAATGTGCCAACAAATAACGAAGCAACGAAACAATAGACAAAGAAGAGTTCGATTGTCGCGCGATCGATACCATAACTACTGAATAGTGCATAACTGTACGCACTAGGTAAATAACCACCGACTAAATAATGATGTCAACAGTTTATTTTTCTCGACTTTCAGTTGTTATGTTTCTTACTCGAGAGAAGAAGAAATCCGGTTAGATAAATTGAATGTAATTTGTGAGAAAATAATCGTTTTGATATAGAAGATAGGCTGAACATTGTCATTGGACATCTTTCAATAAGCTGTCAGTTTCTTTTTTAAACAAGCAACATTGAAAAGTAAGTGATGAAGCAACGAAAACGAAAATAAACGTCTGCAAATAGAAAGTGACACACTCATTTTTCTTTTCTTCAATCCAATTTAGCAATCCAATCAGCTGCTTTTTATAGATGTCCTCGTATTACATCATATTGTCGAGTTTATTTATTAAAAAGGAAGAAAACGTTGCTTAATTTTTATATTCAATCAATTTTTTCATAAGTTTCACTTCTTGTTCGAGATCTGTATCATTTAATGCCTCCATTTCCATTTGAAAGTGATGTAGGAATTCCTTGAATACTTTTCGGGATTGATCGGATACAACTAATGTAGTCGATTGTCGTTCCCATTCACCTAAATTGTTCACATTCGTTTCATCTACATGAGAAATAATCGTTTTCTTCTGAAAATGTTGTTCGCGTTCGTAGGTAATCCACTTCTTCAATAAAACTGCATAATTTACCAAGAGAATCGCTTTTCGAATACCTAAATTATCATAATGAACTTCATCGTTTCCAATTCGCATGTACATCGTTTGTTGTTCTTCATAAACTTTACCCAAACGATCTTCATATGTGACCGCAAAATGCGCTTGGGTATTCGATGCTTTCTCCAACGAATCTTTGACTTTTAATTTTAATTTCAAAAGAACAACTCCACCCCGTGTACATTCATCATCGTCCGTTCGCGATGGAAATAAAGTATTAATTTTGATCAATTCATTTCGCTTTGTTTCATCCCATTCAGGCGAACCATAAACACGTTCGACATCGAATATATTCGATTGCAATTTCATTTGAACATTGAATACTAATGGTGTTAAGATGAGATCGAAATCTTCATCCAGTAGTTTGAGAAATTTCTTCGAATTGTGCACGGAGAAATAATTTGCACCGCGATGTTTGGTAATCGAAGATATCAGGTTTGTATTGAAATCAATTCCAACGCCAACAAATGTCAAGTAAATACGATGTCGTGCTAATTGTTCGAGACGTGAATTTAAACTTAATTCATTTAAGTAACCTTCATTCGGCTGTGCATCGGTAAGAAACAGGATTCGATGGTTATATTCTTGATCTTCTATTAGAGACACGTCTTCGAACAATGCGGCGCAAGTATCAAACGCTGCACTCATGTTTGTACTACCATCAGCACGAATCTGTGCCACAAGAGATTTTAACTTTTCCATATTTAAACTATTGATTTTCTTCATTGGTTGGAAAATCGACGTTTGGGAATCGAATGTCACTATTGCTAAACGATCATTTGGTTTCAGATGATCAATGACTTTGGCAATAACTTCATTGGTTATCGACATTTTCGAACGTGTATCGAACTCGGCTTCATTGTTTGTAGTTTGAGATCCAGTACGATCATAATAATAACGATTGAATGGTGATGACATTGATCCACTTTTATCAATACAAATGACTAAATTCATTGGGTTTCGTTTGAAAGTTTCTTCAGTTAAATTAGAATTTAAACCGACAGTCATGTAATATTCCATAGTCTGTTGTGTTCGTTCGTCTTGTAACGGATTTTTTGTTATTGCTATAGAATAGGATGGACAAAACAATTGTTTTTCTTGAGAATCGTTTGATTGATCACCAGTATCGAAGAAATAATCATTGAAAAGTCCTTCGTAAGACACGTCGGTGACAATCGGTAAATGATTATTCTGAATATTTTCTCGGAAGTTGTTAATATCTTTAGCACCACCAACAGAAAATCCTATTGCACGAGCCGTAGAAGACATTCCTGAATCACCTCGTAAGCCTATGTAATGAAACAAAGATTATTTGGAAAGGAAAACATTTTGTCACTAACGGAGCACAAGATGAAGTGTCGATTCCTTTTGAATATTATAATCACTCACAGCACGTCCATCTTCGAGCTGTCGACCAGCAAAAATCATACGTTGTTGGTCTGGTGGAATACCTTCTTTATCAAAAATTTTGTCTTTGATATTTTCAATCGATTCCGATGGATCGATTTCAAGGGTGAGCGTTTTACCAGTCAAAGTTTTCACAAATATCATCATTCCACCTCGAAGACGCAACACCAGATGAATGGTATATCCATTTAAAATGTTGTAATCGGTAAGCGTTCGTTTGTCTTCGAGTTGTTTTCCAGCAAAAATAAAACGTTGCTGATCGGATGGAACACCTTCTCTATCATGAACTATGTCTTTGATTTGTCCGATTGTATCTGATCGTTCGCAATCAATAGTAATAGTTCTACCTGTAAATGTTCGGACAAAAACTTGCATCTCCTTTCGTTGTTGATAACTGTGAAAGCAGCCTGATGTGTATGCAAAAGAATGAAGCAGAACAACAAACTTACACATGCTTCTATAATAAATAGCGATGACTCAGTTTTGTTCTAGTTACATATTGATTGAGTAAGTATAAGTACAGCATACTGACGAAATTCCCAAATTAATCAATGACTAAAGACACTTCATGAATGACTATTATAGCCTAGAATATTCTGATGATTTAACTTTATTCATTCAGAATGTGAGCAAGAATGCTGGCGAAGAGTTAAAGTTGATTCTGTCTCCTGTACAGCATTCACATCATCATTCAACTTGAGTATAGTGTCGGTGTCATATCCAAAAACCTGATACCATCACAATTACGCAAAAGGCCGAATTTATCACCACTGCCACCGTATATCTCGACAAATCCTCAGGATGAAACATATATGTACAACTCGAAAGGATGGATTTAGTATTAAGCTTCTAACCTTGTGGGTGTAGACGCGGGTAAATGTTTAATACTCAGATCGAATTAACGATTTCTGCAGTATTCTATGATTATCAATCTACAAAAAATGATGGACTGAAAGAGAGAAGGAAGAATGAGTTCCGATATTTACAAAAAAAAAAAGAAAACAATGGCAACAGATGCTCATTTTTCTGTCAATTCTTTCTTAGTAGTATAATTCATAATGCACATATCTATGTTTCAGTAGCACTGGATTCATCTTTTTTTCAGGACGATTATTATTCAAATTTATTGTTACAATAAATACAATAACAATTGTAATCTTATTGCTAATGTAAATATAAGGCTGAAGAAAAAGTGTCCAATGAATAATTTTCTTATCTTAAGTCTGTCCTTAAGAACTTATATTGAAGTTGATTGCAACTTGTTATAAGAATTTCTTCGTTGCCTAGGTTTTCTTCTATATTGTTCTTCATGCCCATAACTATTTCGAAGTCGCAAAAGTGTAGTTCCAATAATCAGGAACACCACGAATCCAAGTACATAGAGAAAAACTTCTAAAGCTGTTGGTTCATCCCATTGCCATATCCATGCACCAAGCCAAATATAACTCGTATATCTGTAGCATGGATAACTCTGATTAATCTAAGTATAATAGATGTGTTCTTATTAGGAAGTAAATGTCTTAAACGTAATTACTTTTTTCTTTCGTGCAGCAATCAGAGCTTGCCATGTTGAGCTATAAGAATTCGAACCTACGATAACACCATCATCTAGCACTGATGTTCTGTCGACTCGATCAGTAACTGTCATGTGCCACGAAGGTCGCCAATAACTCCCCGTTAATGAAGGAACAACATCGTTAGATTTAACTTGGCATACTTGTTCAATATACGTCAACGAATACGACAATTGCAAGATTCCGCATATAAATGCAAATACCGACAATGTGTATGCTATTGTAATGAAACCAATATAGCACTTTGAAGTCGTTCGAGAATCGTTCTTAGTTATAAAATACTTGCGTGGTGATTGCGACATATGCAATCTTCTTACACCTTGATTTCGATTATGGATAGATTGATAAATAGCTTTGGCATATAAAGGTGAAAAGCATGACATCGCACGCATACACATGTGTGCTCAAACAGCACGAAAGAAAAAAAAATTGGTCATGAACGAACAGAAAGGATAATGAAATCATCTACGCACGTGGTTGCCTTTTTCCATCCTATGAAAAAAATGTTACATGAGAAAGTTTGCGCACAACAGTCGAAAGATAGCAATTAGGATAAAGAGGAAAAAACTGATTATCATCGTCGTCCATATTATTCAGTGGGCCATTAATTGACGACGATGTTTGTAGTACGGTCAAAAACATAAATGTTAGCAAATATAAGAATAAATATGTTTGATAATGTTCCTTGAAAATGACCAGATGAGCGTTATAGAGAACCCAAAATCCGCGCCAAAGGAGCACACATGAAACAAATGCGAAGAAATGACGAATATTTCGATAAAGTTGAGGAAAATTGAGTGAGACAAACACCCAAAAATCGAATTTTAAATTTAAGTATTCAAGATAATGCTGAAAATACATCAACGGGTAATAAAGAACATAACCAATCAATAAACAGATCCATGCTGCTTTGTCCGGTTTGTTAGCGTAGAAGTGTTCGTCGAGAAAATCATAAAATCCACGCCAGACAAGAATTGTAATATTTGCAATTATCACCTCATACACAATGTAATTAATCAAATTGATTTTCCATTGTGTCATCTGAAAGAACCGTAACGGTGAAGAGAAGATCTTCCGTGTCGCGAACTCAACTTACCTGTCGTGTAAGTAGAGGACAGCCAAAATGTATGCAGTATTCTATGGAATCATAACTAACAAGAAATGGTGCGCAAACAAGATCGGATAAATGTCCGATGAATACAATCAATGCAAAAAGTGCGGTGAAAGAGAGGACGATTTCAAAATACCATTCACGTGGAGAATATTGATCCCAAGCAGTCCAGATTACAACCCATTGAACGATATAAATTGAAGAAAGGATAAAGATATGAAGCTTTAAAAGAATTAACCTAGGAATCAACTTTTGCCGTTTCAGAAAACCGTAGAGAAAATCTTGAGCAAGATAGAATAGAAGCAGAAGAATTTGTACAATCGCGTATGAAATAGATAGAGAAGAAAATGAATAAGGACGCGACTTATTAACTGGTGAGTCATTAGATGGTAACATTGATGAATATCCGTTCAGTATATTTAGTAAAATTAGGGTGAGGTTCCATCCCGATTCCCAAAAGAGAGTAACGACAGGTAGAAGAATCATAGCAGCAACAGCGGGTTCAATAAAAAATAGAATTCGCCGACGACGTCGAAGTCCTTCGGTCTGAATAGCAAAGCGGTTAATTAATCCATCGCTTATGCCCATTTCATAATCTTCGTCGTCAAGTCTATCATAATCTTCCGAAATCACTGACAATCGACGTTGATTTATTTGTTCGCCTTCGGGATTGACAATAGGACGTAGCAACAATTGTCGTTTGAAATCAGCACCTGCAGGCGGAACACGTTCCTGACTACGATATTCATCAGTATTTGGTATAAAAGCTTGAGAAACTATTGATAGTCGACGTTGAGTAGTGTCGATTGTGCCCAACGATTGTGCCGTGCTAAGTCGGCCATCGACTGGCATAGTAGGTAATGTCAGTGTTTGCCGACGAGTAGCACCGATTCGTTGTCCATTCATTTCAAAACTCTCGAATCCCAAACCTATCTTGTTGTGTCTTATCAACGATATAACATGTCTCGTTTCAATATCACTCTCTTTTTTTCCTTATCAGTTTGTTTTATGTTTTGTCAGAAGAAGAGAAAAACTAAAAATTCAGATAGTTGAAGGTACAATCGTAGTCTGTCGGTAATCCAACCTGTTTTGAATTGGTATATGGAATGGTCAAGTAAATCAAAATAATCATATCATTGCTAGTTCTATGAAAACATTAACATGTGAAAAACGTTGAGAAACCTTTTTAACATGATGAATTAAATGAAAATTATATTTAATGAGAGAGGAGTAGCGTAGAGACAGTGTGTAGTATACATATAATCGAGAGAGAAAGTTCAAGAAGTATTTGATGTAATTGATGATCAAAACCATAGATGACTTCACCATCAGCAGAAAAAAAAGTGTTACAAATCCTTTCAATCTCATTTAGAGTTTTACTAAGAAAGCTTTTTATGAGTCGACTTTCGGTAGTGTCGATTGTAGTTCTTGTAGATCAAATGCGTTGCTGACCGTAGTAGCTGGAGGTTGAAACGGATGCAGTTGATCGATCTTAATACGACCGTTAGGAAACTTTTTGACCGCCATGGCGATAAAATGAGAGTTGTTATTTTCTTCCTGCATAAACGTGCTTGTGGGTATTATAGTTACTGGAGTGTCGCTGTAATGCATACGTACATCAACAAGATTTTCTCCATCCTTAATAAAATAACCGTAACAATCAGGAAAGTATTTGTATAGATTTCTGCCAACGATGTCAATTTCATTCGGATCAGCAACTGTATTGCTTTCTAGATGCCAACGTGGCTTTTGAATCGTTTCGATCAGAATATTACGTACATTTTCAACCGTATTGAGAATATTGTTGTTCAATAAATGCGTTCGGCTGTATGCAGCACGACAAGGCCGACATATATTACCCTTATGGCAAGGAACACGACATCGGATACACTTTCGTGCTCGCAAATCGATGATGTCAGTACCCACTCGACTCCATCCGTCATACACGGAAGCGAAATAAAATAAATCGCTCTGGTGATTTTTGGCGTTATCTGTAATGCGCTTTCGAATATAGTCTCTTTCGTCATTTGTAACACCCAATTGAAATATAGAAGCAGGTGCTGACAAAATAGCTACAATCGTTGCGGTCAAGTTTAGAAGAGGAGCATGTTCTGTGTAAACATCAATTAGAAATGCGCTGAAACGGGGCTCAACATTGAGTGCAGCGAAAAGTTCGCCCCGGCGAGTGATATCACCATCTGCATCGATACAGTCCAATCGTTTTAAAGCATTCAACGATTGTTGAATAGCCGTTTGTTCAGGTGAATCCATAAATGGAAAAGTCACTGGGTTAAACGTCAAATTAAGTAGTTGAAGGCAAACAAGATCAAGGGAGGATCGTAGGATTGCTGGTTCGATCTCATCGCGATCTAAATCCTTTTCATGATACAAACGAATGCAAAGACCAGGTGCAGTTCGTCCTGCACGCCCTTTCCGTTGGTCAGCAGATGCTTTAGCGATAGTTCTTGTTTCAAGTGTCAATAGACGAAGATTATTATCAAAACGAGATTCTTTAACTAATCCCGAATCAATAATAAGACGAGTGTTACTAATGGTTAATGACGTTTCAGCAATATTCGTACAAAATACGACCATTCGACGTTTTGCGTTCGTACCTTCAACAAATTGAAGCACTTTATCTTGTTCTTCTAATGAAAGAGCACTAAATAACGGGTAGGCAACACAATCGTCCGGTATTTTTCTGTTAAAATGCATCATAGCTTGTTCAATCTCAGATTGTCCTGGAAGAAATACTAATGTTGTTCCTTTATGCTGTTCATACACGCTCAATAATGTTGAAACAGCATGTTCTTCGATGGATTTGATCTTTTTCGGAATGTATTTAACATGGACATCATAAACACGACCTTCAGCTTGCAATAATTGATCATTCGACAATCCAAAAAAGTCCATGAACTTCGATGCATTAATAGTTGCTGAAGCAATGACAACATAGAAGTCTGTCAAACGTTCTTCTAGTAATGATTTAGCAATACCCATAACAATATCCGTATTCAACGATCGTTCGTGAGCCTCGTCGATGATCAATACACGAATATTGCTTAAGCTATGATCTTCTGTGCTATCTTGAATTAAAGCACCATCAGTGGTAAAGAGAATGTCGGTTCCAGGGACTCGACTTTCACCATCCGAAACACTGCCAATACCGACACGATAGCCGACAGATCGACCTATCGATGTTCCATCATATTCTTGAGCAACACGGCGAGCTAAAGAGATAGCTGCTACAACTCGTGGCTGAGTGCAAACCACTAGGCCGTTAAAATATTCGGCAGCATATTGCGGTAACTGCGTACTTTTCCCACTGCCCGTTTCCGCTTTGACTACAAGAATACGGTGCTTTTTCAACCGTTGACAGAATTCGTCTTTGATTGTCAAAATTGGTAATTGAGTGTGCTGTCGGTCTAGATTACGTTGTTCGGGACTTTTTAAAAATTTTACCGGTAATACGATTTCATCCGGGTCTTCATCATTTGTAGATAGTACACGATCAGGAGGATGAGAAGCATGAGCGCAAGATGGATCTGTGCAGTTGACACCTGCTTTACATGGATCCCAGCCAAGAGGACGTAAAGATTCACAGTAGAAGTTACCACACGCGAGACCTGAATCACATGAAGTTGACCGGCCCGGTGGATGGTTATTTTTACATTCTAAATCTTTACAGGCTCCACTCATTAAACAAACTATTCGGTCGGGCGGATGCAACTGTGGACAGGAGACGTTCCAACATTTTTGTCCATCCGAGCACTCTTTCGGACGTTTTTTTGGATGCCAATCTTGACATTGCCAAAGACGACATGCATCACCATTGCGACATTGTTCAATGTTTATGGGACGGTGCAATAATTTACAGGGTCTGTTTCGAGTCGATCTAGTACATCTGTATCCTTGTTGGGAATAGCTGCATATTTTCGTTCGGCCAAACGGATGGTTTGCAGAACAGTAGTAGTCCATACAGTTAGCACCATCTTCGCATGCCTCCCATCCTGGTGGATGACGCGCAGTACATCCGTATTTGAAGCACTTTCCTTGATTTCGACATTCGATTCCTTGCGCTGTGTGTTGAGTCACTAAGAGTTCGTCAGAATTTGCGTCATTGTGAGCCGAAGCAGTAGTAATCGAAAGGCCTAAACATGCGACCATAATTTTGAACGTTTTATTTGACTTCACTAACTGATTATTTAAAATTCTGTCATTTAAATTCCATGGTACTTACGTGGTGGCTCAGCGGTTTGTTGTTCTCGATCATCTTCAATGACAGTGCATCTGATTCTTGAAGATTTTATCTGAGTTCGATCCTGCCAGACGGCAAATTCTTTCGCAGCATCTTTATTGGCGAAGTCATACAATTTTACATGCTGATTATGACCCCTTTCATCTGCCGACGCAACGATTCGGTTTGCGGTCAGGTTCCACCTTTCGGCAAGTTCTTCGCTCGTTATATCTTCGGGTAAAGAAGTAATTTTTACACACCATGATCTCTCTCGTGATTCAGCCATGGATTAGTGCGTTGTGTCGCTTTGGTTTTTCGCTAATACGTCTAGAATTAAACGGAAAATAACATTTCCAGTACCGATTCAGAATTGGAATTGAACTCGTTTTGCTAAGAAAAATTATAGCACAAATTAAGAAGCGACTTATTTTATATTATCAGGCAAAGTAAAAATAAAGTGTAGTATATGGCAACGACGTCGACTGGCTTCCCACTTCCTTTTTTTTTCCATGAAATATATTTTCTTGGAGTATATTTTTCATTTTCTTTTTGCAAAAAATGTAAACATCATCAAATATAAGTTTATTTAAAAAAATCGAAGTAATAATGTAGACGAGAAAATTGAGAAAACTAAAGAAGAAAGAAAAGAAAACAAGAGGACGAGTGGGAAGCCAGGACGTCGATGGCGAAACTTTTCTCTCTGGAAAAGAACAATACACTGCTGACTACTCTATTTTTTGCTATTTTTATGTTTCTTTGTCCACAACAAATGGCTTTTTCCGGAGAAAATCGAAAAAACCTTACGTCATTAAATTGTTTACTCCATGAAAATACTCAGCTAAAAATATACAGCCAGAAGCTTTATTTCAACTTTGACTGCCAACTAATTATGGTTTTTTTGTCCACACATACATTAATACGAAAATCACAATCTACAAAACATACGTCGCACACCTACACCCTCAAGATTTAATAGTCAATCGTGTCAGAAACGCTTGCAATTCAAAAAGACGACAGAAAATGACTGTCCATCAATTAATGTGCATCATTGTCAACACTGTCTGATTGAGGACAATCTGAATCGAGTATGCACAACGCGTTCTAAACAAGCATCATATTTCGATTTGGTTCAACACGAAATTCATTTCGCACTTCGAAAATGTCAACAAAGCTCGACTGATTTTCACTTTCTTTTTCAAAAATTCATACGACATTGATTATAATATTGCATATACTTCGTGTAAGTAAGGCATCATATTCAAGGCAATTGTTAGTATTACTTCAATCCTTATTGTGTCATACGAAGGAAAGAAAGAGAAAAAAAAAGTTCACTGTGATTCTTTTTCATCGTTTTACCAGAGAGAACACATCGATTAAGCCGAACAAGATGTTTAATAAATGTATGTATACGCATGTACATAAGTATACTTCTTATATCGCTTTATAGAGTTATATATCGAACATATGCATATAATGTCTCTATTCAAGGTGATTGTGATTCTGTTGGTAGCTTCCGTTTTTGGTGAGTTATCTAAAACGATACCGATTTCATTTGATAATCAAATGATATTGAAACAATGAATGTTCTAGTTATTGAGAGTCGACCGTATCGTAAACGACGTCAGGATGTACGGTCGAGTGCATATTATGGGTCAGGACCGGGTGGCTATTCAAATATACGATATAATTTAGGTTTATTTGGCTTGGGTTAGTCTTAATTATTTTGTATTTTAATTAATAAGGAAATCCTTCTAGGAGCTAATTTGCAACCGATTGGGAATAATTGGTTTGTGCCTGGTATGCCACAGAATCCGTTCTATTATCGTACGTGATACAACGTCTTGTTTTTTTATCGGAAAAATTTAAAGAAAAAAAATCCGTTTGATGTTTTTGTTTAGCGATGGGCTATAATCTTCAGAGTTACGCCTATCCAAATTCATTCAATGCTTATGGCACTGGACAATATGGTGGAAGTGGCAGTCCATATCCTGATGATCTTCAAGCTTATATAGGTCAATCCTATGTGCCACAAAATAATGAGTGGTTACCATTGCCGGGAGTGAATCGTCGAAGTCGATAGATTCGATTTTTGTTGTTTAAAAAACATTGAGATAATTCTTTAATCATGAATAATTTCTTTATGTTTCAATCTGAATAAATAGCGATGTCGCGAAGATAGATTACTTTAAAGCAGAGAGAAATAAACAACAAATCATGAGTGTAATCTGAATCGTATCGCATTTGTCCTCTAAACATGAGGATAAACAAGAAAAACAAATAACGAAACGAAAGGTAGAACACATCGAAGCGTAACTTATTATCAAACATATCATTCAATTCACAAAAAACAATACAATGCCTACCGGTTTGCTCGAAGTAATTATTGTCGAAGGACGTCGCCTGAAAGATAAAGATGCGATTGGGCAAAGCGATCCGTTTGTGGAACTTTATTTAGATAAGAAGTATAAACAACGCACAGCAACGATATCGAATACAAACGATCCAGTTTGGAACGAACGATTTACATTCAATATTCACTCGGGTGATGACACGATTCATTTTGATGTTTACGATTCGGATGTAGGTGGTAAAGATTCGATTGGAAATGGCAAAGTGAAGCTCAAGCATGTCTTTGACGATGGTAAATTTGATGAATGGGTCAAGTTACCTGCACATTTAGGTCTCTCAGTGCACGGCGAGATTCACGTGATTATGCATTTCACAGTAAGTGATTTCTTTGCAAAGTAACTCAACTTAGTTCTGCATTTGCGTTCATCTTCTAGCCATCATAAACATTTGCTGACACGATACAACAGCATTTTTTTCTGCGTCGTAATATTTGTTTTGAATAAAATACACATCCTACGAAGCAGAAACTAGAGGCATCTATGGTCATTCATTTTAATTCCTACAAAAAAAACTAATAAAGATAAATATCTCATGAAATGTATCTAGATCGTGATACAGAAAGTTTTACTAATGTAATCTATCTTTTGAAATTCGATTGTACGAAGTAAATGACGAATGGTAGACAGTGTAAATCTTCTTCTTATATAATAGTCAAGGTATTTGAGTACGTTTTTCATTTGTATAAAAATTAAGAAACCGTCGTCGTTGCAGTGGTATTTTTGAGTTGGTTCTAATCGAGTGATGGCTGATCAAAAGTTAAAAGATCGTGTTGCTATTGTCACCGGCGCTGACAGTGGTATTGGTCAAGGTATTGCTGTTGCATTTGCTAAATCCGGTGCCGATGTTGTCATTACGTATCGATCGGACGAAGACGGTGCGAAGGAAACTGCTAAACGTGTCGAAGAAACTGGCCGAAAAGCATTAGTCGTTCGGGTGGATGTTGGAGATGAATCACAAGTACAGAAACTATTTGACAAAACACTCTCGGAGTTCAAGCGACTTGATATACTTGTTAATAATGCTGGTAAGTTTGTAGAGAAGAACAAGTTGATCATATAATCCAATTGATGTGCATATAGGTATGGAAGGCACAGGCAAGGCAGTACATGAAAGTGATTTTCAGGAATGGGAGAAAGTCATTCGAACAAATTTGCACGGTCCATTTCTCTGTTCGAAATTAGCTGCAAAACAGTTCATCAAGCAGATTGAATCCGAAGGAAAGCAAAAGACAGAAGATCGAGGGAAACGAAGTGGAAATATTGTTAATATCTCTAGCGTACACGAAGAAGCAGTCACAGCTAAACAAGGAGCATGTATGTAAGACAGATAAATCATTGAAAATATTCGAATATTTACTTTCAGATACTGTTTCAAAAAGTGGCTTGCGCAATTTAACTCGTGTTATGGCGTTAGAACTAGGTAAATATGGCATTCGGGTGAATGATGTTGCACCCGGAATGATATTGACACCAATGAATCAAGACTCAATCGATGATGAACAAACACGCAAGGAAAAAGGCGAGAAAATTCCGATAAAACGTGCGGGAAATCCAGAAGATATCGCTAAAATGGTATTATTCTTATGTTCGGATGATGCTAGCTATTGTACAGGTTCATCTTTTTTCGTCGATGGTGGATGGATGTTAACATATCCAGACGTATGATTTCTATGTGTATTTTTATATCGAAAAAAGCTTTTATATTTTATACTCGCAAGTAGAGAAACGCGTGAATATTTTCATATATTTGCTTTTGCTTTTTATAAATGTTATTGGACACTCGTTTCAGTTGGTCATTGGTGCAATACGGTGAATATAATCTATGTTTTGTTGTCTTGTGTTTGACGACGTTTGATGTGGCATGCGTGGTGTAAGTATTACGAATAGTTCACGACGAAAGCTTGGCGCAGTGAGTGTGTAAACAAAAAACGGCCACTAGAATTAAACTTTGAATGCAAATCGATATGGTGAAAATTCCTACCCCGTTGAAACAGTAGTAAAAGAAACTTGCAAGAAGTGTGCTTGCAAAATTTTCGACTGCAACTCGATATGTTGGTTTACTTGAATCGAGAACATTGGCTGTGAAGGTTCCATAGAGAAGTAGACTTATATAAGGCATGTTCGTAATAAAGTAGAGTATCACTTGTGCAATGAGCATGCCGATTAGTTGAGTGTCTTTGCCAGTCACAGTAATCTATTCAGAAGAGAAGAGTAAATCATCGTTTGTTGTTGACTCAGTAGGATTTGGACATGTTTTCCCACTTTGTTCAGAAAATGATTGCTGTATAAGGCCAGAATACTCACCTTATCACGTCCAACTCTTTGGGCACTTTGTCGCAAACGTCTCACAGTTAACCAGCTCAATATACTCATCGATACAGTGGGAATAATGAATGTGCACATATACGCAGTGACTGCTTCCCATACGTAGCCAACATCGGTTGTGACCATGCATGGACGTAGCTTATTCACTGGTCCATATGTTATCAATATATAAATTGGTAAACATGCGCAAACAAAAGTTGCTAAAAGGACCATTCTTTTCGCCACGTTTGCTCGACAAAATTGTCGTTGACGAACGGATGTTGAACACAGAAGGAAACGGTCAAGACATGCTAATACAACAAATGCACGACTTGCATACTGTGGAAAATTAATCATATAGAAGCGTATTCTGCAGTAAACAACATTGTATGAAGCTGGATTGTTACCGGTGAAGAATGCGAGCATACTAGCCAACACACCCCAACACAGACAGAGCAGATTTGCCCATGAACTGGCATGAAAGTAAATGGCACAGGAATTCTGTCTCATCGATGGCCGAAGAAAAATGAGAATGTTGAGAAAACAGCCAAGAATTCCAACTGAAAATAAGATTGGCTGTCCATAACGTTGAATCCCTGCTCGAGCTATGTTTAGATTGGCAACGATGGGAGCAATGGTGGTTGTAGATATGTTACTCATCTTAATAATGTATATACTTTACTTGATAGTGAAGAGAAAGATGACAAAGTTTAGCAAAACAAGAAGAAAGAGCTTTGCGGGTTCATAGTGTACTTTCTAAATATATTCAATTAGATAAATGCTTGAATGACTCTTTTAAGAATTTTCAAGAGCTGTCAGATAAAACTATGTTTTTTATCTGACACACTTGAAAGCAGATGTGAATTTCCGCTTGAAAAATAATTCATTTTCATAGTTAATATTGATACTATCTATGGTAATGAAGTTGAGATTTACCATCAATTAGAAGTTTTTAAAAATAATTTTATACACATAACTGCTCTGGAAAGAAAGAAATTGTTGTCAAAACAAAAATATCATACAATTATTTGACGACGAAATTTTGTCCTGGTTAAACTGCAAGCAAAAGTTCATATTGCCGATGTTTATTTACCAGTGCGGAATAATAGCTAGGAGAAATAGAAATATAGAACAGAAAACGTGATCAGAATATGCACCTAAATGGTTAATAGTCAACAGAGCGGTATTCATTAAGGCACATCTATTGATAGTGTAACATATTTATTGTCAATGGTATGAAATCTATTTTCGGAAAATAATTTATTTGCACATTTAAACAAACTGATATCAACAGCAAAAGAGCATCGTTAGTTAATCAATCTAAACGTTCGATGTGGACACAATGATGTCTTCATCAATGATGTACAAATTTGAAATACCCTTCTCTGCGACTGGAGTATCTGTTTTCTCTGGTTTCAAATACCAATCATTGACAGGTAATTCACCTAATCCTCGAACCATTCGCCACATTGATGCAATCCAGATTAAGCCCAAGATAGCGCAGACACCTACTTCAATTGAGTATGAATACGACTTAGGTAGCCATTCTGCACTATAAAGTACCACTGTTGACGACAGAGCGTTCCCAAGATTGTGTAGTGTTGCTAATAGAGTCATATAAGTTCCGCCAATACGCGGTTCACTAACATGTGCGAAAAAGCCAAACAATGAGACTGACATAAGACAAACCACTGTATCATGCAGGGCCAGGAACAAGATTAGACCAGGATAAAAAGCTGACGTATGCAAAAGTTGGGGTGTAAAGAAGATGTATATCGTCAGAATAAGGCCGGCAGTCAGACGTGGAATGTATGCTCTGGTAAACCATACAAGGGGACGCCGTGTTTTTCTCAGACATACGGGCGTAACGATACGAATTGCAATCAACGGTACGCTTATGAGAGCCAGTGTATCACGAGTGGTGCCATATCTGGAGATGAAATTGAGATTAGGTTTGGAAAACGAGAAGATTAAACCTACTTTATTAATGCTAAATCAGTCATCGAAGAAGTCGCAGCAAAGCCGATTCCAAATGTGGTTGTGATCAGAATTAATTTGTGCATACATCGTTTTTTCAAAAGTCTCCACACATCGACATATGTTTGTAGAATTGTCAATTTGGCTTCCGGTTCTTTTTCTTTAACTTGATCGATGACTTTATTCGTACGTCTGTTACAAAGCGACATTAGCAGGAGCAACGTACCGACGATGAGAAATGCTACAGCCCAGAACAATGTAAATTGCCGAAGAGAAAATAACCCATGTGGTTGATCAGGTAACGAGAGAGGTTTGCGAATAAACTTATTTGTAAAAGTCGATGATTCAAGTATTAGCAGTACAGTCGAGCCAATGAACGCTCCAAGAGTTTGACCGATGCTCTGACATGTGGATGCCCATTGGGGGTTGATGTTTTTAAACAGTGACACGGCCCACCCATCGACAACAACATCTTGAATGGACATAAGAAGGCATGTGAAGAAGAAGATGATTGTTAATTCAACAACACATGAGTTTTTCAGAAGAAATTCCAAATAAAACCCTAGGATGAATAGTATCACACCGATAAGAAATTGAGTAGGTACTAGCCACGTTTGATGACGTCCAAATCGACGACTATAAACTGAATCAAGCACAGGTGCCCAAAGTATTTTAAAACTATATGGATACGAAACCAAACTAAATATTCCTTGCTGTTTCCACGATGCTTTATGCGAAGCGAGATAAAGTGGCATGGATTGTCCGAAGCCTTGTAGAACACCTTGCAAAAGGTACAGCGTGCCAATAATCAATATATCCCATATCAGTACTAATCGTGGTGGATGCATTTAGAGAAAAGAACAATATAAGTACTTTCTTCGTGTGCTGCTTACTTATATAAAAACTGTCTTGTCCCCAATGGCATTACAAAACGAAAGGAGAAAGGAAGCTCTTAAATGTTATTAGTATGTGCGGTGGAATCGAAAGAATGACGTGTATACAGGCCAGTCAAAATTTGAGCAACAAGAAACTCGTTCTATCTTTCAGGGGGACTAATCCTCTTATCTAGCATTCTCATTCCCACTCCCATGGGAATGAAGAACAGGAAAGGTCGTTTGCATCGACTATTAAAAATTACAAATCAGCTGTAAAAATGCATATTTTGTGTGTATCAATTTCTCCCGTACGTTTTATTTAACCTATGACGCATGTAATTCTCTGAAGATCTCATTTGGAAATGGCGTTTGTATTCGTTTCATCATTGTATACTATCGCCACTCGATAAGAAGTCAGTACAGAGGATAGATAACACAAAGCATGTACGCTTGTTTCGAACAGACCAGTAGATAAAGTGACTTCTTTATTCATTCTCAAATGTCTCATCGATATACGTCTTGGAAAGATTTTGAAATTGTTTCAATGAAATCAATTCTTGTTGATTCCGAACGTTTTCATTTGGTGAAAGGTTGGATTTTATCGATGACCGACTGCAAAGATAATGAAAACGGAAGTGATTTTTGGAATTGGATTGAAACCAACAATGAACTGTCGAAAACAGATTCAACCAATTTGTTGAATACATTTTTCGCGTTTCTCGCTGCCGATCCAAATCGTGTTGTTGCCACAGGATCGATCGTCGCTGACGATCGTGATATGGGAAAGAAATTACACTTAGAAGATGGTGTTTGGATCGGTGGAGTGAATGTCCACCGGGATTTTCGTGGAAAGTCAATCGGGCGGCTTTTCGTTGAATATCTGGACAATTATATTCAACAAACAATCAACAAAGACACGATGGTTTATCTGTTTACAAATAACCCTCAAGCGAAGAACATTTATAGACGATATCATTTTCAATCCAAGAAATTAATCGGGGAAGAAACTTCTACGGTAAGATGAATTACTTTTCTAACCGAACAGATAAATGATTTTTGTTTATGAATGCCCGTTGGCTGAACAGGATGAACCAGATGAACTGTTCGCAAAATTCTATCGAACAATAGTGTGTGTGGACAATCAATAGTGTATTAGTATATTTTATCACAGTAGAAATACAGAAGAAAATAAACTTCAATAACACTACAAAAAGATCGAGTTATTGTGATAAGTATTAATGTTCGCACAGAAAGAATGTCCAAAAACGTAGTTTTATTTAATCTTAACGTTGTACCTGCGCCATCACTGCTGCCGTTATGTTTTGGTTGTATGTGGATTGATCTTCTTCATACAAACAGAGCGCCTCTGTGATACAAAAACGAGTAGATAAATAAAGATGAAAATATGGTCAAGCTTACCAGTATCAACTCCACTATCAGTTTCGGGCTCTTTCATAAGTTTTACCACCAGCTGCACAACTTCGATCAGCGACATATCTTCATATTCTGTTTCTGGATCAAGCAATTCAGTGCATATCTGGCCTACAACAGAGCAAAGAAGTATGACAAAAAATTTGAATATTTGCGATACCATTTTTCTCAATGTTCGGATGACGAAGTTGAATTCTCATGTATACTTCGGGCGGTTCAGCAGGATACCCATCTGGCACGCGTATTTCTATTGGAAGCCTTTGTCCATTAAAAGGTGGTGCGTTGGATGGATATATCCAACCACGGATGATGGCGACGTAGTTCGTCGAGTCACTCGATGCACTGTTGCTATAACGTTCGTCTGTTGGAACGTTACCACCAGCATCTTCTAAAGAACTTCCTTCGTGTTCATATATTCTGCCAGGCGTTCCAGCAGTCCCTGTAGCCCACTCTACAAGATCTCTACAGGCTTTCAGTGTATCAATATCGGTGCCACTTGCCATTGAATGTATAATTGAATCTAGTTTAATATCTAGAAGCAAATAATTGAAACAAAACATAATCAAGATTATAAATACACGTGATTAATCTTCAGAAAAAGTAATACATAAATAGTGCATATAACGATCTTATCGATATCGCTCAGTTTAATAGTTTGGTACAGGAAGTCCTTGACGACGCATACTGTTTTCTGCTTGTGCAATTAATCCATTGTGACCTTCAAGTACGTTGAGATGTCTCCGATAATCAGGTTGATTAGAATATGTTTCTGCTGCATTCCAGGTCGTTTTACTGCGTTTGTTTGCTTCTATCTCCAGCTTTTGAGCGTGCTTAAAATACTTTAGAGCCGAACTTCCGTCGTCGACTTGTAAATAGTTATTTCCTTGTTTAATGAAATATTTGGTAATTTCATGTGTAAGTCGAATCAACAGAGTCGTATGGAATCTAAACATTTTTACCATCGGTTTGTAGGCGGCTGTCCACTCCGTATGTCTTTCAAGACCGTGTGTGAAAATAAAAATATCATGCACGTAAAAGAATTTTTGAGAAATAATTGGTACAAGAAAACGACCAATGGTTCCCGAACAAATAATGAAAATTTTTTCTTTCGAATGGTTTTTAATTTCCGTTTCAGCTTCTTCAATCGTTCGAGTGACAATCAGTGGGACGTTATTTGAATGGAAATAATTCGTTCCATCGTTCACAATATCCACATCCATACGATCTGGTTCTTGTGCGGATGCACCCGTCGTTGTTTCATTGAACTCATCTTGCATTGCTTGGTAACTACTCCTGGTTTCGAAGCTAACATCACACCAAATAATAACCACAGAAGGAATACTCATTGTACTCAAAATAGTTTACAAAAATAAGCAACTAACTCCTACCTGAAACAACAGAATAGTCTGTATTTATCCGGTTAGACGACAAGCAGTTACTGGGGAAAATGCTCGAGCACAGAACGGAGGAAGAAAAAACACAAATACCAAAATAACGAAGACTATTTGCGGTGTTTCTCTCGTTGTACGTAGTGTATGTCTTCTGAAAGATAACGAACACGTGCGCGACAATACAACCCGTAAACAAATATTTACTTTCGATTGGCTGGGAATATGTAAAAAATACTGGGTAAAATAAAGTTGTGAAATTAAGGTCTTATGAGAGTTTGATCATGTGTGCGCAAAGATACGCGTTGGTGCTTATCTTCACTATTGCATCTGTAATTAGTTTGTGATATGACGATCGATAAAATTCAAACCTTCTGTCCAGTTTTGCACCATGCGTGATGAAATCTAAAGCATTTTTTAACGCTCGAATCTTCCATTATGTCTTTATGAAAGTCATTTTTGTATCGAATGCAGAAAAATATAGCCACACATGATGATAACGTATCATAAGATGATTCGTAATTATAGTAGTATTCATGTATATGTGCACTATACGCGTTGTGTTCCTTCGCTCTGCTAGACATTTTTCTAAGCATCATGTTTAGATTCCTTATCGTGATAGATACCATCTTCGTTTAATGTTGCTATAATGTGCATAGTATTTCTTGTGTGTGCTCATGTACACCGACATGTCTCGACTTACAAAAATATGTTTATGAAAGTCACCGTTCGACGGTGTATTATTACACAATAAATATTTTACCTATTTCAAGGTAAAGTCGGACTAGGCCATCATTCCTCTTTGGCTCATGTGATCGTTATTGGACAGCATTGAAAAACGAAAATTGTTCATGAGCAACGTATCATACAGCTCTGACTGACTTTTCAAGAATAGGATTTTTACAGTGATCCAATGGTAAACAAAAGAGAATTCCTTGAATGAATTATGAGTTTTAATCTTTCACAAAAGATAGAGTCATTGACACACGCCTTTCCAGGAAGAGTTGTATGTACTAGCAGCAAAACATTGAGCAGCTGTCTTGTCGCACATACACGCTTTGTACTCCGCTGTATCTACACCATTTAAACACAACGAACTGACGCTCAAATAAAATATGTTTTCGTAACATGCATCGTGAGCCTTGCAACATTCGTCAACAGCATCAACCGCCTTCGTATCCTTTCTACCGATACCACACCTGTGAATTCGTGTTGAATATTCAAAATATACATTGAACAAGCGTTTGCAACACTCACCAGCAACCATAATCGTTGTAATCTAACGGATTTCGGCCCGTGTAATGCCAAATAAATTGTGCAAAGCCAAATAATCCACGCGATTCAAGGGATGATTGTGTCGTCTCAGATCCCGCGACGAGTGCAATCGTCAACACAAACAGAAAAACTAACTTCATCATTTTTTCGACTTTTTTGCACTGAATACTACTCTCGTATATTACGTGGAATTACCATAAGTTATATACGCATAAAAAGGAGACACTTGAGTAGTCTTTGTTATTCTCGCGATCCAATACAAAATATGAAATACTCTATCAAATAAAGTATAAACGCCAATTATATCCAATAAGCGGCAATATACTTCGACACTCTTAACTTCGAATAGCTGTGTCGCATATTCCATTTTCTATTCTCCAACATTCATTTTTATAACAGCTGCATAGCAAACTGAAGAAAACAAACAACCACCGTCGTTTACAAATATTCAGAACAAGCAATTACGCAAGCAACGTCTTTAAATCGACGATGCAATTCAGCGTGGCTTCACTCGACAATATCAAGACGTATTCTGGACCGACAACGATTTCGAGTTCTCCAAACATTTCTGGTCACATGTCGTTTACAATATGTCCGTAGCGGATTTTCGACAGAATATCAAAATTTTCTGGGGTCATCAGAATATGTCAGGAGTCATTCATGGCACGCCGATCGCCTATCCGAATTATATAGAGCAGTTCGTACGAAATGAGTCGTGCATTCCAACCAGTTTGGGAACTTGTGAAGTGTCGCAAGATGTGTTCATGGACACAAACGAGATGAGAGAAATCTGTGGATAATACGTAACATTTTTACGAGGCGGAAATTGACATGCAAAGACTGTGAAAAAGAAAAACATATGTAGATTCTCTTCGTTTTTGCAGTGATGTATTTCTTCTTTCCTATGTCAGTCAATTGACAAACAACGTTTTACATGAAAAGAAAGAAACCGGCACATTTCGAAGAAAATACATGCAATTGCCGCTAAGTGATATCCACATGCAGTAATGCACTAGTAGACGAACTTTTGAATCAAAAGAGAGAAACGAGCAATTCTTTTCGACTACGATGATTATAGTACTACATTTTTCTTTTCTCCCGATGTGAATTTATACAATTTCGTCTAGGCATGATTACGAAAAGCATATATACTACATGCGTTACTTTCTACAGAACGATAAGAACATGGACCACGCTCGTCATAAATATAACAACTATTTCTTTCGTACTTTCATTTCACTTGTTCGACGTCGGCTCGTTTCGTATATAATTTCAAACTACGAGTGAATGTTATTTGCGAATTTCAATTAAATTCATCTATCAACCTAATAGACTACTAGGTGACGATTATTTGTCTCATTTTCTATTTTGCTTTATTTTCAGATATCACATGTATCATTCAGTTACTTTTGAAGAAGAGCCATCCGCATGCTCATCTTCGGAGCCAACAAAATCGGACATATCCGCATCAAGCAATGGCGTCAGTTTAGTCGCCAAAAACTTCCCAGGTGATTATGGCACGGTCGGTTCCGGCCGGTTAGGTTGGTTTTCCGACTATTTCCTTGCCGCCGGATTCCGACCGGAAGTTCAAACGTAGGTTCCAGTCATTTACTGACCGTTTCCTGCAAACTTCGAGCTGGAAACGGTCAGGAACTGATCGGATATTTCCTGTGCAATTCCGGCGGCAAGGAACCTGTCGGAACTTGCTGGAATCGGCGAAAACTGTGTCGAAATCGAGAAGAGCTGTACCGGAACCGACTCAGATTTCAACGGATCCAGTCGCCGGAATGATCGACCTGGATTAGTACCACCACCACCGTACAGCTCGGGTGATACAGACGAGGACGTCGATTACGCCCCCGATGATGAACATCCGGTACCGATTCTGAGGGAATCTGCCGAGTCGAAAAAAGAAGCAACGCCTACGTTGCCTCCTTTAGACGCTCACCTTTTTTTAGGCTTCTTTGTTCTTTTTTTATGTTCAACAGTCCACGAAAATAAAGGATGCTGCGGTTCTTCTAATTAATTCTTTCACAAAGATCAAATGAGCTAGTCATATTTCAGCAGGATGACGGTATTTTAGACATTCGCATTCTACTTTGAGGAATATGAGAATGTGGGTGAGGATGTCATCGTTGGTTCGAATTCATACGGTTCAACATGGCAAGCCCTATAATTGTTGCACGAGAGAAAACGGTAATTAAGTTATCCATGGTACAGATACACGTATCTGAGTTACATTTGGTTTGGTGCATGGACATCGCAGTGGAAATAACCAACAATTTTAGGAGTTTTTCTCTACGTATTTGGATTCGTGGTGTTCCTGATTATTAGAACTACACTTTTACGACTTCGAAATAGTTATGAGCACATAGGACAATATAGAAGAACACCTTGGGAATCAAGAAAGTCTTGTAACAAGTTGCAATCAACTTCAATATAAGTTCTCAAGGACAGACTTAAGATAAGAAAATTATTGGTTCAGCAATTTTTCTTCAGCCTTATATATGTATTTTGTAATTGAAATTTACAATTCCTTAGAACAAGGGATGTACTTCAAAATTGTAATTTATTTATATATTTAGGATTTTGATTATTTATGACAACTATTTTTGTCTTCGCTCTATCCATAATGCAACGTTTTTATTCCACGTGAATCGATGAACCTCGATCACAAGTGGAAGTTCGGTAATTGTAAATGTGTGATCGTTTGTTTGCACGTGGCCTGTTTTTTCCCTGGTGTTGGCAGTCAAAATTGAAACGCACACATGTAAGTTGATGTTTTGTAATATGAGCAAGGATGAAATCAATCCACTGATTAATGTTATCCCATGTGGATAAAGTATTCGTGCACCTAGTGAATTGTAAACACCGTAGTTGAGGAAAGCGATCCTTGTTAATAAGAAACAAAAGAAGTGATTCCATAATTTCCGTATTGATTTCTTTGCTAACGGTAGACGAGCAAGCCACGCTTAGCCGAATAAGACGTCGCAAAAAGAAATTAAGATGTTGATTATTGGAGCTATTAACGACCCAATACTTCAATTCTGTTAGTTCCATTAGGAGACCAGTAACCCAGGTCGATCATTCCGGCGACTAGGGTGTGAGGGTGATGGTGTGGGTGAGAGGGTGGTGGCTGGATACACCAAATTCACTCATATTCCTTAGCTTCCCAACGCACACAAGCATGGATATCGAGTTGGATACACCAAATCCACTCACATTCCTCAGCTTTCCAGAATACACTTCTATTTGGATATCGTGTTGGATACACCGACTCAGCTGCATATGGTAACGTAAGGCAGACAATGAATTTTAGTATATTAGAGTATCTTCACATCTATGTAGGGTTTGATTGGAGCCGAATATAGAATAGATTTCACTTAGTGATATAGCATTGACAATTCGTCAGTGCTGTTTCGTAATTTGAACTTTTATGTATCTATCGAAATTACTGGTTATACCGAGATGAAAAAAAACTTCATTCCAGTTTGAAACTTATCACTTTTTTGCATTCAACATTGGAGAAATCGTCCCGAAGGTAAGAGAACATCGCCATCTATTGAGCGAACAAGAGCATAAAGGTGCACACTTTGCCAATCAAAATTTTGTAGTAACAAAATAGAATAAACATTGTTGAGTTGAGGGAAGGGTGTTGTAGAGATTTACTTCGAGACACAATGCAACTCGTCTTCGCCGATCATCCAGTTCCTCAGACGGTCACGAAATCTTTATTTCTTGCTGGTCCATCACCGCGTGATATTCATACTATCGATTGGAGACACGAAGCTGTGCGATGTTTGAGCGATTTCGATGGAACTGTTTTCATTCCGATTCCTGAACATCAGTTCTATGCTAAAAGTAGTGATGAACGCGTGAATAGCGCTTCATGGACTTATGATGGGCAGACTTCGTGGGAATGTGAGTGTCGTCATATAGCTGATGCCATTGTTTTCTGGATTCCTCGTGATATCAAAGGAGGAATGCCTGGATTCACGACGAATATTGAATTTGGTGAAGATCTTCATTCGGGAAAAATCGTCTACGGACGTCCGGACAGTGCCGAAAAGTGTCGATATCTCGATAAACGAATGGAAGAACTTCAGTTGCCGATATTCAATTCATTGTCAGACACACTTCGACATGCGATGTCTCTGCTTGGTCAAGGTGCTCCTCGAAAGCATGGTGAAGTTTATATTCCATTATTTATCTGGAATACGCATCAATTTCAGTCATGGTACTCGAATTTGAAGTTAGCCGGCAACCGTCTGGAGAAAGCGAAAATCTTACATCATGCTGAGTTCAAACCTCCTAAACACATCTTTTCCTATATTTTATGGGTAAAGATTTGGATAGAAAAAGAAAAACGGTATAAGGAAAACGAATTCGTCTTCGCTCGCAAGGACATCAATACAGTTGTAGCCTATTATCGAATAGACAATGATACTAAAATTGCGATCATCAAAGAGTTTCGCAGTTCTGTAAACAATCCCGATGGTTTCGTTTACGAATTACCCGGTGGCAGTGCTATTCTACCGACAGAAATTGATCCTCTACTTAATGCTAAACATGAACTAGAAGAAGAAGTCGGTTTAGTGATCGATGATATATCACGTTTCAAGTATCTCGGCCGACGACAATTAGTGGCTACACTTTCATCTCATCAGGCAGAACTTTATAGTATCGAGTTGAGAAAGGAAGAATACGAACAACTCCTAGAAGCTGAGAAAAAGATGAAAACATTCGGTGTTAATGACGATACGGAAAGGACCTATGTGCAATTGATCAGTATTTCACAATTGCGAGATAGTTTTCTGGATTTTTCGATGCTTGGAATGATCTATCAAGCATTGTATTTTCAATCATAAAAGTAATCATTTTGATTTATCTTAGAATCTTGGACAATACTATCGACGATGAAACTGTCAGATTGTACACTCATTAGAGTAGCAGTCTGAAAATCCAAATAAACTCAAGATTCAAACTGATATGAGTCAGGATAGGTTTACCATCTGGATAGATCGTAGTAGTACGACAACAATGATTGTGATTGAGTGAGAGCATTCCAATTATCTACAATTTCATAGAAAACCATGAGTACATTACAAAAATAGATTAAATGTATAAACACTATCGACTCCTAGGTTAGTACTCAAAAAGCAAGTAAGAACATCTTTCTATTTCTAATACAACCTAAGGCAAGGAAGGAAAACTCAGCGCAGTAAAGTGGCATGAGTGACGGTTAAGTTTTTTAGAGCCAATTCATGTCTTGTATCGAGGCGCAGCCTCGTAATTGATATCGAGTTAAAATTGATGGTACATTAACGATAACTACTGACTGAAGATGGAATTATCTGTGAAAACGAAGTTATTCATTGATGCGAATACAGAGTAAGGAAAAGGTCTACTTCATTCGATTCTTAAATAAGAGGAGACAAAATCTAACGCGATCAGTGATTATTCGGCTTTTATGTTGAAAAGGAGGAGTTCACGGCAAGCGGCTAAATATATTCTTTTAGAACTTCGAACATGCCGAAGACAGGTTGTTCTTTTAATAAGAACAGGGATAATCTCTGTCCTGATGTTCACTTCAATTTAGATCATGCATTTTCAGGAAAACTTCAGATGTAAGTGTACTTCTTACTAATATCCTACACACATGATGTCTCCGCATTGAATTATAACAGTCGCGTTATTCAAGAAGCAACAATGTAGAAATATAGACGTTAACATGAATCAGTAGCGCACTGTTTCGAAAGTTTTCTAGTCAAACCTACTAACAACATTTGGTGAATGATTTCAATCAATATTTTGTCAGTCTTTAGCTGTGACTGAGGAGAGGGAGTTCTCTTTCTCTGCAATGTTTACTGCTCGTAAAACTCAATAACGCCATAGAAAAACTCTTTCATTCAACGTTCATCAGCGTCGTCATTTCCACTGAGTTAGCCGCGCATTTCTTTCATAATTGGCTCCTTTTACAACAATATAATGAGAGGTATTGTGAACATGCAGATAATTTACACATGCTGTTGAGTCGCGATTACAACTTTTCTAACTATAAGAAGATGACAAGGAACAGCATTTCATTCATTGTATACTTATTTGTTGTTTAGAAGAGAGACAGAATGTCCAACAGTAGCTCATTTAAATATTTTACCATTCGGTACTATCAGATAGTACCGCCGATGGTATTGATTATCGGGTGTATTGGCAATATTTTGAATTTGGTGTTATTCACTCGGCGCACTCTTCGAAGTAATCCTTGTGCAATCTATTTTTTTCTTCTATCAATAACAAATTTGATCAGTCTAACGTTCGGTTTACTTCCAAATTATCTTATTAATGTGTACGGTATTGATATTTTAACAAGCACCATGTTTTTCTGTCGATTTCGTTTTTTCGTCGTACATTGTTCACTTGCTATATCGTCATGGTCGATTGTTTTAGCTGGTATTGATCGGTTTTGTATTAGTTCTCGACAAGTACGTCGTCGGCAGTTTAGCACCCTGAAACATACTCAAGTAGCAACTGTTATTCTCATTATTATCTGTTGTATCATCTATAGTCATGTTCTTGTTCTTTTCACAATTGAACAAACATCAACCGGTCGCATGTGTTATGCACAATCAGGACCGTATCGTATATTCTACGACTTCTTCTTTTTTGCGACGTATAGTTTCACGCCACCTATTCTAATGGTTCTACTTGGCTTAGGAACGTTGCGTAATATCCTACAAGCACGAAGTTTGATCAAACCTCAGGAGACTAATGCCATGGCAAGAGCATCAATACAGCAAAATGTTTACGTTCAGAAAAAAGATCGGCAATACTTGAAAATGTTGCTGGTGCAATTAGTCTTCACAGTTACGTTGACATTACCTATTGCTATTCAAAAACTGTATACAACATTCACAGAATATCAAGTGAAAAGTACCAATCGAATAGAAATTGAAAATTTCGTAGCAGATTTTGTTCGAACATTAACACAGATCAACAGTGGATTGAGCTTTTTTTTGTAAGTATACCATACAAAGGTTATTAGACCAGCGTGCATCTTATTTCTTCGTCTCTGAACTAGGTACACCTTATCAAGCACCGCATTTCGTCGTGAATTACTTGTGGTTATTCTTAAATTTGTCAAGATTACATTCGGAGTGAACAATTATGTATATCAGTGGCTGCAGAAAATTGCTCGACCCACTGTATCGCACCATGCGGATACGATGGCACATGCGCACGTCGGTACTCTACGTCTCAAATCAATCGGACAATGATGTCGCCACTTCCAAATATTTTAATTACGGTTCACTTATTGCGGAAGTACATTCTTTTCACGTTAGAATGAATCCGATAAAAAGAAACTGTTTGCTCGTGCTAAGTTGCATATAATCTGGAAATGATTCAATCTTTTTGAATGGAAGAGGAAACGGCTGCAAGTTGAAATATGTACTTATGATATGAGCTACGCCCGAGCAATCTAGTGTGTAATTACTGACAAATGAAATTATACATATGTGTGTGTTCTAGAAAGAAAATTGTAGTCTTCAAAGTCTTTAGACGTCGTTCATATAATAATTATAATCGTTTTAAGGATGAATTTGATTTCCGGTTAGACACCAACAGATTTGTTTCTTCACCGTTTGACGAAATCGAGTTGATGATAACAGAAATATATAACAACTTCCCTAAAATAAAAACGTATAAAGCGATTTCTCGTGAAAAGCACAATATACGTACAGAAAAGTAAAAATAGGTCACAAGAGTAACAACAGTTGTTACGAAGGTTTCTCTTAATTGTTGATCGGTACTTTTGGGATTGGTACTTGTGATCAAACGATAAGTACTGTTGATACCGTAAGGAAGAATACTGAGACTAATTAACAAGATTTGAAATAGAATCATACGTAATAGTTGACGATCTGCATGCTGCTGAGCAGGAACGCGTGTCAAACGGATATTTCGATAAGTTAAACCGCCAAATACAATCATTATCACGACTGGAATGGTGGTAATGACAATTGTAACATAAATTGTACTATAAATAGCATAGATTGCATTCGTGGATGCGCATCTTACTGTCGTTATATTATAAAACACCGGAGCGAAAATTCCATGAATCGACCAAAAACCAATTATACCGATGACAATTCGATACGCCAATTTAATGTTGCTGCAACGACGAAGGTTCACATTTTGTGACGTGACTAAAAATTGATCGATGGCAGCTACACACGAACATGTGAACGATATTGGACTCAACGAAGCGGCAAGAAACGCCCTTGACTTACACCAAACTATGGATGTACGCGTCAAATCAATATCGTAACGGGCAGCGACAATACGAGCAATTAAATTAATTAGTATGTAAACAATGTTGTCTATCGAGCCAACCAGGAAATAGAATGTGCAAGGAGTCGTGCGATATGTGCGAACTCGTGAAAAGACGAAAGTATTGATTCCATTGCCGATTAAACCTGTAAAAAGGAAAATACACCCGCTGTATAATGTCAATTGATCCCCGATTTCAGTTAATGACATGGATTCCAAATTCTCACTGTTCTTATCGACGCTTTTTAACGTTAGAAAATAATTTGGAATATTTTTATCTGGTTTGAATAGAGCATCTCATTTGTTTTAATGATTCATTTGAGTGCTCTACTTTTGTTCTATATAGCAGGCACTCCGCTTTGCATATAATATATCATTAATCATGAAAGAGTTCGCCGGTCTAAGTCGATTTATTCATGGATAAAATGATAAAACTACCAAAGAAAAAGGTTTTTAAAAATCTTTTTTCAAGCTTTTCTTGTTTCATCTAAAGTGTATACTAGTTTTTCTGCTGCTACTTTATTTTCCATCATTTGTCGAAATCCTTGTTCGACTCCATTTAATCCACCGGGAATCTTTGTGACTTTATTTGGTTTGAGTAAACCTTGAGGTAATAGAACGTCAGTTAAAGCTTTGTAGAACTTCTCGGCAAATTCTTTGTCTTGTGGTCGTACTTCGTATTCTAAACCAAATATATGCAGATGTCTTCCAAATATGGTGTACATCATCACGGATCGTTCCTTGATATTCGATGGTATTTCGTTGGATAAACCAGGTAAAACTGTTGCGACCTGAGCGTTTGAACCGGTTAAAGCAGCACATACTTGTTTGATAGTTTCTTTTTCGGATATACAATCTAATGCATACGAAAGATTGTCTTTTGCAGCTTGTTTTATTTGTGCTACAGCATTTTTGTCTTTATAATCGAAACAAACATCGGCACCTAATTCTTTCAAATAATCATGACGAGCAGCCGATGCTGTTGTGATCACGTAGCAGCCAGCTGCTTTAGCCAATTGAATCGCGTATTGACCAACACTGGTGCTACCAGCCCAAATGAGAACAGGTACTTGAGCAGTTGCAGGTGGAAATGGTAAATTCATTTCATGAAACAAGCAAAGAGCAGCAGTAATTGAAGCTAATGGAATAGTTGAGGCGGCTTCAGGCGACATATCCGATGGATAACGAAAGACTAGTGAAGCTTCTTGAACAACATATTCTGAATAAGCACCACGAACATTTAATTTAGCATCCTGACCACCATGTACACAACCGGCTACACGTTCACCTTTTTTGTAATTCCCTAAACACATTTAGTTATTAGATTTTGATTGAATAATTTCAACACGAACCAACAGCTTCGCTGCCAACTTCGACGACTTCACCGGCAAAATCGCAACCAACGATCGATCCAGATTTAGCTAAGTCAAAATGAACATGTTTCCAATCGGTTGGGTTTTGAGCGACGTGTGTCACTTTTATAAGAAGCTCTTTTGGGCCATACTTTGGTAACTAAATTATTCAATATGAAACTATTTTCGAAAATACGAGCCGGACAAACGCAACGATTTACTTACATCGAACTCTTCTACAACAAGTTTTTTGTTTTCACGAACGGCCAATGCGAGAGGCATGATAAGTGTGTGTGTGTGTGCACTAGTGAAAAGAAAATAGAAATGACGTTGCACTTTCATGTCTACCCATGGTGGATCGTTGTTTTTTTCCTCTCGAGTCAAAACACAATCGAACAGCTTCGTTTTTCGTTCTCTCCTTTCTTAAAAACAATACGTACGAGAAGACGAACCTATGTCACATATACGTTCGATCATTTTTATTCGAAAAATAGATGTAGACATTTAATTATTTTATGGATTTCAATTTGTTCTTTGTTCTCTTTTTTGTTCCTGAAGATGGTTTTGTCTTTTTATTTAACTTCAACGGAGGAGCCGGTACTGATCTAGAAACCTCCAAGTGTGTTTGTTGACTATCATCGACGGTTGAAACTGTCTTTATTAAATATTTTCTTGACGGCCGACCGGAGCAATGAATCGGCATAGAATAGACGAAAATATGTTGATTATAATAACGATATACTATCTTCTTAGTAGTAGCTGAACGTGGAAGTAAAAGATCAACTTTCTTATGAAAATCAAGAGATACGAATGGAGACCGTATTTGCTTTTTTGTAGTATTTGTTCTGCCTTCAATGGATAATATCTTGTTCAATTTGGTATACGCATTGTACGAGTATGTAGTCATACATTTGTAGCGGCCTCGCAATTTTCGTTCGTATCGATTAGGCTCTATTTTCCATCGAGCTTTGTGCGTATTTTCCTTTCGTGTTTTGGTCTTTTGTTGTTCATAATTTTTTCTTTGTTCGTATTCAACTCGTGATCGTTTTCCTCGTAGAACTAATGGTGTCCATGCGGGATGACGACGACGATATTTTCTTTCTTGCTGTATGTACTTCCATATCGGCTTTGATATCTTAACAGATTTTATACAACATTGATAAGACTTTTTATGTCCGATCTTTTTCTTAGACTGAAGATATTTTTTCATGAAAGTGATGACATTTTCGTGCAAGAAATGTTGAACACGTGTTAGATCATCTCGGCTGCGCGTCGTTACATATAAACGACTATCGTCGCGAAGGTGCACATTTATGACAAATGAAAGTCTTCGTAGTTTTTGAGAAATGCTCCAATAATATGCTTTCCATTGCTGTGGTCGATATAGAATAAACTCATGAGTCACAGCTGTCAGATGCGTTAAAGATTTATTGTTTTTCTTCGTCGTAGGTCGGCGTCGCTTCGCCATATTAATAAGCAGAGTCTGAGGCAACGACTAATAGCAGATAAGAAGCAGATGACTTACATTAACGAACTACATCGTCGCATTCCAGAGGTCGTCAGGAGTCTCCCTAGAATTAGTTGTTTTTTATCCGAAAAATCGGCGCAATCGTTCACAAGAGGATAGTAATCGGTATTTTTTCACTCTATAGTTCATTACTTTTTGATGCATGAATGTTCAATGGCGTATAGATTCTTTTCGTATCGATATTTTCAATGGATCTGTAAATTTGAATAATGAGAACATAACTGATAAAACTGATGCATCGACAGATATATAAGCAATACGAAAATGGTATTTTGGCGCTTGGTCAAAGAACAATATGAACATCATCAATGTGTATGGAAAGCAAACTGCTAGTAGAACAATAATCAAAATAACAATACGTCGAACCATGATTAATTCTCGTTTTGCACGTACTAAATTGTTCAGAGTCATCACATTTTGGCTCATTAGTTTAATATATCGAACAACTTTGAAATAAATCAATATGATCAATACAATGAACATCATATAACCACAAATCGGCCCATAAAGCACATAAAATGAAGTCGTAATGATTTCTGACATATGTGTTTGTCAGCATTGTAAACGATTATATTCACTACGAGCAAGGGAACTGGATAGAGAAAACCAATTGCGATAAATTGAAATCATAAGGATTGAAAGAATAAATTATTTGAATAAACAATGATTACGTACATCTCATTTGAAAAAGCTTTGTAATTAAGTAGAAACATCGTGTCTATGTTGTTCCAGTTCATGTCTTCGTTCTTGAAAATCTTTAACGATATATTTCTCCGCTTCCTGTCGTAACCACAATCGTTCAGTGTGATGCTTTAAGATTTTCTTGAAGATAATTACACTCAAAACAATTCCTACAACAGTTCCAATAATCGCACAAACGATAACCATAATTACCACTGCAAGAAAGAATCCGTTTGGACTGTCCGAACTACTTCCTAGTCGATGATTTCGGTTAGTACCAAAACTAGGTCGATTTAACTCACCGCCCATGCAAAATACGATAATCAACGCTACAAAACCAATTAACGCAAGCAGTACAATAAAAGCACTCAAATAATAAATCGCAAATCCACGAATGAATGTTGGAGAGAGATTTTCGATTCGATGACTGTCCTTATCTAGACTTTGCATAAGAAATCCCAAGCCGACAATAATCGATTGAATCAATAGAATAATAGCGAGTAAATCCCGTAGAACATACAAGTGATATTTGATCAGCCGTTCTCGTTCAGCTTTTGGATCAGCAACGACAGTATCGATAACGTATTTAAACTAGCACAAATCACAAAATTTAAATGCTCTTCCATTCGTATTTCCCGATCGCCAATTGTTTAAACAACTTCGATGAACATACGCCAGTGTTCCACTACATAAACATGGACTAATCATCTCCTGACTGTTTTCAGTATCCAAACATATCCGACATTGTTTCGTACGATCGTCAGATGTTCTCAATTCAGAAATATTTATCGAAGACATTGATTTCATACCGTATTTCTCGCTTTGAAAGAGCACATACTAAATATACACCTTTGTAAATTTTCACTCAAGAGAATGTGTTGCAGCATATTCTATTCGTTTTGTTTTCTTTCTTTCTCAGGTATTATTCACAAGCAAAAGAAACAGAACACGATTATTTTTGTTCTTGATCACATCTGACTAATAACAAAAAGAATATTTCGAACATTTTTTTTCTACAGCGTGACGCAGATATGATTGAAAAATAAAACGAAACTCGAAATCTCACTTTAACTAATCCAACAGAGTAGAACGCATTTTCATCAATAATCGTTGCTTATGCCGACAATGCTCGTGAATAGAATTCTCATTCGACAACATCGAAACAAAACAAGTATTCTCTACAAATGCGTGACGTTTTGGATTACTCATAATTAACGCATAAGATCATACAAAAAAGAACCGAACTTTTGTTTATTTGCTATATGCTTTCTTGATGTTCTTCAAAAATTCATCCAATGATAATTGTCCATCACCATTGTCATCAAACAGATGGCACATTTGCTGAAAAGATATACCCCATACGCGTTCACCAGCGATAGTAATTCCGCGTTGTGCTTCTTCACGGGATATGAAACCATCTTTGTTCGTATCGACTTCGTTGAATGCTTCTGTTAATTCAGCAAGAACGAGTGGATTATCGATGGAGCTAGTATCCACATGCATAAATTCTCGGAATTGATTGAACGTAATGTAGCCAGTATTGCCACTTAGCTGCCGAAGGTAACGATCGACAGCTGCACCCCGAAAACCTTGAAGAGGTTCAGTATCGAAAACTAACCGTCGGAAATCATCGGTTGAGACTCGTCCCGTTTTTTCTACCAATGACAAACAAAATATGCAATGGTTTTATCTCTTTTCAATGGTCACTAACTTGTATCAATACTATTGAATTCTCGCTGAAGATATGTGTCGTCCAACAATCGCTTCGTCATTCGTCTTTACCTGTTTCTCGATAAAACGACCCCGATAATCGATAGCACAACAAAAAATGAAAAGAATGTAAAAATACTTGACGGAGAGAAGAACGAAAGAAAATCAACGTAAGATGCATTCGTGTTTGTTAAATATAAGTCGTATTAGTCTACCTACGCTTACCTTTACTCTCGAATAATTTTACATTAACAAAGAACAAGCAGATGTCAGTACTTTGCCCTCGCGCAAATGAGTCGTGTCAAGTAGAGTGTTTTGGACATATTTAATCAGCGGATATTTTCAAAAGTCGAACTTATTGTGAAAAACTGACTAAGAATTAAGTAAGATTGTTTTTTTAACGGGCTGGTTCAGATTGGTCTTGACGAAGATTTGATTCAGTATATGAAAGGAACTGACTGGTGGACTGGATTGGCTGCTGGTGCATTGGTAACATGTCCGATACTAATTCTCCAAAAGTCTAATAATTGTGTCACGATCATACAACAAGCAAGAGCGTCGATGATCGTTTGTGGCAAATTCCAGGTATTTGCTTCTTCGTCTAGCCGTGCAAACATCGGAAAACTGACAATAAAATAAATACCATAGAACATGCTACCGTATGCATACATAGCGTATCGATCAGGAATATCGTAGTACGGAAAATGTTGAATGGTAAATGTCTCTAAGAAAGCTACGATATAACTGAAAATTATTACGATAATTCCAACATAAAAATATCGTGCTGTCCCTTTTGTTTGCATACGACGCCAGACCAATCTTATGAGAATTGATGAGAAAACATGATAGAGATGAAAATAGGAGTGTGTCATCATATACAATGCAATTGGTACCTCATTGAAGCGATGAGCTTTGAATGTATAAGTTGCATGTAGTACTACATAGAAATAATGCGTCCAAAAGTAGTTTGCAATCCATGACAAGATGCCCATGTAGATATTCGCTTTGGTTGTATAACGGCGAGAAAGAGGCAGATGTGCAGAGAGGAAAAGTGTCGGGAAAACCATGGGAAATACGGTTGGAAAGATGAATAGTAGTAGACCAAAGGTAAGGTAGTGATAAGGTGTGAACGTTTCGAACCATTGTGAATAAACTATGTAGAATACAATATTAATCCAGATAGCTGCCCAAATCAAGAAGAATTTTTCAGCTCGAGCTTTTTCAGAATTAGGAGAAAAGATTGTTGAATGTACGGGAGAGATAGAATCGTCCGAATTACGTAATTCATTGTAGTTAGATGAGTTCATGTTTGCTTCAGTTGTTGCTGCAGATTTTCTCCTGACGAGATCGGCTGTTGCACTTTGATTCATATCGAAACTTTTGATGTCTTATCCTTCTTCGTGCAGTATCATAGACGCAGCACACACATGCACATACACGTGTTTGTTGATAACATGTTCTTGATTCAATACTTCTCTCAAGTTGCTTTATCTTATAGCGCGTTATGATGTCTTTTGTCAAGTTCATAATAAAAGATTACTCTATTCGATTCTCGATAGGAACGAACATCCAGTCAAAGATATCTTCTATCATGAAAATAAACTTACGTGAGGAAAACATCAATATATCGTGCGACGTGCCTAAATCGTATATTTATAACATGCTTATTGACAACAAATATATATTTTACAATACTGGATGATTCTATTCATCACATATAGAAATATTCAACAATGTCAGGTCGAGCGAACGTTGTTTCACCAATAATGCACGATGTAGAACAGTTTGATTATTGCCAATCACACCCGAGAGCAGGATCTACTAATTGCGAATACACTTCGATGGGACACGATTTTTGCAGCGTATATTGATAATGTATCAAGTATTGCACGTGCATCAAATTTTTCCTTTGACACAATCGATCCACTACTGACTTCGATTATCCGTGCTAAAACGATGACAGTATGTCGGCAATTAGATGTGACACGGAAAACTTATTTGATTCGGTTTCTTTTTGAACCCAAAGCCATCCTTTCTCATCGACACGTGATCGATCTGAGTGTATCGGCGTTCAGTACTAAGCAAACGGCTTCGCTCGAAGACATATCCTTAACCGGAGTTTCACTTACCAACGCTTCGTTTGCAGTTCGACAATTTGTTGGTGCAAATTTTACTGAGAGCAATCTGCAAGGAGCCAACTTTCAATACGCATCTCTTCGGAATGTGTCATTTCGTATGGCGATCTTGAGAAATACCAACTTTAATGATACAACGATGTCGAATATCGATTTTTCGGGTAGTGATCTAATTGGATCAACGATTACGATGAACAATTGCAGAAAGCATATTCGACATTTGGCGCTTTTCTGCCTAATAAAACTTTGGGATTAAATCGAAATTTATTACAAAATAGAAATGCCGAGAAGCAGCCAAAATGTCTCGCTGCACAGATTGACCCTATATATCACAGTAATTGGAATGTTACTCCATTTGACGGTGTTGGTATTACTAAGATTGATCAAGCCGTTGCCGATTTAGCAGTAAATCGTTGGTTTCGGATATTGAAAGTGAGTTTTGATCTCGTCGATAATTGTTATATTGTATCCAGTATTGTGTGTTTTATAGCAAGTTGAAATGGACAGCGAACATGTCCATATTGTTGGTAATTATTTTTGGAATGTAAAAGAATGTTCGTATATAATGAACACGCGTCACTTTCTCAATGGATTTCGATTTCGGAACAGTATCCAAGAGATATCATCAACAGTGCATCCATTTTATGACATCTCTCAATCTTTTGTGGTGTATTCCAGAGCCAAGTCAATATCAGTATGACATTAGAAGAATTCAATAGTGAAAATCAAACATTAAACATCCATCACTTCGGTACACACTGATCTGATTTAATTCCCTATGAATTTAATGTTTATTTTAGTATTACCTTACCAAGGAAGTTGAATAGGATTTCGCCCGTACAATCCTAGCAGCACATATGCACTATTCAAACTTCATTTTCACAATCTGGACTTAAACCGAAACGATTCCACAATACTCAATCAAACACATCAACGTCCTATTGTATTCTGTGATAATATCTACCTATCATTAGGATCATCATCGGTCATTTCATCGATTCTACCTATCGAAACGATATAATTCGAAAACGCGATCCTTTTTTTTCGTCGTTGCCAGTTTTATTCTAGCGAATTATATTACAGGATATACATACGAGTCTTTAATTTAATTCTTGCTCTTCTTCTTTTTCAATAATAATCCATAAGATCGAATCGCATTTGTATCAACAGTACGCCATGTATAACCTTCTTTAACACAACTTGGATGAATCGAGTATGATTTTGGTCGTACTCGACATTGATATACAATACAATATTTTCCCGTCTTGTCGTCAGTGGTCACCGCGAAGGGCACCGTGTACTGAGGACAGGATCCACCTTTACAACGTGTTGCTAAATAAAGGTCTATGTCGGCTGCAACTGATCTTAATTGTTGAACTAGTTCACGTTATATAAGGTCTGACCGTTTTGAGTAATACCACTAACTGCACCAGAATGCGTACCATGGAAGGCAACAGGATATTTACTTTCAGCATTATCACTTTCGTACTTATCGCTAACATCAAGTCCGTGTCGATACCAATCAAGTGATAAATAGTAAGGTTCACTCTCGCATTTCTGCTCTTTCGGCATGCCTGGCTCAGCGTAGTCGAGATTCAGTCGCGGGTTGAAGTCGATGGGTTTCAGTTGAAGAAAAGATCATAGAACTGATTGCCGTTTATAATCATAATGAGCTGGCTTAACGTAGCGAAGAATTTTGTCTCATTTCAATTCCAATCGAGTCAAGTTCTTAAAAGTGATAAAATAAAGGAAAGACAAACAAATACGATCGTGGTTACTTGTAATCGATCAGCTGGTCGGTTTGCTTCATTATGTATCTGAAAGACGTTCTCACATCCAAAGGTTCAAGAAAGAAATTCGTTGATCAATTCGGCGCTGCACGGTAACATGCAACGATATTGTATTGTTCTTTATCAGAAACATTCGATGGAGGTGAACATCCTTTTCATTTACATGGGCATAACTTTTGGATCATTGCAACATCAGATTATCCCGATGCCGAAGATCTATACAAGAATGACTATATTCAACGAGATACCGTTAGTGTTCCTGGATCAGGCTGGGTGAAAATTCGTTTTCTGGCGGACAATCCCGGTGCTTGGTTTTTTCATTGTCATATCGAATGGCACATGTCAGCAGGATTAGCTTTAGCCTTTCTCGTTTCGCCCGATCAACTGATAGCCAATGGTTTCAAGATATCATCTGAACAGAGAAGTTTATGTCGAGCCTTGAAACAATTCAATGGCAAAAATCAAACGAACTCTAATTTTCATTGACAATCATCACTTTTTTTCTCTTTTTTGTATCTCATAAATACAAAGAATCGATTGCTGCTAAGAGGAATACTTTTGTACTTTCAGAACAAATGTTTTTGCTGTAATCAAAAGGTGAGGGTGATTGAACGATCATTTTCATCCCGATGGAGTCCTTGTCTGACGAGTTATTTCTAACGATCTTTCGTTATCTGCATGAATTTGATATAGTCTATGCATTTAGTAATCTCAGTCAACGTTTTCATAGTTTAACTCAAGCCAATATTTCTCATCAACGATTCTGTGCGTTCTACCAGAATATTCTTTCACATCAGTACAACAAAACACGCTCTCTTCAACTACTGCAGTTACACGTTTATCTATTGATTGATCTCGAGTCACTAACATTGATATTGACTGTAACTCATGATTTCATTCTTGATGAACTTTCAAAATATTCATCGTTGAATTTACACGCGTGCCCGGATTTCAAGGACGTCTCATCGATGCCTCATGTTAAACATCTCTCAATTACTGTAAAACCAATCAATACATTAGAAAAAGTCTTTGAAGCGATGCCCGATCTCGAGAAATTGGTGTTATCAGTGTTTAAATTCAGTGGCTTCAAAGATATATAATCTCAACACTCATGACCTCTAGTCCATTGTCCAAAATCTAACAATTCTAACTGTAGATTTCCAACTTGTACCGTTCGATACTATGTCGTATATCACAACTGATGCGGTGTATCACACTGACGATTCCTCACGTTTTTCTTTGCTCATCTGCCGACCGATCTCAAATTTCGTATATCTAAATATAGAGACGAATGAAAATGTGTTCTAGAACTACAAATGCTCTTTCGTCGAGCAATGACTACTCAACGATGATAAAACATTTTATTATACAGTACACACGTCAAAATATGGCTTTGATTGAACGAACTCTCCAACAAAAAAGCATTTCGTCTTCTCATGCTTCAGTATATAGAAGTGATTCATTTTATTGATTGGTAGTAAAAAAAGAGAATGACGTGATTTGACTGTAAACTTTCGATGATTCGTACTGAAAAAAAGGCACACCAACAGATGTATCGTCACCTCACTCATAAAATTCAAGAATGTTCTTTTTCTCTATACTATGTCTAATACTATAAAAACCAAGTTATATACTTTAAACATCATTTGTCCTAAAGTAACACGCATACAATGATCGCTTTCCATCAACTGATCCTCATCTGTCTTCTACTAAGTAAAATTAATTAGATTCTATGTCATATTCATCCATATCTTACATGAATGTTTTAGTCTTGAGCACACAATTCAGTAATGGTTTGCAATGTTACATATGTGAGAGTTGTAATGATCCATTTGACCCCAGTAGCGCTAATATAACTACAGTTCCTGATGATTCAAATATTTCCTGTTTGGTAAGATGATCAATTTCTTGTATTCAATCTGAATGTGAATTCGCGTTTATTAAAAATAGAAAAGTAAAGCTTTTTCATTCGTAAGTCGAGGTATACTGGCAAATTGCAAATCATCAAATCTTCTTTATAATGGTATTTGGTGTTGTGATAAAAACTTGTGCAATGCTGCTGCAAAACCAATGCTGACTAGTATACCTTTCCTGAGCATTATAATATTGGTCAAGGGAAAACTCTTATAAACTTTTTGTTTTCTTTCTTTTTATTCGTACATGTAACTTATCATAAATAAATTGAAGGATACATATGTTTTATTTTTGCGTGTGGGAGAATATTTGAATTAGAAGCATATTTATGACAGAACGAGTCGGTAGATAATAAAGCACAAATATTCGAACGAAAAATCAAGTGCGATCATTTTAGTTTGTAATGTACACGTGATTGAGGGTTTACGATGTTACAAATGTTCGAATTATAATCATCCATTTAATAAAAATGACCCAAGTGTATAGAGACAATGGACGATAATAGCAGTACAAGTTGCGTGGTGAGTGACTTTTGTTCTTGCTGTTAATTCTAACACAATAGAAAAAGAAATGGTGTTCATCTGTAAATCATCCAATCTTTTCAATATGGGTATATGGTACTGCACGTCCGATTTGTGTATACGGCATCAAGAACTCTGTCGAGGAACATTACCATTCTCGCCATGCTGTTTTATTGTTCTGTTTTCTTTTTGTTATAAAAATATCTTCCAATATGTGATAAGAATTATCACATTTCTTCAGTACCGTATTCACTATACTCGCTGCATGGAGTGCAATTACTCTGTTCAGTAGGTTGTATAATAAGAAAGATGGTTTGTTAATATGGGGATTATTCAGTAAAATATCTTTTCTTGAGTTATTATTTCTGTAATATACCTGAAACTGAAAAGGACGTCATAGAACAGTTAAGTGTTATTCAATTATTCGATTCAAATTCGACACTTGTGTATCAGGTAATTATACCGTTTGTTTTGGTAATACGTACTTTACATAATTTATGGCATTATACCATTATTTCATGTTCGATGAGTTGAAAACGAACCTTTCAAAAGCATATTGATAGATTATTTCTTCTTGACTTCGTCGAATGTATTCATTAATTTAGTATTTTATATAAATGGTCCGTGAAAGTCGATCCCTTGCATAGAACTTTTCTGAAACAACGACAATGAAGTCGAATATATTACTAGCTTTCTTACTTTTGAGTAAGTTATAGTATTAAAACATATAAACTTTCGTTACATTCCTGTGAATTCTAGTTATTAAATTGAACAATGCATCGCCTATTACCAGTGAACAATTGGAAGCAATTATGCCACGTTGTGCTCATCCAGAATATTTGGAGTACATGAATAGTGCCATGACCGAAGGTCAAATCGACACATGTGCTCGACAAGCTGCTTTCCTGGCGCAAGTCGCTCATGAAAGTGGCGAACTTGTCTATATGGAGGAATTGGCTAGTGGCGAGAAATATGAGGGTCGGCGTGATCTAGGAAATACTCAGCCAGGCGATGGTAAGAAATATAAAGGACGTGGCCCGCTTCAACTGACAGGTCGTGCTAACTATCGAGCAGCAGGATTAGCGCTCGGTCTCAATCTCGAAGAAAATCCTGAACAAGTTGCAACACCATCAGTTGGCTTTCGAACATCAGTGTGGTTTTGGACAACTCATAAACTTAACTATCTTGCTGATCAAAATACCCTACCAGCTTTCCGAAAAATTACGAAAATAATAAACGGTGGCAAAAATGGACGGGCTCATCGAGAAAAGTACTGGAAAACAGCTAAAAACACTCTTGACTGTGCAGCAGCAACAACTAAAACTACCGTAAGCATTTTGTCCCTTCTTTTATGATCAGCATGATTCAAACTTTTTTTCGTTGTCAGTCATCGCCAGCACCAACACATGCACCACTTGTCACAGAACCACAGGCACAAAGTACACAATCACGTGAGATCACATCTTTCCCAACAGATATGCCAGCGTCTGAGTCAACATCAATGAGTAGTTCAGCACCCATTGCGTCGACACCAATTACGTTGACGGTCGTTGTGACGCTTCCTGATGTATCTACACCAGATGTAACAATTCCTGACTTAACAACACCGGCCGTAACGTTACCAGATGTATCCACACCAGATGTAACAATTCCTGACTTAACAACACCAGCTGTAACGCTACCTGATGTATCTACACCAGATGTAACAATTCCTGACCTAACAACACCGGCCGTAACGTTACCAGATGTATCTACACCAGATGTAACAATTCCTGACCTAACAACACCGGCCGTAACGTTACCTGATGTATCCACACCAGATGTAACAATTCCTGACTTAACAACACCGGCCGTAACGTTACCAGATGTATCTACGCCAGATGTAACAATTCCTGACCTAACAACACCGGCCGTAACGTTACCTGATGTATCCACACCAGATGTAACAATTCCTGACCTAACAACACCGTCCGTAACGTTACCAGATGTATCTACGCCAGATGTAACAATTCCTGACTTAACAACACCGGCCGTAACGTTACCAGATGTATCTACACCAGATGTAACAATTCCTGACCTAACAACACCGGCCGTAACGTTACCTGATGTATCCACACCAGATGTAACAATTCCTGACTTAACAACACCGGCCGTAACGTTACCAGATGTATCTACGCCAGATGTAACAATTCCTGACCTAACAACACCGGCCGTAACGTTACCTGATGTATCCACACCAGATGTAACAATTCCTGACCTAACAACACCGTCCGTAACGTTACCAGATGTATCTACGCCAGATGTAACAATTCCTGACTTAACAACACCGGCCGTAACGTTACCAGATGTATCTACACCAGATGTAACAATTCCTGACCTAACAACACCCGTCGTATCCACGCCAATAGCCTCTACAACACCGGTAGTAACAGATGAACCGATCGCATCATCAACATTCGCGTCAGAAACAACAGTGCCAGTGGTAACGGAGCCGTCTGTACCAACTGATATTCCAACAGATAGTCCTGATCCAGATCCATCAATCGACGATGGTGGCAATGTTGACGGAACAGACAATGATGGGAGTAAACGTCGAAGACGGCATATCGTGATGATAAGTGGACAACGTCTAGCTCGAGATGCTTCACGTAACTTCATTCATTGATGAATGGTGAAACTAAATAAACACTTCACAAGCGCTAATCGAGCATTATATTTCCTAATAAATTGTTTATCTTTATATTGGAAAATAAAATAATCTGCTGAAAACGACTCAATAATCTCTCATACGGATGAACTCATCAATACGAAATTTAAAAGTCAAATACGATGCGCTGCAGAATAATTGTCATATCACGTCATCTACTACAGTTATGGAAAGCGTTATTTTCATTTTCTATGTCTACGAAGTAACCAATGAAAATTGATCGGCATATGTGTCGTCGGAGAATGTGTCACATACACGTCAGTTTGCTTTTTGACGTGAATTTATCATACCAAAAACATTAGTTCCGAATTCATTATTTGCTTTATAAAAATGGAAACTGAGTAATGTATGATTCGTCGTGTCACGAGGAGAAGAGAAAAAACAACCATCATAATAACGCTTTAATGGTGAATCATGATGATAATTTGTTACCTTTGCTCTCACGATGTGGTACCCGGCGTGAATATAAAAATGTAAACATAATTTTTCTCAGCAGAAATCGACTATTAGTTAGCAATATCGATGGGTACAAGTGCAAGTTCTTCTGTTCAAATTAATTATAACCGGTCGAGCAATTTCTATTCAGGTGGTGAACGAGTAGATGGTATTGTTTCTTTAACCAATACACAAGATAACTTGAAAGTATGTGATATTTTCATTGAACTTATCGGCGAACTCGGTTACTCAACGCAAGAGACTCGTTCAATTACCGATTCAAATGGCAATTCTACAACGGAAAGTTATACTGAATATCATCGAATACCATTCTGGACCGATCAAATATCTTTAGCTCAATCTAAGGATGGAGCAGTAAGATTTGGTTGATCAGATTGACAACAAATACCTTTTTGTTCTTAATCTAGTCTAAAACAGTCCTTGGCCCCGGTATATATACGTGGCCTTTCCAATTTTCTCTTGCTCAGGACTTACCACCATCGACAATGCCAAATCCTGATAGATATCCTCATATCAAGTACTATACTCGCGTTGTTGTCGATCGACCATGGTACAAACCGACAATGCGGAAAAATTATCCTCTCATAGTTTCTCCTCATACAACTATTAATTATATGAATGAAAGTCAACAGCCGATTTACTTTGGCGATCAAAATCGTAAAAAACTCCGTTTGCAAGGATATCTGTCCACCAGTAGTATCGTACCTGGTCAACCACTTTGCTTTCAACTTACTCTCGACAATCCTGAACGGACTGTGATCAAAAAAATAAAAGCAACGTTAGTTCAATGTCGATATATGATCCAAGATCGTCGAGAAGATATTATCCTTCATACTGATTTACCAGGCTTGGATGAATTTAGCGATTTAACTCTACAGCGTAATTTCGAATTACCTGTATCTTCTGAATATTTAACACCGACGCATTCATTTACAACATCGGAACGTAATCGATCTTATAATTTCAATCTTTTCTATGAACTTCGATTAGAAGTACGAGCACACGGTGTTTTCACGAAGATCAAAACGAAAATTCCGGTTATTGTCCGAGTGGGACCGATGAATGTTGATCCAATTGCTTCATACAATGATCTACCACCAAGCTACAAATCCGTAGTCGGCAACTGAATATTTTTTAAGATTATGACTGATTGACTCTTCGTTTGCTTTTCTCACAGTAAAAGTATCTATAATAATGCCATTATATATTCAATAAATACCGAATACCTTTAAATACAGTGCTCACCCTCAACAGAGCACTGTGGCGAGATTTATTCTCGATTGGCCATCAGTAATATGAATGAAAGTCAGTTTCTCACTGTAGTTGCTCTTCTATTCTGCAGCAAAGTACTTTGATGTCTACCAAATTGTCATCGTAACTCGATAGACATATTCTGTTCTCATACTATATCAGGATAAGAAAACTTCAACGTTACGACGATGTATGCAGTTGACAAGATACCGAAGAATAATGAAAATAAGTGTTTATATATAAATAAACATAGCTTAAATTTCATTACTTGTCATATATACATCTTCCTGGCAACATGATTTCTGTTCTGCCTCAATCGAGTCAACTATAAAATTCAGTCGAGTGAACACTTTAAATAGAAAAACAGATTGTTGTTGGTATAGTGCGTCGATTTTCTTGAATGGAAATCATAGGATGTTCTACGCAGATATGACTGTTCAACGAAATCAAATAGATATCGATGGTTCATGAAATACTGGGATTACCGATTTCGAAAACTTTCGATAATATCTAATAATAACTGGTAAATTATCTTGCTTTCTTACTATTCTTCTGCTGTAACTATTTCATTTGATTCTGAAGAAAAATGCATATGAACTATCGTGAGTCAAATATCACCTTTACTACGATTTCCAAGTTATAAATTTGTTGGCAGTATTATATGCAATAAATGGAGTGGCTGTTATCAATATGACGTATACAAAAAAAAGAAAGAAACGAATTTCATTTCGTTTTTTCCTTCCCTATCCCAGTCAGACAAAAATTTGGAAAAACGCGTTTAAACACACAAAAGAGAACCGCGATTGTGAGCTATTAACGTTCAGTTAAAACACGTTCGAACACGCGTTTACTGGGTTTTTTCCAACTTTCTCAGCGTGTAAACATCACAACTTTCCTTTTTCCAACGTACAAGCGGTCTTTTGATATAGAATTCTAAAACAAGGCGTTTTCACGCTAGAGAAAGGAAAGTTGTGATGTTTACACGCTGAGAAAGTTGGAAAAAATCCCAGTAAACGCGTGTTCGAACGTGTTTTAACTGAACGTTAATAGTTCACAATCGCGGTTCTCTTTTGTGTGTTTAAACGCGTTTTTCCAAATTTTTGTCTGACTGGGTAGATCCCACCAGTACCGTTTTCGTATCATGCGACTGTCAATGAAAACATACCGTTGATATTAGCATTCAATTCCGTTAACTTTACATTTGCTCCTCTGGCATCATCACTATTCGACATTCTAAAGTCATGTGATCAAACAGAATTTCTTCCAATGCTTTCATACCAAATGACAAGACGTCGAAGACTTGTGTTAATATGGTTTACAAACAGAACTTTTCACAAAATACTTTTTTCTTTAGTCTCGAAGCGAAAATATGCTTTTTATCATGACAGAGACAGCTAGTATTTTTTTTGTGAAAATACCTACTGACTAAAATATATCATGACGACTCATAAAAAGATAAGAATGAATAATACAACACGGCAATTTAGTTTCTCACTCTTATATAAATGTAAGTAGAAAGAGAAAGCAAGTTCGGGTAGAAACCAACAAACACCGACGAAATACCACTACTTTGCGTATAGTATTTATTTTTTGTTTTCAGATTAACAGCAGGCGTGTTGCTCGACAGTAAAAACATGAATAGAATTATTAATTCTTCGGATCAACTTGGTAATTTTCGCGGCCAAGATCACTCATCTTCTGCTTCAACAGAAACTTCTAGAAAAGAAAATAGAAACGGTACATCTATTTCCTCGATACCATCCGGTTCATTATCCATTTATGATGAACAATCAAAAAATCCTACAACGGATGGACGTGGATCACGTACAGCTTCTGCTAGCACCAAATCAATTGTCACTGGTACAACTCTGCGCCCATCAGCATTGGCTTTCTCGAACCAACAAGCAGTCGAATTATCGGAAAGAGTTTCTGAACAAATTATTGCAGACAAAGCGGAAGTCATCAATATGATTGCCAACTACGCAGTCGAACCGTCGGAAATGTTACATCTTGGTAAGTCAACTCGATTAGTTGGCATAGGATAGTTTTCTTTGATCCTGTTCTAGTCGAACGTTGGATACAGCGACTTCTTGGTGAATTCAAACGACAAAGGGATTCTTTTAAATACCGACTGAGTGACAAATGGCAAAACGAAGAACTACCCAATCTTACTTACGAAAATCACGATCATCTACGTCAAGTGTACGCCGCTTATCGTGATTTAGAACAAGCTCGTACGGGAGTACTTTCACAGAAATCTTTCGATCAGCTGAATAATTACGTCCAAGATATCAGTGAAAGTGAGACAGCAGCGATGAAAGAGCGATTTAATCAAGTAGCAGATCATTATTCCAAAGTTCTACATGCTTTAGAAGTCATCGATAGAGAAGTTTACCATAACAGCAGTGACAGTTTTATTAGTGGTACGAAAAAAACCTTGGCCAAATTGAAACAACTGAATAATAAAGAAACACACACGATTTGTATCGTTGGCTTGGAAAAGGCGGGGAAGTCAACATATACGAACGCACTACTTGGCTATGAATTAGTGCCAACAGCAGCCGAACGATGCACACAGGTGCGTACTGTACTCAAACCGCCTTCTGGCGATGTCGATCAATCGTTACTTGCCACGGTGAAATTTTACGATGATGACGAATTTCAATTGTTCTATGAAAAAATGGTGAAGAAAACAGATGAGACCGACGATCAATTTAAAGAACGACAGCGTCGAGTAATGGTTGTCCGTGAAGATTTGAAGTCGAAATCAAAGTTTCCCGAGGAGCATTTTCGTGTCGACAATCTAAATGGTTTCGAAACGGACCGCTCAGCCATCTGCCATGAATTGCGTGATTATATTACCGATGAAGTTTACTGCAATATTATCAAAGAAATTTCTATCTATTCAAATAAATTACGGGGTATTTTATTATTCTACTCTATGCATTGATCTCATTATCGTTGCTTGTTTTTCTTTCTTCTTAGGACAGAATTATGAACTTCTCGATGTTCCTGGCTTTGACTCTCCGATAAAAGAGCATCGTACAGCTGGACTAGACGCAGTTAAAAACGCTGATGCGTTCGTTTTTCTCACTAATGGACAACAGCCGAACTTGACACAGCCACAAATTCGTCTTCTAACCGAAATCCAGCAGAATCATTTTGAAGCAATGCAACGTGCTTTTGGAATTATCACAAAACTTGATCTCTGTCTAACTCCAACGACTTATGCAGATCACCACGAAAAAGCGGTCAATGAACTAATCGCAAAGAAATTCAAACGAGACCATATTTACGTCGCCTGTCCTCGCATAGAATCGGTGAGAGAAGATTCCGATGAATATGATGCTATTGATCGAAAACTGAACACATTTGGCGAAGATATACGCCATGGATTTGAACGAAGCAAGGACGCATTGAATAAATTCATCGAATATGAACTTCCGAAAACCCATCTGAAACAGCTGATCGAATTAGGTCGAGCGCGATTATGTCACTCGGTGATCGAACGGCTAAACCTTATTCGAGAAAAACGTCTAATTCCGGTTGGTTTAGTTGATGTGTCAATCGACGATTACATTCATCAACAAAAAATGGAAAGTTGGGATCAGATTTACGAAACAAATATCTTTCAACCCGCTTTCGAAAAAGCGAATGATTGGCATTCGAACGTGGTTACATCAGAGCGTCTGAAGTTCATCGAGGACGTTCGGCAAACATTCCACGATACATTTCGTGAAAAAACGAAACAGTTCCTCAGCTCGACTGAAGATATTCAACGACAATTGCATCAAACATACACCTATACCAAACTTCAATTGAACCCTCATCAGCTCGACAGCGACATTCGTGAACAGTTGTGTTTCGCGTTAGAACAGATTGTCGACGACACTTCAGATATTTTAGCAAAACACTTTTACGATCAATATGTTTGTGGATTGGAAAGCATCATCCATAAAGCTTGTCCATATCTAAAAGATTTATACCGAGCACATTTAACGTTAGAAAGATGCATGCATGAAACGCATGCCATGATTTTAAGAATATGTCGACCGATGATCATTGCCACCTTACGCTACTCTCATCTGGATTCAGAGGTGAAAACAAATGCCATAACAGAATTCATTTACGTTGCGCCTACGGTTGCGTACAACATCGCGTGTACAACTGGTCAACAGGGAAGCAATAGCATAGCTGAAACGAACATCTGTAAATCGATACAATTCCTAATTAACAATAACGAGATGACAACAAAGATTATACGAACATTGTTCAATATCAAAGATTGAATTTATATCTTTTTTTATGGTAATATTCAAGAAGTACTTGTTTTTTTAAAGTCACTCATTAAAGATTAACTCGCTTGTTTGGGCACATTTCACATCATGTTGAATATTAAAAGACGTGATTTTTTCTTTTGTTATATATTTTTCTATTGACACATTTTAGTGTCGAATTTCACATTTACATATAAATATAAGCTTTTTGCGCACTACCATTTTAACTTCTCATGAAGAATCTATTAGTATTACTTTTTGCTTCCCAATCAATCCTGTGTGCAGTTCAATATAACAAGAATGATGATTCTGCACATGGAGTGCGTTTTTCTGGCAATGACCAGATGTTAGTATTTGCGAGTAATCTTTGGAAAATACTCAGAATACGTATTCACCCATTACAAACGTCGTCGCACGAATGTACGATTGTATATCCAAGGAAAAACTTATTTGTCTACAGTCTAGCGGTATTATCGACTAATGAAACAAGCAGTATGAATAAATTACACCGATTTGTACAAGCTGCTGAAGACATGAACACTCAAAATGTAATTCTGTCGATTTTTGTCGTCAACGAAACGAGTTGTGGTATGTATTACTGAAAGAACACGAAAGCGTAGTCAATTGTGATTGGGAAAGATTTGCACTGAAACCATCATTTACTTTCATTTATAGAAATGTATGAATCACAAAAACACACCGTCCGACTCAAGGAACATCAAGATTACATGGTGATCAAAGTTGATCCAGCGCAAAAATCTGTGTATCTATTTGCAGATACATTCATTTCTTCGTTTTCTATAGATGATTCAAAAATACATGATATACGAGATTTGGATGTACATATTGACTTTCCATTTCGTGTGCGTGCTGTTGATATTACCGATTCATATATGGTCGCTGCTGGATATTATATTTTGCCACCAAACCCAGATTTGATCTCATATGTAGCATTGCTTTTTACCCTTAATCTACTAAGAATAGTGTCCACAACAGATAGACAAGATCCTCATTTTCGCCGAGAATCAAAAACCTTGAGTTATACCGTGGACAGTACTATGGCAGTGGCGATCAATCCGACGTATAATATAGTGGTGGTAACTTTCTCAAGTATTAACCTAATTAAAGTACTTTACGTGGATAAGAATCACATGAATTCTGCAGCGTGGACATTAAATCCGACTAAAGGCCACCATTGTTCAAACATCAACATTGGCATGTGCCGTTCAGCAGTTTGGCTCAACGACCTATCCATTGCCATGTTGTTCTCAACAGTTTCCAATCGCCCATGGTCGATGTCCGAAGTGCATGTCTATGATGCTAGAAGCTTGTGCGGAAATGTTTCTTTTGTTTTTCCGAACAATCAACAACACATTCAATGGTTGACATCGTTTCGTTTCCTTCAATTAATATCTTGGTCAGGTCATTTACTCATACTTACTGATGACGAAACAATGCTCTTAATACCATCAACTGCACCGGGTTTCACATCATCATGGCCTGTCAAGTTCGGTTTCAGCGATATTGTCTATAATGTGACACCATGCATTGCAGGAACATTTAAAAATACTACTGATATTGGACCATGTAAAGTTTGTCCTTCACAAACGAAGAATCTCGGCAAACTACCATGTACTAAGTGCGAACCTTGCGCGTCTACTTCGTTCTGTTCGCTTGGTTCTATTGGTGAGATTTCTTTGAAAAATTATCCATCATATGTTCAAACATTTGCCTATCCTGATGCACCTGATACGAATAATTACGACGATCTTCTTGTACACAAAATTCTTACAATATCCGGTCCGCGCCGTTGTATTGTTATATCGCCAGTATTTTGGGCACTACTTATCATCGCATTATGCTTCATTATTTGGTTTTCCATGATTCTGTGGAAGAAATTCAATTGTCCCAGAGGAGGACCACATCGGAAAAGACTCACTGTTTTCTTTAGAAAGACGAATATTATCAACGAAGACGGGCATTGGATAGGTGGTCTATTTTCATTCGCTTGCCTTGTACTTTTTGCTTTTACTTCTGGATTTGCTTTTGAGTTTTTATCGCTGTATCCAATTGAAAAGTCTTTTACGCCCTTCTTTTCCTGTGACAATCCGCTAACTAACAGTGTATTCGAAAGCGCACTACAATTGCCATTAACAAGTACAGATGGCGATCAATGGGATATTTTCAACATGCTCGATGATCAACTATTAACGGTGACTGTTGATTTCTTGAATACAGTGGCTGACTGCTCATGTATCACTATACAACAAAACAGGCCTGGACTTGAACATCTGACAGTACCCCATAAGTTATGCACATTACAGCATGATAACGCTACACGTTCGATTACGTTTGATTTACTAGCACATCATATCGATATACAAATTAACATTACCGGACCTTATTTTATCGGTGGAATACGATTATGTCTTCGCGGCAACGGTCGAACGAAAGGTGAACATACATTACACGCACTCGATACATGTCATTTGTTTTTATCGCTGAACGAAACTCTGTTACCTGTAGCAGCATGCGACATAGTCATGATTAAAGTTATTAATGTCACTAAGCCATTGAACATAGGCGACAACACACTTTATCATGGTCGATGGTCACCATCGTTTGCTAGAAGTTCGATATTCGACGCGCTATTCTACAAACAATATGGACAGCACTATCGCTATCAAAATAAACGTATGATATTCATGTTTACGATGCGTGAATATCCTTTCTATCTTCAAAATATTCAACAACCGATTGTTCGTCGAGCTGAACTAGTTTTTCATACATTGCTATTCTGTACGCTGATTATTGAGCTATTTTCAATTAGTTTTCTTCTGTTTAAACTTGTCGCTAAGCCTCTTATGCATATGGCTATTCGTTGTTTTGGTACTTCATCAAAGCAAAATGTCAGTTCGAACACAGAACTTTCATAAACAGAATACATTTCATTTTCCTTTATTGAATACGATTAAAATAAAAGATTGGGAATAACGAGTAGAATGGTGCTACGAGCTTTTTCGATCGATATCTTCGCAGCTATTGCGAACATTCGCGTAACAAACGATTGACAGTTCATTTTGTTTCCAAGAGCGAGAAACATTCGATACTCAAGGTCTTCAAATGATTTGGCATAGGCTCGTAATTCATCGGCATCAAAGGCAGGCAATTCGTTTTGAATCAAATACCACGAGTACTCCTTACAGTCTCTTTCATAATACGCCGTTTTCTCTGTTCTCGAACTAATATGAATTTTAATATCACGATCTTTGTCGACGCCCAATTGATAAATAACTCCATTGATTTGAATACACCAGTGGAACCCATCCATTCCTGGAGTGATATTGAGAGCGAGGGGTTGTTTGAAAAGAGCTCGTCTTCCAATCCAAGCACCTTCTTCGAGATTATGTGTAGCATTTTGTATACCATGTACAAGTTTCTTAGGTATTCTTAGTGGATTTAAATCGGCTAAATCGAGCTCAATGGAATGTTTTGCTTCAGATCTATCGCCCTTTGCTGCGTAGACAACACCGCGCACCGCTCCATATGCATGACCAACAACAGGAACAGCTTTGATTATATTGAATGCTTTTCTTTCCGCCATAGATGAAGTGTAAGTTTTCGACTAATTTGATGTCTAACAGTCGTTGAAATCTTCCGAAAAAATACCGACGTGCTTTATATTCTTTATCAGCAACATTGATATGAAGGTGAGAATAAGAAAAAAAGAAAACAGAAGCGGACAAATACAAATAATCATATGACACATCGAATGGACAAAGTCATTAGGGGAAAGTATGACGTAGATATCTGTTTTGTTTGTCATTGACATCATCGTTGAAGATGTCATATAAGTATTGTGAAATTCAAAATACATTTTGATTTTCCTTCATTAAACTTTCCCTTTTACTTTGAATTAAAAACACACGATTTCGAAGATTATATTTGGAAATCTATAATCTGAAATTACTGAAAAAAAACTATTAAGTCATCTTTCTAATACAGATGCTCCATCGATCGTCTGAACTGATCATCTCTGGTAAAATATAGCGATTAGCTGTGAAATATTGGGAAACAGTTCTCAGATTCAAAACAACGTTGTTAACGATTAAATCGATACCATAAAAACAGATTCTTGACTTCAGTACGGAATGTTTTTGATACAAACATGTTTATATAACATTCCATGCAAAATGGGACGAAATCAACCAATCTTGCCATAGTCATCACAAAAGTGTCCATTTGCGTTTGCAGATCACTTTTGCTATTATATTGAGTGATTTGTTGGTACATAAGAACAATCGAAATCATCAAACTATAGATCAGATAAACACCTGTATTAATCAACGTTATCCAAACCAATTGTGTATCCTTTGAATTCATACGAGGTGAGTCACCATTTCTGGTTCCACACTTTGATAAAGCTCGGTTTTGAAGTCTGACTCGACGTATTTAACGAAGATTTCTCGCTGGCCATAAGCCGCACACAATCATACCTTTAAAGACAAGTGAATAGTAAGCCAAACCTTCTAGTAATTTCGACAAGAAGGCGCAATTAAAGTAGCCGGGTACAATCTCTATAAGTTGTGGTACAATTAGATTGTAACTGTGAGCACACATCCAAAACATTGTCACCGCAGCAATGGATATATAAGCAAGGCGACGGGTGCTTTTTCTTCTAGTCACAGCATTTGGGGATGTAATGAGGATCCGATCAATCGAAGCCAAGATGAGATAAAAAAGTGATAGCACATCAAAGATGATGGTCGTGTAAAAGTAAAAACGGCAGAAGACTAAGCTGGAAAAAAGTTGTATCAAGTTAAAGCCGTATACTAATGTTGACGATAAGATCGATATGTAAATCAAGAGGAGATTGGCGATGTTGAGTGCGATTAGATAGATGGAACATGGATTGTTTCGTAGATTCTTCCTGGCAAAGACGATGAGGCTCAGTATGCAACTGAATGTACCAATAGCTATGAGTATGGGACCTCCGTATTGAAACAAGTACTTTTGTATGGATGATAGAAGTGCAATATAGGCTAGATCGGACGACATTGTTGACGCTGTTCGTTATCTTTCTGGAAAGTAAAAGCGGAAGATGGTGTCAAAGGTACCAATTTTTCTCTTGTAATTATTAAGTGTGTATTTTGTTGAGAAAGTCATTCCCTTATAAATAGAAAATATGAGCTCAACTTAAGAACAGTCTCTCACTTTTAACATGGTACGAAGTGATCGTTAAAAGGCTACAAAATGAGAACTTTTCTAAATGGCGAAAATAGGTGTAACTGTGTACTTTTGTGTCGATCGTAAATTGCTGTAGAAATGGCTATCGAATCTGGCATCAAGTACTTTATGCAATAATTTTATTGCGTGGAGCCAAAAACGGAATATTTCCCAAACTTTCAATAGATCAAGATCGAAATATTGTTCACGATACACGAATAAATGGAACATATTGTTTTTGAGGATTAGTTTGTATTCAACATTCTAACCGAGAATGGAACTGATAAAGTACATATCCAATCTGTTCTGCTGTTGATCGATTCATATAGTTCGATCTAAGGAGCGTTGAAATCAATTCGCAAACAGCAGACTAATTTAATCCGAAGTGAGAAAGTTTTTCATTCTGTTTATTCCAATAGGATTCAGATGGCATATACCGTATGCAACCTATTGATTTGCTTTGAGGCTGCAAATAAGGGAATGTGAATAAGTGATATTTTTATCTGAAGACACATGATAATAACCTACGGGAGAGAACTTAATAGTGCAATCGCTCACTATATTTAGATAGCTGAGCGTAACAAATTTATTGATGATTTCTTTGATATTTCTAATAGTTGCGCAATTAAATGTTGGAAATAATCAACTTCACTTTTCAAGCTAAATCATGAAAACTTTTATTTTAGCTCAAAGTTCTACTTCATCGCAAAACATTGATGAGTTCGTTTAGTTGAAATAAAATGTAACTAGCAAGAAGAAAACTGCGATAATGTAAAACTATTCTGGGAATCAGCTTAAGATAAAGTTGACATCAATCTTCTTTTTGAATATAATCTATTTTTAGTGAGTAGGTGTAACTTACGGTTACGTGCAAGGAATCAAATACTCGATTATGTAGTCAAAGCGGACATCTGCTGCAGCAAGTATTTTCTCTAATCAATAACAGTACTATATACTCCAATCGTTCAAAGTCATGGGAACTTCGGAAAGCTTAACTAAACTCCCTAGTTTGATCTTGCGGACACATTGGCTGTATCGTAGATAAAGTTTATTAATAACACATACGTTTTTAGTTGTTTACTTCGACACCGAAATACAATAAAGAGCACTGTAGAACAGAAATTTGATGAGAAAGGAATATTTATTTACGTAAGCAAATGTGTATTAGAAAGAGAAGTGCGAAAATAGATACTGGGATAACATGTTTATCGATTGTTGTTTCTGCCCTAGCAGACAAAAATTTGCAAAAACGGGTTTAAACGTTCAGTCGGGAACCTCGACTGTGGACTGAACACGGCAAATAATAAAACGTCAAAAACACCGTTGTTAATGTGTAATTCGCACTTTCAGAACGTTAAAACGCTACAGATCAGACATTTTCGGCGATTTAACGGACTCTTTTTACACACTTGAAAAGCTATGCGTTAAATCGCCGAAAATGTCTGATCTGTAGCGTTTTAACGTTCTGAAAGTGCGAATTACACGTTAACAACGGTGTTTTTGACGTTTTATTATTTGCCGTGTTCAGTCCACAGTCGAGGTTCCCGACTGAACGTTTAAACGCGTTTTTGCAAATTTTTGTCTGCTAGGGTGGTTGTTCATGATTGATCAATTTGCCAATGTAAATAATTTCTTGATCTCATTGCGAAATGTTTTCGAGACGAATATATTTGTATAAAGATCTACGCAAAATGGAATGAAATCAATGAATCTTGCCACATTCACGACAAGATTTTCGATTTGAATTTGTAGATAAGTTTTGTCACTATATTGAGTGATTCCTTGGTACATAAGAACAATCGTAATCATCAAACTGAAGATCAGATAAACACCTATATTAGCCAGCGTTATTCGAGCCAATTGCATCTGTTTTGAGTTAACTGCATATAGGTCGCCACCACCCGTTTCACTTCTAGATAAGGCTACAGCAACAACTCTGTTTCGATGCACGCGACGGATATTTCTGATCGGATATAAACCAAGCACGATCATCATTGTAGGCACTATAATAGCCTTCACGATGAGTGAATAGTAAGCCTGACCTTCTTGTAATTTTTGTGAAAGATAGCATATATAGTAACTTGGTGCAATCTGTATAAGTTGCATTAGGATTATATTATAGCTGTGAGCACACACCCAACATATTGTCACTACAGCAATGGATATATAAGCAAGGCGACGGGTGCTTTTTCTTCTAGTCACAGCATTTGGGGATGTAATGAGGATTCGATCAATCGAAGCCAAGATGAGATAAGAAGGTGGTAATATATCGGAGAGAACAGTAATGTAAAGGTAAAAACGACAGAAGGCTAAACTGGTTAAAAGATCGTACATATTATAACCATACACCAATACTGTTATTAATATTGATGTGTAAATCAAGAGGAGATTGGCGATGTTGAGTGCGATTAGATAGATGGAACATGGATTGTTTCGTAGATTCTTCCTGGCAAAGACGATGAGGCTCAGTATGCAACTGAATGTACCAATAGCTATGAGTATGGGACCTCCGTATTGAAACAAGTACTTTTGTATGGATGATAGAAATGCAATATAGGCTAGATCAGACGACATTATTGATGCTGCTGGTTTATGTAAAAATTGAAAGTGATATTAGTGTCAGAAAGATCAAGATTTTATATATAGTTTTTAATTAGTGATTTGCTGATGACATTGCTGAACATAATTGGTGACTTGACGCGCAAAATTTATAATTGCTATTGCAAATGTAAGATGGGATGAAAATGGGAAGCATATAATCGGCTTTTGAATAGTCGATGAAGAGCCTGGCTACTAATTTGCTTTCCTATGTCAGTAGATAGTTCCTAGAAAGTATAGAATGTTGTTCTTTTTCTTGTAAAGTCAATATAACACATACGCCCAATTTTAACATCAAACTTTAATTTCTTGTATACGATCTACGAAGGACAACTGTGTATGTACTTTTGCGACTGATATTTATCTTTCACGTAGTTTGTCGAATAGATAATAAATATAGATAGAAAAGACGCTTATGTATTTATAGACCGACATCGACTCGAGAATTTCCGCATTACTTAGAGAAAGAAGAACGGTATTGACACATAGCAATAGTAGGTTTTAGGTGAAACAGGTCTGTCGAGCGATTGTGTTGTTAATAGTTCTACGTCACCTATTGGCACACCTGATTTGTCATGAAATTCTCTGACTTCCTGTAACGTATGATGAATGTCTCGATGGATGGCTTTAGAGAAAGAAGCAATGCCCGTATTCGTGTGAATATCAACGACGCAATAAACAGGATTTGGCCGAATGTTTAAGAAATCGAATGAAAGATCTAAATGAGTTGTTCGAACGCAAACTAAATGCGCTATCGGCTTGATGATGTCCCATATAGTAGTAGTCCAGACAAACCTGTAAAACATCCAATTCATCTCCTTGTCATCCTCGTACTACCATAGATATCAACACACTTTCAAATCTGGACACATATCCGCTACAAATGTCGTATCCTTTATATTAATATATTGACAATCGTCAGTAGCACTGTTTTGCGATCAACGAAATATAACTTTGAAACTGTTATGAACGATATATGAAAACAATTAATATATAGTTATCCTCCGTAATTGTTTACTTCATATGAAAAATCTCTTTTTCATAAGGACAAACGTACATACATATTGAAAATCTTTTTCCAAAAAATTAGTAGTAAAGAAATAATCGAATAGTGATCAGTTCATACAAATCAAATAAACTTCTCTTGCTTTAAAATGGTGTTAATAAATTCTGAATCAATGATTCACTATCGTTTGTCAGTCTCTGGTACCAAACAGTCGTATCTCTCGATTGATATTCGCACCATATCACTGATGTATAATCAGCACCGAAGAAACTGTATTGCGAATAATTATATGCCATGCTTAAGACCAGACAACCGAAGACTTGAAGACCAACAACGCAATGCGTGCCGAAGAATTTCAAAAAATAAACGCATCCGCAATCAGCGCATTGTCGCAAAGCATTAACAACAATTGTAATGAAAGTTGCATAGGCGAGAACAAGCGCAGCAAGGACACAAATCAGAACCCAACTGTACGCAATAAGCATCGGAAAAACATTGGAGATGAAAAATGGAATGAATGCGACAAAAACAAGTGAATTGAGGACAATAGTGGATATTAGCAAAGCCCATTTGATGTAATTTACTGGATTTCTTTTTACTTGATGATTGGGATCGACTTTACTTGCTTTGACCATATTTCCAAGTTGAACAAAAGCTTCGACAAGCACGGATATAAGACTTGGTAATACGTAATTGTAAAGTTGATAACCGAATGCATTATAGCATCGCCATGCCGTTGCTTTCGATTGATTCGTACATTTTGTTTGCAAATAAATTGCATAACCAAAGTGACCAACTGAAATTAACGAAAGGATGAAATCAAGCACACTGTATTTTGGTAACGAAACTCCTAAAATATGTTCGATAAGAATTACAAAAACGAAAGATTTTCTTGTTCTGCGATATACCTGTGCGCTTGGTTCCGAGAATTGAAAGTTCAAGCGCTATATAAATATGTTTTTTCTTCTTTTTACAAGACGATTCGATCAGACTGTAAATTCGTTGGAGTAATTGAAGAAAAAGCAATTCCACAACGAATAACCAATAGGGCTGGACTTCGAAACTAATAAAAGTGCCGAGAACAGGATTGCCTAAATTTTTATAATACGATGAGGTCGAGCCCATGAGTGTAATTCAACTTTCAATATTTAGCAAATTTCAGTAACTATTGAGTGCAAAGAGGGGGTCGAAATATAGTGTAAATCGTGACAGCGAAGCGAAAAAAAAGAACAAGTTTGAATTCGTTTTTTCTCGCTTCAAACAAAACCTGACATTTTTTTTGTTATTGTTATTGAAGAATATTTTCGTTAAAGCGAATTATTCAAAAATCGAAAAGAAAGCATTGACATGGCTTCGAAACCAGATGACAAAATTTCTTTTTTCATTTCTAACGTCGTCTTCTGTAGGCGACACATACGCACACACACAGTATGTGTTGCTGGTATAACTGTGCAATAAAACGAGTACAACAATTTCTCGACTAGGAAATGAATATGTCAACATCCCTTGTCAGTTTCTAGTATTTGCCGTATTTTGATTGCATTTAGATAGATCTGTACTCGAACAACTTCGGGATGGTTATGTGGTAAGGTTTTCAAGAGTTGATCGAGTGCTTGACTGCCTGTTGACAATGCTTCATCAAAATTTTCAAGATCCATGTAAGCAGTAGACAAATTCAGATAGGAAACACCAATGGTTTTAGCGTCGTTGGCTAATGTTTTCAATTCAATAGTTATTATTTTCTGATAGAATGGAATTGATTTGCGATACTGCTTCAAAGTATAATAAGCATGACTAATTCGATTATAGACACGGAGTAATGACGGATCATCGTCTGATAGATAAGTTGTATATAAGTTCAAAGCTTCGTGAGAATAGATTATGACTTGTTGATAGTCACACTGTTGACGATATATATACGATATGTATTGTATTAAGGGTGCTAGAGTTGAAGCATCTGCTTGCGATGAAATCTTCATATGTTGAACTGCGTTCAAGCCATATTCTAACGCGTCTGACCAACATAATGAATCAGCATATACTTTTGCAATGTTCATGTAACTCAAAGCAATGGAAAGATGAGCATCAGGTTTTAATTGTTGTTCCATGGCTAATGCTTTCTTGTAGTAGATCAAAGCATTTTCAGTTCGACCTTGTATCAAATAGATGTTGGCCATATGATCGTATATCGTGATTAAATCATCTCTATTTACTGGAAGAAATTGCGTTTGAATATTTATCGCCTGCTGATAATAATCCAATGCTTCATCATAGTTTTCCTGTTGCTCGAAAATATAGGCTAAATGTTGAATAATTAAAAATAATTGAGATCGATCGTTTTCGTTTGCCTGTCGTGTTTGTTTCATTGCCTGATAATCATAAGTCAATGCACTCGTCCATTGTGATAGACCAGCGTGACCTTTCGGTATATTGAAATAAGCGTTCGCTATACAATCGAACGTTGTGAAGAATTCTGGATTGTTCGGTAACAGATATCGCTGCTGAATTTTCAATGCTTGATTGAAATGAACTAGAGCTTGTTGGTATTGTTTTTGTGCAATACAAAGAGTACCGGTAGTGAGTAAAGGAGCGATGGATGCTATTGGATTAAATTGAGTCGTCCACTTTTGTGATGTAAGTGCTTTGTCATGATAGAATTCTATATAAGAAAAAGAGATTATTGGCAGAGAGAGAAACAATATGCTTTAACCGACCTGCTTGTTGGGGATCTTTTAATTGATAATAGATAATACTAATCACATTGTACATGCTGATTAGTGCAGAATGATCATCATCTCGGTGTTTTAACTGGACATCAAGTGCACGTTTATAATATTCTAAAGCTTTATTAAATTGATCCAGTTGAAAGTAAACGGAGCCCATATTGTTTATGTAAGTGACTAGAGACGATATGTCAGGTGTAGGACTATTCGCCTGACAGTCGATCGCTAATTGAAAGAAACTCAATGCTGTCTCATAGTTTGATTGTGTGACATGAGCAGATCCAATATTATTGTAAGTGGGGGATAATTTCGGATGATCTCTGGGTAGAATGGTCAAATATTGAGAAAGGGCTTGTTGAAACTGATCTAGTGCTTCTTTCCCTTGCCCACGACCATTGTGAATGGTACCAAAAGCATGATGGATTGAACCGAGAAGGTGTGCGTTTGTCGAAAATGTTTCGTCTTCTCGAAAGACTTCAATGAAATGTTTGATACTATCAAATTGCGAAAGTTCCTCCATGAGTTTCAATAGGGACAAAAACGAATGAGACGATCGGACATGTTCACGTATCTTTTTCGTGTATGCTTCCAATTCTTCATCAATATCTGCGCTCAATATGAGTTGAACGGTATAGAAATCATCATCTTTGTTGACGTTTTGAATACGAAAGACTGTTCCCATGGAAAAGAGTAATTCTTCTTCAGTCTCCATGCCTTGTTGATAGGATAAGTGTTTAATATTCGCAAACGGAAATCTGTCAATTGAAGGATCCACTTTCATTTCGAACAGAACACCTGTTTTGATTTTCGAAAGGAAAGTAATCGCCACTTCTCGTCGAACCGACGTGGAGACATAGTTATTGAACGAAAGAAAACCGCCGATATTTCGCTTCAGTTTTTCGATGTGATCTAACGATACATTCTGACCACGATAAACAGTCATTGGCAAACGGTTCGCACGTTGTAATTCAGCTTGGCTGACAATCTGCTGATGCAGATGGCGAAGAAAATATCGTAATTTGTAAAGAACATGAGGTTTGGGTTTCCATAATGCCTTATTCAACATTTTATAGAGAAAACATTCTCTTGTGTACCAATAGACAGATAGTTCCGGAATGAAGTTTCGATCAAATTCATCGATAATATTTAGATTCATTGCATCATTCTCATTGACATGACGACAGTAACGTAACATATCTTGTCGAGTGACTTCTTCTTGTTCGTCTTTGTGATCGTTGAGAATGATTTCTTTTAATAACTGAGAATACATAAATGAAGGATCTTGTTGATTGATATTATTTGAAGAAAGGAAGGAGATTGAGGCGGCGTCAGTGTGATATTGGGTGATGTCTTTCTTAATTTGATCGACAAGTTGTTGCCTATCATGAAATAGTCCTTGAATTTTTGGATAAGGTTCTATCCATGCTTGATTTATCGATTGTTTTGAAACAAATAAGTAAACTGAATAGACTTGTTCATAGGCATGAATAACAGGAATGATTTCTTGTGCAAAGGCATCCGTAGTAATCAAGACTGCTTTCTTATCAGTAAGATCGTCAATATAATCCGCACATTGATGTGCACTATGGAATGTTTGAATCGAAGGAAAAATTGTTTGAATATCAACATAATTATTTGATCGATCAGGACTTTTTTCAAGCCATATACAGACGAATTTCTCGCGATGCATTCTCCACTGCGACATCGTTCTAAGAGGGATCGTCAATTGAAATATTTCGAACTTTGAAAGAACAACACAGCTGGCTGCTCCACAGACGCAGAAAAGAAAAAATAAACATTTATTTGATTAACGTATATGGATTCTTGTTATTTTGATTGAAGAAGAAACCATCTTCGCACCAATATATATCAGATGTGACCCTATATGAATTTCTCATCTGTGTCAATTTGATTAGAGGCATACGATGGTATCAAGCGAGGAGATGCAAGTGTTGAGTAATAAGAAAATTTGATATTGAGACATTGAAGCAGTACACTATGAAAAGTTATATGATTGCATTTGGTTTATTGCAGCTTCACAGATGACAGAAGAATTTTCAATAAAGAGTACATCTTCCGTCTTAGATGCCGAATCAGTGCTCATTTGACAGTTCCTTTTACTATGGCTCCGATTGTTGAATTTTCCTGATCAATAGTTTTTGAAATACAAGTGACTGTGATATCAACCATTATACTCGTATATTTTGCTTGGAAACCCTCCATCCAATTCAAACGTCAACGTTAAAATTAGCTCACGCTATTAATTATGAATTTCTTTCAGTTGATATTCGATTTACTTATCATCTTAAATTATAACTATCGAGAAACTCTCTTACCACAATCGAATGCATTGTGTTTGGTAGGTATGGTTAAGCTTTTTCTTGTGCTACTGCTGCTTTGTTTCTAACGGCATCTCCTCATTATTTCCTCGAGCTCTTTACTTCAAAGATTATGGCAAAAATGAATATTCAACATTGTACCCATTGGCATCTGTCTCATCTGGCCACCAATCGTATATCTCAATCTAGTTGTTTTTCCATCGAAATGTGTAAACGATTGGAACTTCAATAAATTACTTTGTAGGTCACCATGCTATACGTGTACGGGTTTTTATGGAATATATAGCTTTATCTTCAATGTCTATTTGCCTCTCAGTATTAATATTATCGCTAATACGATATTGATCATTAGCGTAGTCCGAGAGAAAATGTCTCGTCGACAGGTAATTAAATGGCGTTCCTATCGTAAAATAACTCTTCAGGCCTGGGTGATGTCCACTTTACACGCACGATTATAGTCACCACTCGCAATGGTTCGTCTTGTTATGATCTATAAGTAACTTTAGAATATAGTATATGCCATTTTTATTACCGGAAACATGTTTATGCGCAGTACCTGAATTGGGGAAGAGGATCTTTAACGTTCTTTGTCACAAAAGACCGAATAGCATCAGATTTGAAGCGGTCGGCTTACCTGTTGCAAGATGGGCACACGCAAATATTTCTACAAAATAAAGTCTTGTATTTCTATTCTTTCTTACAAGAAAAAAAAACAGTTTCAGAAACAAAACTATCACTGACACGGACGTCCTCGACGTGAACGAAATCGGTAACTATTTCGTTTTTTATCAAATGAAACCACTCCTGCAAATGCAAGCATAAACGGAGCCAATAGTAATCCAGCAAAAGATAATAATAAGCCAATAAACATGATTGCCAAAAACGAGCATTGTTTCAAATAGAAGTTCATCTTGTCTAATTCAGTGTTCTAAACAAATCACAAGTGTTAATATCGATTAAAGTAAGATTTACTGGACTAACGTTTTGAAATAGTGATCGAAATTGGTTCCCACTCCATTGTACTACTTCACAACCGGTGCCGCCGATGGCAAGACCGATGATGACTAGGAGAAAAATGGATATAGCCCATATGAATGCTTGCTTTGATTCTATTTCAAATCAATATTTGAATTGGTTTTTAGAAAAATCTACTTTGTGCTTACGCTGTGGTCGTAGCTCGTCGTTATCTCTTCGTGTTGGCCGTGGAATGAAGAGATTTTCGCGATTAAATAAATGATTAACATGCAGAACTGTGAAAGGTATGCCGAGAAGAACGAACGATGTTGAAACGACAACGGTCAAAATTCCAAAGCCAAGGAAAAGGATGAGAAAAATGATTTTGTAGACATTAAATCGATCTTTCTATAAGACTTTCACACATGAATCATTTCAAAACGAAATCAATTAGTTTTACTCGTTCATAAACATCTTCTATCCATACGGTTCCATACCATAAAATCTCACAACCGACTATCCACAAAATGATACTGATGATTAAGATTGACGTGATATAACACGTTGCTTTCAGATGGATAATTGCTCTCGAGTTTGAATTTGTCTTAATAAAATCAAAAAGAGAGAATCGCTAAAATAGATAAAAATAAAGAAGAAGATTTACTTGGTCCTTAGAATCCATTCCGCCTTTCCTAAAAGAAAAACTAAAACGCAAAAAAGAAAACAAGATTTATGAAACGTATGATTCCAACTATTTCATTAGCGATCTTTAGGTAATAAATTACCTCGATAATTATCTCTCTCTCGGCTCTTCCGTGTGCGAATAACAAAGAGAAAGGTAATTGGAAGAAACGGCTGTTCATCTTCTATTAGGTGTTTTTTGTAAGATGAAAGATGACAAATTATAGTCTTGCACACCGCTTTACTCGCCCGCCGTTAATCCATGATTTGTATCTACTTCAACCTCGAATTCGAGATTTTGGAACAACGTTTGAAATGGTTGGAATTTTGTGAATAATGACGCGTACTTATGGTAAGTTGCTCTTTTTTCCAACTTTGAATAAAAGCGGAATAAAAATACCAGAAAAAGAAAAAGTTGTTTGTTCTATGTCTTGCTTTACTGATGCATTTAGTTATTGGTCATAATAGAAAGGTAACAAATGACGACTAGAGATCGTGGAAACGCATACATTCATGAACTAGAATTCAATGATACTAGCAATGATGGGCCTCCACCATACGAAGAAGTTATCGGTCTTCCTGCACCTATAGGAACTATAATAGAACCACCCCATCCAGTTCGAAATCCAATACGTCCAGAACGTCATAATAGTCTTCGGTGTTATATAACAATTGCGTGTATTTTGATTATTAGTTTAGCTGTTGCAATTACATGTATTGTAATATTCGTTAAAAAGCAAAATATATCAGAAACGAGCACGACTATTACTACTATGACAGATATAGAATCATACATGATTGTTAAAAATAACTTTATCAAACACAATGTAATATTTTGCACCGCATAGTAATGACAACAACTACAACTACGATTACTCTAACTTCAAGTAAGACTATCGAGTTCCGTGATGATCTAAAGCACGCAAAACTAATTATCATTTTGTTTATTTATAGCTACAACTTCTGTGACAATGACCACGTCGACTGTAATGATGTATGAACCAAATGTATACAATGGACCAATATGTGGATTGAAAACAGGCGCGGGCAATGATTGTGCTGATGTGGATACAAATAGAGGTTGTCCACAAAATTATATTCACAATACTTGGAATATTGGTAAAACTGGAACGGGTGTTATGGCTTTTTGCGGAAAGAGGACTACAGATAAAAACGTAGGGTTTATAGGTACCATATGCGGTTTGGCAACAGGTAGTGCTATAATTCGATGTGGCGGTCGTAATCCATATTCTGAACCGTGTCCAACAGGTTACACTGGTCCGACGTGCAATGGATATTTTCCTGATCGAGGAGCTTGTCCTTCTGGATGTCGTCTTGAACAATGGCGTGTGGATTTTGGTAACGGTATATGGTCATTCTGTATTAAAAACTAAACCTTTGCATGAAGATTTTCTTTTTATGAAATGCTAATTAGCGTGCTTATAATAACATTGATAAAACATATTTGATAAGAAAGCTAATATTTTAAAGAGTCAAGCAACTCTTTTCTCTTCAAGCATGTCCATGGCATCCACGTGTAGGAAACAATTACAAATGTTGTGCTTCAGCTGCCAGGAATCAGATATGCGCGTTTTACTTTATCAGGATTTCCTATTAAAAATGCAATATATTGCCAACGGTGTGCTATTCGAGATTTACTTATATGAATAGGTCGATTTTTTCACTTAATAAATGGGAAAGCGAGAAGGCGCACTGCTATGTTTTCTTGGTAAAAAAATGGAGATTAGATGCGTCCGAAATGAAAAAAGAGATGTGCTTGATTCATTCGATTAATTTTGTAATAAACAAAAACGTATTACGCTGTAACGGGTCATACCGTCCCCATCTCTCTCTCTGTACTCTATTTTCGCTGTTCTCACTTTTCTGATACGTATCTCTTGATTTCAGATATAACTGCTAATTTTATAGTTGAAAGCGTTATTATTTGTTTCCCCTTTCTGTTGTTGATTAACACGAGCGTATCTCGACTTCTTGTAAGATGGCCGTTTCCGGCTTAACCCTTTCCGGCCGGCTCGCAGAAGATAACAAGAAAGAAATGTTAATACTGCATATTCTGCATCTTTTATATATGAATGCTACCATATTCCATCCGCAAGTTCAAAGAGCTAACACAGAGCTGTTTGTGAACATGTTGCCATTTGGCAACATCCGGCCGTGAGGGTACAAAAAAATTAACAAAGCCAGTTATTTTTTTTTCATAGATGGGTAATAGTTTGGTGACAGTTCTATTCTATATTGTCAAAATAAAGCGTACTTAGCTCATCTATCTATCTTATGGAGCGTTATGATGGAGTAGATCTCAATAATGTTAGAAAACTGATCAAAATATCATAAATTTCAACAATTCCACTATAAATCATTATCTATTTAGGGAGATTCTAACATTATTCACAACACATCAGAGTATCTTTACGTAGGCTATCATACAAAATTAAAACTCGTGTGAAAAATTAATCAACAAACGAGTATTGATAGTGGAATTGTTGAAATTCATGATATTTTGATCAGTTTTCTGACATTATTGAGATCTACTCCATCATAACGCTCCATAAGATAGATAGATGAGCTAAGTATGCTTTATTTTGACAATATAGAATAGAACTGTCACCAAACTATTACCCATCTATGAAAAAAAAATAACTGGCTTTGTTAATTTTTTTGTACCCTCACGGCCGGATGCTGCTAAATGGCAACATACTCAAATTTTTTATTATAAAATCCTAATTAATCCATGTTATATTCTTAACAGATAATAGGGTTAGAGGCGAAAATTAAGCGCTAGTCACTTCTGATACACAATGTTTGAATAAGCGATAAGAAGATCTTTTCCATTCGGGAGCTCTTTTGGACGTTTCGGGAGAATTGATCCCATTCGCGAACAGAAGATTACCTCTCACACCCTCAACACATATATTTGTGCTAAAATATGTGTAGTTATTTATCGAATGGCATGAAAAACTATATCTCTTCGTTTTAAGAAAAAAATTATATTAACATCAGTAAAATGTTGCCAAATGGCAACATCCGGCCGCAAAGGGTTAATGTAGAATTCATTCACAAGTTGCTCTTTAGATATAAAACACATTTTTTCTTAATCCAATCAAATGAAAAAGTTTTGCATGGGCGTTGGAATTTTCTTCATCGCATGTCAGATATTTTTAATAGTCTTTTTTCCGTATATCGAGCGTGCTACGGGAAGCGGAATGTCTGGTTTAACTTCTCTAATGATATCATTTTATGAACTCAATCGATCATCGACATTTTGTTGCTCAGAAACGACCCTTCGTCAACGATACAAACACGAATTTCAACAACTTTTGCATCATCGTCTGAATCAATCGTACGAACAGCCATCGAATGTTTCCTATTCGATGGCATCGTCATTACCTAAATTACCGTATTTCTATTCATTATGGAAAACATCTCGACTACTTCCACGGTTAATAACACCATGTGAACATCAAGTATACATCAAACTATTGAAAACATTACATGACCTCTGTGAAAGCAATGGAATACATTATATGATCAGCCATGGAACTTTGTTAGGATCATACAGAAATCATGGTAAGTTCTTGAAGTACTTCTTACAGAAGCAGACTATCTTGCTTGTTATTATTTTCAAGACATACTACCATACGATGACGATGCTGATGTTTTGATTCCTAGAAAAGACTATTCTCGTCTTGCAGAACTCAATCAGTTGAATAACGAAACAGATTGGGAATTTTATTTGAAATCATCGCGAAATATGAAATTTTACTTTCGAAAGTCTCCACCTGCAGGTAGATACTCATGGAAATGGCCATTCATTGGTATACAATTCTATACTGAAACTGCTACACATATTAAGATAAAACGTGATATTTCCAAACAATTCATCTTCCCACTTGTGCTGCGCCCTATTGCTACTCTCTGGTTGCGTGCACCGCGTAACGCGCACAAATATCTAAATAGTTTAATGAATGGGCACTATTCAAAGTTTTCCATCGATGAAAAGTGTCTCTTGCAAAAATACTCACATCGACATGAAGCGCATCGATATATATCAAGAGCAGTTGACTGTGTTCAATTGCACAACACTTATCCTTTCATTAGACGAACATGTGACGAGACATATTGTCAAGAACATTTCATGCTAAATAATCAAACCGTACTGTATACTTTGAAGATGTTAAAAGATCAATAATTATTCTTTTGTCTTAATCTTTCTGGATGAGAATATTCACACTTACCTTCAAGGGTAGAAATACGATTTTTTCAGATTTACAAACACTATGGTTGCACTCTATGTCGATTTCGAATAAGAGCGAAGGTCACATTGTTACCCTCGCATTCTCATCTAGTTTCTTCAAGTGTGAAACATGGGTTCTTTCCCTGAACACAAAAAATCGACACCATTTCGTTATAATATTTCTTTTCTTTTTTCAAAGATTGAAACAAAAGACTCAAACATGAATTACACAGTAAAAAGCATGTGGCTGTGTTGTCGTTGTTGTTGCTTTTCATTCTCCACTCACACCGATAACCTCACTCACATTATTCTTATGAAACATTTCTTTTGAGTAGTTTCTGTAATATCTGTTTTGTTACAATGATATGTTATCAATTTAGTTTAGTTGTTGACCATGTATATATGCATTCATTGTTGAAATCTAATGAAAAGTAACACGATGATGTTATTCTATTGTGAACTAGCTTTTATTTTTGTCGTACATGTTACACTTGGCGAAGGACACGTGCATTCCAATGGTCCATTTGGAAAAATTCACAAGGAAGTTAACATACCCAGCCCATTCAACTGTAACCGGACTATCGGTCTTTCGACAAATTCGCCGTCTGTAAGAATTACTGATCTACAAGTTTCATCGACTCATTATTCCAATAAAGATCATATCATTGTTTCCTGGACGCCGTTACCGAGTCCGTGCAAGGATGATTTCATTGGTATTTATTTCGTTGAAGTGCCAGTCGAAACAGGTAAATAAATCTACTCTTTCATGTCCCGCTCCAGCTATACGCATGTGTATATTTTAGGTGCTTGTGATTATGCTGATTATGAATTTGTCGAAATTGACCAAAATAATTCAACATGGTCAATGATTAATTTACGTCGTCAATTGGAATTTCGTTATTATTCACGTGACAGAAATTGTGCTGGTAATTACCAACTTCTTGCCAAATCGCCCGTTGTTGAACCATTGAATTACAATGAACCAACACAAGTTCACTTGGCATTTGGTGATCGAAATGATCAAATGTTTGTTTCTTACGTGACCAATTCCAACCAGCTTCTACCACAATGTCAGTATGGTCTCGACTCAACTTCACTCGTTTTCCAGATGAGTGGAAACACTGTAACTTACCAAGCATCTGATATGTGTGAAGGCAAAGCCAATGTAACAAGTCCACAAGCATTTATCAATCCTGGTTACATGCATACGATTCTTCTCGAAGATCTACGCCCTTCAACAATCTATTATTATCGAGTAGGAAATAATGAACATGGCTGGTCTCCAATCTATCATTTCACCAATCGACCTGCGACTATCGATGATGAAGTCAATCTTATTGCTTACGGAGATATGGGCGTGTCACCTATTCAATCAGGTGCTAAAGCGACTATAGATCGAGTGACAGCTCGAGTTCAGACGAACAATATTACAGCTATTTTACATATTGGTGATGTGAGTTATGCGCGAGGCATCGGAGCGCTTTGGGATGCATTTATGGCTCAGATTGAATTGACTACATCTTACGTGGCATACATGGTTGGAATTGGAAATCACGAATACGATCATGTTACTGGAGGTGATAAAGATCCAAGTGGTGCACCAGGTGAAGGAGGATTTCGACCAGTATGGTGAGATACGTTTATTTTTTTTACTAGATAAATACAGTGATCGATGAAAACAAAATATCCAATTATTTTTCTTTAGGGGAAATTATGGTTATGATTCGGGTGGTGAATGTGCTGTGCCTATGGTTCATCGTTTCCATTCACCATCGAATGGAAATGGCCTTTTTTGGTACAGTTTCGACATTGGACCAGTTCATATTGTTTATTATTCAACAGAACATGATTTCCGACGATCATCGCCTCAATACAATTGGCTAGAAAACGATCTTCGTTCTGTCAATCGCACTCGTACTCCATGGTTAATCGTTGGCTCACATCGGCCCATGTATACATCATTAGTAGTCATCGATTTAGTTGGATTGATGTTACAACTCTATATAGAACCTCTCCTTTATACATATCAAGTTGATTTGAATCTTTATGCACATATTCATTCCTACGAACGAACATGTTCAATGTATCAACATCAGTGTGTAGAAAACGGTATCACACAGGTATTAATTGGCATGGGTGGTCATGACTTAACATATGGAAATTACAGTGGTGCAGCATGGAGTGTTTATCATGATATAGAGTTTGGATATACTCATATAAAGGCGAATCGAACACATTTAACATTCAGTTATTATCATACAGAAGATGATCGTCTTGTTGACCAATTTCAACTGAAAAAAACTTGACGATTCTTTTTTCAAACTCTCATATTTATGCAAATTAACTGCATATACTCTGGTAAATAAATATTTCTGGCCGTAGGTGTTTCCTTTTTCACCATAAAACAGGAGCAGATTTGTTTCATGCAGTAAACTGCGCATTTCCTCTACAATTAAGAAAACCTCCGCTCGATGAGAGGCATATGCTTTATGTTCATTTGAGGATAAAACTAATAGTTGACACACACTTTTATCTGATTCTTTGGCTAATGCTGTACTTCATTCTCATTTTCGTTCAAACCACTATCTTCATTGACACATCGTTTCTGTACAAAGCCAATCGTAGTTCGGAGAGAGTCTTCGACTGTTTTCATGTAGATACTATCGATGATTTTCACCGTCAAGAAAAACCATTACTACGAACGAATTATTTGGTACCTTACTGTCGACGTTTACTACCAACGGATGCAGTCAACGAAGCTGAAGGATATATAGAAAACAACCATACATTCAAATCGTTACGTTTGCAGGAAATTGCCAGTGAAGATCTCTTGAAATGGTCAATAACAATTGATGTGATCGAGCAGTATGCTGTGTACCTTGATACGAACGATACAGAATTCGATGAGTTTATATTTAATAACTGTTCATCGTTCTGGTTTGGTTCTCGTTGTCAGTATACGTTTGCTTTGAATACTTCGATCGAATCATTTAACGACTTGGTCAGTGCTTCATTGCAAAATCGTGAAAAATATAAGGAAAATCTTACAATCCATGCATGTTACTCGTATATGTATGGATGTTATCGCGGTCCTGATCCGATGTGTTTAGATTGGCGTGAGATATGTGATGGGAAAATTGATTGTATTGGAGATCACTTTGGTATAGACGAAGAATACTGTTATGAGCTTGAAATAAATGAATGTCACGACGATGAATACCGATGCCATAATGGTGCACAATGTATCCCCCTCGAATTCTTTCGCGATGGTCACACAAGTACGGATTGTTTAGATGGAACGGATGAATCTCGAAAGCCTCGTCGATTGAATAATTTTGATAATACTGATCATTCTGTATGTATAAATTCAATGAGATTCGCTTGTGAAGAACGAACATGTCGTTCTCCGCGATACTTTTCCTGCGGCGACGGAATTTGTAAAGATTGGTATCCGAACCATAACCTTGTCACTTACACGCTAGATTCTTGTAAAAATACAGGCCGCTTTGCTTCGTACAGTCGAGCAATTCATCAATATAGACAGGAATACACACCTGACTGTTACAAACTGTTATTCTGTAAACTTCGGTTTTATTCCATTCTGACAAATGATACATATACTGAAGAAGATTGTCTATCTGAAGACTGGCGCACGTCGTTTAATTGCACGGAAGAATATCTATCATTTCCTATTCAACCAATTTTCTCCGGTTACTTTCAACCTGTATACTCAGTAAAGAATCTTATTCAAAGCTTTCCCGGCTACGTACAACCTGCCTATATTTGTAACAAACCTCAAGTCTGTTCTTACTTACCGAAGGCTACAACTCAAATGAATGGTTTAGACTGTCGCCGATTTCAAGCGAATCATTTGGAATCTTTATACTTAGAATCGGATCTGAGCAAGGCTGCTAGGGTGTGCGCTTTGATGGGTAATATCAACACGTATGCATCGAATTCTTCGTCTTTATACTATTGCGAACATTCGCTTAGATATATTTCAAAACATCGTCTCATTGACGGAGTTGAAGATTGTCACAATGAAGAAGATGAAACCTATCCAAACAGTTGCTCATTGAATGACACTCAACGCTTTACGTGTACATCCGAACACAAATGTTTGTCACCTGTAGGTATTGGTTTTGATCCACCTGATTGCAGAGATGAAGAAGATCAAACTGTTGAAAGTGACCAGATGTCTGTCTATCCACGTCTTTGCAACGGTATTCCCGATTTTATATCGGAAGGTCAAGAATCAGATGAAACTAATTGCCAATGGTGGCCTTGTTTTACTCCGTATACTCGATGTGACAATTACTTTCAATGTTTGAATGGCATTGATGAAAGGAACTGTCCCCGTGTGAGCTGTGGTTCCAATGAATACAAGTGCGACATTGTCAATTCAACTGATTATTATTGTATCTCACAAGAATACGTCTACGAATTACGTCTGAATTGTACTGAACCGCAGATGAATGGTAGGCTGTGTCGAGAAATATATTATTCGGACAATCTCACTGTGAATATCAATCATGATTATGTTTCATGGAAAAACAAAACCTGTTTGACAGAGAAAGATATTTGTAATTATTCACCAGTTAATGACGAGAATTCATTCTGTCCGAATGTTGAAACAACACACGTTTATATATGTTCGGCAGTTCTCTTTAATCCGTACAAGAATGGAACAACATGCACGTTAACAACTGGTGAATTTTATCTACGTAATTCGTATTTGTTTTCCACGTGGAACTTAGGATATTCACCGACTGTTATTAACAAATCCTCGCTACTAGCTCAACAGTCGGGTAACATTTCAGCAAAGAAACCTCTCGTGGTCAATACACCCAAGGAATTAATCGAACACTGCAATCGAGGACTAGTCATATACGAAGGCAAATCATACGAACCGAAGTGTTTATGCCCGCCGAATTATTTCGGTGATAGATGTCAATGGCAAAATCAACGCGTCAGTTTAACGCTTCAATTACGTGCATTGGGCCCATATGGACAAAAATTAACGAGATTTCATGTGCTTATCTACCTAATAAATGATGAAGATGAAATAATCCATGATTATGCACATATTTCTTATATACCATCGATTGATTGTAATACAAAATATAATCGTTATTTACTTTACCCAACCCAACCCAAGGATACAAATTCGACTTACTCAATCCGTATCGATGCGTATGATAGCATCACGCGCAACCATTATGCTAGTTGGCATTTGGCGATTCCGTTCCCATTCTTACCAGTCAATCGTTTGTCAACGCAAATTCGAATGCCTTCAACAAGATCTCAATCACCAGACAACTGTTCAATCGATTGCGGAATCCATGGCAAATGTTACGATTACATCAATTCAATTGGATCATTTTGCCTTTGTGATTCAGGTTACTCCGGTCGTTTTTGTAACTTAACCTATTCATGTTCGTGTTCACTCGATTCTCTCTGTTTGAATGCATCGATCTGTTTCTGTCCACTGGATAAATTCGGTCCCCGATGCTATCTACAGCACACGTTATGCCAAAGAAATCCATGTAAAAACAACGGTCGATGCATGCCTGATTATCATTCCGAGAACAAACAAGGATTCGTCTGTTTATGCATCGATGGTTACACAGGAACCTACTGTGAGCATCAATCAACGAGTATTGCTTTGACTTTCAAGGTAGACCTGATCCCATCGTTTGTTTTCGTTCACACAATAACATCATTTGATCAGAAAACGCACGAACGGATGACAACGTTCCAGAAGATTCCTTTCGATCAAGACTCAACGGTAGTGTACATAAAACAAGCCTTTCACTTACTCTTCATTGAGTTTTCGAGCAATTACTATCTGATTCTTACCCGAGAAGAACACATTCCATCTGAACATGTAACTGTGGACTTAACAGCCAATCATCAATGTATAAACATAATGGATCTATTGAATTCAACCATCATGAACTACACAAATCTTCGTCGATTAAAATACTACCAGCTGCCATGTTTATCGAATCCAAATCTACAATGCTTCTACGATGAGAAGCATATATGCATATGCGATCGAAGTCGATTCTCGAATTGTTTTGAATTCAACCACACGATGTCCTACGATTGTCAACAATCTGACTATTGTGAAAACAAAGGTGAATGTTTTCAAGATAACGCCACGTGTCCGACGATGGCACAATGCATGTGCAAGAAATGTTACTATGGAAGCAAATGTCAATTAACAACGGAAGGATTTAGTTTATCGCTTGATGTCATATTTGGATATCGTATAAAACCGTTTGTGCCGTTTTTTAGACAGCCGATAGCAGTAAAAGTTACTGCAGCAGTTACCATGATCATGTTTATACTAGGTCTACTGAATGGATTATTGTCGGTATTAACTTTTCGACGGAAAATTGTACTTCAGATGGGATCTGGAGTATATCTATTAATCAATTCGGTTATTTCGTTGTTGACAATTACGGTTTTCACAATTAAATATTGGCAATTGATCGCGTTTCATACAAATTATATAACTAATCGATCATTGATTCATTTCAGTTGTAAATTAACTGATGTATTATTGAAAACTCTTCTCAGTTCAGGCGACTGGTTGAGCGCGTGTGTCGCCATCGAACGAGCATTTATCAGCATACAAGGAATAAGATTCAATAAATCAGCAAGCAAACGAATTCCCAGATACGCCGTTCCACTGTTACTCTCGTTAACTGGTATTTCTTATATTCACGATTTGATATTTCGTGAATTATTCGATGATAATGATGAAGATAGAATCTGGTGTACTGTTAAATATTCACCCGGAGTAAAAGTTTTCAATAGATTTATCAATATTTTTCATTTTTTAACACCGTTTATTATTAACTGCTTATCGGCAGCAATCATTATTATTCAAATGTTTCGCATACGCCGACAAGTCGAAACCAAATACTCACTGACAACACTTCTCTACGTCCAAATTCAAGAGCATAAGCATCTTCTCATTTCATCATGCATTCTAATTGTGTTGAATATCCCTCGTTTGGTCATTTCATTCCTAACTGGATGTATGGAATCCGCACGCAAACCATGGCTATTTCTAATCGGTTATTATATATCATTCGTTCCACCGTTGCTGATTCTCGTCATATTTGTCTTGCCTTCTGAGAAATACAAACAAGAATTTCGTGTGATTGTAAGAAAACTACTCGCTTTCAATCGGCGTGACGTAACAACGTAATTTTATCTTTTCGAAAAGTGTGCTTTTTATAAAGTGAATAATAGAGAATAAGTTTCTAAGCAATCTTCTCGATTGAATGCATAACTTTTATATCCTCTTTCTTGAATTTATTATGAGAAAATCGTCGTCACACATTTGAATAATACACAAAGACATGAATCGAAACGCCGAAAACATCAAACGTAAAATTAACTACAGAAAACGTTAGTAAATCATTCACACGATTAGTTTCGTTGATGCAAATCATCGTTATACCAGACCTGCATTATAGTTCATTCTGTAATATACTGATACGATCGTTCGCGCTATATAAATTGATATGTAATTGCCATGGGAATGGGCATTTTGTCAAATCAATAGGTATAGTGAACTTTTTCTCAGTACGTTCATTCTCAAGTTGGATATATCGCTCATCACAGTTCAATGTCAAGTAAAGTACATCGTTTTCACAAACATCACCGTCATAATCATTGTAACCTATATTGTTTCCACCGTTCAAAAAGACTTGCTTTTGATTCTTTGCCCATCCATAACTTGACTTTGAGGAATAAGAGTTGACTTGCATTGAAGTATTTTGAGATATAATTCCCCAGAACATCCAATGGTTGTTTGTCGTTCTTTCGATTTTTAAACCGAATTTATGCACTCCGTGTGAATACGCCGCAAAACCTCGAGCTTCCCCGTATCCAACTGCTCCACTATGCTCTACAACACTACCGTTTGCTAAGATCTTAACAGCACCGCATGTTTTCTCAAACTTATCTGATGAAATCATTGAAGTTGCTGTGATTTCAAGTCGTTGTAGCCATGCTTCATGATTCATTTTTCGTAACTTTATATTTGAGGGTGTTTCAATTTGCTTCTTGAGATTTGTCAGTACATCCATCCATTGAGTTAGATCTATTTCCGAGTACTCATCATTTTCTTTACTAGTTTTTAATTGATCTGAAACTAATTTAAGCTGTCGTGTAAGGGATTGCGTATTATCAGTAATTAGCTCAGTGAGTTTGCATCGAGCTTCTTCAGCTGTACGTCTTATTTTCTCCATACATTCGCGCTGCCAATCATTAATTTCTTTCATCAACGGGTGATTATCTGATGTGGCGTTTTGTTGAGTCAGTTCTTGTTGAAGAAGATCGTGATGATTTACAACATTATCCATTTCTTTTGAAAGCTCCATATTATGTTCAGTCACATGTTTTTTGCAGAATGATCGTTGACACCCTTGACAATTGTATATACCAACACTTTTGCAGCCAGATATCCTGCAAGGACTTTTAGACGATGTTGTCATATGATCAAAGGAAGAAACTTTGTGCTCGGAAGAAAAAACGAAAAAAAGCGTCTGCTGACGTATATATATAAATAAAAAGATATATTTACTCTGTTGAAGAATGAAACGCAACAAAGAGAAAAAGTAATCTAACGAATAACGTTGCGCTAACACGTGTCTTCTTTATTGACACGCAGCAATGTGTTTAACCGAAAAGGGGTTTGTAGACAACGTTGATGATTTCGATGGGCAAGTATGTACCATTGAATGAGTTATTCGTCAATATTTCATGATTAGCAACGAAAGTGATACTTCAGCGAGTATCTCTCGTTTTGTACTTCGCGTACATTTCTCGCCCTCAATGTGGTGCGCATATCATGCGTTGCACAAATGATCAAAATCAGTCGTTTACAAATGGTATCAAGCTAAATCATAACTATATACGTCACTACGGGCATATACATGATATTTTTCTTTCTTTCCTCATAAGCAATGCTTGATCGAATAATGAAGAATATTCTGACAGGCGAAACAACGATTTGCCTTGTATAGAACTGGTTTACTTGTTCACAGATAAATCAGTCATACATAATTACTACGCATTCATCCATAAAAGAAGCCACTCATCATCATTTCTCTCGACGGCAACCACATTGACGTTTAGCAAAGGGCACAGCAGTCCGATTTTAAAAGTGCGCACGGATTGAAAACAATCACTGATCAAAGTAAGCTCTAACTTGTCTATTTTACTTGTCAGAAACGGTATAAAATATCTTTAGTGATGCTACCGGTCATAACCTTGCTTCTATTTAGCATGTCATTCACGAAAATATTGCCCGCAGTCATTTCAAAAGCACCGGAACAAAAATCAATCGTCACAGTTGAAAATATGACACCTGAAATATACAAATTACTTCTAACTACTAGTCGACTAAAGCTTGTTCAACAAGATGACGATGATACCTACGTTCCGAGCGTTGGCTCGGACTTATCGAAAAGCTCATGTATGACCAGTTATAATCTTTGGCTTACTTCCTACCAGTCATACTTCCAATCGTGGGCGAATGCCAATTGTGTGCCATACAGAGCTGTTTATAGAGATGAGTGTATCTCGATACTATTTCAAGTTAATCCACAAGTTCCACCTTGTACTAATTGGTGGCAATATGAAGACCTCCAATCGATCGAAATCCCTGCATATTTTAGTTCTTGAGATTGATTTATTCGAAAGGCAACAACTTGCGAAGTATTTTTTGTAAAACAATTTCCTTCATCAATATAGTTGAATGCACGCTATCAGAATGAGTTAATTACAGTTAAATAAATTTGACCTTTGTTGTTCTGCCCACGGATTTCTCAGCCACACTAATACATCAGATTGTCATCAGATGAGAATCAACCAATGTGATGAGCTTTGTTTGTGTGAAGATCGACGGACAAAGTCAGGAGATATTTGTCGGTGTTATTCTCGCACGATTCAATTATATCTAGTTTGCATAATCAATAGATGTCTCCACATTGTTCTAATGAATTTATGTTGTGACAGTACGTTTTTGAGAAAAAATATGACTTCTTCCTTTTCCTTCAAGGTCCTCGTAAACAGAATGGAATAAAAAAAGTCTTTTACAGATGCGTGTCCTTCACTTATGAAGTTTTTTTTGTTTCATTCATTTGTATAGAAACGCATAAAAACAAAATGCGTTTGCCAACAACAAATTTCAAACAACGAAAATTCGATCAATATTTGCCTCCGATTAATCAAGGATTTCAATATTATTCTTGATCTCTCAATACACCTCGCCATCATTTTTCTACTCTATTTCAGAATAAGATCATCAGGAAGAATTACGAATGAGCACAGCAGTTCAATCAACGCAACTTCCGACAGTACCGAAACCAAAATTAGATCAAAACTGTTCCAGTTGTGGATCAACTGCACATTTTGCTTGTATTGAACATTGCAAAGCGATCCTATGTTCACGATGCGCCGGAAAACATCATGTTCTCATCATTCGACAAATGCAGCAACTTCTCAAACGATTAAAGATCTATCGAATCGATTCCGTTCGTATTAGGCTGTCGGTCGATTCGTTAAAACAATCTCTGGACAGTACAAGCAAATCGACCTCAAACTTGGAAACAGATGATCCTCAGCAAGCCTATATGATTCTTCTCGATGAAAACTTGAAGAAGGATCGACTGATTGATAGTAAGATCTTGGCAGATTTAGAAGAATATCTCAACGATCATGCGGTGCGAATTATCAAAACTTGCCGATCTCCAACTATTTCCCGTAGTTTCGAAACCAGACGACGTTTACTTCGTCGTCCGCAAACAAGGTCACTGTCCGCAGGTATTACTTGGTCAAAAACAATAACAGCCTCACTTTCCATCCAAAAACGTTTTCAAATCTCTAATGAACCATCGACATCGCTGAATGAATATCCAGTCGCTATTTCTCTAAATGATCACTATTTCGAAACGTTCTTCTGCCAATGGGATGATAACAGCGTGATACTCTTAAGCAGATGTGCCATTGATATCTTTACGCGTGGTTCCGGTCTGACCTGGTCGATTCCAATTCATCACGTCTTGAGTAATACCAAAGATAAAGTTCTTGCAGGCACATGGTCATCTTATCTCCATCGGCTGATCCTTGTTGGTCGATATTATTTCTATCTGTACGATTTGAGTCGTCAAAAAGTTCGAAGTGTTTGCGATTGCGGATGTGGCGGTTGTTGTGGTGTGAGCACAGTTCCACCGAAGCCTGATCGATATACAAAATTGGCATTTCGATGTCCACCCATCTATGACGACTATCCAAATTCTCCAAGGTTTCTAGATTGTAGTGTCGACGATCATCTATTCTACGGTGAGCGTTGATATACTAAATTATTAAATATGGTATACGTTCTATTTAGCTTACAAGTCCGGAAAAGATACTTATCGACTGGAAGCTTATTCTGCCGCACAATTGTTTAATCTTTTGGACGAAGAACAAGCAACGGAATCAAGTACCTACGTTCCGACAGGCCAAAAATCGAGTGATATTAAAATAAAGCCATCCGGAGCTGTGACAATCACCGGTCAAATAGCGGCGATTCGTGTCACGCATGATCGCATAGCTGTTGTCTATCGACGTTTACGAGAACCAGACAAACGTCCAACAAATTGGAAGAATCCATTAAAATTTGATCATTATTTCGCCTTATTCGATCATTCACTTGCAAGATTAACCGAAGAAGCTTTACTCTTATCTTCAATTCGTTGGATAACATCCATTGTACCTTTCGGCACTGAATACGAATACCTACTTTGTGACCCGCTTGGTCAACAATTACTTCTGTATCAAGCATTCAGCAGTAAAATCATCAATCGTTTCCATTTGGCATGCGTTCAAGGTTGTTGTCTGATGGATGGACGGCTAGTTCTGTGGGTAAGACAAGCTTATCCGAATTCACCTATTGGTAAACTACACTTTATGAATGCGCCGCATTTGGAAAAATACCGAATGGAAACGAAATCTCTTCAAATCTCGAACGAATCGCGTGATTAACATTTAAAATTCGCTTTTCTTAGACGTCCCTTAGTGAATTTATTCTTTTAAATAAACTTTACGTTGAAAACTCTACGTGTGAATATAAGAAAGAAAGGTTTACGTGTAAAAAGCTGTAGTTTACGAAAATTGTGCTGAAAGATGAGACGAACTCGCTCTTGTTTCTATTCTTTCGTTTATTTCAGACTCGTCTACATTTTCCTATTCGATTGCGTCATTCACACATCAAAACTAACGACTATCATCAGACAATCAGAGTCAGAATTAAGGATATGACTAATGTCAAGTGTAAACAAGTCACAAACTGAGCCCAGAATGGATGTTTATCTGGAAATCGATTTCGAATAAATGGTATCAATAATAATTGATTCGAATCTTTACATAGGATATAATTCCATATCAGCGCCATTAGATATGAACTAACCAATACGAACTGAAAGCTCAGTACGCCGATTGATTTGACAATGCCAGAATACCATAAGTGAAAAGCTAGTATTTGTTGACCGGCAGCAATCAATGTCATCAAAGGATTAATACGCATCTAAAAAAAACGAATCAAACTTTGAAAAAGAAAAGCACTGAGAAACCAACCTCGTATAGTAATTGAAAACAATATTTCGCTTGTTGTGCGTTTGACACTTTCCGTATTCGTTCAAAAATCCACGAAGTATCCATTCTTAATGCAGTCAGATACACATGTATCATAAACATCGTCGAAGCATGTAGCAAAGCTCTCAGTTTGTTATTCCGATGATGCATAATGATTTCTGAAGTTAATGAAACAATACCGAGCAATGCTATTAGATATTTATTAAAACCAGAGCAGATTAAAATTAAACATAGACCAATTAGTTCTAAATCACGATCTAACGTTAATTGTTCGTGAGTAACGGCTAATAGAAATAAGATGAGTGAGATAATAATATCAGGAAACCATCGAGTACGATGAACTAATTGATTGACGGATTCGCGAGTTTCTTTGTTTTTAGTTTGATAGGCATCGGAATGGAAATGCGATTGTTTATAAGCTGAAAACAACAAAAACGACCAAAAGTGCAACAAGTGAAACATCTTCGTTCTCTCAAGTAATAAATTCGTGCTTGACAGAACGAAACAAATTGCGTTCTCTCTCTTTCTTTCTTTCTTTGTTTTTATCAGCTACTTCATCGACCCGTAGAAGGATAAAGAATGAAAAAGAGAAGGTCACTCTTCTCAATTGCTTCGTTCGCTTGTTTATGTTTATATTACATAAATACGAATAGCGAATAATATCAAGAAAAATGATTCTGACCAAAATTCCCTGGCAGAGAAATATGTGGTACTGAAAGGTTTATCTGCTGACGACTGTGCCAATAAACGTCTTGTAATTGCACATTTCGATGTTGATCATATCCTTCGACTTATCGAACGTAGCTCATTGAAGGTTAAACTAGATGTTCCTGTATATTATGTGTTGGATATCGGCATGGTGAAGGTAATATCGCTCGAGTTTTAGTGGAACAAAAGCTTGCAAAACATGTTGCTGGTATCGACAAATCAAAAGATATGATAGATTATGCGAAAATCGATTCTAATAACGATACAGCAGACTATAACTATATTCAGGCTGATGTTATTACCAATGATCTGTTAGCCATCATCGGCAAACTATCTTCATTGATTGTACAAACATACATGTATCCTCATATAGAAAATGGCGATTAATTATCGAAAGTCTTGGCCAATATCGCCAAAGTTAGCTATGGAATTTTTATTGGAATCACATCTAATCCTTTTTTCGACTACACACACGCTGAAGTAAAAAATCTATCGAAATATGATATTATTTTTTTCTTTCAATGAAGAAATGAAACCGATCAAAGATGTGATGTCTTATCAAGTTAAATTCGAAGCAGGTACACCACACGAATCGACACTTGTTGATCGTTGGTTCAGTGCTACAGAGATATGAGTTGACAGTCACCTTTAAAAAACAATTTTCTTTCTTAACCAGACAAAAGAAATCAATAATAACAACATTTTCTATAGCTTTGTTTCAGTATCTCGCGAATGTACGATGATAATTGGTTGACCGGAGTTTAATAGTGTTTGTTCAGCAGCAGTTTTCGTTTCGGTTTGAAATCGTTGTCTTACAATGAGAAGTACTACAGCTATAGTAATCAGTAGTAGTCCGGAAAAGAACGAAATACTAGCTTTTAATTTTGTTGGTTGAGTCCATTCCCAACCCCATTGGATAATGGATGATTCATTTCGTGAATGATAACATGGATATGTTTCATTGACCTGCAAAATTGAATTTTATCAATTCAAACGACGATTCATCGAATATTACCTGATATTTCCTTGCTTTTATCCATGCCCATCGATCTGATCGCGTACCAGTTGATTCAATCATATATTCTTCGCGAATTCTATTCTCGTACATCACCGTTATGTTCCAACATGGAAAATAATTATATCTCGTATATTTTACATTAACAGATCGAACTCGACAGAGGCCTCTCATCAATGTACTGACTTTGTACGCATCTTGTGAACCAATGTACAATAATAGAGCACCGAGAAAACAGCAGATACCAACAATAAGTATAACACACGATCTTTGATCTTTAGTTAAACGTTTCGTTTGCCTGGAAGAAGAAGAAGACGAGGGATACGTTGATGCCATGTTATATTATAAATATAGTTGTGTTTATCAGCTACTGATACAAACCAAGCACATGACTTGATGATTTGTAGAAGAAAAACAAGAAACGGGAAAGAATGAAAGGAAGAAAACGAAAAAAAAAGGTCGTCATTAACTCGTGATGTGCACAGTTACAACAGGAAAGGCATCATATCCAACGATACTTTCTCTTTCTTTCTCTCGATATTGATCAATTATGAAGCGTACATGACTAATGGTGATGTGTGATGAGTATACATATATCTGTCAATGTAACAGATGTTGAGAGTTATCTTAAACCAAATAGATTCTTATTAGTATATATTTCATCTCTCTCGTTCTCTTCATTACGCTTCAGTTGAACAAAGTATTTTGCACGATAATAACTAATTCAAGGACAATGGCTATTTGTTCTTATAGTTAAACATATTTCTCTTGCATACATCTTCAGTTTTATACATGGGAGTATAATGCAGCACAAGGTTTCCACGTTTAAAACAAGGAAAATAAAATACTCTAAATATCTGATTAATGATCGAAAGAACATGATTTAGCTATAATTTCCCGGCAAGTAACAGTGTTAGTTGACGACACCAACGATATGTTACAATAAAATGCGATATATAATAACACAGACATTCTGCTTTGAAATATATTACTCGTAAATTATTTTCAAAATCAAGTGAGAAAAGGCACGGTGAATTAAGTTTGGTGCAATGCAAAATTCGAGCAAATTTATTTTTTCTCAATTTTTTAATGGATTCCGATGTGGTTTGATGCGCTGAATCCGAATATGTATGATTTATCTAGATAAGAAATCATCTTCTTACCGAAAATCGAAAAATACTGCGAAAACCGAGCGCTCAAAAAAAGGTTTTCTACTGGGATTTTGACGATGGCGCTTCGAGAAAATCTGTTATAGCTTTGAAAGTTTTTCTGTGGATTCAGCATCAAAAACTGATACTAGGAGACTAGACGTTCATCGCTCAACGCATATCTTTCTCCTTTAAAAAAATCTCTTTCTTTTCACACACCAACCATTCGAGTGAAGCTCATTGAAAATGCATCAACTCATTTTCTAGTAAAGGTAGACACTTTTTCCTTTGACCATTCGACTTCTTGGATATCGTAGATATAATCTACGTATTATTTTTCTACAACTTACTTTCTTTCTCAAAATTTCCTAGTAATTTTTGGACCATTCATTTCGTACATGTATTTTTAGATTTTTAACAGCAGTTTTCGCTCATTTTCTTTTTTCCAATCTTATTATGCGTTCGGAATGGGAAAGATCGTTGTTATTATCATTTCAAAACGCTATTAGGCCATTCTCGAGACATATGCAGTCTTGTGGGATATAATCCTGAGTGAGACTGAATGTAGTTTGAATGTATTTGAGGCATCGAAGAACGGTCTTTACCATGAAAATGGGACTGACAGCGAACGTATTAATGGATGAGTGTGTCTTGGAAATATGAGTGTTCTTCTAAGCTTTAAATATACGGTGACTGCACCCACCCTCAATCAACCTAATTTCACTCATACCCCTAAAAGTTTTTCAAAATAGCTAGATCGGGCCTTCAAATGATAATAACAACGATTTTTCCCATTCCGAACGCATAATAAGATTGGAAAGAAGAAAAAGAGCGAAAACTGCTGTTAAAAATCTAAAAATACATGTACGAAATGAATGGTCCAAAAATTAGCAGGAAATTTTGAGAAAGAAAGTGAGTTGTAGAAAAATAATACGTAGATTATATCTATGATATCGACGAAGTCGAATGGTCAAAGGAAAAAGTGTCTACCTTTACTAGAAAAAGAGTTGATGCATTTTCAATGAGCTTCACTCGAATGGTTGGTGAGTGAAAAGAGAGAAATTTTTTTAAGGAGAAAGATATGTGTTGAGCGATGAACACCTAGTCTCCTAGTATCAGTTTTTGATGCTGAATCCACAGAAAAGCTTTCAAAGCTATAACAGATTTTTTCGAAGCACCATCGTCCAAATCCCAGTAGAGAACCTTTTTTTTAACGCTCGGTTTTCGCAGTATTTTCCGATTTTCGGTAGGAAGATCATTTCTTATCTAGATAAATCATACATATTCGGATTCAGCGCATCAACCTTACAAACATCGATTTTCTTTCTCTCGCATTATTCAATTATTTTATTTCACTAGTGGATGTAAACTATTTTGACTTGAGAGCATAGGTTTGACATGAATCTTATCGGAGATAGAATTCAGTTGAAAAGATAGCTATACTGCTATGACGATCACTACCATCCGAACACTCGTCTTCCATTTTCTTTCGTTTCATTTCATTTTCGTTCTTTTGATTCAGTAGAATAAAGAAGTTGTGTGCGAATTATGCGCACAGGAACATTCTCTCTCTCTCTTGGACATCCACTACTATCGATGTGCGCAAAAGAAAAAGAAAAAATTTTCGATTTTTAAAGTTTCTTAGAGAATGTTAAACATTTCATTAAGGTACGCAAAAAAATCTTACACAACGAGAAGGTGAAAGGAATGCGTGCTACCCGAGCGCTTCTCTTTTGCGAAATTGAAAGATGGCTTATTGATAAAAGGATTTTATCTGCCCTTGGAGCGGTTGAGTTAGTGCGTTCTTCTTAGTTGAAATGTACGTAGAGAAAAGGATGGCTTGTAAACACGTGCATTCAAAGTTTTTATTTACGTTTCACTTTCCTTCTTTCTCCTATTCTATATGTATGTTAAGCGAATCGTGAAATATTCTTACAGGGGCAAGTCTATCGACATGTTTTCTGTTCCTATGACTTCGCATTACCTAAATATATTCGTTCTAGATATTTTCAAACATCACATGAGTGGACAATTTGATTTTCGAGCTTTATTAATCAAAGTGCAAGATCTTTTGTCCGATGGAGATCGTGTTCGTTTGCATTTTCTCTTGGGTGACGATATACCTCGAAATTTACGGGATAATCCATCACTTAGTGGGACACTTTCGGTTCTTGAATCTCTCTTCGATAAAGACATGATCAGTGAGCAAGATTGTGATTATTTGATTGAAGCTTTCAAAAAAATCCATTGTTACGACGCGGCAAAACGACTTCAAGGTTAACCTCTTTTTCTTGACGCCTCTGGATAAGAAAAAACGAAATATAATGTGTTGTTTAGAACATCAACGAGCGCATACTCACAGACACGGGCGAAACTGTTCACTTCAACATATTCTTGTCGACGATAGTGAAAACGATGGGCATATGGCGACTGATGGTTTGTAAAAAGTACACAAAATCACATACAGCATGTACCATTTAGAGAAACGTTTCTAGAATCGATACTTCAAACTCATGAATACAGTGAAACTACTCCAGTGACAACTCAGTTTGAGCTTGAGCAGGAAGTTAATCCAAGATCACAATTGTTCACGACGATATTCAGACAACCATGTAATATTCGTGAAATTATTTTGACTAGTATAGTTCTTCTCTTACTCCTGGCGCTCGTATCGCTGATCATCTTCCGTAAGAAATGTGTCTCAAGCAAAAACGAAACGTTTTTAGGTAGATTATAAGAGAATGAGCAAAATTCGTTGATATTCTTTGTTCAGTTAGAGTAGGGCAAATGAAGTGGGAACACGAAGGAATAACTGTTGCTGGCGGGTATGGAATTGGAAGCGAACTAAATCAACTCAATTATCCATGGGGAATCTTCGTCGATAGAAACAATTCGATCTTTATTGCCGATTGTTTAAATCATCGTGTTATGAAATGGAATTTAAAAGAAAATCGAGGTGAAATTGTTGCAGGTGGAAATGGGCAAGGAAGTAAAATCGATCAATTTGTTTGTCCGTCGGATATTGCAATCGATCAAGAAAATCAGCTTTTATACGTTTGTGATCATGAAAATCGACGAGTTGTTCAATGGTCATTGACGAACAAATCCGATATACATATCATTATTCCTAATATTGATTGTTTTGGTGTAGTTATGGATAATAGGCGTTATCTTTATGTTTCGAACCGGGTCAAGAATGAAGTTATTCGATTGAAGCTAGGCGAAAAGAAAGGAACTTTAGTTGCTGGTGGGAACGGTAAAGGAAATCGTTTTAATCAACTCAACTATCCTGGATTTATGTCTATTGACGACGAATATGCACTTTATGTGTCAGATATACATAATCATCGTATTATGAAATGGAAAGAAAATGCTAAAGATGGAATTGTTGTTGCTGGTGGTAATGGCGATGGTAATGGTCTGAATCAACTATCTTATCCTCGAGGTGTTGTTGTTGATGAACTGAAACGAGTTTATGTCTCAGATAACATGAATCATCGAGTGATGCAGTGGTGTAAAGATTGCTCGAAAGGTGAAATTCTTGTTGGTGGAAATGGAGCTGGAAAAGGATCACATCAATTATTTTATCCAACTGGTATAGCATTTGATAGAAAAAGAAATCTTTATGTTGCCGATAATACAAATCATCGAATTCAAAAATTTGTAGTCGATGAAGAAGATACGATTTGAGATGGAGATGTATTTTGTGTGGATATTAACTCTCTCTCTCTCTTTCACTTATTCGATAGTTTCTATTTCAAAGCCATACGTTGATCTGTGTAATTCTTTGTGTTGCATTGTTTTATATAAAAAGTTAAGCATTTTCTAATAAAAATATCCTAGTCGGATTGAATATAGTTAGCCAGTGTTTCAAACGAATCACATGGTCATTTCTGGTCATAGCGTGAAACTCAGCTGCTGATATCACCCAAGCACATGACTTGATAATTTGCAAGGGAAAAAACAAAAGACGAGAAGAAGACAAAAAAAAAGGTCGTCATCAACTCATGATGCACACATTAACACCAGGAGAGGCATCATAAACAACGATACATTTTCTCTCTTTGTTAATCAAGTATAGAATGTGTATCACTAAAAGTGGTGTGTGCGTGATAAGTATGCATGTATCTGTGAATGTACCAGATATTGAGGGTTATCATATCAACTTTCGTCAATATCATGACGATTATTCCATTGGTATATATCAAATGCGTCGTCAAACGAATGATTTGTTCTGCAATTTCTGATCGAAATAAAGATTCATAGGGTGATATTTTCTAAATGTGACTAGGAAAAAAACGTCACCCTTTTTTTTCTTCTTCTTCGGTTTTTTATCTGCTGACTGTATCGTTATGTACACAAATATCGCTCAAGGCGGTCTTTTGAATAGATACACATGCTTGAATAATATTTTCCAAGGCTTTACCTTGAATACGCTGAGAAAAACTAGAATTCAATCATTCGTATTTATGTTTTCGCTGTAGAACAACATGTCACATTCGACGACGAACTCTACGGACCTTTCCTTAAGCGATGTAATTGTACCTGTGTGTTATACTCGTCTGGTTCTTATTTACGATTATGTGATCAATGATTTAGAAAAACCTCTATTGAAATTCCTTCATCATTATTGTCGTAGTGCTTTCAAACAGATTCTTGATAATAAACTGGTTGATCCAGTTGAGCGACCGAAAATTTTTACTCGTAAAATTAATAGAAATCTCTCCGTCGCTTCACTAAATGTTGAACAAAGCGATATCTTTCCGTACGGACGAACACCCGATGATCATTCTCCACTTTTTTTTCTTCATCAATTTACAGTAAGGGATGGAACATTATTGGCCATCGGTGTTCATCATCGTCTTACCGATGGTCATGGATTGATTCATTTGTTATACCGATTTTCGATTTGGTTATCAAAAGTGCAAATTCCATTTCAGTTCGAACACGATCGTTCCTTGATAGCGAAACGAATTGCTCCAACGATTTTGTATGAACATCGGGAATATTATATCGAAGATTCATCGTTATTCTCATCGGCAATTAGTCAGTCCGAAATCGAAACTGACGTGATTGTTAAACGTTATAAAAAAGACAATTTATTTTCCAAATTAAAAATCACGGGTAAACACGTTTCATTCAACGATGTACTCGTTGCTTGGCTAACAAAATTGATCAGTCGTATTCGTCGTGTACCCCGTGAAACAATCGTTAGAGTTGGTATGCCAACAAACGGACGGCCTGTACTAAGATTAGAAGAAGATTATTTCGGTAACTGTGTCTTCTACATTTACATTCCTTTTTTGATGTCTGATCTTCAATCAATGTCAGTCAATGACCTATCTGAGCGAGTACACGAAGAGCGAAAACGTTGTATGACACGTGCTTATATCGAGTCAGCGTTGGCTTATATTAAATATAACACGGCGAAGCCCAATCATCGAGTATGTCCAATATTCAATCTGTTCGGTGAATATGATTTGACATTTACGAATTGGTCTCGATTTCCTATGTATCAGATTGATTTCGGTCGAGGTCCACCTCGTCGTGTGTTTCTTCCGCCAGGCAACAGACGGAATGGAATGATTACAATTCTACCCACAAGTGAAGAAGATAACGAAATTGAACTTTACATTCGACTTGATAAAAGATATATTGTAGAATTATCAAAGACCTTGAGTACCTACGAAATTCAGAAGCAAGCAGTTGCATGAACACTTTCAATAGACATATTTACAATGAAAACACGATGATTCTTTTTCCTATACACGAAAAACAAAGATGCGATGCACAGAGAAAACAGAACAGAGCAGAATACATGTGTGTGAAGCGCTCAAGGTAGATGATAATCTCAGTAAGTCAACATGCACATTGATTCTCGAGCATCAATCAATCACATACGTCAATCCTGAAAAATGAATAATAGACAAATTTGTATAGCTAGTAACGTCTCAATCAATGATAATCATCATCTTGCATTTTTATCGATCGCTAATGCTTTCGGCGATCTTCTGGTTCGTGATACACGCATGCCATGTCGTGCTAGAAAAGCTGATTGTCTTATCTATCGTGTTGAAGAAGATACATTAAATACAGATGAACATGCACATTCAGCGACTAATCAACATTTTGCTCGTTCAATGTTAATTAGGTACGAGCAACAATTTTTTGACTTGACAGAAACAACAAAGTTGTATACGTGTCCTAGATCTACAACTGCTAGAAAATCGACATTTATTTCAACATAAGAATAGCGAAAACTACAGAAAAACTGACATATTCAGTCATGGAGGTTAAACGTGTACCCATCGACGATAAATTTGATCCGCCTAAGACTAAATAAACTTGTTTGGCAATTAAACTTTGCAATGAACTTGTTAGATGAAATTCATCTGCAAAGATGCGCTTTGTTATATCTTTACATTTGACAATAACTGTTGGACTACTCTCGGTGTCCCAGCAGTTGTCTAAACTTTCGAAACCGTATGCGAGATAATCATTAAGAATCTTTGACATAAAGGTATAACAGTCGAATAATCGGATGTTTAATCGAGTGGGAATCGATAAATATGTTTCGTTAATTTTATTCGCTAAAATTTCATTATGTTGAATGTAAATAAGTTTCGTAGAATTTGTTGCATCTGCTCTAAATGGAGGAAATCGATCCCACGGTGGTTGATTAATGATTAAAAGATTTCTTACACCAAAGTTAACTAATACATAAATCGATTCCATCATACTCTCAACGGTTTGCAAGGGTGTTAATGTAGGATCATAGAAGTAATTATTGATCCCAATCCAAACGATATACAACGTTCGATCGAAATCGATGTTTTCATTCAATGACAAATTGACATATGTCGTAATCTGTTGACGGACACCTGGTGGTTTAGCGTTATTACGTAGAGAATAATTCCCTTTGATATTCGTATTATAGCCGATGGTTGGCTGCAATAAATTACTATCTGTTGTCGCACAACCATAAGCGAAATCTTGTAAAGTCGCGCGGTTGAGAAACTCATCGGCGAGGATCTGATTCCACATAAGACCATCGGAATAACTTCCATTAATACTAAATGGTGGAACAGGTGGCCATGTGTTGTGCGTTATTCGATAACCATTTCCTGTGTCCGTTAATGAGTCGCCAAATGTCACCAGCGTTGTGTAGTTCAAATTACCTAGTAGAGAGAGAGAGATAGAAGAGAAGAGAATGTATTTCTCTGACGAGAATGTTAATTGATGTTTAATTTACCACCATTGATAGTTGTGAAATGCATGCATAGAAAAATATAAAATAGAATCATTGTCATACGATAATCAAATGTCTGATGAGAAAATTTCTCGTATTTAAATGACGAACAGGAAGAAGAAGCACTCTCCTCTTTCCTTTGATCGTTCGTGTCTGTATATAATCAAATTAAATAGAAATATCTCGGTAATTTTCTTTCCAGATTTAATACAAATTACACAAAACAGTTACTTATTATTTTCAAGGTCACGATCTATATAAATATGTATGACATTATTAATATTCTATTGACAAATCAAACACATACATCAGACATGTTTTGTTGCTTGTAAGCGAGAGAAAGAATATATAGACGTGCTGATCACAAGAATTAGCCTTTCTCTTTGCTTTTTTCTTCTCTCATTCGATGACACGGAAATGGCAAATGTCATTATTCATGTTCTTTTCTTCTTTCTTTTATTGTATGTAAATAACAAGTTGAGTTCGACGAGCACTCGAATTGAATTCAAGAGATTCTGGGTGAAACGAGAGAAAACAATTTTGATTTGATCGAGTAACAATCGGCGATGTCAACAAATTGCTTTTTCCAAATTAATCAATCGTTCCGCACGGACTGTTTCTCTTGAAGACAAGAAGAGAATGATGATGATGATGATTGATACACACGAGCTGTTTGCTTATTAATTATTATTCATTCCTCTATGAATAATAAGTATGGAGATTAAATTCAAGTAGCATTAATGAATAATCATTTTTGCCAAGAGACATTTCTGTGATATATTTTTGCATATAAAATCGTTTGTTTTTGTTCGTTGGCAAGATGGCTTTATGATTCCGTAATGTTGTTTTTCACATCGATACTAATGCCAGATCAATCAATGAATACACTCTGCGTACAGATTAATTCAATGGTATCAAAGCACAAGAATCTACTGTGATTAAGATTTTGACAAAGAGGGCTTATAGTCATATCGAAGTCAAATAGTCGTTCGTGCCAAAATTTGAACTAATAACTTATCGATGGGGAAAAAAAGGTCGTTGGTATTCGTAGAAGTAGATTAGGCTTGATTGAAACGAGTATACTTGCTGAAAAAACACGATCGATGATTAACTGGTGCAATGAAAGGCCATTTCATTCTGTTGAAAGATCAGCGCTTCACGCTTCAATTTAATAGTAGATAAATCAGAATGGGAAGAAAAGATCTCCTTTCGCTCGATTACAACAACTATGTGCGGTGTACAAGTCTATCATTTAACTCTTTCATGAATGAATATTAGTACATGTGAAACTTGTTGAATTTCGTTTCGAGTGTTCTTTGTCTTTTGCTTATTGAAAGTACTGTTTAAACTATTCATGACATGCAGATTTCTAGGGAGTAGAATGAAAGATAAGAACGATAAATATAGGCTTTTATCGCTGTACAATCACATGTTAGTAACGTGTATTTTAACCATGGAGTCGACGGATATGCGAGAATGGTTTATGAAAAATTTCACGGAGGAGAAATATGAGAGATTCGTTAAAAGTATCAATGATGAATTGCCAACACTTGCTGGATTTCGTCTTGCAGAAACACCGTTATTTCTCAGTAATGAAGTTCGTGATCGATTGATTCGTGCAGGTGATGAAATAGTGGATTTTGTCCTTCGTTCAGATTTTAAACAATTGACAGAAAAAGTCATTCCGAACCAATGGCGATGTGCGAACGAAAACGAACATCCGAATATTTTCACCATGGACTTCGGCCTTTGGAAAGATGAAAATGGTGTAACAGTACCACGATTGATTGAGTTACAAGGATTTCCATCTTTACATGCACTCGCCGCGTTCCAAGAAGATGCTTATCGTGCAGCTTATGATATTTCAGCGGATTGGACAATTTACTTCAATGATTTTGACCAACGTCGTTATCTGACATTGTTCAAAGAGATTATTATTGGATCACATCAGCCTGACGAAGTCGTTCTCATGGACGTCAAACCACACGAACAACATACGGCGGTGGATTTCTATTTCACACAAAAATTTCTCGGTATACCAATTGTTGGCTTAGATGAATTGCAACAAGAAGGAAAGCGATTGTTTTACGAACGTGAAGGACAACGAAAACGCATCAAACGTATTTACAATCGATTGATATTCGATGAAGTTGCTGATGATCCTGATATTTTCAAAGATAACGTTGACCTTCGACAAGAACTCGATGTTGAATGGATCAACCATCCGAATTGGTTCTATCGAATAAGTAAATATCTCTTACCGATTCTTAAAGGTGATTATGTTTTGAGAACATATTATCTAAACGAAATTCTCGATCAACTTCCTCATGATTTGGAAAATTATGTTTTAAAACCATTGTTTTCATTCGGTGGTACGGGTATTGTTATCGATATAAAAAGAGACGATATTTCAAAAATCAAAGATCCAGAAAACTGGATTTTGGGGCGCAAAATCGAGTATGAACCAGCTTTTCGACGTGCTGATGACGAAATGGTCAAAGCAGAAATTCGTCTGACGTATTTTTGGCCCGATGGAGATCAACGACCAGTATTGACAACTAATTGTACCCGCTTGAGTACAGGAAAAATGATCAATGCTCAATTGAACAAAGATGCACGATGGGTTGGAGGCACTATTTCATATATGAAATCATGAAGACATTCATTTCGTGTACTCTTTTGTGAATCATTTAGTTAACCTACATGAAAACCAATAAAATGCTTATAAAAAAATAGATATATAAATGATTCATACGATATTGCACAATACAACGAAAGGTAAATATTTCTGACGCATGGGGTTTTATCCATTGGAAAGTCCCAAATAAAATCTATTCGTTTCGAGCACAGGTATTGTTTATATTTGATATCGACAGTAAGACAGTATTTAGAATTCGATGGCACTTGCAGTGAATCCTCCTACTACCCTGACGTTCTACGGTATGGAAATATCATTCGTAACTTAATCTGAGATAATTGGACTATTCATTCAAAGGTCCCTTCAATGTTGTTTCAACAACGACGCTTAAGTTATCCAACACAGGCAGTGATCGACTTGCTTTCATGCTCAAAACTACAACACCACGCCGATTTTGTGTTAAGCCAAACAATGGATTTCTCGAGCCAAACACGAATGTCGTTGTTCAAAGTATGCAAATAGTTCTTCCTTTCGATCTTTATTTCCTGGATATCTTCTAGTCCTTTTGCAACCGTCACTTCCCGGTGCCCCAGACGATGAGTCCAATCGTTCTAAATTTATGTTATTATGGGCCGTAGTGTCTGACAATGAACAGACTGATATTGTTAGTTTTGTGAGTAAATATCGTGCGACGATGTTTCGTTTCTATTCAGATATATGTTCTAGTGGAAACAACATGAATCATTACCTGAAAAATTACAAAATATAAAATTAACTTGTGCTCTTTGTCCAAAAACGATTGACAAAGAGGCAAATAGATCATTGTTATTGATTTTGTTCTCTCAGTTTATATATTTCCTCTTTGCTTTAGACTCAAACGGATTCAGATCGCGAAGATCTGACATCCACATCTGAACAGAATTGTCTCGATCCGGAGCGTATTGTTGGAGATTCGTCTGTATCAGAACTTGAATGTCCTATCTGTCACAACATTCTATGGAAGCCCGTAGCGTGTAAGACCTGTGAAAATGCATTTTGTGCATATTGTATTCACAAGTGGATAAAACAACATGATTCAAAATCGGAGAAACTCTGTCCTTTCGCATGCACCTTCGAGGAAAAACGAGCACCATCTGTGCTTAACAAACTGTTGTCCAAACTACAAATCTATTGTGCTTATCGCGATAATGGATACCAGCAAATACTCAATTATGATGCCTTAGAGACTCATCAAAAGACGTGTGAATACAAGAGTATCATCTGTTCAGTGTGTCACGTCACCATCACAAATCAAAATCTTACTGACAATTCACACAACATTCGACAATGTTTCACTGATGTTCAAAAGACACAAACTGATAGTCAAGTGCAAGTACACTTGATGACGCTTCTCGATGTTATCGATCGGCAGAATAAACGTATCGAAGCTCTCGAAAGTCAAATAAATGGTATTCCATCGTAAGTGAACTTCAGTTTTTTTTTGTATTCAATGCGAAGTATGCGGCTGTCTATTCGAGAAAAAGAGATATTTATGTTCGAAAACAATAATAAAAGAAGATTCTAGTTCAAAAAATCACAGTGGTGTTTGTCACCCGAAATATACCGCTAATCCATTCGATTTCGCTGCTACTAAAGTTATTTCTTTGTAGGTTGACCATTTTCAAATCGTTAAGCACATAGATGATTTCCGGTAATGTTGTTAATAGATTGTTGGATAGATCGAAGTTATTCAATGTATTGATTTTTGCTAGCGAAGCACTGGGAATCGATGCAATTCTGTTGTTATTAAATGAGAACGACGAACAATTTGAGGATGAAATCGTATCAAGACTATCGAGTGATGTCAGTTGATTGTTATCAAGGTCAATTAGACTTAGATTAGGGATACTGTTCGGGAGACGGTCGATGATACAATTCGATGCTCGTAGTTCCTTCAACGATGTTGAGTCGGACAGAGCATCAAGTGAAGATAGTCGAGAATTATTACGAACAGAAAATAAGGTAAGCGATGGTAATACGTATACACTCCACGGTAGATAAGTCAACAAGTTTTGATCAAGTATAAGTTCAGTGAGCAAAGTGAGTTTGCTAAGATTTGCGGAAAGTGCTTCCAAGCCGCAGTTGATAATGGACAGACTTGATAAATGATTCAGATTGAATAGTTCAGGTGGAAGTGCGGAAGGTGATCGAGTGCTGTTCAATAAGTGTAAAGATGTAAGTGAAGAAGAGAGACGACCAATGTCAGAAGGGATGACAAGGCTAGGCGAGTCTGAAATTGAAAGTTTTTGTAGACTACTCAGGCAAAAAATCGCAGATGGGAGTCGGAGAATATTCACTAAATTCAACTCAATAACATGACTATTTCTGTCAACAATGGCATAATTCGATGTTTGTGATGGTTCTGCTGGATTGATATGAATAGGAAATGGCAATGATTGAATGATTTGTTTGTCTGAAGTATAGCTCGTTCCATTGATTGTGCAATCCAATTGTGGTGGCGCTTAAAAAAAAAACACAATAATGAAAAGATTAGTTAGAAAAGTGTTTCACCTCGACATCCATTCCAACAAGCACATTTGTTTTTCAAATTAAATCGATAGAAATTCGGTGGGCCCTCCCCCAAAGCTTCAAGCTCATTGGTGTCATCAGTGACACAGATTAATGTAATCATCACTCGTCTTATCTCAAAGGAATATATGATAGAAGGATGACTACTGCTATTTGTAATCCAAACGGCACTATCTTGTGTTCCCAGAACGAAGTAATGACGTTCATCTTTTGTCACTAGATGAAAAATGACAGAGTTATCGAATAAAGTTACACTGGAAGTCGCAAACTTTGACAAACAGCTGCATTTATACATTCGCCTTCGGAGAACGGTTTACATGGATTGTATCTGTAAACTGCAAATATACCGTTTGATAGAAAAACGAATTCTCAAATCAACAAACGGTAATTAGATGCCACGGCCGGTGTCACATCTGGATAGGTAGGTTTTCCATCGCCCCTTCCAAGAGAAGTCAAATCAATAACGCCTTGCGAACTTTCAAATCGACACGCATCATCAGCAATGACGCCTGCAGATAGAATAATGACGAAAATATTCAATTCAAACAACCAAGACATCATGTCTGTGTCCCAAGTCTTATTCTTTTAGTATAAAAATGTGACATATTCAGAACGAAATTATCCTATCTATCTCTCTCCTCTTATCTATAGGAAGTATGTAATTTCAAGGTGTTTGTGTAATATGACGTTATACTAGAAAGGATAATATTCTCAAACGTTCTTTTATTCTTATGATTTCAAAGCAGATATTATCAGCAAAAGCAAAAAGAAAAAGATGGTCACTGCTGATAATATTTCGAATGCAAAGTGTCCTTTTTTTTCAGAACAAATTAGCGACATCCATCGGCATTTCTTTGATTTCAGTATTGTAGAAGTGCTCGAGATCGCGTAATGTTGTTCGATCTTCATCCGTAACAAAGTTAATCGCCACACCCTTTCGACCAAATCGACCACTTCGTCCGATACTGCAAAACAAAACTGATTTCTTTATTTTTCTGCAATTGAAATATCCTCTTACCGATGAATATAATTTTCCCGATTGTTTGGCAAATCATAATTGATAACAAGATTGACCTGTTGGATATCAATACCACGTGCAAGTAGGTCAGTGGTGATCAGGACTCGACTCGAACCAGTACGAAACTCATTCATAATTGTATTACGTTGTTCTTGAGTCAATTCACCGCTCTAAAAACAGACAATTCCGCTTTGTTCGTACATCGATTGTTGAGTTCAAAACTTACAATTGCAGAGACGGTGAAATCTTCTTCGCTTAGTTTTCTTGCTACGAATTCAACCTTTCGGCGAGTGTTACAAAAGATGACAGCTTTTACGATGGATAACGATGCATATAAATCGCAAAGTGTATCGAATTTGAATCGCTAAATGAGAAACATGTGCAACGATTGAGATGGAAAGCTGACAACTTCTTCTTACTTCTTCTTGAACGTTGATGTGAAACTGGTGAATTCGGTCGAGTGTCAGTTCTTCCTTTTTCACGAAAATTTTTACTGGATCGGACATGAATTTTTTCGTGATATTCAGAACATCATTGGTCATTGTAGCCGAGAGAAGAACGATCTGAATAGAAGCAAAGGAGATGAAATGAAACGCATCGAGATCGTTTATTACTTGAAGATCTTCTGGCATTAACATGATGATGTTTTTTATTTGGTCGCTGAAACCTTCTTGAAGCATTTCATCGGCTTCGTCTAACACCAACATTTTGATATTTTCCTTGCCTAGAACAATTCTTATTGTTTAAAATTCAGCACATTTCTATATATCTATATACGTACGAAGAGCTGATCGATTCAGCATATCAAAAACACGGCCAGGTGTACCAACAACAACTTGTGCGCCTGCTCTGAGTGCTTTAGCATCTTCGTTAATGCTAGTGCCACCAATACAAGCATGACACGAGACTTTCATATAATCACCGATAGCCAACACAACACGTTGAATCTAAAGACAACATGACAAAGTTGATTCTTACTCTTCAAGTTCCCTTCGATTTATACCTGTCGTGCTAATTCACGTGTTGGAGCTAAAATGAGTGCTTGGCATTGTTTAAGATCGATATCAATTCGTTGTAGAATTGAAATAGTAAACGTTGCCGTTTTGCCTGTACCCGATTGGGATTGAGCAATAAGGTCATGTCCTAGGAATAGAATTTCGATCATGAAGAGTTTATGAATTGCTATTGGTTTACCTAAGATACATGGTTTAATTGCTCGCTGTTGGATAGCAGATGGTCGTTCGAAACCAAAACCGTAAATACCACGTAGTAATGGTTCGTGCAAGTTCATCTTATCGAAATCTGTAACCATTTCAGTCCAATTACTTTCGATTGTTCCATCGACAGGAACAATCGAAGGATTGGCAGCATTGGAACTGCGGTTATCATCGAGCCTATGACAGAAGAATTATTTCTTCAAAAAGATCATTTCTACTATGTCTTCCACTTACTGGGATGAGGGTTTAGATTGCGATGCGTTTTCTTGTGAATTAATTCGATTACTGCTCATAAATGATTTAAAGTAAAAGAGTAAGACATTGAAAAAAATGTGTGAAAATGATTTGGGTGAATAAAGTTTACTGTTGATCGCCGCAGTATTTAAAGTACAGTTATTGCGAAATTCCTTACGTAATTCTCAATGAAGAATCCCAGTGAATAGAAATGACGTCAGAAAGTTAAAATCTTAGAGATCGGTAATTGATTACAATGAACAATTTCGATGAGAACTATGCACGAAAGTATGAATTGAATAGTGTTTTTGAACACATAAACTCACTTCGGCGACATATAGGTGTCGCAAGTTAACGCTTGCTGACTAAGCACGTATGAGTTTATGTTCAAAATATAAATCAATAATTGTGTTCAATTCACAAAGTATGCTTTCGTAATTTGAAAGTGTAACGAAATTACCGAGAGCACTATAAGTTTGGGAACAAAAGAAAAACACCCGCTTATCATCAACAATTTATACGAGTAGTCTGAAGTATTCTATTTCAAGATATTGCTTCATTTCTAGACATGTAAATTTCAGCGTCCATCAATATTTTCATGTTATCTAAATCATCAATTTCTTCGCTGATGAATTTATTATTATTTGCATTTCAGTTACAAGTACTGATAAGTATTACTTTAGATTCTAGAGATTTACGATTATTCTCTTTCAAATAATATAGCCTTGATAGGACGTCAATTCGATTCACACTATGTTAACCTTTTATTTCATAAGCTGCTTGATCGTATTTTCTCAACTCGAACTCAATGCTCATTCATACAACAATCCGCAACGCGGGATAACCACTGTTGACATGCCTGATATCGTCAAAACTGATCCGAAATATCGCATTGATTGTGCACCAGACATTGATGAGTACCATTCATTCTGTGAGCTTAATCTTTCTAAAAATCGAACAACAAATGTCACTAACTCAATTTGCACTGCTCGTGGATGTGTTTGGGATCCAATTAACGCAGGACTGAATATAACTACTTGTTATATACCATTGGAAAAAGGAGGATATGGTTTAGTAGGAGAACCCAATGTAATTTCGAATACCACGACACGATATACACTGAACCGTCAAGCAATTAGCGCAGCTAATGATGTGTCGTTGTTCAATCGTGATATTGATGATTTAGATGTTCAGGTTAGTGTTTCTGGTGTGAATATGGTGCGAATGACTATACGAGATGCCAATAGTCAACGTTATGAAGTTCCTGTACCAATTCGTTGGAATCCGTCGGTATCAAGTGCAATGCCAGCTAGAATTATTCAATTTCAAATGACTAAAACAACGAACGATCAAGTAGGTTTTCGTGTTCGACGTACAAATACTCAATCGATCATCTTCGACACAACATTTTTCGCCAATGGTTTTATCTATGACGATAATTTTCTTCAATTGGTTACAACAATTCCATCAAGAAATATTTATGGTTAACCATCATCGTTAATTGAGCTGTTGTATTCTTATCATGATCTTTTTTTCTCATATTTAGGCTTTGGAGAAAATACTCATCGATCATTTCGACACATTCTCAAACAATCCTATCGTTATCCGATGTTTGCGCGAGATCAATGGCCAACCGGAGTCAATGAAAATCTCTACGGTGTACATCCATTCTACATGGTAATCGAGTCCGACGGACAAGCCTTTGGAATCTTCATATTAAATTCAAATGCACAAGATTACAAATTTGATGAGTTCGATACCAATCAAGCCATGCTAACCTACCGAACAATCGGGGGAATTTTAGATATTATGGTTTTCGCAGGACCAACTCCCGAACAAGTTATTCAACAATATCAATCAGTCATTGGCAAACCGTATATGCCTCCGTATTGGGCATTGGGATTTCAACTTTCACGATACGGTTATAATTCATTGAAAAATATGAAGGCAGCGATGAATAGAACATTAAATGCAAATATTCCTCTTGATATAATGTAAGAGCAGTGTATAATGTTGTGCTATTAGATCTTCTGTTTGATTTCAGGTATGGAGATATTGATTATTTTTACAAGAGGCTCGACTTTACTTGGAATCCAGTTGACTTTGATGGTTTACCTGAGTATGTCGATTGGTTGCATGAAAATGGAATGAAGTTCATTACGATTCTCGATCCTGCAATTGATTCGGAAGAGAAAAATTATTCAACGTTTACTGAAGGACAAAAAGCAAATATTTGGATCAAATGGCCAGAAGATCGCAACCTACAACTGAACGAAACGGGTAATCGAAATATGCTTGGCTATGTATGGCCAGATGGTTCGTTACTTTGACCTACCTGTCTTCCCTACTCTTATCAGCATGTTCTATTTAGGTAAAACTGTATTTCCAGATTTTTTCTATCCGGCAACGTCCGACTGGTGGAAATCTGAAATTCGACAATATTATTCCAAACTCAAGTTTGATGGCCTTTGGATTGATATGAAGTGAGATCTATTTTCCTCTACGCACTTCAAGAATATCCAGTTCATGTTGATGATTCTAGCGAACCAGCTAATTTTGACACGAATAAAGATGCACCGTGGAATTGGAACCGACCCGAATTATGGAATCTTCATTGCCCAATCGACAAAGAATTGTTAGAAAATCCTCCATACAAAACTGCAATTTGCAGTGATTATCTATCGGATAAAACTTTATGCATGATAGGCGAACAAACTAATGGACGAGGACAGTTATATAAGCAATACAATGTTCATAGTTTATATGGATGGTCAGAAACATTAATTTCCCTAGCAGCTGCTCGTACAACAGATAATAAACGATCTGTTGTCATCAGTCGATCGACTTTTCCGTCGTCGGGAGCTTACGTTGGACATTGGTTAGGTGACAATGCTGCTGATTGGTCACATCTGAAATATAATATTATTGGCATGCTAGAATTCAATCTCTTTGGTATTCCTTACATTGGTGCTGATATTTGTGGTTATTTTAACAATGCAACGGAAGAAATGTGTCAACGTTGGATGCAACTAGGCGCATTCAATCCGTTTTTTCGAAATCACAATGGTTTTGGTTTCATTGACCAAGATCCGGGTATATTTTCAGCCAAAGCGATAGCATCCAACCGTCGAGCTGTTGAACTGCGCTATACACTGATTCCATACCTATACACTCTTTTTCATCGGGTGCATACTTCCGGCGGTACCGTCGTGCGTTCTATGGCACATGTATTTCCATCCGATGTGGAATGTTTGTCATTAGATGAACAATTTCTATGGGGTTCATCGTTGCTGATCGCTCCTGTAATCTATGAAAATCATGTCAACAAATCGCTCTATCTGCCAGCAACAGATCGATGGTTCGACTATTACACGGGCGAAGAACAACTGACCACTGGCAAGGTTACAATCTCGGCACCGTTGGAGTTCATGCCATTGTATCTTCGTGGCGGCGCTATTATACCACATCAACAGTCGGCTGTGAACACAGTTGCAGCACGAAAGAAACCTCTCTATCTCATTGTTGCTTTAGATAGTACGCAATATGCGAGTGGAGAACTCTTTTGGGATGATGGAGATTCGATCGATACATATCAACGATCGATTTATAACTATTTTCTTTTTAATCATGGGCCACAACGTTTAACTATTCAACCGTGGGTATACAAATATCCTCAAATGAGTAATGAAACCAAATTAGACGAAATTAGAATCTATGGGCGGAGCACTCGTCCAGTAAGAATTCTATGGAATGGGCAAGAGGTGACGCCAGTGACTCAATGGACATTCAATACTACCAGCAACGTTTTGACTATGACAAAACTAGCTTTGAATATGTCTAAAACTCATCGATTCACTTTTTTGTAATGAAAAGTAACTTCATCTACCTACCATTTTTGAGTATGATGCAATATTTCTCAAACATAGAATGTATTGTCATGGAAAGAACAGAACAGAACAGAACATTGCGTTTTGGAACGAAAATTATGTTCCAATTCCTACTTTCCGGTAGTATGGCCGAGCGGTCTATGGCGGCAGTTTTAGGAACTGCTCTTTCGTAGGTTCAAATCCTACTACTACCAATCTTTTTTTTTTCGTTTGTAGCAGGCTATGAAGAGTGAAGTGTCGATCGAAAGGAATAAAACCTTTGTTTTCTGTGTAATAGCGTCACGTACGTAATGTTGCAAAAAAAAGCAAAAAATTTTCTCTTCCGACTCATATTTGAGTGTGTCACAATGCACAAATAATACTTCAATTTTATGCTGCCTTTGTTTGCTTTCAGTCAAAGTAAAAATCCAGAAAGCTTTTTACTTTTCTTATCTTTTGTCAATAATAGATCTTATATAAGTAACGACATTTCATAACAGTAGCTTCTAGTGTGTTACGCACGCGAGCTGACTCAGGAATGGACCTCTTATCTTGTAATAAGTCAACGGAAGTGAGAGTTATTGATACGATCAGAAAGAGTGACATAGATCAATGGAACTACCGTGGATTAGAACTTGCCAATGGTCTGCTATGCGTGCTGGCTAGTCACGAAACTCTTGACAAATCTGCTGCAGCTCTCAATGTCAGCATTGGAACCATGGCCGATCCAAAAGACATTCCCGGTGTTGCTCATTTTGTGGAACATATGCTGTTTATGGGTAGTGAAAAAGTAAACTCAATCACTTGGAGACTTCGCGAAAAATCAATCTACGAAACATAATATCATTGTAGTATCCAACAGAAAATGAGTTCAGTAAGTTCATCGAAAGTAATGGTGGTTATTACAATGCTTATACAACTGCTGCGCAAACAAACTATCATTTCGATGTTAATCCCAAAGTATTCGCTGAGGCGCTCGACATGTATATAATCTCGTCTGCTTTCTGTTTCGAATGAGTGATCTGTAAATTTAGATTTGCCAATTTTTTCGTCTCGCCTTTATTTCATGCATCATCAACGGACCGTGAAATACGTGCGATCGATTCTGAATTCCGAGGCAATTTATTTACGGACAGTCGACGCATCTTTCAGATCGAAAAATTGATGGTAGATCCTGAACATCCCTACTCCAAATTTAGCACGGGAAATATCGAATCCTTACAAACAATACCACAACAACGCGGAATTGATATCCGAGAAGTTCTACTTGACTTCTATACAAATCAGTATTCAGCGAACCGCATGAGCTTAGTGGTATTAAGTAATCGTATGTATTGAAGTCGAACCTTTGCTGACCTTCTTATTTGTATGCCAATGAAAAATCAATTTCAGACTCGCTCGATGAACTTCAATCTCTTGTCGTGAAGAACTTCAAAGATATTGTCAATAAACAACTACCAATGGTCAGATATCCTGCTGATCCCTTCGGTGAAATAGGATGCAAGGTTGTTTTATTTGTTTGATCCCTGCCTTGTGTCTTTCAAATTTCACTATTGATTTAGACTGTTTGTTACATAGTACCAATTGCGGAAGATCATAAGATGAAGATAAGATGGGTAATTCCCGATTTCCGGGAGCTTTACTATTGCAGTGTAAATAACATTTCGTTCGAATTCGGAAGTCTATTCTCAATTTGTTTCAGCCCGGACCGTACCTGTCGTTTTTAATCAGACATAGAGGTACAGGTTCACTATTCTCGCATTTGAAAAAACTCGGTTTCGCCTCGTCCATTCAATCTCTTGGCGGGACGCACGCTGCGCCTGGTTTCAACTTTTTTACTATGGAATTGAATTTAACTCGAGAAGGATTGGGTAAACTAGATGAGTTTGTTCTGGGAATGAAAACGTTTCTTTGATTTTCCTAGAACGATGGAGAGAAGTTGTTGTACTTGTTTATCAGTACTTAGCTATGATGCGTAAGGAAGGACCACAGAAACGGATTTTCGAAGAGCAAAAGGTGAGTTTACGGAAATAGAGGTATTGATCGTTACTTCTACTTAATGTTTATAGACTATGCGATTGCTGAACTTTCAATTTGCTGCAAAAGATTCCGCTAATACATTTGTTACAGATCTAGCCAGCACAATACGAGTATGATCTTTACTATCATGAAAGACAGTTCGAGCTCAACTACATGGTATAGGATTATCCATTGACGAATTGTCTGTTTGGTCCTTATGCACTCCACGATTTTCGACCGGATCTCATCACTCAATTACTCGAGCAATATATAATGCCAACAAAAATGCAGTAAACGATAAATAGAATAATAATCAATATTTTCTCATTGACTTTCTCTGGCGTCTTTAGAATATATCTTATTGGGAAAGAATTCTCAACGATAGCAACGGAGAAAGAAAGATGGTATGGTATACAGTATAAACAAGAATATTTATCCGAGGAGTTCATTCAAGTAATACAGTAGAACATATCTAAATGAATCAGAGAACGGATTTTTGGTAGAAATGTGAAACGTGTGAAAGTATCGATGCTTTTCATCTGCCGTCATCGAACGACTTCATACCGACTGACTTTCAGCTACATCATAACCAGTACGAATGTGCAATTGAGCCGGTTAACAAAATAACACGTCCGCAGTTGCCAACAAAGATAAAAGTAGGAGAGTTTATATGTATTCTCACAATCTACCATGTCGAGTATTTGTTTTGATCAGGAGGATGAATACTGTCGACTTTTTCACGCTGATGATGGGTACTATAAATTACCGAGAGCATGCATGTACTTTGATCTATCCAAGTAAATCAGTTCGACTTGCTATAAACGATATAATTTTGTTTGTTGAAGTTCTTCAGTGAATAGCGATCCAGCGCATGAGAATATGAATTCACTCTATGTAGAATTGGTGATAGAATCACTTTCCGAACTGACTTACCCGGCAAAAGTCACTGGTCTTTTTTACGCACTTTCCGCTTCGGATCACGGCATTGAAGTATATTCTCTGTTTTCTCACGATATTCATTCAAAAGTCTTTGTTGTACTACCATAGATGTGTATTGGTGGATATAATGACAAGATTTGTGTATTACTGGAGACGATCGTTGATTGTATGATTAATCTGAAAGTAGATGATCAACGGTTGAAAATTCTTCGAGAACGCGTAAGTATATTGTTTGTTTCTTGTTCAAACACAGCTCCTCTAAATGATAGAGAAAAGAGAACTTGAGAAATTTCCGTGCTGCACAACCTCATAAAATGGCCAAAGAGGAAATTGATTATTTAACAGCACAACATCAGTGGAGCAATAACGAATTATTGAATAACATCGATGGTAAATCTATGCTAATGAAATGGGACTTTATCCAACTTTCGACTCCTAGACATCATGGCACACGACATTGAAATGTTCATGCAACGATTATTCACTAGTTTTTACGTTGACTCACTTATGTACGGCAACCTTACCAAAGATGTAAGTAACGTCTTCAGTCTGTTACATTATCAACAATGCTTATCTTGTTCAGCAAGCAATTCGATATATGACAATCTTTCAAGAAAAATTCCGAGAAAAGCGTCTCTTTCGGCCACTTTCACCCAGTCTATGGCTCAAACCAAGACATCTCATATTACCACAAGGTCAGTTTCCTTAATATCTATTCATACTAACTTTTGTTCTTCAAGGCAGTAATTTTGCGTATAAAACGGACAATGACGGCTATCAAATGAATGCTGTTGTGTTCTATCTACAATGTTTTCAGCAAAGTTTAGAAAATAATGCATTGATCAATCTTTTTGCTCATATTGCCCATGAGCCATGCTACAATCAACTACGTACGAAAGAACAATTGGGTTATATTGTCAGTTCCGGTGTGTACCGCATACGTGGTGTAAGAGGTTTTCAAATAACTGTTCAGTCAAACAAGGGTTTCGAGTATCTCAATCAACGAATCGAATTGTTTCTCGACTCAATGCGAGTATGTAAATCAGAAACGAAAAAATGTTGATTGGTATCGTATTTCGAACTTAGGAATACATTGAAAGAATGTCTGATGAAGAATTTCTGAAACAACGTGAGGGCTATATCGTAAGTTCCCTCGAAATACCTAAAAGCATGGAATCTCAAGCAGACACGTATTGGAGTGAAATCCTCTGTCACCAGTTTTGTTTCGATAAAAGTAAAATGTTTAGGAAATCATGAAAAAAAAGTTGTCATTGATTTTCTTGTCTATTCTCAGTACAACTTCAGAGTGAATTTGTCAAAAGACTCGAACGAAAAGATATGCTTGAGTTCTATGATCGTTATATTTCACTACGATCTCCGTACCGTCAAAAACTGATGGTTTTTGTTCAACCATCACCATTGGCATTGGCATCGACAAAAAGCGACACGTCTCCTCAATCGTCAATCAGCGAGGTGATCAACCATCCAACAGAACAAATAACAAATGTGAACGTAAGTGACTCTACGATAGTCGAGACGGAAGCATCAATCACCGTCACAAGCGACAAAGAGAAAGAGTTACAATTACCACAGGTAAAGAAAGCGTCTTCCAAATATTGCTAGAATTCTTTGAAAACGTTCTCACTAGATTCAATGGATAGAAAATGTTCATGTCTGGAAAAGTCAAATGGCTTGCTATCCACTTGCTCAACCGTATGGAGATATCAATATATCTACTCTTAACAGATGATAATCACTTTATTTCTTTTAAATAAAATTTAAAATTATTCCGGAGTTGACTGCTCTTTTTTTTACATCTCATTCTGATGAAAAACAGTTTCTATGTCGCGAAGAGAAATAAAAAAAATAACATGTGCGCATTTCAACACGTCATGCATACGTCGTCAAGAAAGGACACATTTTCAGAAGATCAAAATGGCTTCTAGTACAACATCAGTTTCATCCCGATTAAACATTCAATGGTTTTGGAAAACAACAGGCAATCCGTACAAGAATTCCGACTCAGATGATTGGCGTGCATATTCCGATATTGAAACACGAATGATAGAAGAGGCGTATGCACGACGAGAACCAGAAGCACTGCTCGATGATTATCATATTAATTTCAAACACCTCGTCCAAATATCGAATGATGATATGAAAAGTCAACGACCAGTCAAACGCGTTGTTAACGAATGTGAACAGACAAGTTTGAGAGATCAACGATTCATGCCAAATCCGATCTCGCCTTCGACACCATTCTCTGACGTTCGTTGTGGAAATTTCGTTCGAGCAGTTCGACAGCATTTCAATTTCGATCAATTGAGATTGAATGATGACGCCGAACGACGATTCCTAGTGCAAAAAGCTGCTGAAGGCTTCATTATCGAAGGAAAAAAAGTTAGTAAACAAAAAGAAGCTCAATGGATGGCACAACATTTACTTAACGTTATCAATGGCAGTCGAGAAGAGGTGTGGGAATGTTGTGTTCGGCTCTATTGTTTAGAATCATTTATCTACGTGAAAATGAATGAATGGATGCGTCTCATTGATGAAGAAGAGCAAGAACAACTTTGGAAAAGTAAAATATCTACATTTGGTCCATTTGCTTGTCTGCTATTCGTGCCTAGTGGCGGCGATAAGTACAAAAAGCTTTACGTTTATCGCGGAGCAAACTTATCGGAAAAATTGATCGAGCACTATCGTCAGAAAAGTTTAGACAAAGACGAACGATTTATATTTCCAGCATTCACATCGACTAGTCGAAATCGAAGAAAAGCCGAACAATTTGGAAATGTACTGTTCATTATTGAAATCAGCGAATACGACGGATATGACGTGGCTGCGTATTCCAATTACGACGAAGAAGAACAGTTAATCAAACCAGCATTTTCTTTCTATATCCGTTCGTGTGAGTTCGATCACAAAACGAACAAGTGGATCATTCTACTAAAATCTCACCTGTCCTTATAAACGGCGAGAAGAAGAGAACATATAGACTCCTATTTGAATAACGTCACCGGTGTGTACATGATGCAATGTCTGCAATACGTTGCATGTGTTATCACGAGGACAGAACACTGTGTTTTTGAGCGAAAATGAGATTTCTTGCGTGTACATTTCGACAGCATGGCCGAGCGGTCTATGGCGGCAGTTTCAAGCACTGTTCTATCATGGGTTCGAATCCCATTGTTGTCAATGATCTTTTTTTTTATTCACAACCATCGGTATACAAAGGAAACCAAATATACTCTCTTGCGTATAGTGAATACTTTCAATAGGCACAGTACTGAATACTGAGATCGATGCCTTTCGCATGATTTGCCATCAATCTGATTAACTTCATTGAGCATATGAAAGAAATAATCTACAAGAAAGCATAACAACTACAACAGAAGGATGCATATGAGTGCTCACCGTCAGTATAGTGTATAGAAATGCATCACCGATAATAGAGACGTGCTGCGAAAGGAGACGACTTAAATTTGAAATAGACTCCGATTGAGTGACGAGTACTGTAATGCGTAGAAATATACAGATTAAATGAATTATGGTAATCAGTCTACACTATAAAGTGAAAAATATTGATCGATCGATAAGTATTGTGTATGTCATATGTCAACATACTGTTATAATTCCAACACGGTTGTATTTGATGACAAAGAGTAGATAAATCAGTAAATGGAATAGACTTAAACAAACTAACAGAAACAGACGCGACGTATTTTCAATAATCCATGAAGTAAAAAACAAACCTGCAGCTGTACTCCAAGATAATACATTGTACTCATATATTTTATCCTTCTTATGAAAAACATCAGCACCGAAGTAAAGTATAAGCAGAATCTAAATTCCTATGAATGCACATACACTATTTGATCATCGTTAAAATACATACGATTTTCATAATGATCAACATCAACAGATTATATCTTGTTTTGTATAATGCAACATCTAATTTATATTTCGTTTTCAATGGTATGTGTACGATGGTAAAATAGTCGACCGGTGGGTTTGTTATTGAAACATATGGGCCATTGCTCCTTCCGTTTGTCGATTGACATTCCGTATACATTTGTATATTGAAGATTAAACAAGTATACATTAACACGGGTCATATTTATACAAACGAGGAAAGGTTAAAAGGAAACATTTCGAGTGCAAAATATCGTTTACGTCATGGCATTTATTATTCCGTTTCTCCCAGTTCCCTATTTCAAAGAGTCTGGGAAAGTTTAATTTGTTTTTATTTTATTATCGTAAAAGAAAATGCTTTAAAAAGATTTCGTTTTGTCGTTGATGATTTTTTCGCTTAGTTCCCATAATTCTTGCGCCTTTCTCGAATTAGAAGCGAGAGGACTTGCCGGAGTTATTCGACAGTCTGAGTGATATTTTCCAGGCTGAGCTTCGTCAGATAAAGCACAAAATAGAGTTGTCATTGCTCCCTGAGGCATACTTTTCGACAAAATCTGGAAAGGTGAAGTAAGAACCGTTTCAAGAGGACCTTTACCACCGCCTAGTTCCGTTGATGCAATCGTTCCTGGATGGAGTGCATAAGCTCGAACACCTTGATCACCATAGCGCCTCTGTAACTCAGTAGCATGAAAAATATTCGCCAGTTTCGAGTCGGCGTAGGCAATTATGGTATTGTATGATCTGTTTTGGATAAAGTCTGTGTCTTCCTTGGAGAAGATATGCATGACACTACTGACATTCACAATACGTCCATGGGATTTGATTAATAATGGAAGTAGAAGATGAGTTAGATAAAAATGACCAACTAAACAAGTACAAGAATTGAAAAGCATATATAAATCGATTAACTTACTGTGATTTGTTCCAAAAGTCGCTTCTAGGCCGTCTTTCGTATATTCTTTCTGTCTTTTCACAACACCGGCATTATTAATCAAAATATCGACTTTGTCAATTTTTTGAGCGAAGTCTTTTACACTCGATAAATCGCTCAAATCTAAATGATAGCCAATTACATTACCATTGCATTGTTTACTTAATTCTTGTGCGATACGCTCAGCTCGTGCTTGATTACGTATGCCGATAATGACGCGTGCACGAAGTTTGGCTAATTCAAGTGCAGTGGCTCGACCAATTCCAGTCGCAGCACCAGTGACAATAACAGTTTGATTGTTCAAATTCGTCGTTGGTACATAAGAACGACCGGATCTCAAATGTTGATTTACCCTTTGGAAAATGATGATTTGAACAATCAAATAAATTATTATATAAGGCCATGAAATAACAAAAAACATCATATACATGAATAGTAGAACATTACCAAGAAGAAACATCGCTGATCGACTTTCCGGTTCTATCAGAAGTATTTTAATTGGAAAAGCCATTTGTATCTTTGCAATAAAAGAAAATTCGCAGTATGATGTTTTAGGACTTCATCTTCTTTTGCATTAATTGGTAGCTAGTACACTCCATCCTCTTCGTCGATGAGAACATACATGTCCTGTAGAGGACACTAGTAAAAATCATGGTAAGGTGTGATGATCGAAATGTACGATTATAGGTACGTACATATCATATTCTATGATATTTTCAAATCAACATTATAATTAGGCATTTTCGATTTCCGACATCGGAAGTAGATGATGGTATATAAGAGGCACAATACCATTACTGATGTACGCTTTCCAGTGGTGCAGTACACATTTAAAAATGTCGACGAAAATTCGGATCATTGCTGTAACTATCAGTTTGATTATCTTTCTCAATCAACCAGCGTACGTTCAAGCCGGTCAGCTTTCCGACGATGTTGCAGCAGCATGCAAAACGTTAAAACAGACAATAGGTTACGGTTGTGATGGACCACTAGAGCGTTTCGCGTGGAGAGCCTATTTGCGACTGAGATATGATGTTACAGATTGTAATAGTTTCTGTCGAAATTATAGAAAGAAACGTAGTGGTCGATGTGCGAAAGTACAAAATTACGATAATAGTTCCTGGTGTGCACAAGGACAGACTTGCACCTGCTCGTGAACTTGACGCAACTTGAAGGACAAATACATAAACTGACTAGCGTGATATAGTTTATTCCCTCATTTCAAAGAAATAATAAAAGATTCTTTTTTTCTATTTTTCAACTGAATGTATCCAGACGCGCTATTTATCTTCTCTGAAAGAGTCATTAACCTTCGCGGAGTTGCATAGGTTGTATCATGTCACAACAAAACATCGATAAACTTTGTTATGCCCTTATGTTTCTATTGATGATATATAAGCCGCTGAGAATTATAGTAGAATTTCATCCTATTTCGAAATATTCCATACAAGATGCCTACAGTCGTGTCACAAAAACGGAGGGGGGGGGGTGACAAGAACATTAGGTGACCACAGTGTATGCGGTACTTTAAATGACTGTAATGTATTCTCTTCTTTTGGTTGTGCAAAACGACAGGCAGCAAGAGCATTTATGGTGATATCTTTGATATTCTCAACGCGGGGTTGTTTGTATTTATTAATAGTGATAGTAGCTCACTTCAAGTGTCCAAGTTCCAGTATGTTATTGACAATGGTGACTATTGCCATTGCTCATTTTGTTAGTTTTCTGTCGGGTATATTTGGCTTCCCACTCGTTTTGAGCTTTGCCCTGTATGATAAAGGCAGTTCAGTGGGTTTAAGTGACGTTTTAGCCATTATTGCAATCTTTGTGAAGATGTTTAGCACTGTATATCATGTTATGGAGCAGAAAAATCGGAAGGCAATGCTGCTACAATGGGACCCATCTGCGGAAAATGTAGAAGCAAGGAATCCATCAAGACAGCCATGAATGTGTGCTGCTCAATATCACAGAAATGAAGACTCAGTGAACACATTTTGATGACGAATTTAATCTTTTTTTTGTTTCTTCTATAATAAATGGCTATATAACTACACTTTGTAGATGGACGGTTTTATTTCACTGATTTCTCTCTGTTCGATATGAATGTTGAAAAAGAAGTCATACTTCGATTCTTTTGTCATTGGGTGTGCAGGCATTCAGAATATAAATGTATATCGAAGAGGAACAGGTTACATTCGCTTTTCCCTGATTTGATTTCGATCATGTCAACCTCGAAATATATTAATTTAGGTCAATCGAAGAAAACGAGAATTTACATTTCAGATGATCCTTCTAATCACTATTCTCTATACTTTACAAAGATTCGTCCAAGGTTCCATTCTGTCCATTTCATTGTATTTAGCATCGTATAATGCATCGTGGAAGGAGCAAGGTATATTCAGCTGTGTTACTTATCCATTCAGTTTCAAGATTCTTTGGTCATCTCTGACTGCTTCGGTGTAAAGTCGCCGAACTGGCGATCGACAACAAACATGGCTAGCTCCTGCACAAGTTCTCATTGGCATAATTCTCATTATACTTTCATTCTATATTGAATCCATACTGGCAATTATGTTTTTCATTTTGTATGCTCTCGCTGCAATACAAGAAATTGTGATTGATGCTTTTAGTTACAAGCTCTAGTCCACAATGGTCATCTACTTGTCGATCTACTGGCGAAATGATCGGAAGATGTTTCGGCACCACTATCACTACGTACTTCTTTGATGATTTGTTGGCAAACCCGCTCGAAGGATGCAGTCGATATTGCAGAAACGAAATTGAAAAATGTGTGTATCAATTCGCCTTGGTTCTGCCGACATTCAGTGTTGGTTTCTCTGCTACTTATTACTTAACAAATCTACCATTAATGGAGTAATCTCACTATCTTCTGGTTTTCTTTTCAAGTTCATTTCTATATCTCATTAGTTCTGGAATAAAACGTGACACAATCGCATTAATGAACCTTCTATTATGTATGAGCAGAATACGACATCCTCTTATATAGTTTGCTCGGCAATACATTCCACATTTGTTTGGTGGAATTCTCTTAGCTGTCTTTGTCTATTTTACTCCTCAGCTTCTTCACCAATCGTATTGTTATCCACTTTTTCTCCTTTCTCTGTGCCTAAATGAGACACTTTTTTTACATCATAACGGTTTCACGTATTGCTGGCATCTACGCACGTGCTAGCGACGATTTCTAATCTGTGGCAAAGTATCTCCTCAACATCGGTTTTGTACATTGCCAATTGGTCTAGTACGGAAATTGATGACACGGCTGGTTACACTGCCTCTGCACGAATAGCATTTGAAACTATCAGCAATGAGGTCTCAAGCAAATATGATCGAAAATGACGCATATACTTTTTAATTCTCATCGGCAGAATATCAATTTCAGAAAAACTGTGGGTGGTTATTACAAAGAGTAAATGAAACTACTCTATTTGTTTTGTTTCGTTTCGTTACACTGATAAGAAGTAGAGACTGTGGCAAAGTATTTAAGTAGTATTGCACAACAGCTGTGACATTACATACTAATGTCTCTTAACGGAAAGGACACGAAGAAGCTAAAAACTCAACCGGATAAGCCGCCGTCGGTTCGTGTTCAATTGAACGCATTGAAATTACCAACGTTGAAAAACATTCTCCGGTTTAATCATCAAAATCCATTTGGAAACAAAGCAAAACTTGTTGTTCGAATTCTCTATCTGTTAAAGCATGGTGGATACCCACGTTGTCCGAAATGTAAATACGGTCGACTGAAGCGACGACTGCATCGTCGGAAAGATCAATCAAAGTTTTACTGTCCTGGTTATCCCAGTGGTTTTCGAGAAGGGGATTCGTTTATTCATTGTAACTATACTACAGAAACTTGTGAAAAAGAATCTTTCGTTTTTGATCATAGCCTTAATATCATTGTATAATATCACTATTTTCTATCAATAAAACGAAAACATGTCCGATTTTCTTTCTGTTCTATCACGCATAGAGGATATACGGCGAACATCGGAAAATGATTCAACCAGCGTTCCATTCTGACGTTGAGATATTGTCGACAAATATTGTCAAGAAACGTTGGACTTCGTCGATCAAATGATTGCGAACCGACGCAATCATCAGCTGAATGAAGTGATCGTATACGAAGCTGTTCTACAAGAAACACTTTGACAAGCCAAAGTTTCCGCATCCTTTTTCTTTATCTGCCATTTGCAGCTGAACTGCGAAATTGTAATGATCAAAATTTTCCATTATTAGAAGCCAAAATTATGTTAGCTGTACTTGTTCAACGCTGCAATTTTGAATTAAAGGCAAGCCAGAAAATTGTACGTGAAGTTCGTATCAACATGAAACGAAAATATGGATTACGAGCAAAAATCTCTAGACAATTCCATATTTAGCTTTATACAATCATATTGACCGATAAGCAAGCGTGTCAAACATTGATATTTCATATGTTTAAAAACCATTCGGGAAAGTTGCTTTTTTTTAGTTTGAATGCTAAAATGTCCTCATTTCTAATAAATGACATTGTAATGACAAAGTTGACACGTTCTTATCATTTGGGAAGACTTATTCTTTTCGCAAGATGTACAAAATCTGGTTGCTTCTTTTGATCTTATACATATATTTATCTGGTCATGTAACTGCTTGGAAGAAAGGTGCACACGTGGGTAAAACACTTTTTTATAGTGCTAGACATCTGAGTGGACTTGTCCTGGATGACAATGAAGAATATTTCTATTTGGCTCAACCGTCAGGCAATCGAATTATCCGGTATACTAAAGTTGGACAACGAAATCATGTCGTCACCGGACAGCATGAAACCGGATCTAATCTTTATCAATTGGTAACACGGACGTATACACGTAGATATTTCACTCAACAGCCTAAGATGATCCTTTCAGCATAATACACTGCTATTGATCGAAATCGTATACTTTATATTGCTGATACTGGAAATAATCGTGTTCTGAAATAGATTCTTGATGCGCCAGAAGAAACACTCTTAGTTGGTGGTGTAACGATCATTGTAGGAGCAAATGGAGAAGAAAATACAAACAATGAATTATCACGTCCTAATGGTGTAACATTTGATAGCCAAGGAAATCTCTATGTATCCAATTATCAAAATAATCAAGTTCAAAGATTCGCTATTGAAACTACCTCGAGTAATTCTATTCAACCAATATTCATATTGTTCTGCTCGTTACTTCTAATTAATATAAGCCAAACGCATGCTTGAAAATAAAAGTTCCAAAAACGAAGCGAGCATACGTGCTTGCTAATCTATTGAATGCTCATCTATAGAAAATAAGTTGATTGAGCACGCACAAGTTCATGAGGAGATACATCCGTTCTATTCGCAAGGAACTTTCTACTTTGCGTGCAATCTACTCATACGTGATCTACTTGCTTCACGTTTTGCAAATGAAACAATACTCGCGCAGTCATTAATCAAGAGTATATAAAGAGAAGCTAAGAATCAATTGTAACACTCTTTTCATTAGTACAAGGAATATGTCATCCTCATCGTACCCAGCGCTTGCGTATATTCAGCAAGTAGTGACATATTATGGTTACCCGCTGATCATTATAGTGGGATGCTTGGGCAACTTTCTCAACATTTTTCTCTTGAGCAAAAAAGCACTTCGTACGATTTCGTGTAATAATTGTAAGTTATTATGAAACAATATTCGTTCGATGGTACCACTTAAGAAAATTTAGATTTCTTAGCCTCATCATTCACTAATCTGCTGATTTTGACTGTCGGCCTTGCGACAACGGTTTATGTATATGATCGACCGTGGGCAGTTTCGCAAATATTCTGTCAAAGTCGAAATTATTTAGTGAATGCATGTCAACAAATTTCTCGTTTCATGATTATTGCCGCATGTTTTGATCGATTTGCGTTATGTTCAACAAATTTCCATCTTCGTCAGTTTTGTCGTACTAGTATTGCTCGATATTATGTTATACCTTCGGTTATTATTGTTTGGCTTATTTTTCCCATTTACACATTAATTTCCATCACTGTTGTTAACAATTCGTGTATATATTTAGGCACTGTTGCACTCTACAATAGTATCTACGGTATCACAATGGTTGGTTTTGCTCCGCCTACTTTGATGGCCACATTTTCTTTGCTAACATTTTATAATTTAAAAGTCAAACAGCAACGTCGACAACAAGTTCGTCAACCAGTTGTCGGCAACGGCCAAGGAACTGCGACCGAAAATCGTAAACAGCAGAAGAAAGATCAACAAGTTTTAGCGATGTTAATGATACAAGTCGTTTTCTACATCAGCACGACAACTATTGCCAGTGCTAATTTACTCTATTCAACGTTAACAACTTATTCTGGCGTAGATAAGTCAAATGAACGTAAATCGATTGAATCTTTTATTTTGTTCATAACTGGTACTATGAATTATACATGTCCGTGTTTGTCATTTTATCTATTTTATTTTGCTTCGCGTCTTTATCGTAGACAAATGAAATTAGCTCTGTTAACCATTCGCAGACACTACTGTTGTTGTAGATTTGAGAGAAACCAGCAGCGTGTGTCAATGCGCCCAATGACTGCGAGAGTAGGACCTATTGATCTGCTTCATACGAACGAACAGTAACACGATCATTGTCTTGCTTTTCATTCTCATAAGCTAATAAAATTATATTAGAAATCATTAATTGATGCACGATTTTTACCCCGACCTCAAACCCGAAATGTTCAATGCATAGACTCAATCGTCTCAGACAACCTCAGTACAAGTACAAGAAGTGAAGAACAAGCGATAAAGTAATATTCTTGGCACAGTTTCCATTGCCATTCTAACCTATTTCATCATGTGATGGTTACCTTCGCATTTTCTCAGATAATGGATAGTGATACAGGAGAATGACTCGCCGACTGCGTACATCAAAGATACCTGAGTCTACGTCAGTATGCACTATTTCTTCAACTAATGGTCACTATTCTGATTTACGACCACTTCAAATAATTGATACCCGACACAGTACCCATTCCTAAACAAATACGAAAAAAAAGCCGGAGCAGCCATGATCCACCGAAGCGATTTATTTCTTTGAAAGCAAACAAGTAAAAGAATAGCAAAGCAAATCAAGATAATAGCATAAGCACTCATTCTAACCGGTCAAACTAAATATCGCACCCTATTTCTTCATTTACCCACTCGACTAAATATCACTCTATTAAGGCAAAATATTCCGTAAAATGTCCATAGACAGCTTGCCTTCAAAACCCTATCCACCATACTCCCGTCATATCTACTGACTGTGTACTTTCCAAGCGATTGCTAAATATTGTTCTATTACACACAGTAAATGTCTAAGAGTTCGATTAACTGCCAGATGTTGAGCTCCACCTTCTCGTAGTTGTGGAACAGATGATGGTAGTACTTGTCAATATGGTTGAAGTCCAGCTCGTGCTGACAGTCAATGTTCTTGTTCAAATCCCACTTAAAGAGCTAGTAGATGTTGCTGAAGTGAATGATGTGCTTCAAGTGGTGCTTGTAGACGTAGTGGTTGTGGTAGCAGTGGTGGATGTTGTTGAACTGGTGCTTGTAGAGGTAGTGGATGTTGTTGAGCTACTGCTTGTCGAAGTGGTGGATGTTGTAGCAGTGGTGGATGTTGTAGCAGTGGTGGATGTTGCCGAGCTGCTGCTTGTCGATGTAGTGGATGTTGTTGAACTGGTGCTCGTAGAGGTAGTGGATGTTGTTGAGCTGCTGCTTGTCGAGGTAGTGGATGTTGTTGAACTGGTGCTTGTCGAAGTGGTGGATGTTGTAGCAGTGGTGGATGTTGTTGAACTGGTGCTCGTAGAGGTAGTGGATGTTGTTGAGCTAGAGCTTGTCGAAGTGGTGGATGTTGTCGAGCTGCTGCTTGTCGAGGTAGTGGATGTTGTTGAGCTCGTGCTTGTAGAGGTAGTGGATGTTGTTGAGCTGCTGCTTGTCGAAGTGGTGGATGTTGTAGCAGTGGTGGATGTTGTTGAACTGGTGCTCGTAGAGGTAGTGGATGTTGTTGAGCTGCTGCTTGTCGAAGTGGTGGATGTTGTAGCAGTGGTGGATGTTGTTGAACTGGTGCTCGTAGAGGTAGTGGATGTTGTTGAGCTGCTGCTTGTCGAAGTGGTGGATGTTGTAGCAGTGGTGGATGTTGTAGCAGTGGTGGATGTTGTTGAACTGGTGCTTGTCGAGGTAGTGGATGTTGTTGAACTGGTGGTTGTCGAAGTGGTGGACGTTGTAGCAGTGGTGGATGTTGTTGAACTGGTGCTTGTCGAGGTAGTGGATGTTGTTGAGCTAGAGCTTGTAGACGTAGTGGATGTTGTTGAACTGGTGCTCGTAGAGGTAGTGGATGTTGTTGAGCTGCTGCTTGTCGAAGTGGTGGATGTTGTAGCAGTGGTGGATGTTGTTGAGCTAGAGCTTGTAGACGTAGTGGATGTTGTTGAACTGGTGGTTGTCGAGGTAGTGGATGTTGTTGAACTGGTGCTTGTCGAAGTGGTGGATGTTGTCGCGGTATCTGAATAGAAAAAAGTGCAATGGTATGCGAAAAATTAGGAAATTATTCACACTTATTGGATAGGGATATGCGTCATATAGTATGTGATATTTCATGATCTTGGTGCGAGCAGAGGAAGGTGAATATGAGCTGGGTGTCGTTTTTTCAAATCTATGGTAGAGTATTAAGGTTTACCGGAAATGCTCGGGGTCTTTCATGATGTATACGACCGGTCTGATAACATTCATGCGTGGTAGAAGGAAGATTTGATGACTCTGAGAGTGTTCAGTGGAGTTTGTGTGACCTGATACGAAGAGACAGGATAGGTGAGAAGCCAGGAGACTGAATGTATTTAGTGGAGACAATATGAAGATGAATTCACATTGTGAGATATTTTGAATCGCATTAGATTTCGAAAGTGGTTGAGAGATGTACTCACTTGCTGATGCTTGGTTGTAAATTACAATGGTGATAGTATGAGAGTCGGCAGGGACTAGCAGATTGTCTATAGGAGTCGATATATTGGTAAAAAGATCGCAACTCAAAGTTGATTGACGAAACACAGCTACTTGACATGGTGATTGAAGTAGACATTTCATTTGACATATTCGAAAATTGAATGCCGATAATGTAGTATATGGTAGACGGGTTGTATTTTGCGATAATAATTGCCACCCAATTCTAATTGATATACTGCTTGCTCGAATATCTGATGTAGTAGGATTGAGAAAAAATATCGCAAGAAAAATAATGTGAAAACCTTTTTGATTCATTATCAAAAGAAATATCCCTGATAAAGAAGAAGAAGAAATGAGCAACTCACGAACATCTTACTTGCTTTTATATGATACAGGCAAACGTACCGTGAGTTTTAGAGGAATTCATCTAATGATATTAGTCGGTGGCCTTCAAATTCTTTACTACAAATATTTTTCTGAAAGTAGTAGATGCAGTGGGAAACTTCACCTTGAGGGTTTTGTCGGCCTTCAAACGTTTTCCACTGCCGTCGTTCTCAGACCGTTGCATCACTACACACAAGTAATTACAATCAAACACATAAGTATATAGAAAATGAGAAAAGAAACTCAAGATTGACAACTGTTAAAAAGAACACTAATAGTTGCATTGATGTTGTTCGTAACGACAAGATCTGTACGGGCATCATTGTTAAAATCGCCCGCAATTAGTCCATATGGGAAAGATGACTCCGTGGAGATTATCTTTTCGGCTGAAAAACTTCCCGATCCTAAATTCAGAAACACACTTATGTAAGCACTGTCGGTATTTGTAACTGCAAGATCTGTTCGATTATCACTGTCAAGATCACTCGCAATAATTGACCATGGTGATGCACTCATCAATAAATTCGTGGTCATAGTAAAATTGCCGGTACCATCACCAGAGAGGATGCTAATCGTCTTACTACCAAAATTGACAACGGCAAGGTCAAGTCGATTGTCCTGAGTAAAATCAGCTACAGCAATGGAAACTGGAATCATTCCAACAGATACTGTTGTTTGATTCGTAAAATTACCATCACCTTGCCCAAGAAAAATGCTTATTGTATTGCTACCTATATTGGTAACAACAATGTCGATTAGATTATCATGATTAAAATCGCCTAAGCCGATGGCATGTGGTACAGCATCAGTGGGCAGTATTCGTAGCGAAGAGGAATTTGTAGTACCATTTGCAAGATAGACACCAATTGCGTTATTGCCTTGAATAACGACGGCAATATCGGATAGGCCATCTTGATTGAAATCACCCACAGCAATGTCACTAAGAAGATAACCGACGACGAATGTTGTTAGCAACGCGAAATTGCCATTTCCATCACCCAATAATAAACTTATGCTATTATTTCCAAGATTTGTAATAATGAGATCTAAATGATTATCATTATTAAAATCACCAACAGCGATTCTTTCTGGATTAGATTCAGTTGGAATTGTTCTTTGAATAGTAAACGTTCCGTTGCCATTGTTACGATACAAACGAATTGTATCATCATCTTTATTGGTAATAACAAGATCTACTTGGCTATCACTATTAAAATCGCCTTTGACTGCGTACTGCGGACTATTACCAGCAGCATACGTTAGAATTGGAGTAAATTGTAATTGACATGGTACTGAATCAAAAGAGAATAGAATGAAAAAGATGAAATAGCGAATTTACTTATTTTCGGACATAGTGTGGTCCATATTAATGGTAAACAGATCGCTTTTGGTGAGCAACACGAGTTGAGAATACAAACGGATGTATTTGATGAACATCGATATGATGAAGTATTACAAACTTCGAGAATTTCGCATAAACTACCAGGTGCACAATACGTTTGATTATCTGCCGAACGATAGATATAGCAAAGTGTTGGGGATGGACGACAGGAATCGGATTGATTCGAGCATTGGGATAGAAAACAGTTTGTTGATGGATTGTGTGCCGAATGTACAGAACTCGATAGACCAAATCCAATGTTGTAATCACCCCGTTGACAAGTGTTATTGGATATCTGACCTAGAGAATCAATGGAGACAAGATTTCATCGAGGAATAAAACGAGATCTACTTAGGGTCAATTGCCAATAACATAGCACGTAGAATAATAAATGTAAAACCAAGAATCTATTCTGAATCATATTCATGTTCGATACACGATCTAAAACAAACTTAACGTTCTCCATTGAGTGATTCCTAGATTATGATATTTATTCCATACAAAAATTCTATATGTACATAATGTCGTAGAAATCATGAGCGCAGTTTGTCATTTCAAGGCTAATCAAGCCTAGCAATTATAATATGACGAGTAGAAAGAGAAAAAAAGAGCTTTTTCACTTCCTCGAAAGTTATACAAGAAAGAAAAAGATTGATTGAAAATGAGTAATACCAATGGGATCCAGCAGGTTGGATAAAACATATGCAACGGCCAAATTCTTTTACTATATTAATACATTGAATGAATGATGAGTATAACGGACAGTATGACTTCATCTTCGACATGAATGGAATCAATTTTCAAGATTATACTTCGTTTTTGTGTCAATATTGCTTATCAGGATGCATTCCTGTGCATGTGGCTTATATAGGAAAAGAACTATCAATACTTTGACTTGCATCGATATTGAACTCGAATACATTCTCCTTTAGACAAACTGATTGTAGTATATCAATTGTTGTTTAATATCTTTCATGCTAATCGTCAATGACGTGCATTTGTCTTTGACAAAGCGAAAATATTCTACGGCACTGTTACATTCACACGAATTCATCATTAAAGGAATTTGGACATAAATATCTCTTCTTCAGCTGTATGATATAATATTTTCATTACTCATTTTATCTTGCTGTTCATTTTGAAAAATCTGAGTAATACGCGTTGCCAATATCAACAACAGGGAGAAAAAAGAATGATTGCATCGCAGACAGACAAGCCATGAAAAATGCGACGTTTCTGAGCATAAAAATATGCGGTTTTTTTAATACTTGAAGAATATATTCTTTCTAAAATAGAATTGTTGGAAACATATTTGATTGCTATCAAATAGACTTTTCCTATAAAAGAAACTTTTGTTTTCAAGCGTAAAAAGCACACTCTTATACGCACAGAAACGCCGTATTTTGGTCGAGCAGAAAAATCTGATTGGCGGGAAAAACGAACGAGCTTTTTCTAAGTAGAAAAGAACTCAGTGGGAAAAAAACCCACTTTTTTCACTGTCTAACAAAATGGAACATCAGTTAGACCATTCGAACGAATGGATGCTTCACTTATAATTACTCCTAATGTAGATTCATTTCCCAACTATTCGCAGTAGCTTCCATGAAGACAGCCTTACATAATAGTTGAGTCTCTCAACAAATTCAATAATCTATCACATATTGCAGTTGTATCAGTTATAATATATTATCTGAATGAATATCTCGTGTTTTTCTTTCTGTGTCTTTTCTAGTCTAAAATCAAACATGTATAGTCTGCTTCGTGACGATCAGTTATTTGAACGGTGTGATCCACATATCCCATTTGACGCAAATGATATGGTCAACGGTTACGCACCTGAATTTCGTGGTTCATTTAATCTCAACTGGGAACATCCATATAATCCTACAGATGTTGCAGCTTACGCACAGGCTGTTACTGTCCCGGCTAAAATCTGCAAATATAAGAAACCGATGGCTGATGCTGTATTTCCACAAGTTCCAGCGATAAATATTGAGGAACCTGAGTTTGTTTCTATACTGCCGTTACTGATTGCTGCTAGGCATCATAACGTTGATATTCACCAATACCATATTGTAAGTGAAAGGAATTCATTCCGAAAAATTGCAATGAACAATGAAGACTATGTCATAAGTGTGCAGAAATTTCGCGAAACATTATTTCTCAGACGTCATGATGAACGAAACAACAATAGATCTAGTATCGGCCATCGATTCGAGAGACTATGCACACCTACTTATGACATGAATGCTTCTTACTATCAATTAGTAGAAGGGACAATAGGCAATTTAAGAACATTAATATCTGCTGAAACTGATGCAGTATTTGACCATGAAGATCCTGTTGAACTCAAATGTAGCTACAGTAATCATCTGGCCGATGATAGGCGATCTGACGTTTGGTTGCAGGCATTTCTTAGTAAGTTAAAGCTTTTAATCTGCAAGAAGTTATGTATGATTTCGATTTAATGAACTCAGTAGTACTGACTAACATGAAGAGAAAGATTAAAACCATATGTCGATGAAATTTAAGTATTATTTGCATTTATGTTGAAGTGAAGCATTCAACAAGAATTGTTATTCTAAATTATTTATTAACATTGTCGTTGTTTATTTTCAGGCGGGGTTAAAAGGATCATATTTGGCCAATATTCAGAAACCGTGTATGCAACAAGGCTTAAAGGCGAAATTCAGAATATCTCTGTGGAAACATTGATTGAAGAGATTGTTAAGGACACATTAATATCGACACTGCACCGGGTCCTTCAGTTTCTTTCAGAACGTGTTAATGAGAATCAAGTTTATCTATTATCACGTCGTTTTGATCACCGGGCAGGAAGACATGGCTTGTATTTGTACACAGTTGGTGAACAAGACCGAATACGGCTGACATTTATTCGCAGAGAGACGTTTGATGAAGTGAACAACACTAATCCAGTCATTACACAACAAATGTCTATAACTTCCGAAGATCCACAAGCTGCGAATTAAGAAGAAGACTATGAAGATTCCAGCAGTAACGAAAGCACGTCAGACGTTAACTCTGAATTGAAGGGAAAATCTATCGAGGAGAAGCTTCTCCTCAAGAAGAAGCGTACAAAAAAGCGAAAGCTCTACAGTATGCAGTTACGATCGTCGGAAAAATTACAGAAAACTGGCTAAGAACAAAGACAATGACTCTTACAAACTTGACGATACTATTCGCCTCATCATTCTCATCCCCCCACCCCTACCCACCCTACTTTATTGTTCAGCAATTTTCACGATTGATAACTATAAATATCATCATTTATAGAAGACGTGACAAAAATGACCTCCAACAGAACGGCAAAAACGTGTTTGCAAAAATCATATACGCTCCGATGAGTGACGTATGTTTGATATGATTTTAAACAACATACACGAATAGAGGACACGGAAGAGAAAAATACATCAGTTATGGTATAACACAATGATGTGTGTACAGTGTATAGTTTTCGTTATGATCAGTAACTTGCTAGTTTTTCTATCCATCGTGCATATCGTGCATGGCAATGCAACTAATAGCAGTCAACAGACAACACCTGATTTTCACGTATGTAGTTTACAGTCATTTCGAAAGTTTTGCGAAAATGATACCACAATAATAATCGACAAGTCGTTGACCATGATAAAAGGCTATCCTCTACATGTCGTCTATAATCGTGTACCGAAATCAGCCAGCGAAATGCTTCGAAAATTGTTTCGTGAACAAGCAGAATCTCGACATTTTACAATCGAAAACGAAGAAATTTTCGTTCCGTTTCGTCTGAGCCCAGAAGTTCACCGAGAAATCGCCAGCGATATACTCAATGCTAAGGCACCTGTGCTCTACGAACGACATATGTATTTTGTTGATTTCAACGCTCTGAAGTATCCTCAGCCGGTGTACATTAATATGATAAGAGATCCTGTCAAGAGAATTATATCGCAGTACTATTGGACGCGTCAAGCTTGTCGTGAAGAAAATCGCTGCTATTTGGATATGAAATATCTCAATGAATCACTAGATGAATGTGTTCAACGTCGTTCAGCATTGGAATGTATCAATCCAGCACAGGGTGTCGATACAATTCTACCATTCTTTTGTGGACATGATCCTAAGTGTGAAAGTTTATCTAATTATTCATTAAACGAAGCGAAGAAGAATATTATTAACCATTATACAGTTGTGGGTGTTGTGGAAGAACTGTACAACTTCTTATTCCTGCTCGAACGGTTATTGCCTCGTTTTTTTCGGAACATAAGCCTTAAGTATATGTCGGATGATCAAATACGTATAGAAAGTAGCACACGAACAACTGGTAAAAGACCAGAACCAAGTAACAGTACCAAAGCAGCTTTACGTAAAGCACTTGCTCTTGAATACGACCTTTATGATTTTGTTAAGACACGTTTTCAAAATCAATTTCAACAAGTTTTATTAACTATGACTAATGTTTAAATATTCATTGTTGTATAGTTTATTTTTCCCAAATAAAACGTGTCTATGTAACAGACGTTGTAGTTTTGGTAGTGTCTTGGAAGGATGAATTGGCGTGAACCGTTACTTAGTTGCTTATTGGTATCGGCATGAGTTAATGGTATGACACGTAATGGCAATGTAGAATAAGATGACTCATACTGCGTTTATTTTGTCTATTTACGTCATTACGTATGTGTATTATCTGCTTCGATTTGTCCCTTTTCTTTCGCAACTTTGCCTTCTTACACGGAGGTTTTTTCCTTATGCTTTAAATGCTTATCTTGAGTCATTTTTATTCGAATATATAAATACTCGTCGAAAGATGAACATCAACGCCAAATATATTCTCGTGTTATCAAGCTTCACTGTTATATACTTGCAACACAATCGGGCAATCTTCGCGTATTTTCTATTTACCAACCTATTTAACTAAATAAGTTTTGAGCTAATCGACAATCTGGTATGGCAACCAATGAAACCCTAGGTAAGAGTGCTATGAAGACACTGCCCTGTAACGGTCGCAGTTGTCCTACGTGTAACAAATGCTGCGATTGGCGTTTTACTGGCGACGCAGATACTTGGAACTGGATGCGTAATTATTCGAACTGGGTTAACGACGATTGGCAACGCTGGCGTCGTAATCGTATGTGGAAACTTTATAAGCTCAAGGATGGAGCAACATGCACTAGTACCAGCCGTGGTCCTGGCAACACGTACGATGATCCCGTATTTGGTGGTCATCATACAGTTCATAATGTTAGTTTTGCTCCTGGTCTTAGTATCAAGGCTAGTCATGATTTCATCTTTGTTGGCGATCAGATCTCTAGTGGAAATCAGATTACTTCTTCGATCGGCGATATGTGTGTTTGTGAGAACAAATAAACAGTATGAGATTTATGAAAAAACGGAGGAGCAAAGCACGGATGTTTTATTTTGAATTAAATAGATATCACTGAAAATCATAAAATTAAACGTTTATCTTAAGTTTAATAGTTATTAGATTGCTGTTAAATCACGTTTATCGAAAATATGTTTGTATTTTTTAACTATGACCTGAAAGTAGAATAGATTTGCATCAGTGTGGTAAAAAGAAGATAGAAAAGCGTACATGATTGTTTTCCAATTGATCCTCTTGAAAATTTGATAGCGTGTCCAATTTGCAGCAACTGCATCTCATTCGCAAATCTACTGCCAAAGGCATTAGTTTTTGTAAATTCTGTGCTCTTCTTGCATTAGTCGGATGTGTCGAGCTGAATGTCCGATCGCTTCTCTCACCTTTACATGTAGACCTTTCTTTCCAGAGAAAGACTGCTCTCCGAACGTCATAGCATGCCTTCGAAAGCCGGCCTCAAAATAAGCGCTCAGTTATACTTTTTAAATATATATATTTACCTTTGCAGCTATTCTTAAACCAACAACATCCGCCTCTTCTTCCGTCGAGCGTGAATGGGATAAACGAATAGAATATTTGACAAACTTATTATAAATATAATATGCTAGGAACCTAGAAGACCAATGATAGTGCATTGTTAATTTAGACGAATGTCTCTTACGACGACCAGTCACTTGGGAGAATGCTCCAGATAAAGAAAGCCGCAATTACGCCTGAACCAATTTGAAGTTCTAGTTTTCTATCCTTATCATTTTCTTACCCAGAAGATCGGTCACTTGCATTTGGGATAAGCTCTCGGCCTAAATCGAGACGTTAAAAATTAGAGAATAACTCAATCTATTGTGAATTATACCGTATGACCAAGAATGACGTGTGCAATCTCATGACCGAGGATACATGCTAGTTTATTATCATCGTTTCTAAAGGTTACATGGTTCAACATTTGTTTCTCAACCAGCGAAGTACAACAAACTCTGTCGCTATCATCCGTTTGGTTATATAGATTGCTCCGGTCTAGAAAAGAAAGATCAAATTTGTTCTTCGTTTTCGACTCTACGAACACTGACCGGAAACACGTCGGCTAAACGAGAGCAAAGGAAAATTCATCTTATACTTGGTTAGCTATTCCAGATGGTTACACTCACCGTTCCAATACGGTTTATTCTTGTGATTATATTGAACAGAAAATGGTCTTTCAGTACAAAAATGATATTCAATTCTTCAATAACATACTACTACTTTGATCGACCAATTGTAGGATCGAATACCCGGGAGATCAAGATTAGCCGCCAGGAGCCGTTCCGATATTTTGACAACTCGTTTCGTTTCCTCGCTGGTTTCAGGTAGTACGAATTCATAAGCAGCCAAATCCCTCTACAAATAGGCAAAAGAAATCTATTTGCCGTAGTGAAAATCTCCAATATACCGCTGTTTTAGCAGAATTCACTATTTTGTCTAATTGTTTTTTGGTGATGACCATATATCGTCGACGTCCACTGATCGGAGTGCTTTCGATATGCGTATAAACATGAATCTGCGCAGAAAAAAAAAACATAGCCAATTCATCTGTAGAAGAAACTTACAGCTGATCCAACGCTGAGACCTGCGATAATGCCCAGATAACGAAGTCGGTTACGAATTATATGTTCCTTGAGTATAATTCGCTTGTCTTTTGGCAAACCTCGGTACCATACTCGTACGCTCCTTTAAAAGGAGAAATAGTTTATTTCAACAACAAGCATGTACAAAATATTATTACCTTCCACTGAGCCACGCAAGCCCTTTGAGAATTAGTTTTGATGCGATGCCAAGTACAGGTAACGCATTTCGTCGAGCACTCGTATGAAACTGTTGATACGTTATTGTTCTCGCGTAAATCGATGTGAGTAACATTTGTAGTCTAAAAATTCTACGAACGTCTGTTTTTTATACGATTCTCTCAAATGAGATCATAAAAGATATGCGGTACACCGCATGATAGGTTACTGTTTAATGTTATCGATGTCACATAATGTAGACCTATAGAGACAGATGTCACAGTTGACATGAGAATCTAGTTGAGTTTGGAATGCGCGAAAAACAATAGAAGAGGAAATAGAATAGAAAAAAAAATTATCTATTTTTTTCTGCCCTACAGTTTCTATATCCCCATGTGCCGTATCAAAACTCTTTCGATTGAAAAATAAAATCGTCTTTTTTTCTAATTTTTCAATGTCCTGCTGCTCGAAACCAAAACTATTTGTTTAACAAAAGTAAAGCTACTTGTTGTTTTTTTCTCTCTCTACAGTTTTTATATTACCACGTCTCGGGTGAAAATTCTTTCGATTGAAAAATAAAATCGTATTTTTTTTCGAGTTCTTCAATGTCCTGTACATCGCCGCCCTGGAAAGAAAACAGAGTCAGCATAAGCTACCTAAATAAATCAAAATTTTCTTTCTCATTTTCAATCTTTCGCCGAAACAGCATGTGATTAATCGTTAAAACTTTTTACCATTTTATAGAATTCTCAACGATCTTTCGAAATTTGAAAATATTCTCGTACACAAATATACATTCTATCTATTTCTCTTTCAAACGAGAATACATCCTATTCTGCAATGTTGCACATTTGGGAATCAGTTCCTACGATTCCGGAATTACACTCACACTCCTCTGTTAGGTATTCGCAACAATATCCAAATCACAAATTATACAAACAGCGAAAGTAATCTTAGAAATTCCACATCGGATCAAAGTCCTATTTTGTTCTACGTGGGAATTTGTTGTATAAAGTGCACGTGTATTCTGTCAAAGTATATTCTTATACAATGAGTTACTAATGACTTTGTCATGAATAATTTGTTTGTATTTTAAGTCTTCTACTTAGAAATTTAGGATGCTATTTTATAGTTTCTCGCTCAATGAAGATTCTTCTAATTGGATTCCCGTCACCCAAATTACAGACGAAAGCCGACTATAGCATTTACAACGAACAAAAAACTGCCAGTAGACGTTTTCGTCTGATAACATAGATTAAATATGATGCAAATTCAATAGGAAGTGAAGATATTTCAATTTTGGCCGTTATTTTTGTGCATTGAAATTGCTGTATATATAATGTACTTGTTTAGCAATGTGATGACGCCTCTCACATATATTCAAACGATTGTTACTATTATTAAGTTATTGTTGAAATAGACCACATGGGATAAACACTCGTCGATAGCTGGTCGACATGATATATCAAGAAAAAGATAAGGTTGCAGCAAGCGTTTTCTCTTCATAATTTCATCAGTACATTATTGATTAAAGGACAAATGCAATTCATATTCCGCGTAGACAAACTATGATTGACAGAGATCAGACAGCTATCAACAGTAATAATAGAAATAGACGAATGAAACTTACAATTATCCGCATAACTGTACCGATCTTGGCAATTTTCGTAATTATAATCTCAGTCTTATAATAAAGTTTGTCGTTCTCGCAATCAGAAAAAAACGAGAAATCACCAACATCAAGTTGCATGTTCACACAAACATTGAGTAGCACATTGACAATCATGATTACTACTCCAAAACGAGGTAATCTAAACAGTACGGTTTTGACACAACCTTAATTCTTTTGAATCATTTATTATTTTAAATGATTTTCTCGGAGAGTTTAATTGATTTTGACAGATTTCATCCATTCTTTTAGTTAACCTTCGAAATATGAGAAATACATGAGAAAGAGCAGATGTGTTTTATTGAAGAGTAGATCCCGATAATTTATTCATCTCAGGTAGAAAATAATACAAAGGATAATTCACACATGTATTTACAATAAAAGACTTGCATTCTACATTGTTCGAAATTGCCAAGTCATGATTTATTCAGTGCCTGAGAGATTCAGAATGCAGCTATCAAGTAATCCTATTTTACATAAAGTGAAACGAGTCATATGATTTTTTCTTGGTGATTTCATGATAAAAATGTTGTAGATAAACGCTATATCCTCCTATGTGACTTACCTTATCAAGTACATTGACACGAAGTTCTGTCTGGAATTGATAAGCAAAAATGCATTCACATTATAATCATGATATCGTTTATAATGTCCCGTAGCATACCATGAAAATAATTCGCATGATATCAGATAAATATACACGCGACTTACGATCAAAACAAAGAACGAAAATCGTAACTGCAACTTGTAGATTAAATGCACCATATAAAGATAAGGATACATATCTGCTTTGCGCTAAGAATAAGTCAACAGATTTGTATACAGAACAATGGAGTACAGTGCGTGGAAATACGTGGATAATGATAAACAGAGGAAATGCTCTGAACGATTGAGTTGTCGTTGCATTATCATTGTTTGCGTTGTTTTTATTGTCTTAATTCTTATAGCCGTCGCTATTGTACTTATAATCAAGTTTGTTGTTCTGAAATCCGATTCTATACCCACGTTGCCTGAGACAACTACTTATTATACAGATACATCGTCAACATCACTGGTCACCACTGAAAAGCCAATAGGTAATGTTTGATCTGACTACGAGATATTCTATCGCTAAACATAACAATTGTCTCACAGTTTTTCCGAAGTGCTTCGCATTTAACCACAAATTTCGATTTTCTATATTAGAGAAATTCAGTAGAACAGATGATAGGTTATTCGATTAGAATACAAATGGCCATTTAATTTTGGAAGAATAGAACATTACAAGTGTACGGTGTAATGTGTTTTATGAAAGTCGAGATTTTTATGTTTTTTACCTCCTTTTCTTTATTGGCTTTTCTCTTCACATCAATTCAATACGTACTATACTCATCAGCGTGTAAGTAGTTTGACTAACGTGATGAATTTCATAGGATTCATAATATCCTATTCACGATATTCTCGTTGATGAAAACCGACTCATAAAATACTGCACATGTTTCACAATATTTATGTTTATTACGGATTGCATTAAGATAAAAATACTGAGAGTAAGAATCTTAAAAACAGTAAGTGTGTGTATATTCTATGAAGATAAAAGCACGTTGACGACTACACATTTCACGATTATTTTGATAGCAAAAAGGTGAACAAAATGATTGATACAGAGACCTTGAACGATGAAACGTGGCAATATATAGATAACAAGGAAAAGAAGCGCTGCGGATGTCTAAGTTGCCGTTGGATAATCGTTATTTGTTGTATCTTTCTCATCTTGTCTATCGCTGCAACTGTCCTTACTATCCTGTTAGTAAAATCAAATGAGTCTATTTTAACTACTATAGTTCCAACGTTGACTAATGCCAGTACCGCGACCTCATCTAATGGAACATTAATCGGTATGACAACAGCAACAATGTATACCGGCACATCAGAAATGTCATCTGAAACAAGCATGACTATGTTTACATCAATGGTTACAACCGAAATGCCAGGTAAGATACAAGTAATGCACGATAGAATAGTTAGACACACATAGGCTTTTTTCCTTGCAGACTGATTAGTAAACATTTATATCGCTGATATATAAGTCACTCACTTAGGAATAGAAATCCTTTCGACGCAAGGACTATGAAAAATTGAAAATAAATACGATGTGACAAATGTAGTTGTATCTTATCAGCGCTTCAAAGATTAAGGACATGCAGCAAACAATTTTACATCATAGTTCGCCAGTTTTTGACATTGTGTTTTGACGTATACAGAATGGAGGAAATTTTTTCTATGGAAGATTCTGTGTCTGAGACAGGAAGTACCAAACGACAAGAGCAACGACGATGTTGTTGTTGGATCGTCCTTATCGCGCTGATCATCTTCTTAGTCGCGGCGCTTGTTATCACTTTAGTTGTTATATTTGTTATTCTACCAAAACAGCCGTCTCCCAAGTCTGGTGAGTTGTAACCTTCAACTAGTTCAGATTTTAATCGATTGGATAGAAATCTTTTCGATGATCAGCAGGAGAAGAATACCCATATTAAGATTGCATGTGTAAGCATCTGTGTAGTTCAGTTTAGTAACATGTAACAATCTAATACAATAAGTCGCATATTATAATCTTTCTTTAAGTTTGGAGTCAACTACAAAATATGACAAACGCACGATGTCAGCATACTGCATCTGTACTTTCAAATTCAATAGTGTTAGTTGTTGGTGGACAAAATAACGGTACCCTCTTGAAAAGCAATGAAGTTTATAATTTCAGCACTGGTAGCTGGAACTTATCTAGCAACTTGATCGATGGACGTTATGATCATACAGTAACAAAATTACCAGATGGATCGATACTGATAGTTGGCGGCCGTGGTGAAATAAATGCGCTAAAGTCTGTTGAAAAGTATAATTCAACAAGCGCAGCATGGCGGTCTATTCAAGGAATGAATATTCCACGGTATGGACATACTGCTTCTGTATTAGAAGATGGAAAAATATTGGTGGCTGGTGGAAGGAATAATGCCGATGGTGTATTAGACAGTTGTGAAATCTATAATCCAAACGATGAAACATGGCAACCTACCAGAGGAAAAATGAAAAATGGACGATATAGTCATGCAGCAATTGAAACAAAAGGAGGTGTAATAGTCGTTGGTGGATATGGGAGTGATCATCTGAAAACTGTGGAAATATATGATCCAGCGCAACAATCATGGAGTTTTGTTGGCAACATGAACCATTCTCGAATTAAACCTGTCTTGGTCTCATTGAATGGAGGATCGGTATTAGCTATTGGAGGATCCAATGATGAACCTCTAGCTAGTATCGAATTATATGATCCAAACAGCAGTACTTGGACCATGAAGGAAAATATGTCTGATCCACGAGATCAGCATACAGCGTCTTTGTTAGGAGACGATATAGTGCTCGTCGCTGGTGGATACAGGTCTAAAGACAGTGTACTGAATAGTGTTGAATTATACAATGTGTCATCAGACAGATGGACACTTATCGAAAATATGACATACGCACGTTACGGACATACAGCATCTATACTAGCCGATGGTTCAGTGCTGATCGTTGGTGGATGTGCTTCTGAGAAAAATACGCTCAACACTGTTGAGTTATACAATCGTCCGTAGATAGACTAAAGGAAATCTTTCATTTCATTTCACTTGGTGATAGAATTCTTTTTTTGATATTTGTAGACAACACTACAGTTCTTTTCTCCGTTCTGTCAGAAGAAGGAAACACACACAAGTATCGCTCTCTTTCAATAAAAAAAAGAAAGATATATACTTTCTCGTTCTTTTTCGCTTGCATCGAAACGTGAGTTTATGATTATTCATCGGAGTGAAATTTGTTTTTTTTCGTGCAAATTTCCTCGTTTCAGTATTCATCAAAGCAGTCTAAAATGGTTGAGTCGGTAAATATACGACAGCATATGAATGGTACAACAAATACATGCACCTTCCACAACGAATCATTAAGAGATGAGCAAATCGAAGAGATTACTCTATACTTACCTTCCAGTTGTCAATATCTTCGCTTTTCTGGTGTAGAATTAAGTGAGAAGGCTGTAAACTTCATTGGAGAAAACCTTCTACTTCGTGGAAAGAGTTCTAATTTGCAACATTTATCTTTGTGTAATACAAAATTGACCGACGAAGGAATCACATGTTTATGTCACGCATTAATCAACGGCAAAAATTGCAGACTTCGTTCTCTTGATGTTCAGTTGAATAATTTCACCGATATTGGTGCACACGAAATAGCTAAAATGTTAGAAGTGAACAAAGGATTGGAAATGTTGGACATCAGTTATTTGCAATTGACGCGCGATGGTATAATGGTCATCTTGACAGCTTTGGTAGAGAAAAATCGAACATTGACAACATTAGATATGACGAGTTCAATACTTATAGATGAAAACATGAAGAATTTGCTAAAACGTATTGAAGACAGAGTTCGTGTAATAAATGCGTACTACGGTTATTATTAAATACATGTTCTAACCTAGGGAACAAGTCTATGAATATAGAAGTCTCGTTTATTTAACGAAGAATAGTCAAAAAGGAAAACACGCTAATGTAATTTGTAAGAAACTCGTTGAATACTTTGTTCATTGTCCACAACGGCTTGATGCGTTGATGAAAATACTTTCGAATAGATGGCCTTGGCTTTGTTATAATACGACAGCGCATTTTTCCAATCTCGTTGATCTTCATAAACAATACCTATATTATGAAGCGTCATAGCTATGTCTGGATGTTGTGCAGAATGTACTGCTTGATATATTTCTAATGCCTTTTTATAATGTTGCAAAGCTCGATCATAATCACCACAACATCGGTAGATGATTCCGATATTATCATATGAGGCTCCAATGTCACAATGATTGCTCGGAAGACAGTTTTGACGAATTTTCAAAGCTTTTTGATAAATATTCAATGCACTGGAATAATTTTGCTGCCTTTTATAGACGACACCGATATTGTTATAACACGTCGCTACCTGAATATTATTTTCTCCATATTTGCTCCGCAGGATTTCCAAGGCGCTCTGGTAGGATTCTAATGCTCGTTCCAAATCTTTCATATCGTTATGAACGTTTCCAATATCAATATAAGTGCTAGCGATAATTGGATCATTTGGTTTAAGATTTTTCTTATCAATTGTGAGCGATTCGTGAAACCAGTCAAGGCTGGCTTGCAAATTACCCTTCGATCGTTCTAAACTGCCGAGTGCATGATAGCAAGTTGACTTATCATGATCATTATGAGATTCATCGGTTTCATATAGACAGCGTTGATAGTATCTTTCAGCATCGTCATACCTACCCATCCGTTGTAGAACGTTACCTAATCGAATGAGGTCTAGATCGACTTGATCATCTTGACTTTTGTAATGATCGATAGTCTCTTTTATTGCAGGATTTTGATCTCCACATAAAGTTAGCCTTATCGTCCATACTCCGTTCCGATCATGACTGACACCCTCGATACGAAATATTGAACCAATCATAAACAAAACTTCCTCTTCTCTTTTGTAACGACTTGCTTTGCCAATGTAAGCAAATGGTTTCGCTCCCTTCAAGTTTGGATCAGCGGTTATTTCGAATAAAATTCGCTCAAGTCCAGTTTTGCTATCGAGAAACGCTATCGCTCGTTTTCGTTCACAACTTGTCGATAGAAATGAATTGATAGAAATCAACTGATCCTTGCATTGTTTTAAATCGTCAAGTTCATTTTCCCACATGAGCTGACCGCGATAAACCGTGATTACAGACGAGCCTCGAAGACGGCTTAAATTTTCTTCCAAATCACGAATAAGAAAACGGAATAAGTAAAGCAAATGAAAATTTTGTGTCCGAAGCGCTTGATTTAACATTTTATAAATGAACGATTCACGAGTGTACCATTCAATTGCTCCATCTCTTGAATATTCTTTTCGGAATTCTTTTAGAATGGCCAACTGTTCCGAATTGTCTTTATACTCTTTTTCGCACACGGATATGAGTTCAGTGGAAGGCTTCGAGAGCGATTTCATCTTGAGCAAACAGTAAATTAACAACTGCGATTGAACGAAGTCGCCGTTCATTTGACTTGTTGTTTTCTCTTGTGCATCATTTTGCGTGAATGTCGAGATTAGTAACGTGTTATCGGTTTCGGCATTTTGGCTTTCGGATTGACAAGACTTGATTTTCAATATTAAATCTTGCAGTTGGACAGCTAAACCTTTCACCTAGAAAAGCAGACAGGAAGGCATAAGTTTCTCAAAAGAAAAAGTAAACACAAACTTTTGGATGATCCTTTGTCCATTGATTCCTTGACATATCACCACAGTAGACATATATGGATACGAGCTTTCCATTTTTTTCCACTTTTGGAACAAATTCTCGACCTAATTTACCACTGACAATAAGAATAGCTCGATCGCTCTCTTTCAACGACCAAATATAATTTTCACAAGCATCTTCTCGGTCAAATACTTCTAAATTACCAGTGATGAATCGTAACTGATGCTGCGCATCGATGCTTTCTTGCAATGTATTGACCGAGCTATCGAGCCAAATTAACAACGATGCTTCAACACGCTCTACAGTTGGCGTCAATCGTTTTTGCGCAGCTCCCATTGATGTTTTTCGACTGTACACTGCTTCTCAAACAAAAATCGAATCGATTCTTTCTCTTTCAATAGTTTGATTTGTTTGCTTTTCATTGTTTATTCTTTGTGTTCGTTCCGCGAAAAAGTTACATCCGAAAATAACTTTTTCGGTACTATAAGGTTCATCATTGTGTCTTCGTAAAAGACATGATTCACCTTCATTATCTCCGTTTTGTTTTTCACTTCATCAACATGATAACATTTACATTGTCATTGCTGAGTATACACTATTCTTTCTTCTTCATCATGTATAAATATTGTTATCATCTGAATAGCAATGCAACACAGGTATCGTGATTAAAACTCCAAACATGAAGGTAAATAATTCAAGGCTCTATTGAGAATATTTTATGTTATTTTTTTGTACTTTTAGTTACTTCTCTTTTGTCTCTTTTTGGGATCGGTGCTAGGTGATTTATCAGTCGAATGGGAAAAGTTCAAACGTGATTATAACAAGAAGTATGCTTCTGTAGCCGAAGAACTTGAACGCAAACAGATATTCATCGATAATGTTAACAAAATGCGAAACCATCAACAAACTTATCCTGATGCGACGTTCACCATGGGAGTCAACCATTTAACTGATCGACGCATTCAAGTAAGTCACTTCACAAGAATAAACATCTGGCTGAAATATTCCTACAGGAACTTGTCTCGGGCAAAATATTTTCTTCCAAACGTCAGCCAACACCATTTCAAAAAACGGTTGATGTCAAAGACTTCCCTGACTCACTCGACTGGCGTGTCAAAGGTGTGGTGTCACCAGCACGCGATCAAGGTATGGTTGGAGAAATTGAGAGCGCAATCGTCAGTACTGGTAATTATTAACAGAAACCATACATACATAACGTTTATTCTTTTCATATTGTGTATTTTTTAGAAGTCATAGAAACGTTTCATGCGATCGAAACGAAAAAACTGATCGAGGGAAGTGTCTCTCGAGTATATGATTGTTGTCCTTCGGAAACCAGTGATATTTTTGAATGCATACAGAAATTGGGCGGTATCTGTTCGAATAGTGCTTATCCAACTCAATTGAATACCTGCGAGCCAAATAAATGTCAACCATTTGCGACCGTATGTATCGTATAGATCCAATTTTCATGTTGCATGTCTCTTCGATATTTGCAGTTCG